AAGGCATGCTTGTAGGTCTTTCTTTTGGTCTCGGCTGACCAATGTAGTAGACCGATGTTCGCCGTACGTATTCATATGTTGCAACGAAGCAACAGAGTTTTGGTAGATCGTGTCCATGTGGCACTGCCGGTGGGTAGAGATCAAAGCGTAAGCGCATTGCCGAAAGCGTATGTACACAAGACGCAAGCCGAGGCCAGCGATCATGTCGTTGACAACAGAGAAATTGTGACCAGTCACCAAGCGGTCAGGCTCAGAGCATGAACGTGGGGAGAGCTCTGCCCGGATTTGCATGCAATCGACGACTGGGGTGCAGCAGGAAAAGCCACACTGATAGCTTTTGTCCGAGGGTTCGTGAAAGCGAACAGTTGATATGGACGTCTGGTCTACATGCATGCTGCTTCCGGTTGCTAGCTATTGTTTCAAATCGCGCAGCTGCAGGACCACGAGCACTGATGCCACGCGATAGAGGAAGGATCCAGAGAGTTGGTCGTTCCGTGAAGATCACACGGTTGACAGGCGGAGATCTGCATGTGCAATTTGTCCTTTTCGTCACCACGAGATCTGAATCTGGTTCCTACACTCCAAACGGTGGCGACTGTGGCTGACTTTCTCTCTCGAAGATGCTGACACCAGCACGCCAGAACTCGCATGCTCGACCTGCTGTACAACCACAGTCTCGCAAAAAGCTGCCCTTTTGGTGCTAGGCCTCGGGCAACGCCTAAACGTAGCTCCGAGGAAGCTCTTCTACACAAGAACAAAAAGCCAAAATCGGTGCTTGCTTGTAGGAATTTGACGCTCCACCAATCACCTCTTCCACCACTCATAGGCTTCCGCTCGGTGGTCTTGTCGACTGAGTTTTCTGACCAACCGTTTGAACCCCAGTCTTTTATGACACTGCCATCTCCTTGGAGGCCAACACGGAAGCAAACCCGTAACGGGTGAACTAGGAGCAATAGCATCGGCTCATCCGTGGGGCAAAGCCTCGTTCTCAACGGCGACCATAACGAGGCCTATCAAGTTCGCAACCAAGCACATTGATGCTCGTTCTGAACATCTTGTCAATAAACTGCTCCGAACAAGCCCCATGCTCTGACCCCAGTTTGAGACCGCACGTGGACACTGATTGAGGATAGTGTGGCTGTCGCTACTCACCGCCAAGGGTCGATCATACTAAGCACGTTGATGAGTCGTCTCACGTCTCTGCGTCAACCTCAGAGTCATGCAGAACTACATCAAGAGAATCCAAGACTGAGCGGTACGTACAAAACAAGAAGAGATGAAGAGTGGAACGCTTGATCTCAAAATGGACGAAGACGCATGTGGCTTGCATGCCACAAGCTTTCGCACGTGGCAGTCGCGTGGGATAGCTTGGCACAGTTCGTCCATGAGTCGTGGTGATACGCCAGCAAAAGATACACTCGACACGAGAGTCAATGCATGTTTGACCGCCTCCAAATGATGTGTATCGAATCAGTACTCATCCTCCCATCGGATATCACTCGCACATATCTCTGAACGGAACTGCTTCTGACTCTCGGTTTCAAGAAGTATTTTTTCTTCGGTCATCTGGAGCCAAACTTCCTTCGACCAGGCTCACAAGTCGGAACCGAGCGACCCGGACTAACAGCGAGCAACCAAAGGTTTTGACAGAAAAGGAAATTGACTAGAACCCGGATCGAATCCCGCAGAAGGTACACCAGCGTCACCCGACTATCTAGCGATTCATGCCCACAGCCACAGAGATTCGACCACCACTTGACATCATCTTCCAATATATCGAAAGAAGTTTTCGCTTCTCAACTCATCTCGGGTCCCGCGAGAGGGCTTCTGTTCTAGAAGGTCTGGCTTTTGGTTGCCAAAGCTTCCTTCCGTGTTCCACAGCGCTTCTAGCGTCCTTTTAGGGTTGCTATAGGCGAGAATGGAGTCCGCCATCCGGGGTGGCTTCGTAAATTTCCACACGGTCTCCCAACACCTGCAGCCACAGTCATTTTCTACGTTTCTCGTCAATATAGTCTGATTCGAGTTGATGCTTGTCGTTTTTGTTGATGCGGTTGCAGGTAGAGTAGCCGTGGTCGTTGATTCAACATCCTCTGTCAAGAACCGAGGGTTTACTTCATGCTTCCGTGCGGACCGAGACTGAACAACAAAGATGGAGATGCACTTGCCGACGGCCTCGTCCAGAACCCGAACGTATGAGGGCTTGACACTTCGTCTATCGCGAACAACGTTGTCTTGGTACCGTGCTACAGTACATGTTCTGCTCATGAGGCGCACTATGCCGAAGACAAGATCCGACCAGGGTGACCCAAACATGCACAGCGATGCGAGATGTTTACCACGAATCATACCTTTCAGATGTTCAATCTCGTCTAAGATCGCCTGGCATGTCATCTGGTTACTATGGAATACCTCTAGTCATGGTCTGCCGTGTGTTGCCCACTTGTTGTTTTCGTTGATCCATTTTTGCAAACATCCATCACTCGGTCCTTCTCGCTGAACTTGTCCTCCGCAATAGCCGTCATACCCGTCGGATCCGACCTGTACTCTCTCTCGGCTCAGGATTATCCGCTGCCATGAGTCTACTTTACCATGATAACCCAGTGGCCAGGATCAGATCTTAGAAGGGTACGCCTGACGCATACTGTATGCGAAATTCCACATGCATGCAATATACAGCCTGGCGAAGCGCATACATACTGCAGAGCCGTGGCCTGCAGTGAGAAACACGCGAGAGGTGTTTTCCCGAGAACAGGTGCAAGCGCCACACCATGCATGATACGAAAAGGAATGAACAAACACGAGATGATGTGCATGACGCTTTCCCGATAGCTTTTGCAGTATCAATCTGGAGGCAAAAAGTAACGGCAAAAAGACATCCTGCAGGCTTGTTGATCGTCTGGTGGTTTGTTCTTCCTCTGAACCAACCGCAACCAAAACGAATCAGAGCGATCGCGATTTACAATTATGCGCGAAGAAGCACTGGAAAGAGTGACGGAAGGAGTGACCACTCCACCCTAAACACTCATGCTCCAAAACCGATTCATACAACATCCATAAATTGGAACACGTGGACGATCACTCCTCCGAAAAGAAATAAAGCACATCAACCACGAAACAGCCAACTTCAAAGTAACGCCTTGCGATAACGATCAACCCAACATGTAACAAGAAGGACGATCTCAAGAACAAATATCGGACTCTTTCGGAGAGGTGTGCAAAGTGGGCTTTTATCCGAGTAATAGGGTGCGGTATGCGGCAACACCATGGTGTGAAACGTAAAACGTGGCTACATGAACGCGAGTAGTTGTCCGTTGCATGTTCAGCTGTGCTGGTTCGACATTATCCGGGCGGTGAGCTGGACTTCTGACCATTCTTTGCAGGATATCACGCCCACCAATAACGTCGTTGCATGTTCCCATGTTTCGAATATAGTGCATTGGACCACTCATGGCGACTGCACGCTGTTGTTCCCGAGCAGTGATCTTGTGCGGTGTACACACCCACACTCGATGTTCTATGTATGTTTGAGAGAGATGTGCACCTGTCTGAGTTTCCCGAACCTCGGACTGTAGAAAGTCATGTCATGCCATCTACAATCGTATATCGTTTGCGATTCCACGACTCTGAAATCCTGGCCATCGGCAATGATGGTCTGTATCGCTCTTCTCTCCCGTACTGATATACAAGTCAGTCGTAAGTATACAACTGGACCAGCGAATCACACAGCTTACCGACTCGCCAAATGTAACAGAGTCCACTATCCCATCATCTAACCACGGAAACTCGATATCGATTTTAAGCTTTCCCTAATAGCGTCAGCGAGTGGTATAGCTCCAAGGATAGACATGTCTGTCAAAATCAGATAAGGGCATATCCCTGTCTATACTACTGCCTCAACTCAGACAACCTCTAGACTAGTAAGGATGTCGCAATGTACGGCCAATCTTGGAAACAAGGCAAATGTGCTCGTGACCTATTCTACTGCTCACCGCCCATACATCTCATATCGAAATCGAGAATGAATGGCAGACATGACAAATCAAATCATGGAGCGCGGTGAGAATGGGAAGGAGGACACTATCAACTTGTCATCAAGGCTTACCCTGTGAACAACAACACCGCTGAGTTGATACTTGCCTTTTCTAAATCATCCATCTCCAATCACCTCAGAGCAACCAATAGTCACGCGAAACTATTAGGGCTAGAAACTCAAGACACAGTCGGTAGCTCATGAACCTCGTGACTAGCTTTATCACGGCCAACAACAAGAGTCCCGGAGTCATGAGTAATCTACAGGCCTCACAAGTAACAAGAAGAGCCGAGCATGCTCTGCTATAAAGCACATACAACTATCGCACGGCCGATCGTATCCCGCACGCACCACAAAGATAAACATCTAGTCACAAGTGCCGACAGTGGGAACCACGTTCCCAACTCCGTTTCGTTTGCATACGATATTGCCGCGGTCCTTGTGTTCCAAAGAAGTCTTTACATTTACACTCCGGAGCGTGGTTGCGTACGGCCGGAGATATTCATACGACCCTGTTTACACTTGCAGCTAGTAAGTTCAATCCCACGTGCTATTCGCATGACCGTGAACAGGTTTCGCAGATCGCGGCATATGCGGGTGAAAAGAGAGATACGACGTTGCACTGAATCGAGGACCGCTTGAGTTTTCGTATGCTCGGTGTGGAGTCCAAAGTTTATGGCAAAGGGAATTCGATGTGCGCAGATCATTACGGTATGTGTGCGAATTGCACCATTTCCTCAAAGCAGCGAGCGGAGTGATAAGACGGGAGATATAAGTGGTAAAGGAGCTTGATGAACAAACGTTGTTGAGGATAGATGGCAAATGTTGTGGGTTGTATATACAGATGACCAAGAGACTACAGAAGAGAGCAGGGGTATAATAGAGATGTGGGTGAGAGTCAGACAAGAAAGGGCAAAAAGTTGAAGAGTGAGACAAGAAGAAGGTGCGAGTCTAGAGCATGATGGCACATCTAACCAGCAACAGCAGCAACAATGACGACAGTCAGGATGACGGCCAGAATCAACAACAGACAGCACATCTTGTTCCTGGCATTCTTCTGGTGTCTGCTGGCAGTGCGCAGCTCGCGATCGGCACCTTGAGTGTCGTCTCTGGTGCTGGTGACATTGTTGCTAATAATGTCGAGTTGGCCGCCTTGGTCGTGGACCATGTGAGCAACATCTCTGAACAGCTCGTTGAGCTCGCCCACGGACTGCTCAATGTTGCGAATCTCGGCCTCGCGCTCAACGATCAGAGATTCTTGGAAGTCGACTTCAGACTGATCTGCCAGACGCAGCTGTTCCTGTTGCTGCTGCTGCTGTTGTAGTTGCTGTTGCGAGCGCTCGACGGTTGGCGAGCCAGATTCCTCGAGAGCGGTACGGGCAGCGGTGGCAGAGGCGCGTTGCTTTTCGAGGGCGGTTCGTTGTAGAGATTGAAACTCGGTCAGAGAGGCCTTGAACTCCTGATTCAGCTTGCCTTGGGTGTACTTTTGCGCAGGCTATGGTTGTGTTAGTACGAGGGCGGGTGGTGCTAGGATAAAGGTGAACATACGCCCAAGNTCGTGCCATGCCTGGACCTTCTTCAGGCCATCACCAATATCCTTGAAGCTTGCCGACGTCTCCTCGAGCAGGTCCTGGACTCTTTCGCGCACGCGATCGGTTTCGCGCTTGGTCCCGAGCAGGGCGACTTGGCTGGACAGGCGCGAGATGTTTGCGGTGAGGGAGAACAGGCGATCGGAAAGGTCGGTGGTGAACTCGTTGAACTCGGGGTCATCCTGGTATTCGGGGTCGTCGGAGCGGCGCCATGTGGTGGGCTGGGCNTATCAAGGTGTTAGAGAGTGCGGGCGATTGGGGATCAGGCAGCACTTTGTCTTGCCTTCGAGGTTGGGCGAGTCTTGGAACGACATGACTGTTTATACAGATGGTGGTAACGAGAGTGTAAGTGTTCACAGTTGGTGCCTGGACGGGGTTGCGAGAGCCTCGGCCGTCGTCGTCGTCGTCTTGGTCGTCGGAATGCGGAGAGGCTCAGTCGAGGAAGGAGCGAACCGGCAGGGTGACGTCGAGGGTGTCAACGGTGTTTGCTTGGCGCATGTGCAGCTTCTCTTTTGTGTTTTGTCCGATGCAGCTGCCATCAACAAACTGCAAAACTTCCGTGTTGTGGTGTGAGCTGCCATGAACACGCCGGCCCCTGTCAAGGCGGCGCCCTTGCCTCGCCCGTATCGCGACTTCCTGACCCCGTCGTTGCATAGAAGATTCACGAGTGCTGCCCTGATTGGACTGGCAGCATGCTGGCTCGTCTCTATCCCCATGGCCAGCCCCAGCCTGTTCTGGTCCTGGTTCCCTCTGGGTCCTGCTGGCGTTCGCACTCTCTTCCTCTTCATCTCGTCTCTCTCCATCTTCGTCCTCCGAGTCGCTCAACTGCACTTTGGCCCGCGAACCACAATCTCGACCTTTGAGTCTTTCTGGTCCTACCTAGTGTCCAAGAACACCATCCTGACCTGCTTCTGGTACTCTCTCTCGGCCTTCCTCTTTGCAGAGCTCTACATCTTCACCACTGCCAAAGACGCCAATCTTGCATGGATCGATCCTGGCAGGTACGTCCACCAAACTCGCTCCTTCTGTGCGCGCGCTGACCCCTGTAGATCCTACGAACGCCCCAAGCTGAATGAGCGTCCCATCCTGCTCCGCTCCCAATTCCTCTTTCTCGCCCTGGCCCAATCTGCCATCCATCTCTACAAGGACTATGACCTGATCCGCCTGCCGCAATCTCCAGTCAAGAGCTCGCCAGTCATGCAGCTGAAGGATGAAATCAAGAACATTACCGCCCACACTGCAAAGCTCGTCACGCTCACCTGCTTGTTTGGCCCCTTCTTCTACTTTGCCGTCTGGCGAAACTTGGCTTGGGCCCTGGCCTTCAAGATCGGACGATCCTTGTTCTTCCTGCCCAAATCTACGAGACCCGCAGGTCTGACCGACCCCTTCTCTCTTATCGCGCGCTTCCTCTGGTCTTCGATGCTTCTGGTCGCTTTGTGGGAGCTGTCCAACCGTGCCTTTACTATCTACACTGCTCAAGAACCCGTCAAGAAGGGCAAGCCTCTGACTGCCGACTCGAAAGATCCCAACGGTAGTCTGATCGCTGGATTGAAGGCGAAGAAGGAAATCCCCAAAACTATGGCTTTTTGGGAGCTTGCCATGATCACCAAAAAGTTTGAGGATCGCAGAAAGACTCTGTTTGCTGAGCTTGACAGAAAAGGCGGATCTACCTGGTCTCAAATCTCTGGTACTTGTTTGATCGAGATACAATCCGTCATTCAGCGCATCCAAGACTCGCAAGCGGCCGTTCCTAACACACCCGAACAACCTCCTCAGCCAATTCAGACACTTCCGAAGATCTCGTCCCGCCCTGTCAGGGAGGACGCCATCTTCATGGCACCACCGCCACCCTCGACCGGCCTGCAAGCTTTCGAAAGTTCTGTTGGCTTGGTCGCTAGATCCTACGGCCAATCTCATGGCGCAACTAATCCTGTCAGCCCACGGGCACAGAAATTGCTCGAGTATGGTGCTGATCGCATCCTCACCAAGGAACAGCAAGAACAGCTTGGCTGCGCTGGCATGGTCAATAACGCGAACGGTCTGATCTCTTGGCTCATTGCAACACCACTCGGCATGCCCTTCCGCCAATCCTTTGCCCGTCGCATCAATGCGACTGTGTTTGGTGTGCCATTCAGCACTGGCGCCATCATCACAAACGCTGTACAAGCCGTTTGTGGTCTTGCCGTCGCCAGCTTGAAGGAAGATAACCTTGGCCAAGTGCAANAAGACATCTCGACCATTGTGCGCACTCTTATCATCACCACACAGCAAATCCAACTTTTCGTCCGAAACCTGCCACCGCATTGGACAGACGTGGACTTTGATGGCAATCGCCAAGTCCCAGAAGTTGAAGAGTTGTTGAAAGTTTTGCGTGATGGCTTGCACGAGATTGTCGTCACTTTCGGCGAGTATGCAGGTAATCTGGGACTTTCAAGGTCCGAGATAATGATTGCTAGAGACTTGGCGGGCAGAGGTCCTGAAATGGAGTCTGTAAAATAAAGGTTCTGATTGCTGCATTCTCTATATCCAATACAATCCGAACGAAAATAAAGTTCAAGATTCTCCAAACCCGTTTCATGTCTATGTTGACTGCCTCTCAATGGACGCTGCCTTGTTGCCGAAGGCTGTCGTTTATCTTTATAGCTATGCTACACCTTTTGACTCAATTATGAGTTGCGAAAATCGGCAGGAGCGTCTAGTTGTCTCGAGGTATCGATGGTCCTACTCACACTATAAGAACGATGCTCCAATACCACTTGACTCTCCTCCCTCAACATGGTGCGTAAGGACTCTAACAACCCCAACGCGGATCAAAAGATCCTGCAGAGGATGCTGTGGCCCTGACTCTTTTTGCCCTGTCAAGCGCACCCACAGCGACGGTAAAGACGACAATGGTGTCTGTGACCAACAACAAGATGAGCTGTTGTCTCTATAGAAGCTTGCAAGGTTGATGGTGTTGTTCGTACAAGGTTGCAAGGAAATAAATACATGGGGGAAAGAGGTTTGGATGGTACCCCGGGCTCTGTTGATCAATGTACATCAGAGAATACGGCATCTCAAGTAAGGTGATGGACAAATTTGTGCCAGATTGTGTATACAGAAACTGCTAACAGCATTCGAGCCTACGGCATTTGGGAGAGAATGCTCATAGATAGATTGGGTACGGCACAGGATACTCCATGGGTGATTGAAACTATTGCCTAGTATTATACTCCCCGTCGCCCGAGGGGTGACGAAAAAGGCATTGTCGGTACACAGAGAGGTTTAGTCTCTGTCATTGGAGATAAGGTCATATTGCCATTCATCCTTCTCGGGCTCACTGCACTTCTCCCAACTCAGTAACAACTCATAGCAACATACAAAGCTCTGAAAATTCACAATTGTATTCAAGAACAAGAAAGGGTTAGGAGGGAAGTATTCCCGATTCTTGCTTTGGGCCGTTGTAGGCTGCTGCATGCTGAGCAACTCTCGAAGAGTCGCGCGCTCATTCGTCACTGTTTGTGTAGGCTGCAAATTTTCTCGTGTCCTCTCTGTACTCTCGGCGTGAACATGCTGTCTAGGGGTATCCGGTAGTCGTGGCTTATCGTTGGGTACAGCTATCCGCAGCAGATATCCAATACTGACGGGCGCTTCTACCAATATGGCAGACCGACCTGGCTGGACAGGCCGTGTTTGTAGCAGTGCTGGGCCATTGGCCGTCATCCATCTTGGTAGTATCATGTGCATCATTACGATGAACCGTGCTTCTATCTACCTCCTTCCTCAAAACATATTCCTTCAACGCAGTTAAAGGAAGCAGTCCCCCTCGCAGGTCTTTGCTGACCAGCATGCCAACATTAGGATTCTGCTGCAGGTTGAAGCGACCTTTCTGTTGGGACTCCATATCGGCAACCCTTTCAGCTGTCAGGACAGGAATTGCTTTCTTTGTGAGCTCCAAGGTAGCTTTAAGCAACGGCAGTACATCGCTATCGTCCTCTTCCAGAGAAAAGCAGAACAGTGGTTGGATGTAGCCACGAGGACCACTTTGTTCGACGGGGATGGCTTCAATGAGGGATGTGAATCGGCCATGATGCTCCTTGCTGTGGGTTAACCTTAAGCTGGCGCCGTAGACCGCTCGGCCATCTCGCCCTTGTTGGAGATGTCAACTTGAGATAGGAATAAGACGGGACGGGAAGAGACCGCGCACTGACCTTCCCTGGCAGCACACAGCTCGACAAAATGTTTGTTGATGCGGACGATTTTCTTGAATATGGCGACTGTATCGAAAAGTAGTATACTGTCCAACTTCCAACCAAGTGTTTTCCGACTCCAGATGCTGCTGTGGATGTTCTTACGGGCCGGAAATATCTCTTGGCGAGCTCAAATAGCTGACAAAGGATCATGTCCTTGTCGGGTCGTCAGCGTCCGACAAATAGATCATTGTTGGTGGATCAAATCCGGTCTAGAGGATTGATGTTACGTGGATCGAAAACACTGGATCGGTGGAAATATCGATGAAGAGAAAGATGAAGCAGAGCTCGATTTGCAGTAGGCCAGGGTGTTGGTGCTTACACGAAGAAGGTTAGATATAACACGCTATTGAAGACGTATATGGCCTCGGTCTTGTTGGAAACACGTCAAGAGGACCAGGTACTGTACACCATACTTGTAGCCTGAAGTGTTCGTATTGTGTTGTGAGTGTGGCAACTGGATGGCACCGTGAGCTGCCATGTTGGTTGATTCGCACCCAAAAATGGGTGGTTCAGCTGTGAGTACCGTTTGACTTTCATGTTAGTAGATATATATGACTATGACAACTCAAGTTTGACTGGACGACTTCAGGCAACATTATCATGAACTGATAATCAAAGTTAACACACGTCGGTGAGATGGAGTGCGATGTTCAAGAGCAGACGCATTGAAGTTGAAAGGCAGTCGCGACTCCGACGCCAAGCTTCGTCGGCGATGACGACCGACCCTTTGGGCAACTCGCGACGGCGAACATTTGTGGAAGGACCATCTCTCTTGTCCAATTACTCAACATCAACATGGCTAACGGGTATGTCCAAACAAGTCCTGAGCGTTACGAACACCTGAACTGGTAGCTGACGGTGTGCGCGCAGGTGGAGTCTTCTGGTCGGCCTCCTCTTCATCTTGGCCTTCTGCGCCGTATCCTGGTTCGCCAGTCCCAAAGGCGAGACACAAACGTGAGTTGCTGGCCCTCTTGGACTGTCGTCGCGAATACACCACACAGCCAAGGAGGCGGATACTATGAGAGGAGTCTAGGCTAACGATGTATCAACAGTGNTCTGGCGGTCAACCCTCATCCTCTCGGCCTGGAGCTGTTACCTCATGTGGGGTATGTACTCAACACTGTCGTCGCTGAACCTCCCAACTAACGGACTGGATANNGCTATCACCTTCCTCGCCCAGTGGCACCCCCTCATCCAACCCCAGCGAAGCGACCTGAGACCCGAGTACGTCCACCATGGTTGAAAGATGGACGATATTGGAAGACGAAGACGCAAGGGAGAAGCTGCGGGCGGCAGCAGGACTTGTTTCAACATTCTACATGGCATTGGCGTTGTTTGACTTTACTGGGAGATACACTGTGACATATCACTCGTAATGGGCTTGTCACATGGCAGCCCCTGTTTCTGACACTACATCCTCTGGGATATGTATATCGTTCTGCTGTCGTACCCGTCTCATTGTCCAATTCCCACATGCAACGCGAGGCGTTTCCACAGCTCGAGCAGATCGCCCGTCTCGACGACCCCGGCAGCTGCCACGCCTGATCCGACCCCAGCAGCTCTGAGGATGCCCTGCAACATCATCAGCTCGGACCCATTATGTCAACTTGTGACCGGACTTACCCAACCGACGCCTGCTCGACACACTGCACCGACTGCGGCCAGTATAGCAGCTCTGATGACTCCGCACTCAAGCAAGATCTCCAAGGCGGCGACATTGTTGATGATGACAGCCCAAGAGACGGCACTTGCGCTACTCGGCAAATCATACTTCCATATCAACAGCAGTAATGGGAAAAGTTTCGTAAAGCTCGATACCAAGAGTGCCGTGCTTATGACAGCAGGATGTGGGTAGCGAGGGATAAGGTAAGACAGTGGTCGAGGCAAGCGCAGCGACAAGAGCGTGCGAATAGGCAGGTGAAAGGATACGGTCTCCAGTGCGCATAGCAGGAGGAAGAAGAGGTATTGCAGAATGATAGGCTGCTCGCTCAGGAGGTAAGAACTAGGGAGCAGACCTGACGTACTCGAGTCGTTGGAGCCCGTGGCATTGCTCGTGGGGTGAGCAAATGGGTCGGACGGAGTCGGCATGGAGATACGGTCTGTGGCTGATGATGAGGGCATGGCTTCTTCTATGCGAGCCCAGGTCAAGTAGACATCAAACAAAAGGAGTAAGACACCAAGACGTATGATGGATGGNCTGCTGCAATGAGTTTTGGTTTACGGGCATAGCATGCTAGGACGTACGTTGAAGCGACCATCTTCTCGACCCAGACGGTTGAACAAAGGTGCCTGTAGACCTATATGTGTAGGTCAGTACAGATGTTGTGACGGGGCCAGAATGAAGCGATAGCCAATTCGAGAATTGGTTCAAATCAGAACAGATGACAAGTCAAGGTGCATGAAACAAGACGAAAGAGATTCGACGAGAATGAAAGGAAGAAAAGAACATGTAAGAGTACATGGGCCTACCTGTGGTTTGATCAAGACTAGATCGATAAACAAGACAACAAAATCATGCTCGACATATTTGTCTGCAAAACGCTTGCATCGCGGGCATTGAGTCAAGCGGACGCCTTTGCCCAAGGTGCGGTCGTCGGCCTTACTGTACGTCGTGTACAGACTGCTTACAGGGTACCGGCACTCGATACATATGGGCATTGTTTCTCGAGACAAGGTGTTGGCCGAAGGTAGTCGTCGACTTCCATGTAGGTGTTTGTAGCGAGTGACAGCATCGGACGGTCCGTGCGGTTCGGCGCGTCTGCGTCGCCAAAGCTTGTCGCTGCTCGCATTTCATGGTCGCTTGTGCTTGGAACAAGTCCATGTTCTCTGCAGACCATCTCTTCTGCATCGACAATGGCTCTGGCAGCACCGCAACCGACGCCGCAGCGTCCTCTGCCAGGTGCCTTTTTCAACACCCCGGCGCCCGGTAGACCTGGCAGTTCAGGCCAGATGCAGCAACCATCCTTCCGCTCCAATGCCGCCGCGACTCTGGCTGGGTACCGCGCCGGCCAGCCTGCTTCACGCGATGCGCCTGGCTCGAGGCCTGTCACCGCTACCCAAGACACCCTTGCGCCCATCGAACGCGCAGCCCGCACGGTCAACGAAGCCCTCCAGAGCGAGGCCCAGTACCCAGCCCTCGACAACTACGTCGGCCAGGGCATCTCGAATGACTACGACACCACCTTCAACAATGCCTGGCAGCCCTTCCAGCGGACCCGCAGCTATGACATACCCGAGCAAATCTTCGAGCAAGCAAACATGGCCCAAGTCTCGACGCATCTGGGTCTGTTCGCCGAGCTCAACCACGCCTTCATCGTCATTGACTCGTCGCTATACCTCTGGGACTACACACATCCAAACCCCGAGCTCATTGGCTTCGAGGACCAGACCAACGCCATCACAGCCGTCAAGCTCGTCAAGCCGCGCAAGGGCGTCTTCATCGAGTCCATCACGCACTTGCTGGTTGTCGCAACCCATGCCGAAGTTCTGCTCATTGGTCTGGCAGCCGCGAGGTCTGCCCACGGTGGATGGGCCGTTCAACTGTATTCGACCAACATGAAGGTCCCCGTCAAGGGCACCTCGATCAGCTACATCGAGTCGTCGGACAAGACCGGACGTATTTTCTTTGGTGGGAACCAGGCTACCGATGTGTGGGAACTCACCTACCAGCAAGAGGAACGTTGGTTCGCCAGCCGATGCTCCAAGATCAACCACACAAACTCGGGCATCACATCCGCCTTCCAGCTGCTGCCTTTTGGAGCCCGTTCAGAGCAAGAGCACGTCAAGCAGATGGTTGTTGATGACTCGCGCGATTTACTCTACACCCTTTCTTCAGCTTCGACCATTCGTGTCTACCACATGAAGCCAAACAACGTCCTCGACCTCGCCTTGTCACGCCCCTTCACCAGCCTGCTGGCCCAGATTGCCCACATGGTCCCCAGCTCCGACCTCCTCGCGCGCAACACTGCCCTCGTCTCCATCAGTCCCATCTCGGCTCAAGAGACCAACAGACTCAGTCTGCAGGCTCTGACCAGCACCGGCTGCCGCATTTTCCTCAGCGCCACCTCGGGCGCCTTCTACGGCAGTTCCTCGTCCTCCGCTCCTACCAGCATGCAAGTCCATCACATCAAATTCCCTCCAAAGGATGGCGAAACCGCTGCCCCTCAACCTCAACAACCACAGTCGGCTCCCGCCTCGCTCGGACCTTACTCTTCCAACACTTCGACCTTGGATACTAACACTCGCTTCCTTGCTAACACAAAGGCTGGCGTTAGATATGCCCCTGGTTACTCATGCTGGGTCGTACCAAACCCGCAAGATCCTCACAGAGACTCCATCTTCTTCACCGCCCCCGACTCTGGCCGCATCAAAATGCCTCGCGATGCCAGTCATGCCACTCTGTTCCCCGAGATTGGCATGTTCCTCGAACTCCCTTACCCTTCCCAAGGCATTGGTCTCGTTAGCCCTCCTTTCGCCGCGGCCTCCACACCTCTAGGCTTCGCCAACGAACTCGCTGTTCAGTTCGACCAATCTCCGACCGAGATCGCCGTCCTCACCAGCACTGGTGTACAGATCATGCGTCGTCGCAGACTGGTCGACATTTTTGCTTCTCTTGCTCGCTACGGTGGTGACGCAGAAGGTCGCGACGGCCAGGTGAAGAAATTCATTCGGAACTATGGTCGCACCGAGACTGCTGCTACCGCTCTTGCTGTCGCCTGTGGTGAGGCTTCTGACGGTAATGCCGATTCTCGCATTACCAACATCACAGAACCAGACATTGTTGATTTTGCAAGAGAAGCCTTCATCACCCAAGGAGGCAAGCCCATGCTCAACGAGAACTCTGTGTTGGATAACAACACTCCTGCTATCGACAACGTCCGCCCCTCTCCCAGACACGACGGAATGGCACTGTACATTACTAGATTGGTGCGATCGATATGGAGAGCCCCCGTCCTGACACAAATGGTCACTCCTGTCGGTGGACTCGTTGTTACATCGACCGTAGCGCTCACCAAGCTGCAAAATATTCAACGTGCTCTGAACTCTTTGCAAGAGTTCTTGAACAAGAACAAGAGCTCTATCGAGGGCTTGTCTGGACCCGAGTCTTTGGGACGTGTTGCCAACAAACAAGACGAACTTTNNTCTTTGCAAGGCGAACATCGTGCGATGAACGCCTTGATTCAGCTCATCTCGAGCATTATTGAGGGCATTGCCTTTGTGCTCGTTCTCTTTGACGAGAAGGTCGATGAGATCATTCTATCTCTCCATGAGGGCTCTCGCGATCGTGCAAGGCAACTCACCTATGAAGGTCTTTTCTGCTCACCCGATGGCAGAAATCTAGCAAAGGAGCTTGTCAAGGCCATTGTGAACCGTAACATCGCCAATGGGTCGAACGTCGACACAGTAGCAGAAGCCTTAAGAAGACGCTGTGGCAGTTTCTGCAGCGCCGATGATGTTGTCATCTTCAAGGCTCAAGAGCAGGTCAAGAGAGCATCCGAGGCCGGTCCCACATCTGAGGCAAGTCGTAGACTGTTGAATGAGAGTTTGCGACTTTTCCAAAAAGTGGCTGGCTCGCTCTCAATGGAGCATCTCGAGTGGGCTGTCTCACAATATATCCCTATGTCCTTTTATGCTGGCGCTATCCAGCTTGCTTTGACCGTCGCGCAAGAGTCTGATCGTGCAAACCGCGCTCTCTCTTGGCTAAGGGACGACTGCCCCGAAGACGTATGTTCGCTCAAACTACTGTTTCCCAATCCACACTAACGTTCAACAGNNGACCCACGACAAAAGGCCTTCGAAGGCAGAAAGCAGTGTTACGATTTGATTCACCAGGTCATCGTTTCTCTCGAGCAGACATCTGCTGCAAACCCTGATGGTACCTTCTCTGTTACCGCCAAGAGACAGTCCGAAGCCTACGAAATCATCAACAATTCCGAAGATGAAGTCTTCCAGAACAACCTCTATGACTGGTATATGGGTCAAGGGTGGAACGATAGGCTTCTGGACATCAGTTCGCCATATGTCATCAGCTATCTCCGCAGACGCATGGACAAGAACCCCGATCACGCAGACCTGCTCTGGCGCTACTATGCACACCACAACAATTTCCTCGAAGCTGCTTCAGTACAATTACTGCTTGCTAAGAGCGGCTTCGACCTCAACCTCGAGCAACGCATTGGTTACCTCAGCCGTGCAAGGACCAATGCCTCTATACGCACCGTATCCTTGCTCGATGCCGCGCAAGGCAGACAGCAACTGCTTCGTGAGATCACCGACCTCTTGGAAGTAGGCAACATCCAGGACGATATCCTGCAGCGCATGAAGTCGGACACCCGCCTGAAAGACCCACGCCGACCTCAAGTGTTGAAGGCACTCGATGGTCAGATTCTAGAAGTCGCCGAGTTGTACAACCAGTATGCCGACCAGGCAGGTTACTACGACCTCTGCATTCTCATCTACCACTGTGCCGACCACCGCAACCCCTCAGACATTCAATCAACCTGGCAACTACTGATCGAGCAAGTTCACCAAGAAGCAGAGAGCAACGAACAGATGAAACCATTTGAAGCAGTAGCTCTCAAGGTGCGCTCATTAGGACAACGTCTGCATACCGCAGAGGCCACGTTCCCTGTCCCCATTCTGCTGCCAATGCTCCTTCGCTATGCCCTCCAGCACCAAAACAACGCGGCCTCACCAATGTGGGTTATGGATACCTTCCTCGAACTCGACATTCGTCCCTCGGCGTTGGTGCCTGTCGTCGAGCAGATGTACTACACCAACGAGCAACCCTTCGTTGGCAAATACCGTCGCATCCTCGCCGCCGACCTCATTTACTTGATCCAGGCTTGGCTACGTGAAAGTGAGCGTCACGGTGACAGCGTCCTGTTCGGTAGCGAGGAGAATGCCACCGGCATTGATGAGCTCCTCGCCGGTCTTGCCGGAAGTCAAGACCTGGATGCGGACAAGCAACAAGCCGTGGACACTCTTAGAGGCAGAATCGCTCAAGCCATGCGTTGAGTGGTGGTCAAGATGGGATTATGTGTTGTTTACAATCAGGATAAGGTGTGTGTTTCACCAGGGTTTTGGGTGGTTTCTTCTGCGAGGTTGTGGCGTTCTACATCAAATTTTTGTCGTTTTGTAACAAAGCCTTTTGTTTCTCTGGGGATCAAGATAGTGAGAAAGCAAAAGTAAGAAAGCTTTTATTGTACACATTCCATCAACATTTTCTCTCATGCTTGTCTTGTATGGCTCAAATGTAGCTTTCTGATTGGAACTCCTTGTACTGCGAATTGCTCCTGCTTTCTGGCAAGTCATGCGCCCGCAGTCCTTTGCGCCTTCCATTCATTTTCGAAGGGAACGACCCCTCGTTCTTACACCCCTCTCGCACCTCCTTCGTTCATGCGTACTTGGCATCGAACAAAATAAAGATGTTGGGTCGTTTCTCACTATTGTGCTCTTTCTCCTTTCCCAACACTCTGAAAGCAGCAATGTGAGGCAATCAATGGGACTGCGAGAAACGAGTACAGAGCGGAAAGGTATGGGAGAAGCCAGTCTGATGCATGCGGATTACAACAAGACAAAGATATTAGCACAATGTCGATAAGAGAGAAAAGAACCCTTCTGCCGAAAGAGGGGATGAAACTTGGTCAGTCCTGACGCATGAAATGATCATGAGGAAAGGGGGCCATTGACTCCCTCGCACCTGACCAAGCTATACCAGACCACGATATCTAACAGCCAAGAGATTTAGTATTGGAAGAGAGAAGATCGTGTGACCAGACCGCAAATCCAGAGACTGAAGTCATGAAACTCGAGGCATGCACATTGCGGTATGAAACCAAGACATTCCCGGGGTTGATCACCAAAAACTTGAAACATGGTACCATACACCAAGAAAGGGATGAACAAAGCTCACATGAGCCTTCCAAGGTATGCATGGCAAGTCACTCGAAACCCAAGGGACGAAAATATTGATCATGAAGTTGAATTCTTGCGATTTGCTTTGGAAAAAGGGGGTATATGAAATATCCAAGCGGGTTTGTAACGTAAGAGTAAAAATCCAAGGAGCTATGCCTTTGACTTTGAAAGAGTAATAATAAGAAAACACATTATACACAGCCAGTGAGCGAATACATGTAAAAAGACGAATTGCAACTCGGAGAGGTGTTTGCAAAAACGGCAACAAAGAAGCAAAAGAACAGAAGAGAGGAAAGCGGGACTACTCCAGAGGGATCGGAGGTAATCCAGTACGATCCCTGAGAGTAGGTGGATCGAGATAAAATTGATGTATAAGAAGTGAAGTTGGTTTTTGCCTCAAACCCTCATCTTGGGAGGGGAGGATGTTGGTCGCCCAGGAAATGTAAAACGCCTCGCTGGAATTATTGGAGAGAGAATTCGACGCGATTGGAGTGCAGATGCAGAATCCAGAAAAAGAAAAGCCCCCAAGTCATGGTTCATGTTGTGTGTAAAAGTCGTGTTGGATCGTTTAGGTAAGAAAAGCAGTCATTCTTTCCAGAGGTCATGACCAGACTTGGTTGGGNGCTCTCTCGCCATTGTCAATCACGTAAGAGGGCTTGAAATGAGGGTCGTGGTGCACAGTGGGTTTCCAGGGTACATGTGTGGCCTTGGGACGAGCGACAGTGTTGGAGCCTTGCATGTCGGCGTCGCAGAGTCCAGCCAAGCTAAAGCAATCTGCGCCGCAGAAAGCATCTGTGATACCACTTNNTGATATCTATTAGTCTGAGACTCGGTGTTTGAAGATTGAATATTGGACTCACCAGAATCCGTATGTGTTGCAGCAGTCACCGAAGCGAGAGCCGATGCAAGTGTACTTGGTGTTACCACCACATGTGCCATCGGGAGAGACGAGTGTCCATGGATTTCTCTCAACCTCGTCCGAGGAGGCAACAACTGCCTGAGGCACCATTTCCTTAGGAAGAGTGATCTCCTTGGGTAGGGCGACGGCCATGGCGGTAGAAGCGGCAACAGCCACAGTAAACAGAACACGAGAAAGCATTTTGGATGTTGATTGTCGAATCAGGGACTGATCAGTCGAGAAAAACGGGAAACCTCGGGGATGAGAGAGATCGATTTCTTGGAAAGACGCAGGGAGAAGGATTCTGGCTGGAGCGGCAACAGTTGGTAAATATGTAAATTCCAAAGTTGTTCGCACAGGGGTGAACTCTTCAGAAAACGTTTGGTCTGATAAAGGGTGTTTGCTAAGCAAGCTTTTGATGTCCTGAAGGCCAGCCCAGATCAGTGATGGAAAACAGATTGCCCAGTTGTGACCGAAATTAACGACCGTTAGATAGCAAAAACAATGCCGTTCGCCAAATCCAGTATTCNNCCAAAAGTTGATATTGTCTCAGCTAAGCGGGAAGTGGCGGNNCTATGAGAGCGAAGACGTTGCTGTCAAAAAGTCTTCTGAGGTCCGGATAGTCCAGCTAATAGCAGATATCNNACGAGATATCTCCNNAAGTATCGAAGTACCAAGAGTGAGGATGCGGTATGGATATGCTCTGTGCAAGCGAAAAGTCCGGGGAAACGCANNACGTTATATGTTGTCTTGGTTTCAACGTCGATGCAGGCCGAGATGATGGAATGTAAAGAAGGGAGTCTTGTCTCGTGCCAGGCGCGAAAGGGAAGAAGCCGACCTTTTAAGTAACGCAGAAAGAAATTGCCCCGAGGCTGCTATCAACCTATCTCTGCGTCTACTCTGGCCACTACTCTTTTCACTTTCATAAGGCGCGACGGCCGGCNNGCGGCGGGGACCTTCGTGAATATGGGCCCAGCCAAGCCGCTTCGGCTGAAGGTTCGACTCGTACAGCTTGGAACGTGGGAATCAAAAATGGAATGGTGGATACGACGGTCACCACACCATTGGTCGAGAGCAACAGGCTTAAACAACNCATCCTGTAGTCAACCAGCCAAGTGAAGAATTGCGAGACCGCCGAGCGCAGAGCGGAAATACAGATTGTCATGCCAATCGGGCCTCTTGCTGAACAGCAATATCTGCCAAAGTGCTTCCCCAGATCTTCTTTACAGGGGTATGTGGAAATGAAATGAGCGGCACATCCATCAGCTCTCGATTCAAGCTTTCCTGATTGAAAGACCCGAACAACAACAATCGATAAACCTGGTGAACACCATGGGGGCCACCGGTATGCAATCATTTTTTTTTGAGTTTGATTCGAATGTTTTTGTGGCAGCATCCCTTTTTAGAAAAAGGGTTTTGTCGCCGAACAAGATCTGCTGCGGGCCGAGGCGCAAAAAAAGAAAAGATGCGCTATTTGCAGAAGTGTCACGAGGGCCGCCTCCCAAGAATCCCTCTCATGAAATCCTACAGTCGGCCTTGCATCAACACCACAATCGTCGCAGCACGTGGAAGAACGAAACAATATAGCACAGCTGAGGGAAACGGGTAACTGCATGTTTCGAAATTTCCATCACACCAAGACAATTTCTGGAGAGAGAATTGTGAAACTTGCTAGCCAGTTTGAAGAAATGCATGGAACGGTCAAGTGTCGTGCGGCTATCAATAGTTGCATCCCCCCCACCAAAGGCTTGTTTTGCCGTCGCGGAGAGGCCAGCTGACTATGTAGAACACGATGCTGAGAAGATGGAAAGCCTTCTTGCCAAGTTTTGTAATGCCGTATGGTTTCCATAGATAGAAAAGACTTTGCACGGAAATGCTGAATTCTAGAGATATTTCCGGATCGTCATGGATGGTGACAGCTAAGATGACAGCTGGGACCGGCATTCCACAACCAGGTACAGGGATGTATACACGCACGGCGACACGCAGAAATCAAGATTGAGTGACGATGAGAGTTCATGATGACATTCAAAAACAACGCTAGAATACTACAACACTTTGATCACGATATCCATTACAACTTGCTCTTTGGCGTGGCATTACGCAATTCAGCTCCGGCTCCAGAAATGCAAAGCTTGCCAGTTTCCTTGACCTTTGTCTGGAACACGACAACGTTGCCTTCCTTCCACATCTCGGTGATGAGAGTTTGTCCAGGCAGGACAACACCAGCAAATCTGACCTTGACGTTCTTGAACTCGCCATATGTCTGCAGCACAGCCTTGCCAGCAAAGCCGAAGAAGCAGAGACCGTGGAGAATGGGAGTCTTGAAGCCACCAACCTTGGAGAACTCGGGGTCAATGTGCAGTGGGTTGCGGTCACCAGATAAACGGTAGATGGCGGCTTGGTCTTCGCTGGTCTTCTCCTCAACCACGGCATCAGGCTTACGCTCGGGAGCCTTGTAGATGCGGGTCGCAGCGCCTCTATCAGTGCCCTTCTTAGGGCCACCGAAGCCACCTGAGCCGCGAATGAAGACAGTCGATTCGTTGTAGAACAACTCCTTGCCTGTGTTCTTGTCCTTGGTCATGGAACCGTATGTCACGACGCCCGCGTTGCCCTTGTCAACAACCTCAACCAGCTTGGGGTAGGCTACCAAGGTGGCCTCAGTAGGGATGGGGAATGTCTTGATCTCGAGGAACTGCTCTCCGTGGAGAAGCATGTTGGGCGAGAAGTTGGGTACGATCTCATCGAAGGAGAAGGGAGGAGATGCGTTGAAGGGAGGAATGACACCAAAGGTGGGGATGACCTGGAAGTTGTCGTCACCTTCATAAACGAGAGGTAAGTCGGTACGCTTGGCTCCAAGACCAAGGTTGTAGAGGATGACATCTCTCTCGTCGTACTTGAACTCAGTACCTTGAGTTGTAGCCTTCTTGGCCTTCTCAATGTTTGCAAGGAATTCACTGTTGTCACCACCCTCCTTCTTGGCAGGCTTGGATCCGGAGCTTCTGTTCTCCATGTTGGCCATGATTGACTTCAGACCATCGTTGCCATCAGCGGGGTGGTCAGCACGACCATCACCGAAGTCAGTGATTCTCTTCCACTGTCCAAGGACATGTTCAGGAGTCAGCTTGACATCAACTGGGAAGCCGTGTCCGCCTGTTCGCTGCCAGCGAGTCTGTGCAGCCCAACCGGAGCCGACTTCGTACAGACCACCAGTACCGGGCTTAGGCACCATGTCGGAGCTGAGAAGTACGACAAGAGGNGCAACATAATCAGGCTTGAAGGCCTGAACCATCTCTTCGGGCATGATAGTACGGGTCATGTTTGTACCAGCATTTGGTGCAATGGTGTTGACAAGAATGTTATACTTTTGACCCTCTCTGGCAAGAGCTCTGGAGAAACCGAGGATACCACACTTGGCAGCAGCGTAGTTGGCTTGACCAAAGTTGCCGTAGATACCACTTGTGCTAGTAGTGTTGACAACTCTGCCGTACTTCTGCTTCAAGAAGTAAGGCCATGCAGCCTTGGTGACCTTGTAGGTTCCTCTCAAGTGAACATCCAGGACCTGGTCGAACTGCTTGTCGTCCATGTTGGCGAAGGCCTTGTCACGGAGGATTCCAGCGTTGTTGACAATGATATCAATGCGGCCATAAGCGTCAATGGCGGCCTTGACGACACCGTCACCGTCTTCTGCCGAAGCCTTGACGCCGACAGCCTCACCACCGAGCTTCTGGATCTCCTGCACAACATCATCGGGGTTCATCAGATCGTTGACAACAACCTTTGCACCGTACTTGGCAAATTGCAAGCAGTAAATACGACCGAGGCCAGCACCACCACCAGTGACAAGAGCGACTTTGCCCTTGAAGTCAGGGTTCTTGGAAGGAGGGTTTGCTGGTAGCTTCTGAGCGTCCTCGAGCAGCTCCATGAAGTTCGCAACTCCGGTAGGATAGCTGGGCTCGCTGAAGTCGTTGACGCCGTCCCACTTAGTGAGCAATGCACCGGGAGTGTAGCTGTCGTCTGCACGCAGCAGAGCACCCTTGGCTCTCTCCCATCGGAGCTTTGCAATGTGACCACCACCGCACTCGAAAATGCTTCCTGTCTCTTCTGTGTTTGAGGGGTGTACAAGGACTGCGACCAAGGGGACGACCCAATCAGGCTTGAGGTTCTCGAGAACATCCGGAGGCATGACGGTTTGTGTCATTCTGGATGCGGCGATTGGGGCAATGACGTTGGCGAGGATGTTGTACTTGAGACCCTCCTTTGCGAGGGTCTCTGTGAAACCGACCTGTGCGAGTTTGGCAGCNTGGACTGTGTTAGCCGGTGATAGGAACTCTTGTGCGGGTGGGTGCTCACCAGAGTAGTTGGTCTGGCCGAAGCTACCGAACAGACCAGCTGCGGATGCTGTGTTGATGACTCTGCCGTACTTTTGCTTTCTGAAATGCGGCCAAGCTGCTCTGGCACACTTGTATGCACCTCTGACGTGGACCTTCATGATCAAGTCCCAATCATCATCTTTCATGTTCTTGAAGCTGATATCTCTGAGAATGCCGGCATTGTTGATCAAAACGTCGATTCTCCCAAAGGCCTTGATGGCCGTGTCGATGATCTTGTCACCATCCTCGACTGAATCGTAGTTGGCGACGGCCTTGCCTCCAGCTGCCTTGATCTCCTCGACCACTACATCTGCGGCCNNTGTATGAGTTGTTAGAGGGGCACTCTACCACCGTATACTTCACGCTCCACTGACCTTTGATGACTTGCCCTCACCCTTGAAAGAGCCACCGAGATCGTTCACGACGACGTTGGCGCCGCGAGAAGCAAAGAACAGAGCATATGCCTTGCCGAGGCCACCACCAGCACCAGTGACAACGACTGTTTGGCCATCGAAGCGAAGGGGATTCGCTGAAGATTCAGCCCCNGCGAGGCCGTAGGAATTGTGTGCCATGTTTGATGGGATTATGTGATTGGTATATCCCGAGAGATGTGTAGAGGGGAAAAAGAAACGACTCGAGGGACAAGTCTACATAAAGGTGAGCAGCGACAGCGCTCATGATCTCCAGCTTCGTCGGTCATTGACATGCCTCGGCCCACGGTAGCTTCACGGTAGCCGGATAGCCACAGTACGATGGTTCTGGCGTCGCGACGGATGCCAGGAATGGCAGGTCTTGCTCCCTCGGCTACTACTTCAAGCAAAAGCGCTCGCAGAGCTCTTGGCTTTGACTCAAAAACTCACTAAAATGCTCTCGAGGTCTGTTTGCTTTGTTTCTCTCCTTTCACATGCCAACTGCCGAAAAAGTGCGGGGATGATGAAATGGAGAAAGAACGATCCAGCACTTGCGAGCGGCCACGATCATGTGAGAGACTTGCACATGAATACGCAACTGTAAGCATGAGAGTCTTCCACCGGTCGAGTACACCACGGGTTCAGCAAACTGTCCAAGTGAAGATGAGATATGAGAAATCACACACAACTTGAATTGGTAGTGCCAAGACGTCTTCCACCCGGTTGTCTGTCCGCATGTCATGTGGGGGTGTTATCTTTCTTTCAGCCCTCGACAACCATCATATCCATCTGTACAGACACAGACAGTGAAGAGACAAAATGGCCGTTGACATCGTTGACGACAAGTCTGAGCACTGTATACCTTTCATCCTTGACAAGATCAAGGCACATTGCGACTATCACAAGAAAGAAAGCACAGATGCCCCACCATTCTTCCNNCTCGGTCTGAACGGAATCCAAGGTGCTGGGAAGACCACTCTGGTAAGCATTGATTCCAGTTCTTCCCTAAGACATCAAGGTTCAAAAGTTAGATGGAATCTCTCATGGAGTACTCTCCAATGTTGGATGGCATCGTGCATTTCGACAGAACATCTAACCAGCTAAACGCCAGNNGTCTCGACTCTCTACAAAACCCTTACATCCTCGCCTCACAACCTACCCACAGTAGTTCTCTCGGTTGATGATCTTTACCTTCCTCACTCAGCCCAGAAATCACTTGCAGACTCCCAACCCACAAATCCACTAATCCAGCACCGTGGCCAACCTTCCACCCACGACATTTCCCTTGGCAAAGACATTTTCTCTCAACTCGCAGCTCGTAAACCAAACATTCGCATCCCCAGCTACGACAAGTCTCTTCACAATGGCCAAGGCGACCGTACAGACCCAGAGACCTGGGAAGTGGTCAACAAGGACGGAGAGCCACCAGTCGAAGTCGTGATTTTCGAAGGCTGGTGTGTGGGCTTCAGGAGTCTGAGTGACAGAGAATTGGTGGAGAAGTGGGAGGGTGCAAAGGCGGCGAGGATTTTCGACAAGGAGGCTTATCATGGAAGACTTGCTTCGTTAGAGTTGGAGCATGTGTCGTTTATTAACGATGCATTGAGGCAGTATGATGCTTTGACCGAGTATGCATTGGATGACTCTCCTGACCCTCGATCTCTGCTAACTTTCGGTAGCTACTTTGGTGCCTTGATCCACATCGATGCTGTCGATACACTCTTCGTTTACGAGTGGCGCTTGGAGCAAGAGCGTGCCTTGCGAAAGGCAAAGGGGACCGGCATGAAAGACAAGCAGGTCATCGAATTCGTCAATGGCTNNGTGAGTTGTCTGAGGATCATAGGTACTTCGAAACGTCCTTTACTGACCCAATTGTGCACAGACTATCCAGCCTACGAGCTCTACACGGAAGTGCTTCGTAAAGGCATCTTCCAGAAGACTGGCAAACAGCTGCGACTAATAGTCAACAAGCAGCGCAAAGTAGAGGAAGTGGAGATACAGTAAGCACATTACGCTCCAAGTGCTTGCTTTGTACATACGGTATATATATATATATATACTCGATTGGACAATGCCAATGTCTTTCTCGACCTGCCGCCAACATTATTTTCGTAACTCAAGCTGCTCTGATTATCCCATCGTTGTGTGCCCAAGAATCCAAGTTGAAGAGTTATGTAGGCTAGGTCAAGACAGCATCTTCGAGACTCTTCTGCAAGGCTGCAGGTACCAAATTACGACCAATGAAGACAATCTTGCCATTGGCTCTGTCAGGAGAGCTACTGTCATTCGAGGCACCGACATCTGCAGCATCGATGAACTCAAAGACCTCGCGCACACCCTGCAGAAGCTTGACTCCACCTTCTTGCATCACAAGACGTCCCTTTGTACGGTGGATCTCTGGTCTCGAGCCCGCAGACTCGACTGACACACCCTCGGCTTCCGGGTGTGAGATAAAGAAGCGTGTCCATAGAATGTTACGCAAGAACGTATCTAGTTTCTCCAACTGGGCTGGGGACAGAGGCGGCAATGTCAACGTCATTGTTGAGATGGCGGGATCTAGATGGCTATGGCCCTTGCTGGCAAAGTCAATGCTGTCGGCGTCCACTTTGTCGTAGGCATGAAGGTCGAGCAGTACGCCTTCCAGTGCTGGAACCTTGCTGTGTTCTGTGACATGAATCTTGGCCAGAGCGTTGATGGACGAGATTCTGGCCTTGACTTGGTCAAGCTCAGCTTCAGAGACTAGATCTGCTTTGTTGATGACGATCACATCTGCGTGTGAGATTTGTAGATGCGCGGTGCTGAGATGAGGTCCATGGGCGTGTTCTGTACCATCCGTTTGAGTTTCCGATGGCGTTGGCTCAGACAAGCAGCGCATGATATTCTTTGCATCGACTAGAGTCACAATGCCATCGAGGTAGATTGTGCTACCCAGACCATCGTCAACCCAGAAGAGAGGAGCCAGGTTTCCAGGATCTGCCAGGCCTGTTGTCTCCAGCAAAATGTAGTCGAACTTTCCACGCTTCTCCATGAGAGATTCTATGGCGCTGACACCAGTGTCCTTGACAGAGCAGCATAGACAACCGTTGGCCAGTTCGAGCCACTCCTCAACTTGCTGGCCTTCTTGGCTGACAGTCAAACTCTTTTCTATGTCTGCGGAATCACCAAACTCTGGATACTGTCAGGGTCTTAGTCCTGAAGGAGCAACATAGATGCGTTCAGACATACCGTTCAGAATTACGGCGATTTTCTTTCCATGGCGTTCATTTAGGATATAGTTCATCAGAGTGGTCTTGCCGGCACCCAGATAGCCNTACATGACGTTAGGCTCACTAACACATGTATGAAGATCGAGCGAAGTCTGGTGAGACTGAAGCTGCCTACCAGTAATGATGGTGATGGGAACTCGGGTCAAGCTCATGTCATCAACTTCAGTAGAGAGGTTTTCAGTGTCGTCTGGCTGGTCGGCAGCGACGAGCATAGGTGGGCCATCATCATCAAAGTCCATATCGGAATCCATTGTTGTTACTATCGGACAGCGCAGCAAGACCAAAGATTGGATAGAATAAATGCTATAGAGATGACCTGGGAGCCCGGGTCGGATGGTGCCGAGCTGAGGGTTGGCTGGCCCCGTCGCGACCAGCCTGTGTTTGGACCTAGACAAACACACATCTTTGGTCGCATGTTGTCCTTTGCGCGAGCACGAAGACGGCCTTTCTCTTGATATCGACTGGATTCCAATGGCTTCCCCGTCCAGCTCTCCCAGGCTACCCAGCCCGCCGCCCATCGCCGAAGACCAGATCTCACCCAGCGCAGGTCTCGACAGCGAAGAGAGGATGCTGGGCGCTTCGCACAAGGCCGATGTCGACGCACAGAGGAGAATCAGGCCTGGCACAAAGGCCGAGGACATGCAAGAAGGACCCCCACTGGTCGAGCTCCAGCAAGTGTGTTGATCTGCCGGCCCTCAACAAGCCAACAACAGCAGCTGACAAGACCTTGTCCAGATCGATTCGGCCTTCCAACTGACCGAGCACCTCAAAGCCCTGCACAACGAGCACACGCAATCATGCCGTATCGCCATAGACAAAGCCACGGCGCAATCGCTAGCCCAACCACCGCCCGGAGTCGACCGTGGAATCTGGTTGTACGAGCTGTGTCGCTTCCTCACACAAAAGGCAAACATGATGGCCTGCGGTCTCTTCGCCGACGACCCTCCTTGCTCGGCTGCCACGTGTCCCGAAATGCGCGCGAGCGAATGGCAGTACCTCTGCGCCGCCCACGAACCTCCCAAGTCATGTTGCGCCATCGACTATTGCTGCCATACTCTCGACTGGTGCGCAACCGCCCTGACGTCTACCAAACTCTTCCCCAGCAGACTCGGCTTGGGCACTGAGACGCTCTCGGCTCAAGCCCAGATCCGTAAGATGACCGAAGTCTTCCGCCGTGTATATCGCATCTTCGCACATGCCTGGTTCTCACACAGAGACGTCTTCTGGAGAGTCGAATCCAAGACGGGCTTGTACCTCTTGTTCAAGACCGTCTGCGACGAGTATCGCTTGATTCCCGAAGACAACTACACCATTCCGCCCGAGGCCGAGGGCATCGAGACCACTCCTGTCGCTACTCGTGCAGTCCCTAACCTCCTGCAGAGAGACTCTGCTGACTCAGAGCCTGTCGGAAACGCCACGCTTGCCACAGGAAATACCACAAAGAGGCACAGACACACCATGAGCCACGATCGGTCTGTGTCTGTTTCGACCGTTATCCATGAAGAGGTTGAGGAGGACGAAGACCCCGAACAACCCACTGGACATGGCCCTCTTTTGCTCACACGAGTCGAAACTGCCCGACACGAGGAGGAAGCTGCTGCTGCACAACAAGCACAAGAACAGGAGAAAGAACAAGAGATACCCGCAGAAGATCCTCCGCCCTATGCAGAAGAATCTGTCGCAGAGCAATCCGAGAAGACACGACCGAAAGAAGAAGAGTCAGCCCCCAACCTCGAGGCTGATGCTGGAGAGGCTTCCACATCAAACTCCACGCCAGATGACGAAATGGAAGACGAACAAACGACAAGTGAATATCCATCAAGCGATCCACCTTCGTACGCAGAGATAGCTTCGGCTGCCAGTACATCGGAGACACCAAACGACACTTCCTCTACCTCTGCTGACAGTGATGAGCCGACCACAGATCCAGCATCTCCTGTAGAGGCAGAATCGACAGAAACATCTGTACAGAACGCGACCGAAGACACGAAGACGGAAGAGACGGAGCTCAAAGCCGAAACAGAGACTACAGAAGTGTCAAAGGAATCTGCAGTCGAGGCAGAGGACGTAACTGCTCCCGACCCCGCAGAGGTTGCCAAAGCAGATGCTGCGGATGAGACAGAGGCCACAAAGACTGTCGCCGACTGATGAAAAGTCCGTCATGATGCATGTATCATTCTTTAATTACATTCACAATAGATACCCTTTGCAGCAGGCATTCGTCAGCATGCTGCTCTTGTTGATAAGCATCCTATTCTTCATTAGTTCCGAGATAGATACAAATCGTACTCAGAGTAGGTGGCCGTGCTTTGAGCACATCTACGTGAGCAACTTGTTATACATGTGGAGATGTAGGGTTGTCAGCAATAAAGGGTCTGGTAGAGATCCACTGTCGCACAGACCATCCGTCTTCCTCCCGATCCTTCAATGCCACCTTCCTATTGTGCTCAAGCCGTGAGGGTACACGGTCGCCGAAGATAGAGGGCGCTCGGTACTTCGGGACAAGATTTCAATCTATTCGACCCGAGTGGTCTGTCTTTCGTGTGAATATTTGCGACATTTCTTCTTTTGTCATCACTTGAACGTTGCATTCGTACGCTTGTTGATGCCTTGCCGGCGGTACCTTGCTTGGAAACTTCAGAAGGCATATAAAGACCCGCGCAATATTTCCCTCGTCTGAAGCGACAAGTCTGAGAGGATTACTGATTTCGAGAATTGTTGACTTCAAGACATATCTTTGATCTCTATCGCGATATTGTTTCCAACCACTCTCCAAACTTACAGGCACAATACCAATCATGTCTGGGAGTAACACCAAAGATGCCTCCGTAGTGGCTTCAGGAGGCGCGGCAACCCATACACACCCAAATCCCGCATCAGCCAGGGCCTACGCTTCCGAAACCACACCTCTACTGGCAGTATCATCAGAAAACCCAGTCACCCAAGCCGACTCGGAAACACTAGAGATCAACAAAATTGGAACCGCAGCTACTACAGCAGGAGAGCATGATGATGAAGATGAAGACAAGCCTCTACCTGTGGGCCAGATTATGCTTCTGTGCTATGCTAGACTCGTCGAGCCGATTGCATTCTTTTCCATCTTTCCGTTCATTCAACAGATGATTTTGGAGGTTGGAGGTGTTAGAGAAGAGGATGTCGGATTTTACAGTGGATTGATCGTAAGTATCAAATCTCTTTCAACATGCTATAACAGCATGAATCTAGCAGACGCTATACAGAGAAGTGGCCCAATCGTAGGACCGCGAAATGCTGACAAGCGTGATACAGNNGAATCACTTTTCTCTCTTACCCAAATGATGTTTATGATCTCCTGGGGTCGTGTTTCGGATCGATATGGTCGCAAGCCCGTTCTTGTGTACTCCGTTATTGGTGTTTNNTCCATCATGACTTGCTTGTTCGGCTTCAGCAAGTCCATGTGGCAGATAATCTTGTTCCGTTGTCTGGCCGGTGTATTTTCTGGCACCATCGTGTAAGTGTCTCAAATCTTACATAGAATCAAGTATACTGACAAACGTGCCAGTACTGTCAGGACCATGCTCTCAGAAAACTCGACCTACAAAACCCAAGCGCGAGCATTTAGTTGGTTCGCATTTTCTGGCAACATGGGCATCTTTCTAGGGCCTGTCATTGGTATGCATTGATTGCAAAACTATGCACTATCAGTCTACTGACAATTTATCTCAGGTGGTGCTCTATCTTCTCCCGCAAGCCAATATCCGCGTCTCTTCGGGGGTGTCTGGTTTTTCGAAGAATATCCGTATGCACTACCCAACATTGTAGCCAGCATGTTTGGCTTCAGTGCGGCTGTTATCTCAGCTATCTATCTCAAAGAGGTGAGTTCACAGAAGGATTCGCCACTATACCGGCTGACCATTATCTCTCAGACTCTGGAGTCAGCAACAGATGATAGCAAACCCGTCGAGCCACCCATGTCGACCTGGCAATTAGTAAGACAACCCGGTGTATCCTTTACGCTATTCCTCTGGTGCTTCGTCTCCCTCCAAGGCCTTGCCAACACTGCTGTCTTCCCTGTGTTCTGGTTCACCAGCATCTCCAAGGGCGGCTATGGCTTCGCACCTATACAGATTTCACTTATCCTAGCCCTTGGAGGCATCTCACAAGCGCTCTGGCTGCTTTTCATCTTCCCACCAATGCAAAGACGCTACGGAACCGGAGGCGTCTTACGCTTCAGCGGGTGGCTCTTCCCTTTGGGTAGCATCTGTAACCCGCTGCTCCAATTCATGCTCAGAAACGGCGTCACAACACCTTTCTGGATTCTCCTTCCCATCACTACAATCGTTGGTACTGGTGCAGCTATGGCGTTTACTTGCGTACAGCTTTGCGTCAACAATATCTCACCCTCGCCCGCTAGTTTGGGAACGATGAATGGTCTGGCTCTGAGTATGGTCGCTGGCATTCGTGCTGTGGCGCCAGGATTGTTTGCCAGTCTGTTCGCTACAGGCGTCAAGACGCAGATTTTGGATGGGTATTTGGTTTGGTTCGTCATGCTCATCATGACTTTGATCTTGTTTGTGACGATCAGATATTTGCCTGCGAAGGCTGAGNGGAGGATTCCCAAGAGCGCTGATGAAGATGATGCTTGAGGGTTTTGGTAGCAGTAATGGTAAGTGATGAATACTTATTTATATCACACAAACGAAGCTTCCACATCCAGAGGTTATCGTCTCCAACGAACAGATCAAGCAAGATCAACCCATCTTCAACCCAGTCATTTCTTGCATCCACATTGAAAAGCTCTTATGAGAGACTCGTTGTTCTCATCAGAAGTACGCCGAGCATGAACTGGATTCACAAAGCTGTCATCGAGATCTTAATTTTCAGCGCCATGACGCGCATGTTCTGCAAAACAAGTCTCTGTTCTCGTATCTCTCGGCTGAGACGTCTTTGACTTTGAGAAGTCTGTCCACGGCTGGCGCTGCTGATGTCTCAGTGCCTTGAGTTGCAGTCGCCACTCATCCGACTAAAGGTCTTCTCCGTCCTCCTTCATCAATTCGCGCATGATCCAATGCATGTCTTGCCAACCGTATTCAAAATGGACGAGCGTCGTACAATTGAAGGTGGCCTTTGTGCTCCAAAAATCTTGCCCTGGACCAATGCCTAGCCTGAAGTGGTCGAACATATCCAAAGCCCTCTCGTCCAGATAATCTTTGGCGAAGTTTCGTGCTGCAATGTTCATGGTCTCTTTCATCTCTTTGTAATCGTTGCTGGTGGCGAATTTGCTTATGAGGGTGTTTTCGTCGCCAGGTATCGTTTCTGTGCCTAGGACTACCAAGTCGGATTTGAGCACTAGGTTGATGCGTATAGTGTCGAGCTCGTATAGTTCGCTGACTGGACCACCGTGTTTGATCTGTTGTCTGATGTCGGCTTTGACTTTGTTTTTGTGTTGAGCGAGGTCGTACTTGATATTGTCTCTGACGATTCTAAGGATTGCGTTGCCAGCGCTCAGACATGTTTTCCAAGACAAGTCGGGATGTAGGATCTGAGTTACAAGAGAAGACCACAGTTCGAGTACGGTGGCATTGTCGATTGTCATGATCATCCCTGGACGCAGCGCGACGATCAGGCCATGGGGAAAGCCTCCTCTGATGGGCACAGGCTTAGGGTACCTTCTAGGCGGTGATGGTTCGCTCGTCCTTTGTCTCTTACGAGGAGGCTCTTGGTCTGGTCGTGATATCTCTTCAGCGGCTCTTTTGCTTCCTATTGTTGGCATGGTTCAATGTTGAGGAAGTTGAGTTGGGTCAGCACAATGCAGGAATACCTTAGGTGCCTCATATAACTCGGCTTGGCACGTTTCACCATCTTACTGAATCCTTCAAGTCCAGGTGTGTTGTTCAGTGGATGGTGATCGTTGCTTCAACTTGGAACGGATATCTTCATATATACAAGTCGTCATGTTGCCGAAGATGAAGCTTCCATTGTCTCTGTTGAGAACTCTTTGACCTATGATTTCCTGGCCCCACTACGTGTGAAAGGTATCTTTGTAGTTTTGATAGTAAAGTATGCTCGAGGGTGGAGGAAGACGTGACTTGGTTGCGACAGGGTGACGTTTTGTCTTGGCACGTGAAACTTGAGTTTGTTAATCGGCAAGCCTAGAATTATTGCAACTCTCCAAGAACAACCAAAATCATCATGTCTTCGCCAGAACAGTCAATACACACATATCACTGCATCTGTACGCAGCTCGTACTAGCCAGCACTTCGACCCTCGAGAGCCTCAAAACCCGCTCCTCCGACTTGTCGCAAATCCTCCCTCTCCCCGACCTCTCTTCAACCTCGACAATCTCGCACTATGCATCGCTGACCAACACTGTCGTCGACATCAAGCCCACTGTCATCCGCCTTGAAGACGGATTCGAAAAGCGCTACTTCCACAAATGTGGCCGTTGCGACTTGAACATTGCCTATTCACTCGACCAGAGCCAATTTGAGGATACAAGAACGTCTTCTGGAGCTAGAGAGGATGTCGCCTTTTTGATACCTGGAGGCTTGATGTCGACTGAGGATATGAAGAGTGGAAAGGACATGGATGCTGAGATCGCCAAGGTCGGTGTCAAAGCTGCTTGAAGCGCTCACACACAAGGCGCACATCAGATGGAGACCACGCCAGTTACACGGCATGTCGAAGACCCCTCACGGAACACTATAGAGCAAGGCTGGGATGGTACAACAGAAGCCAACGACATCGAGAAGTTAGACACGAAAAGCCCAAGGATGGGGATGGATGGACTGAAGATGAAGAGGGCATAGCAAGGGGCATATATGAAGGGCCTAAGAGAGCGAGCGCAGCTCGGCAGGCTTCTTCTCGAGTTGCGCAGACATTGAGATGGGGAACTCCAACCACCTGCGGAGAGGAGACAGTGGCATCACAAGCTCACGGATCGAGACGCATGCCTGTCACCAAGACCTCGGCCGACCACAACTTCTTCGTATCGACATAACTGAGAGTCAAGACACTCCCACCCCTCAACAACCGAGAGGAAGCCAGTGAGACTTTCTTCCTTGCTGGCTTCCTTGGACCGGCTCTTGACAATCGAGCCTCAGTGGAAGGGGGCTGTCTTGGTCATCGGACAATGCTAGAAGTTACCGTTTTTGTCCTGGAGTCAAGGGTCGTCAAGGGCGAAGGCTAGACGATGTCCAGTTCTAGAATGGTGTTTATCAAGGATCGCACAAACGTCTCGGTCGTTGACGCTCGGCGTGTTATCTACAGCTCCGAGGCAGATGCCGAGGGGCATGTTTGTTTCCGCCCAAGCTGGAAAGCCGTCTGTTCGGCCTTCTCCCCAAGCAGCATCCATGTGATGTCCGAAACGGCTAAAGTCTGTCGGGCAAACAGCCGCCGAATGTCGCGGCAGTGCAAGACGGGGATCGCACTTCTTCCCGGTGGGGGTTTGGACGGATACCCCGCGACCACTTTCCCGAACTCATGTTTAATGCCGTCACGCCCTTTATATTCTTTTGAGGCAATACTTTTCTGCTGTCCTCTCCTGCTATAGACGTCTTTGATTTTGCTTCTAATACAAAAACTTCGTTTTCTCACATCCTCGGAAGAATTTATCAGTACCAGAACAATCCCGACAAGAACGAAACACAGATCACACACGATGGGTTTGAAAGATGTTGGTTTCATTGGCCTAGGTGCCATGGGAGGTGGTGTTGCCATCAACCTTGCAAGAGAGGGATACAACGTCAAGGGTTTCGATTTGGCACAACCGCTGGTCGACGCTCTGGTCAAGGAAGGCGGCAAGGCAGCAAAGACACAGCAAGAGACGGCCACAGATGTCGACTACCTCTGCATCATGGTCGCCAACCACTTCCAAACCAGCTCGGCTCTCTTCGACGGCGACAACCCGGCCATCAAGGGGCTTGGCCAAAACAAGACTGTCATCTTGCTGTCAACGACTCCTCCATCTTACCTTCACGAGCTAAGGCAAAAGCTGGATGACGCTGGTAGATCAGATGTCAAGCTCCTCGACTGTCCAGTATCAGGAGGCACTATCCGCGCTGCAAACGGTACCCTCAGCATCTTCGCTGCCGGCAAGGAGGAAGAAGTGGAAGCATCAAAGGACATCTTGAACACCATGTCCGGCAACCTCTACCGCATCCAAGGCGGCATCAGCAGCGGCACAAACGTCAAGACCATCCACCAGTTGCTCGCCGCCACAAACATCATCCTCTCCTCAGAAGCCATGGGCCTCGCCGCCACTGTAGGCCTCAACACCCAAAAAGTGTATGAGCATGTCAAGGCCAACGACGGCACATCCTTCATGTTCGAGAACCGCGCACCCCACATGCTCGCAGACGACTGGTCGCCTCTATCAGCACTAGGCATCATTCTCAAGGACGCAGGCATTGTGACCGCCACGGCTCGCTCAGGATACTTCCCTACTCCCCTCGCCGACTGTGCCGAGCAATGCTACCTCCAAGGTCTGCAAGCCGGTCTTCTCAAAGACGACGATGCAAAACTAGTCACCATGTACATTCCCTCTGGCTCGCCATCGCTGGTCAAGGAAAGCGCGACCGCAGACGTCAAGATGCACTCGAACCACCAAGTCAGTGCCGAGACGGTCAACGACCTGCTCGCCGGCGTGCATCTCGCTGCCAGTGTGGAGGCAATGGCTTTCTGCAAGCATCTGGGCATGGACAGAAAACTCATGTGCGAGATCATCTCCAAGGCTGCCGGTTGGTGTGACATGTACACCAAGCACATCCCTGCCATGTTGGAAAAGGACGATTGGAGTTTGGCGTCGTGTGCTGCGGCTGAGGATGTAAGGAAGAGATTGGAGACTGCTGTGGAAAAGGCGAGGGCGCTTAGATATCCCGTTCCCATGGCTTCGACTGCTTTGCAGCAGTTTTACTTTGCCGGTCTCAGGGATTAGAGGTAATAGTGTATACATTCAGAATCACAAAAAGGAGTATTGGCTCGACACACACCAATAGCTTACTGTGTACCTTGACGCATATCTTCACATTGGGTTTGGTTGAGGAGAAGTCATAGGCGTTTGATGTCATATTTCATTTCAACGAGAAAAAGGTTTAGAGCTCCCAATCATGCATAAGGCTTCCAATCATGTTTTTGTTGCAAGCGATCACCGTCCCAATCTCGCAGCAAGCTATGCGCTTAGTAGCTGCGACCGAACATGACCCACTTCTCAGCCTTGCGCTCACACTTGGGGTTGGTGCACTTGGTCTCGCCCTGGACAAGTCCCTCTGCGGGCTGCTCAAAGGGAATGCACAATGACTTGGCACCCATGGAAGGAGCACGGGCATCCACCTCCTGGCCCTCGATCTTGCCCGAACTGAGCTCCTTGATCTCGTCCTCGCAGTCGGGGACAAGACAGTGGGGAATGAGACAGGTGTTCTTTGCGTTGAGGGCGGGGACAAAGTCCTCCCACTTTGTGATGGTCTTGCGGTGGTCGCGGAACTCGTCAGAGGCCTTGCGGAACATGTCGTTCTGGATGGTCTCGAGGAGGGCGGGGACGTCCTTGCCGAGGTCGGCGATGGGGATCTCGCTCTTGCCGGCGGCGAGCTGGTCGCGGCGGGCGACGGTGACGACGTGCTTGGCGCTGTCCTTGGGGCCGAACTCGATACGGAGAGGAACACCCTTGAGTTCCCAGTGATTGAATTTCCAGCCGGGAGATTGGTCGTCGCGCATGTCGGTCTCGGCGCGGACGCCCGCCTCGAGCAGAACCTCCTTGATGGCGTTGGTCTCGGCGTAGTGCTTCTCACGGTCCTCGGGGGTGGTCTTTGCGGTCATGCCGACGGGGACGATGATGGCTTGGATTTCAGCGACGCGGGGAGGAATGACCAGACCCTTATTGTCACCGTGGGTGAGGATCATGATACCGATGGAGCGGGTGGTGAGACCCCATGAGTTTTGCCAGACGTGCAGCTTCTCCTTCTTCTCGCCCTCCTTGGCGTGAGGATCCTCGACAGTGATGTCGAACATCTTGGCGAAGTGCTGACCCAAGCAGTGGGAGGTACCAGCCTGGATACCACGGCCAGTGGAGGGAATGAAACCTTCGACGGTGGTGGTGTAGTGGGCACCGGGGAACTGCTCGGCCACGGTCTTGCGGCCCTTGACGACGGGAACTGCCAACAACTCGTGGTAAATAGCCTCGTAGTAGTCGAGAATCTGGAGAACCTCCTTGCCGGCGTCCTCCTCGGTCATGTGGGCGGTGTGACCCTCCTGCCACAGGAACTCGCGCGAACGGATGAAGGGCATGGGGTGCTTGAACTCCCAACGGACGACGTTGTTCCACTGGTTGAGCTTGAGGGGAAGATCGCGGTGAGAGCGAATCTTCTTGGAGAAGTAGCCGTACATGGCGGTCTCTGATGTGGGACGGACGGCGAGCCTCTTCTCCAGCTTGTTCTTACCACCCTCGGTGACCCAAGCGACCTCGGCGGCGAAACCCTCGATGTGGTCCTTCTCACGCTGCAAGTTGGCCTCTGAGATGAACAGGGGGAAGTAGCAGTTGCGGACTCCCATCTTTCTGATGCGGGTGTTGAAGAAGTCCTGGATGCGCTCGTAGATGCCGTATGAACCGGGTTCGTAGATGTAGCAGCCGGGGACGTCGGTGAACTCGAGCATCTCGCCCTTGGTGATGACCTGCTGGTACCATTCCGAGAGGTCGTCCTCCTTGGCCACGTCGATACCGATCAGAGCGGCGCCCTCCATCTTCTTCTTTCCGCCGCCTTGTGCGACCTTGGGCTCCTTCTTTTGCTTGGCCTGGGACTTCTGTGCCTTCTTCTGGTCCTTTTGCTCTGTGAGAATGGTCCGTCAGCGGCTGACTATGCGAGTTGTCAGCGATTGGGTAGCGACACACCCTTTGCGTCGGCANGCGGGCTTCTGCTGGGGCTGGGCGCCCTCGACTGTGCCTTCGGACATTGTTGTGGCTAGACAAGTGGTCTTGGTCGCGTGGGTTTATATGTCTTGAGGAAGGAGCGACTGTTTTGTATTGCGACAGGCGGTATCTGAATGCGACAGGAAGGTGCACCACCGCAGCAACAACTTGACTCACTTTTTCGTGCGTGCGGCGTGCCATCCAGACTCAACCTGCCCCACCTTGACCCTGTCCGACGCCAAGATTTACAACCTGCCGTTTCCTCCTTCGCTCACCGCATACCTTCTTCCATTCTTGTAGTAGCATTGATTCTTCCTTTTGTTCTTCTCTCTAGCAAGCTCCTGCAGCCTTTGTGATCGAAGAAAGTTCGACATCTCTCTCATCTCCTGCAATTCCTTCGCAAGCCTCTCGTCCCTCTCTTGTCTCTCCCTTTCGAATTCTGCTTCCCAAGAGTACACAATCGGAGTTTGAGTTGGAGCTTGAGCTGGAATATGTGAATAGCTTCTGAACGCACTTGCCCGTAGACTGCGTATCTTTGGGTGGAGTGTCATCGTTGAAGGCCTGCTTGGTATGCTGACAATCGGCTCCNNTATCGACAGGTTGGGTTAGATTTACCACCGTCACCGTGAATCTGGAGTACACACCTTGTCCCACTGCCGGTAACCTAACTGGAAGACACAGCCATCTTCCCCGTCTCGAATGTCCTCACCGTCGATCCGGATCCAGTCTCTGATTCCGGCCTCGATACAACGATCCGGCCAGATAGCTTCGACGCGAGGATCATCATAGATCAAGGATAGAGACTTCCTCTCCTGTTCTTCGGACTTGAACCTGAGATGGTACTGGTTGTTGTAACCGTCTAGTCGGAAGGCGTAGGTTGATCTGATCAGAACCGAGTTTGGGCTGAAGTTGGTAATCAGGTTGATGAAGATATCGAGGCTGTAGCCCTCTTCCAGTCGAAGCTCCCACTCCAGAGGTATTCTTCTGTTGTAAAAGTTCTTTGTCAAAATCTTACCTTGGTCAGAATGGCTGAGCAATTCTTACCTTCCACCGAAGTCAATCACCTCTGGGTCTCGTCGTTGTAGTTTTGCCCACTGATGCAGTGGCCGCAACTTGTCCTCATAGATCTCGTCGTCGATCTCGTCTGGTCCGGCCGCGATTTCTCGATCAAAGTTACGGAAATAGTCCTGAGGGATCTTGACTACGAACAAAACGCTGGGGTCGTTGCGAATGGCTTTGAGCATCGCCTTGTCGTCATTCGAGGTGAATGCCGTATATCCATTGATGTCCAGCCTGTGCTCGTAAATCGATATCGATCGACCTACGATGCGGAGATGATTTTCAATCGTCTGGTCTTCCTTGAGTCCGACGGCCCACACCGAAGGGCGACATGAATGTGCGAAGGAGCTCAGACCGAGTAACGTGAGCAGAAGGTATGCTAAGGAGAATAGCAGCATTGTTTCGAGTGTTGTGTTGACCAGAGAGGATCAGGACAACCAGCAAAGTAGGATGCGCTTCTTTTGGTGCGCTGGCACCCGTGTCGCACGAGCAAGTGAGGCCGTTTGCATGAGGTGTTCTCACAACAACTATCGCACGTGAAAGTGTTCGGCCGCGCTCAAAACTCTTGGCATCGACCTTCACCTGTCACTATTGCAAAACACTGCCAAGTATCCACAGGGAACCCTTGTACGACAGTAAGGTGAAACTGTCAGCAATGGCACTCATTTCGAGAGAGTCCTTGCACTTGGTGGGCCCTCCTCTATACCAATGTTGCATTACATGTGTTGCCTTGCATGAGTCCACTATCCAAGTATGATCTCTGGGCTCTTCATTTCTTAACACAGCTATCCTTCAGAGTTGTTCGGTGCCATAATCTTCACCTATGATTCCGCTCGAGTAACAAGTTGGTCAAGAGACACGCAAAGTGACGTCCGGCTTCATGAGTGGTAGGTGGTGTATGGTCTACCAGTGAATCAAAATCTTGGATTTGACAGGACCCGGGATCATCAGACTTTACTTTTCATTAATTCAAGTGAGAAGCTGACCTCACTGTCGTTGTCCAAGTGAGAAGGCAGATAGACTCTCCGCTGCATCTAAAACTGCTTCGCTGCTTCTCTTCCTTTCTTCCTTTCCTCCACCAACCACCCACATCCACCTTCGCCTTCTCCAACATGACGAAATCCAAGAAATTTTACGTCTTCATCATGCTTACCCTGCAGCTGCTCTGCTTGGGCTTTCTTGTTCAGGCCTCTCCCTCAACGTGAGTTGCACACAACCCCTTGATCATCTGCTGCATCGTCTAACATGTTCGTATAGAGTGATTCCACACGAGTTTGGTGTCTGCCTGAACGAGAACCACACTCTCGAGGCTCATTTCAAGTACATTGGCAAAGAGCTCAACATCACCCAGTATCTCGACCTTATCGACTGCTACTACATCGATTTCTACAACACAACCAGCACTCATGATCTCGACGAGCAATCAATCCTTGAATTGATCCGCAGTGATCCTCAAGTTCTGGGTGTTTTCCCTAACGTGGCCTTCAGTTTGGATGAACCTGTCAAAGGCGAGCCTCGCTCGCCTCCCAAGTTCCAGGTAAGCTGATTCTCGATCTACTCCACACCATGTGCACAAGTCTTCCTCCCCAGACGGTGTAGAGTGGTATTTCACTTGTAAATATGCACAATTGTTTCCGAATCGGACTTGTGGCCAAGGAGATTCGATGCGATGTCGCTGTTCAGTGAATACCGACCGGCTTCTTGACTCTATTGTGCAATTCTATAGAACACGAGTTACACACTTCTGCATCCGGAGGAGAGCCAACTACATATAGCTGATTCCTTTCTTCAGAATCAATCCTACCTTGCTCCATCTAGAGCTGATTACGAGGTTTGGACACAGTACGACGCTAGCTGGTCTCTCTCGTACATATCGAGTGACCAGCCTGCTCCATTCGAATCAGATTACTACTACATGGCCAGAGGTGGGCAGAGTGTTGACGTGTACGTCATGGATACTGGTTTGGATCCGCACGTCGCCGATCTGCATCCGCATAGATTCTTCACCACCGACAGCTTTGTGCCAGAGGAGCCGTACACTGCGGTAAGTTTTGAGAACCGCACAATTCGGGAGTACGTTACTGACTATCGAAAAGAATGAGCATGGCCATGGCACTCACGTTGCCGGCATAGTTGGCAACGACCTCTTTGGCGTCTGCAAACTGTGCAGTGTCATCTCTGTCAAGACCGCCAATTCCACAGGAAAATTCAACCAGACCTCACTCGTCAATGCCATCAACTATGTGATCTGGAGACACAATGGTAAGATGTTCAACGAGCCCGGCTTCAAGGGTTCCGTGATCAACATGTCCCTTGGAGGCAACGCCGCCGGCGCAGATTACTATCTTCTGAGAGTTATGATCAGAAAAGCATACCAAGCAGGAATCCTCATGGTAGCCGCCGCTGGAAACAATGGTCTGCCTCTAGGGTTCAACCCCGGCGAAATTGAGATCTATCCTGGCGCATCTAACAAGGTCATCACGGTTGGAGGATCGCTGGTCAACAACAACTGGTATCAAGGGTCAAAATATGGCCGCATGGTCACTATCATTGCACCCGCAAGCTGCGAGTCGTACATCTTGGAAGGTCAAACCGCAATCTGGACTGGAACCTCGATGGCCGCACCCCATGTAGCTGGTACCCTTGCTCTCTGGTTGAGTTACGAAGGCATGATCAGTCTAGAGGATGCAATCGAACGTTTGATGGAAAATGCCGACATCGATTACATCCAGAACCTTCCGCCCGACACCCGCAACGCATTCCTCAACACCGGTATTCACAAGGGTGTTCCATACGTCGGCGCTCCTATCAGATAAAGGAGTCCGACAACAAGATTCGAAGAAGAGAAAAAACGACTGAAGTTTCTCTCATCGGCACACACAATCAAGGGACCGGGCATCACAGGAGAAAACTGACTGCAGATGGAGAATGCTCTCTGCAATGATTTCGACACACGCCGAAAGTGGCGGCAGGGGATGATAATGAACTTCTACTTTCTTTTCTTCTTTTTCCTTTGTTACTACCAAGGCCATTCAGATATGGCAGCACATGATACCCAACGATGAGATGACAATCAAGCCCGGTTCTCAAAACAAACAATGACCACTCTTCATACAATACAATATTCGACTAACATTAAAAACAAGCAACAAGAAAGTTTGGGTGGGTATATCGTTCGCAAACTGTCGTGATCAGAAACATAACCGCAGGGCGGACGCAAAAGAACCATCATCATTTTCTCTCAGACAGGCATCGGTCAACCAAAGAAGCGACAGTCTTAAGCCTGCTTTTCAATCTCGGTCAGCTCGACATCGGTGTTGGGCCAGAAGTGGCTGAGGTCGCCGACGGGGAAGTTGATGCCCAGACGCATCTCAGCAGCCATGATGACAAAGGTGATGTACCAACCCAACACTGCGACGACAAAGAGAAGTGCGCCACCGGTCNNTGAGAAAAGGTTAGTTATAACCACCATCATAACAAGAGCAGAGGATAGACGTACGATTTGGAGGGTACCAGCCATAGCATAATCACCAGTGGCAACGTGGAAGTAAGCACCGGCAAGAATGTAGACGGCAATGGCGGCAAAGCCAAAAATACCAGCAAAGATGGCGTTTGTCTTGAGCGAGAAGATGAAGTAGGTGACGAAAGCAAAGCCCCAGACGATAAGGTAGAGACCGATGGCGTTGTTGTAGTCAGGGCTGGCAGCACCTTCGGCGGCATTGCCAGTGGGAGAGTAGGATGCAGCAATGCCGAGAGAAGGAAGTTGGATCATGCCGAAGGAAAGCCAGAAGACGCAGAAGAGCGAGAGAGAGTTCATCNNTACACAGTTATTAGTATGCTGGAGATGTATAGTCGATAGAGTCTGGCTTACGGTGAAGAAGTTGCCCATGATCCACTCGAAGATGGCAGCAAGACCCAGAAGAACGGGACCAGTGAAGAAGAAGATACCAACGACACCAGCAAGACTGCTCGTACCAGCGAAGCCCATGAGGATCATCGAGAAGGTGAAGGTCGAGATAACGAAGCCAGTGAAGCCCATAGGTACAGCATTGGCGAAACGCTTGACGTTGTTGCCATGGCGGGGAGTCTTGGGAGTCAAGTACAGCTTCTCGAACAACTCTGGCGAGATGGTCATGCCGTTGTGAGAAGAGACGACATTGAGGTTGTGATTGTGCGACTTCTCAAAGACAGCGTCCGCTGAGGGTCTGTTCACGTCGGTAGCTGTGGACGACATATTTTCCGATGATTTGCGGTTTCGAGCTGCAGGACAGAGAAAAATGTTAAGCTTAAAACAAGGGGCTATGAGGGATTCAATGCTCTTCTTATAACTGCCACCCGGTGTCTACCTTGACTGCCATGATTGATTGCGTGGTTCGAGAGGGGTTTTTGGAGCCTACACTGATCTGCAGTCAATTTTCCCTGTCAATGGGTTGGTCTCTTGACTTGATTAAGCCCGATTTTAGTCGGTGTATGGGTAGTAGTATAGCCTCTCTAAAATATATGCTAGCGGTCCAGATGCTCGGGATGTAACACGTTCGTCGTCCCCAATCGTCTTGGCCTCTCCACTTGTCCGTGCCCGGTATTAAGAACCGAAACTCGGTCCAATATGGCGTTATGAAGGTAAACCATTGACCTGCCGCATATCAAGAAACGTGGGCTATTTGTTGACACATTGACTACTCGAATATCATACGGGCGATATTTGCATGTTAGTGCGTGATCTTATGTATGGATGTTCGAGAAACCTGGTTAGATACAAAGAGTACCCCCAAGAGAGAGCGCGCACCACATTCAATCGATGCTGGATCTGCTAACACCTCTCCATCTTGGGATAAGTCAAGCACATGGTTTTGATGCTTGTGAGCCTAGGCTAATGGCGCCGTGTGGTCGCAACTCCCATTGATATTTGAAGACTTGTATCCGTCTCGACAACAAACAGGATTGTGCGCTACAAAGAGCTTGGTAGCGAGATTCGAGTCAAGGGTCGTGAGTCGCGACTCAGGGATCGTCAGGGCCCATAATGTTCAATCAAATATAGGTAACCACGAGATAGAGAGATATTCGGTGAGTGGGGATCTGACTATCTCGACAAGCCGGACTTCACGAGATTCGTAAAACATCGCAACAATGAGTGGTGAGTGAAATGTACCTGCAACAACGGTTAAGTAGTGTACATGTAGGAGACTCTCTGATCTACAAGACCCAGTGTTCACTGGGGTTGACTTGAAAAAGTGCGGACGAATGGCTGAAACCGACCACGACTGCCGTTCCTCCTCAGCGACGGAGAGTTGTGCGCGCGGGTGGAGCTTGACGGACAGACGCGCCATAGAATCTAACAAACCACTGACCAGAGCTTGTTGCCGTGTTTATAGCCGTGCGTATCGTCAATTTGAGAGGTGATTTGCAGTTTGCAAAACAGATAGGCTAGCATGAATCGATCAGGTCGGTTGCAAGAGGAGAAATCAACCAGAGCTTTCTGTTCTCGCAGCAGAAACAAGAGTGATGAACCACCGGATGCGGTTGTTGAAGGAGTAAAGGTTCGCCGAGAGTCCTGTGCTCGGTAGTTGGCGGCGTCGGTCAATGTTAGCCGAGCGCATCGATAGAAAAGCGACCAGGGTCCATATTGCTCTCCAGCTATCATTCGTCTACGCAGAGTGTTGAGCGCGGACGGAGATTGAGATATGTGTGTTCCATATAGTACTCGTGGAGACCCGCGGCCCAAGTCGAGGTATCATCCGAGAGGTTGATGGTTTTATGCAGGGCCAGAGGCAAGAACGACCGCATGGCTTCGTGGTCATTCACAGGGTGGCAGAAAAGTCACCGCCTTCCGAGGTTCGACACGGGATCTCTGGTAGCTGATCAACACACCAACGACTACTCTCCAGTGCACACATCGCGAGGTATATTCCGAGAATCTGGACAGACCGCACTAGGTGCGCTGCTCCCATACTTTCAGCCCAACGTTTCTCCAAGTCACACCATGGCCTCCTTGAAGTGGACACGGTGGAGTGGGGGTTTGAATCTGATCTGGATTGCTCCCACGAAGTCATGCACGCTCAACAGTTCCATCTTCTACCCAAGTTCTACCTGTGAACGGCACGCGCAACATCGAGTCCCTGACTGCGTTGTATACCTGTAGCGCTCGGGGCCATTCATGACGGGCGTTCTGTCGCTGTTCAGCTTGACGATGAAGGCGAGCTCTGCATCCCGTCACCCAAAGTCGATGTTCAGCCGTGGTCAACGGTGGTCCTCCCGGTGCTGCATCTGAACTCGTCCCCGAAGATTGCCAAGGATGTTGCAGGCAAAAGAATGTGGGCTCTCAATGTTCCTGAATTTTGTGGCTACCCTTACTCACGGGCGAGCAAATCATACGATATGTCCTCCCTATCTGAACTTCATCTTCCTGTTGTCTTGTAAGAATTCTTCGCAACGCTGCGTTATGTTCGTTTCAAGGAATGCCCATCCAGCTGCAGTACCGGTGCTTGGCTGGTCGTCACTGAAATCGATCTGGCTATCATCCACATACATGCTTAAACATGAAGGACAATGACGATGACTACTACGCCGAGTAGAGAACGTAAGGAAACACTGAGCCGTGCTGGACCGACCTGGTCCGTAGAATGATGTGCTTTTGTTGACCAAAGAGGCATGGATGCTCTGAAAAACATGTAATCAGGATCTGAATTGTGAACGCTGTTCCTGAAGGTTAGTTGAACGCTAACTTCCTTGTGTGAGGTAGGTCGGTATGTACTCCGTAAGCAAGACTTGTCGATGGTGCAGGTTAGCTGCTTGGACTATCACTACATCAGTGGCGTTTGCTTGGCGAAGCTTCCCGTGTAACTCTACCTTCGACCTGTGAGGTTTGTCTAGTACATTTACTCGAAACAGTCTAGAGCAGAGCAGATCTGCCTTGCTCCGACAGATCTGATCGTGAGATATGATCATGTTTGGGCGGCTGAGTGTGCGCGATTGAGCCTTCTGTGGACCGCAGCTCCGCCAGACGCTACGCTGGATGGACTTGCAACGGTAGGTCGCCTTCGTACCTTACTTATTTGCATTTCCAAGATAGCGACCCTTGTCATCCTCAAGCAGTATGTCCGTTATTGCTGTATTCGTGTCGATGCCGAGGTGATTGGAGACAACATAGGCATGCTGATGATGTAGGGAGTACCACTGCATGTCGAGTGTCCCTTGTGCTCCTCTTCGTGCGTAAAGCATCCAGGCTTGGGACACTGAAACAGATCGCTACCTACATAGCTCGTCATCCCGTTGTATGTGCAAAAGTTGTGGCCCAATTGATCGCACGAAATTCAGCAGCCAAGTCCCAGAGAGGAAAGCTCGTCATCCAGTTGCTCAAGTGAAGTGACCATATAACTTGAGGAACCATTCCCACCAGCATCTTTGGCATTCACAAGTTCCCTAAAACCCACACAACACGACTCGCAATAATTGGTCTTCATCATGACTTCGCTCTTCAACCGCATCCGTAACAGCCATATCTTCCAGAAGATACTGCGCGTTCTTCAGTTCCTATCCTCAGTCATGTAAGCCCAAGTATATCCTGCGCTCCAATCTCTCCCTAACACGGTCGTTGCAGCTNCCCTCGGTCTCTTCTCGTCGCGTCTCTACAAGGTCTATCGTCTGGTTCGCAATGTACAAAACTCTTCGGGCGCCGTCGAAGGCATTCTGGCAGCTGCAACAGCCTACACCATCTCCACTCTGATCGTCAACTTCTGCCTCAAAGGTGGCGCACCCAAATTCCTTCGCTGGTTGCTTATCGTGCTCGACCTGCTCTTCGTTGGTGGTTTCATCGCCGTCGCTGTCTTGACTAGACCCCATGGAGGCCTGAGCAGTCTTTGTGCTACACCCAACGCTCGCCAGGATCCCAACAACCGCAACAACGCCTTGTGCAATCTGCCGATTGCGACTTTCGGCCTGGCCATTTTCAGCACGTAAGTCAACCTACCGTCATGCTGCAATGCACAACCACTGACCAGAGATGCAGTCNTTCTCCACGCTATCACCGCCATCTTCCATGAAGTCCGCGATCACCACAAGAACAAGAACTTCGTCTCGGCTGAGAAAGAGATGAAGCGTTCCCACGATGGTCTCCATGACTAGATGGCCATGAACTTGATAGAACCACGAGTTCGAAACCGCATTGACACCTCTACATCGTCGAGCCTCGTAGCTCGATGTTCGCAACTGCTAGAGACTATATCACGACCTTACGGCTACTGTAATATGCTCGTTTCTTGAGAGCGATTAATGACTGCGCTTAATAAAGTTTACGCTACTACAACAAGCATCACTGTTTCCTTATAATGATCAACTTTCAAATCGGAATTGTTTCAGCCTACAATTGCTACTAGTGGTATCTTGTGCGAATGATTGAGGTATCCAAGTTGTGTCGTGCTACATTCTGTGATCGCGACGTCTTGTTGTTCTACAACTCACTTGGTTCTCATCAGCACTTAGTAGCATCTCTAACAGTGGGTATCTTACGGCTTGTACATTTTGTGCTTTACAGTTCAGAATACATGGCCAAATTTGCTCCTTCAGGAGGATCTGATCTTCTCGAGACTCATCATTGAGGTCGATCAATGTCACATTCCAAAAGGTACGAGAGACTAGAAATATTGTTGCAAACCATGGTAGCTGAAATACTGCAGTATATGAAAAGGAAGAGCGAGTTAAAGAGATGCGAAGTATCGAAACTAAATCCAAAACCAAAAAAAAGCAAACAAAAACCGAGGAAACTCTATCATATGCTCCCAGAGCTGCCCCCATCCGCACCCCTGAGTAATCTTTCGGATTCATTCCAATAGTCGAAACCGAGCACGTCAATCAGACCATTTAGTGGAAGTAAGATTGAAGCTCTCTCATCTCCCCATCGGTAAGACCGCTGAACTTGAGGGAGTCGGCACCAAGAGGGATAGGGAAGCCGGCGTTGAAGCTGCCAGTCAAAGCAGTGGCGAGGACCATGCAAGTGGAAGGAACACCAGCAACCTGGAAACCGCCAGGTCCGGCAGGAGTAAAGGAGAGAGTAGCACCGTTGAGAGATTCGCGGCACATGTCGTAGTTGTACTGAGGGATAGAGTCGAGAGGGTCGGTCTGGCGGCGCTCGTGAATGCCGCGGCGGCCGATGGCGCCGCCAATGATGCCACCGACGAGCTGGGCACCGGCGCCGAGGACACCGTCACCGGTGAAGCCTTTGCCGTGGAGACCCTTCTTGGCCTCGACGGAGGTGGCGAAGGCCATGGCGAGAGAGATGATGATGGTGGTGAACTGCATTTTGATGGAAGTGTTGGTGGAAGTTGAGGTGTTGAGGTGTGAATGAAGATGTTCTTGAAAGATGAGGAGTGGACGAAGAAGTTGTTTGGAGAGTGGTGGAAGAGTGGATGAGTTGAGTTGTTTGGTTGCTTTGGTTGTTTGGCTGTTGAGTTGCTTGATGATTTCCTTTTCGACGGACATCAAAGAGGTTTATATATTTTGTCGACTATGGAGTCTTCTTACCAGAATTGAAGAAGTGTCTGCCCATGTTGGTACAGCATGCATCGAGGTGTCCAGAATAGAAGTGGATCAGGTTGGCGTTGGTGGATGAGCCTCCAACAAGCCTCAGGATTCCAACATGCTATACCAGGTGTTGTTAGACAAGACAACGAAAGTGTAGTGTGTTGCTTCCACCACTGTATTCAAGCGAGGCCCACGAGCACTATACTGCAGTCAAAAATAGACCGCTCTGTCAGAAGCATCAGTGCTTGTGTTGTAGAATAGAAAAAGATTAGGAGTGCGCAGCTTTGTCCCCACAGCATCTGGTGGTGGCTGCGCAGTTTTGTTCGAGCTTCATATTTTCTTGCTATGAGGTGGGAGCGCGGAGTGATCGGTCTTTCCTGCATAGCGAGTGCACCATGAATACATTGCTCAGCCGCATGATTTCGAGCTAGATCTACTGCACAAGCGATACACTAAATCGTCTTGAAACATGATTTCCGGTGGAGCCCGATAGACTGCGATACTCTGTCGTTACAACTTTCAAGTCTGAGGTATGCGACACCGTGGTCGGCGATTGTGTCTGGTATGCAGCGCGCCACTCGCGCAACTGCATCAGACGTTGCAACCAATCGATGTTGGAGCAAGCTCAGTATCCACAGATGTCGAAAGGCCGAGCGCGCGCTGTACGTCAAAAAGAGGTCATAGCAAACATCACCAACACCAGTGCATCAACTGCTTGTCAAGACTATGGTCTTACGGACCTGTGATCGGCAGAGGAAGATAGGAAAGTTGCTATATCAGTCTTTGCGGCGCAGAGTGCGGATGAAAGTGGTGGCTGTGTTGCTGGGCCAAGCTGCGCATTCTTGTTCGCGCTTTCTGGCTTCTGCCATGAGGTTATGTTTTGTGACAGGTATATGCTAGATATCGCGGGATTATGCACATTATGCATACTATGCATGAAGGAGTAATAGAACTCGGCGCTAAAGCTGGAGGATCCTGCGACCAACCAGGCCAACACAGAAGGATTCAGGAACAGCATGCAATTTATTTGACGACCCGGTTTCTTTGTAACAGCCAACCACATATTTAGGCGCCCTGCATACTGGGTTCAGTAACAGGCCCCCGTGCGATCAACATGACTGAGAAGGCTCTTCGAGCAGCCCACACCGCTGGGTGACGGGCGTCGACAACAAATAAAACAACATGTCTGCACGCGTCCGAGGATTTCTCATTCCCGGTCGTTCGTCTTGACCTGCTGCCGTCGACTACATCTTATTACTATTTGCTTTGATCGACACGATGAAGTTCGCTACGAGGGCGATTCCCCTTGTCCTCTCTGCTTCCACAGCTCTAGCTGCAGGTACGCTCGAGTTCTCCCTCGGAAGCGAACGACGCTCGCACTTTCCAGACATCGCCGAACGTGATGTGAAAGGCACTTCCGAGTCTGCCTTGTCCACCAATTATGCCAACTCTGTTGGGATGAGATATCTTGTCAATCTCACCGTCGGCACACCCCCTCAGCCTCAAACCGTCTTGATCGATACCGGAAGCAGCGATACCATATTTGTGGCTGCAGATGCATCGTTCTGTTCCGGAAAGTCGAAGAGTCATTGTCCTGGCGGGACGTACAACACATCAGCCTCTTCTACGTTCAAGATGCTCTCTCCTGATGGGATCGACGCACATTATGGCGTGAATGCTACCGCTACTTCGGGCGAAGGTGGTATTGATGCAGATCTGGTGACTGATGTGATCCAAGTTGGGAATATCATCGTTGGCGGTGCTCATTTTGGCGTAGCACATCAGATGGACGGCAAATTCCTCGGCAATGGTGATTATGTTGGTCTCCTAGGACTTGCGAACACGCTTCAAGAGGCTGTCAAACCAGGTCAACCAAAATATCCCACTTTTGTCGAGTCGCTTGTTGGAGCTGGCGCCATCGCTTCGCGTGTCTTCAGTCTCTATCTCAACGAAGTGAGCAGTTATGGCTCTATCCTCTTCGGTGGTGTGGACACCGAGAAATACACGGGTGACCTTATGACCCTAAACTTCCGCCCTTTGGTGCTCACTACAGGTGAGAGCTTGGTTTCATATAGCTTCATGCGCATGGAGGAAGTGTCCATGACACACGAGGACGGCACGCAGACTGCGCTCATTGTTTCCAGCGGACCGAAGCTGAATGTCATCCCTGACTCTGGAACCTCAACCTGGAATGTTCCGACAGACGTGTACAACACAGTCGTCAACATGACCGGCGTCACAGTGTCAGGCTCCAACGCAGCCCTGCCCTGCAGCCAGATCCCAAACAAGACAACCTTCACCTTTACCTTCTCGGGCAACGGAGAGAACAAGGCCAAGCTAGAGGTCCCACTCTCTTCATTCTTCATCCCTGCATCAAGGGCCGACGGCAAAGGAGTCGTGAGAATGGGTGGACAGGATATGTGTCTTTTGATGGTCGCCCCATCCAACCCCAGCTCTGGAGTCCTTCTCATGGGCGACCCCGTCTTGCGTGCTGGCTACTGGGTCTTCGACATGGACAATGGACAAATCTCCATCGCGCAAGCACGTCTCTCGTCCACCTCCTCCAACATCGTCGCCGTGGAAGCAGGCCCCCACGGTATCATGAACGCAACACGCCAGCCCAGCGGTCTGGCTGCCAACCAGACTGAGCAGGTCGCCAAGACTGCCACTGCTTCGGTGAGCTTTTCGCTGTCGACTGCTGCCAGTGCTGTGGGACAGACATCTGGTCCTCAATCTACGGTTTTGAGTGGCGGTGCTGTCGGTTCGATGCTCGATGTCACTGCCATGATGTCTTTGGCCAGCGCCCTTTTGTTGTCGGTCACCTTTGGCGCTTTTTTTGTTGTGAACATAGTCTGTTAGATACCTGCATATGGACCAATCCTTTTGATAATAAAAAATTCTTCTCCCAATACAATAGTAACAGTCTGAGATTCAGTCTCTTGTCTGTACTTGCACGTGGTATCGTTCTAATGAAAATCGATGATCAGATACTGAGGTAAGCTCAGTCAAGGGTGTACGTTTTTGCCCCGATATATCAAGGATCTACCAAGCTCTGAATATCAAATGCGATATAAACGATTTACTATAGAACACGTACAAGCAGAAAGATGGTTCTAGATAAAACAATTGCACTGTAGCACTTACTCCTACTTCTGAGGCCCTAGGGAAAGATATATACATGATACACCAGATATTCAATATTGGAAGAATCCCAGAGCAGGGTCGCTACCCCAACAACAAGGATTTACAGATCTATAGATTTAACCTATACATAGGCTGTGTTTGGTAGGGTTTCTACCAGACTTGACATACCGAGAACGTGTATAATCATGAATCACAGCAATCTCCTCTGAAAGAGAGAGAGAGGACCACAACACACTGAATAATTTGACCAGGATTCCAATGCATTATAATAGCACAAGGGTGTGGAAGAAAAGGCACACGAAGAGAACTCATGTAAGAAAAGTTCATCTCGAGGATCCCGCCTCAAGGTACAAGTATACATCCGATCATCAATATTCTAGATTGCGAATCAACTAACATCTTCCTGGAAAGAACATCCTCAAGCTTGCTGTAGATTACCCTCCCTAATCTCATTCAGCGACTTGGTGAGTTTGTCCAACTTGATGGGTTTCGTCAAGAACAGATCAATACCCGAGACAAATGCCTCTTCCTGCGCCTCCGCAGACCCCAATCCCGTCAGGGCAATGATGGTAGCCGGCGTGATATCGTTACTACGCTCAAACGCTCGAATCTGGCGAGTGGCTTCGAAGCCATCCATCACTGGCATGGATATGTCCATGAGCACGACTTCAGGCTTGGGGGTAGGGTCGTCAGTGTTGCCGAGGGCGGCGGCCTTGTAAGCCTCGAAGGCTTCGAGCCCATTTGTTGCGGAGAGTCTGGCATGGCCGTGCTTTTTTGCGTATGCGGTAATGAGGCGGAGATTTACTGCNCTGTGTTACGAGGAAGGTTAGGTTGATCCTCGAAGTTCATGTAGCGAAGAACTTACGTTGTCGTCGACAAGCAGCAGTGTCGGTTTCGAAGGATCGATCTCGGTTGCCATTTTCGTCGTCTTGACTTGCGTAGTCTTTGTCGTAACAGTCACAGTCGCACGTTGCTCGAAGCCGTCCATAGGCGAGTCTTTGGGAAGCGATGGAGGCTTGTCTTCATGGCTTCCCTGTCTGAAAGGGGCTGGCAACGGCGGCCTTGGTGTTTGCATGTTAGGGTCTTCTGATGGGCGTCTTGCTGGGAAGGGGAAACCAGGACCAGAGGAAGGTCTTTGCAACGAGTTGGCCTGGGGCGTGATAGAATTCTCTGACCAAGAATCATCGCTAGGCGTGTTGCTGAGACATCTCCTGATGGCGGCGGCGATCTTGCGAGGACCGCAAGGCTGTGCCACATATTCGATTTGACCGTGAACCAATTGATTCAACGCCGATTCCTTCAACTCACGTCGAGACCTGCAGTTCCTACAGATGACCAGAAGAGGTTTCGTCCGGATCGCACGCACGGTGTCGGGACCAGCATGAGGCGTCCTCACCAAAGTCGGCTGCAAAAGTCTTAGAAGCTCTGGCACGTCTTCCTCGGTGACCATAGCTAGATCGAAACTGCCAGGTGCAGACCAACTCGAAGGTGACACCATGACGTTGAGCTGTCGACATGTTTTCCGGAGTGTCTCTATCTGGAAGTCACGACCGGCCATGATAGTCTTTNNTTCTCGATGTGGCTCGGTAGGTGCGAAGCCTAGGCAGTGCATGGAAATCATCGTTGGCCCAGATGACAGGGTACGGTTGTGAATGCGCTGCGCATCTCCAGATCCTTTGACGTCGAGCGGCATAGTGACTGAAACTGTTGTGCCAACATCCTTCTTGCTTTGCACGTCGATGTGTCCTCCGAGGTTCTTGACAATCTTAGCGACCATACTCATGCCCAAACCAGTGCCTTCTGACAGGTCATCCTCCTGTGCGAATGCACGGAACAGCTGACTCGTCATAAACTCCTTGGAGATACCCTTGCCACTGTCCGTAATCGTCAATCGTACGCGAGAACGCTTCTGCCTCTCATTTGGAGGCATCAATTTGAGAGAAGCAACAATATAACCCCGCTCGGTATACTTGAGTGCATTGTTGATGAGATTGATGCACAATCTCTTCCAAGCTCCAACAGCAATTACGCAGCTCAAAGATAGAGCGCTGGGGTCGATGTCGGTAACGACCGTGACTTTGCGCTGCTCCAAGGTTTGATTATCCTTAGAGCAGCAAAACGAGTAGACTGCTGTATCGATAACCTCTTCCGTCAATTCATCAAGCAAAACATTCGTCTTTTCAACGACCATGCCTCCAAGTGTTTCGGTCCGGCTCAAGCCACCTGAGCGGTTACGGATCTTTTGATCAAGCTGTTTCCTGTTTTGCTTGGAGACAGAGTTGACCTTCGAGAAGTCGAGCAAATGATCCACCACGTCGAGCAGAGTCTGGCCACAGACTTGGATCTGCCCAATCATGTCCGCGGTATCGTCGTCATGAATTTGATCATGAATGAACTCAGCCGTTCCTAGGATGCCGTGTAATGGGCTGCGCAACTCATGACTGATGGATGACATGAAGTCTGACTTGACCTTGTGCGACATTTCTACATCCAGTCGTCCAATTTTTGCAGTGATGACATCGCAGAACGCTTTTAGATAACACATTTCGGATTCGAGAGAGAAGACTCGAATCGGCGAGTTTGAATACACGATACAGCCAGCATCCCATCGATCTCGGGACATGTTCCAGAGGCCGAGCAGCATCAGACTCCTTGCTTGCGGGAACAGAGCTCCCAACTTCTTGCCAAGGGCAGACCTTGTTGATCTTTTGCGTCTCTGGAACGAGGAGTCTTTCGCGCCACGGCCTGCAGTGGATGTCATAGAAGTGGGTTGCATCTCGACAAAGCTCGATCCGTCCGATGTATGAGTATCGGAAGTGTAGTCACCTTCAGCGCCGTATAAGAAGACTTTGCCGTGCTTGTGACATCTGAGCAGAGATTGTAATAGCTTCTTCGGGATCTCGGCGTGAGGTGGTGTGAAGTTGGCTGGTACCAATCCATAAGACGATCCGAAGATCGAGCAAGGCTTTGAAACATCTTCCTGGTTGTTGGGCCTGTCAAGTGAATCCGTAGCGCTACCAGCTCCTTCCGTGTCGCTAGTCCAAAGCTCAGGCTCACGTCCTGGTTTCGTGTTGTTGATGGCCTCCTCATCTGCTAGTTCTCCAAAGTTTGACATCGAAGCATCGAGAAATAGAACACCGTCCGCACCCACGGCTGTTCGAATGAAGTCTGCAGCGGACTGCATCGCACTACTTGCGACTTGGTCTCGCAGCCGGAGTGGATCTTCTTCCTTTTTCGGAACCAAGCCAGTATTAGATTTTGTGCTGTCTCTGCGTGGCATCGAAGGTCGCACAATCTCGGGTGTCATCGGCACTTTGTTGTTGTTGTTGGTGTCGGCGACAATTGAGTTTAGCGTACGGCCCGTCGTCAGTAGTGCATTTTCGTCTTCCAATTTATGTTGCAGAGTCAACTGTTCGACAATGTGTTCGGAGGACTCCGTACGCTCTGTGTTTGCTATCTCGGTGGCGTGGGCAATGGCTTCCAGTGTCTTTGTGGTGGAAGGAGGTGGCGATTTATTTGGCTCTTCTCGGGTACCTGGTTCGTTCTCCATGAAAGAGTTGAGAGCTTTCACCATCAGAGTGCCTCTACGCTGCTCTGCGCGTGCCTTTAGCATCTCCAGATGTTCCATTACCAAGGAACCCATCTCTTGGACGAATCGTACATCCTTCTTNTTGAGGCCATCTCGAGGTTCGTCGTCCAATATGCTGTTAGAATGTTGTTAGCTTTGGCTTCCTTGTCATACAAGTAATGCTGGTATGTAGCAGCGCTTACCACTAGTTTGGGTTAGCGTGAAATAACATGCTCGCTAGGGAGAGACAACTNNTACAAAAGCACCAATGTTGAAACCTTTGCTAGTTGTTATCGGTACGCCAGCGTAAAACCGAGCTTTGATACCCCCAGCAACATATGGTTGGTCGCAAAATCTTGGGTCCTCGCGGAGATCGTTGATGATGTGGATCTTCGTTGCGTTCTCATCTTTAGCGTTACCACTGCGATTCGTTGGTAAATTGGCGGTATGCTCGCAAACAGTGAAGCCGCGAGGGATCTTGGTCATGCCTAACCAGAGGTCGTCGCCGTTGTCATGAATGTCGTCGTCCTCGAATGAAAGAGTTCGAGTGGCTTCACCGAGGATATATGCATGCTGACTGTCGAAGCAGAAGATCATGGCCCGCCTGGCCTTTAGACGGAGTGCCGCAAGTTGGCAGAAGGCAGTCAAGGCTTTGTCCGTGGAAGAGGTTGGATTGTGTTCTGCAGCAGATTCAGGAGAGACGGGATCGGTCCACTTGATGTCGGGTCCAGCGAGGATTCGGAGCGGTTCGTAGTAGCTAGAAGGAGCTTAATTCTGACGCCGAACGAAAACGTGGATTTGGCTTCTGTCAAACCTGTAAAACTCATGTTCGCGTTTCCTTTCATAACGGGCTCGGTCTTGAGGGCTCATGGCCTCGACGTCGATTGTGGCAGACATGGCTGTTCAGCTCCGAAAGACTACCCCATAGGCTCGTGGACCGGTTTGTACAAAGAACGGTTCAAGACGTGTAGAAGAAAGAAAGCGATACATCCGCCAAGCTGTTCGTTACCGCAAGCGCATGTTGATGGCTCCTGCGTGTGCCAGTCTTCAGATTGCGCTTATCAGGCTGTCAACACGATCAGACCCTGACAGAGGGCAACTGCCAGCCACTGGCGATTCCCGGATATTCATCTTCACATGCTCCTTCAGGTATAGTACCGTGTACGTATACGATAGACGCAATAATGAGTCGGCGATCGACGGTGCGAAAACAATGATTAGGTGGAAGGGCTCCACCTAAGCCTCGGGAGGGGGTCCGCGGTTGCAACTGAAGCCGTCACGACATCCGCGTCAGTACAATGATGGCCTGAGAGAGACCATGTTCTGTTAACTGCCGAATCGGACGAATGGCGTCAGAAGATGGAATATCACGAACGAAACCAGTGTATGAAGCATCTTTTATTGCATGACGACTCAGTGTCAGACAGGCAGAGCCGCATTTTTTGACATCGGTTTGTTCGTAAGCCCCTGACTCGGCGAACAGCCTCCTTCCGATGCTCGGGTACACTTGCCTCGGCACGTTTCCCACGTAATGAGGCTCGTGTCAATACCGGGGGCCTAACGACGCTCCGTGCCTTGATTTTTTCTTTCAAGCGACTACTCCTATTGATGGAATCATATCGTGCTGCGGAGGGTTCTTGGAAGTTGGAAAGAACAACACACAACAGATGAAGATCAGCGAAGGATTCTTCTCCGGTGATCGCGACTCGCGAGTGTTGGACGGCAAATCGTGTAGACGGACAAAACACGGGAACAATGTATTTCGTGAGAAGAGGGAGATATAAAGAATGGCTATGGTGGAAGAAGCACCGGCATGCAGCATAGAAAACGGTTACATGCAAAAACAAGTCAACAAGTGGTCATCCCCATATGTTCATTTAAACGCCTTTCGTTAAATATACAAAGCAGTAGTAGAGTGGGTGGTCCTACAAGCGGCTCTCGAGGCCATCCCACTGCCTCTCACCAGGCCAGTGATCATCAGGCCAAACTTGACGCATGGCTTCCCAGATATGACCAACGTGGCAGATTTCAAGGCCTGAGAGGACTTCTTCAGGCAAATCCTTGACGTCTTTTTTGTTGGCGTTTGGCAACAGGACTTTCTTGACGCCAGCACGAAGAGCACCAATCAGCTTCTCCTTGATACCACCGACAGGAAGAACCTTGCCACGCAGACTGAACTCGCCAGTCATGGCGACTGTAGGTGGAACAGGCTTGCCACTGAACAGACTGACCAGTGCGATCGTATGTGCTAAGCCTGCAGAAGGCCCATCTTTTGGAATGGCGCCACTCGGACAGTGTACATGGATACTGCGACTCTTCATGATGTCCTCACTGGGGTCATGGGTCAATGCCAATTCAAAAGCATGAGCTTTCACCCACGTTAGAGCGACCTCAACTGATTCCTTGAGCACGTCACCAAGCTTGCCAGTAAGTTGCACACGGCCAGATCCAGGCATGTCAGCCACTTCAATGAACAGAATACTGCCCTGACTACCAGAGCTATAGGCGACGAGGCCGGTGACAACACCGGGACGAGATGTGGTGGCTGCAATCTCTTCCTCGAAACGTTCAATGCCCAGAATTTCTTCCAGATCCTCCATTTGTACCGTTGGGTTGTAAGACGACGGGGAGCTAGAATCAGACGCTTCTGCATATGCTACAGCCTTACTGCGACAGACAGAGCCTATCTCACGCTCAAGATTGCGTACGCCGGCTTCCCGTGTGTAAGAAGTGATGATCTTGTCAAGAACATCTTCGGCGATCGCAACCTGATCGTGGTCCAGGCCGTTGGTAGTAATCTGCTTCGGGATGAGATGGCGGTTGGCAATATGTCGCTTCTCGACAGTCGTGTAACCAGGTAACTGGATAGTTTCCATTCTGTCTAACAGCGGTGCTGGTATCGTGTCCAGGGAATTTGCTGTGGCGATAAACAAGACCTTGCTGAGGTCGATGGGAATATTGACATAGTGGTCGGAAAAAGTGTTGTTCTGCTCGGGATCCAGGACTTCGAGCATGGCTGCTGAAGGATCACCGTGGTGATTTGATGTAGCAATCTTGTCAATCTCGTCCAACAAGAAGACAGGGTTTGAGACTCCGACCTTCTTAAGGCCACTGACAATCAAACCGGGCATTGCCGCGACATAGGTTCGACGATGTCCACGTATTTCTGCTTCGTCTCTTACACCACCAAGAGATATTCTGTGGAACTTGCGACCTAGTGCAGTGGCGACTGACTTGGCCAGACTGGTCTTTCCTACCCCTGGTGGTCCTACGAGAAGCAGAATGGGAGACTTGTCCACCATACGCTTCTTGTCCAGAATTTTGACCTCTTCAGGAGTTTGTTCGGGCTTCTTCTTTTCGGAAGTCTCAGCGTTCTCGGACCTGTTTGAAGCATTGGCCTCTTCATTAATCTTGTCGATCTGAGATTGAAGGTTGGCGTTTACTTGTTGCTTCAACTTCAATACAGCCAAATATTCAAGCAGTCTCTTCTTGATCTTGTCGAGACCATAATGATCATCGTCCAACTGCTTACGAGCTCGAGATAGAGTCGCCGGGTCGAGTTTGTCTTCGGTAAATTTGGTCCAAGGAATCTCGGCAAGGTTCTCAAGATAGGTTCTGCAGACTTGGTAATCTGCTTGAGCGGGATTCATCTTGGAAAGTCTCTTCAGCTCTCGCTCGGCGACCTTGGCAGCCTCAGGTGACAGCTTAGCATCGTCGAGGCGCTTCTTCAGCTCATCGATTTCGTTGGGTTCTTCGTCATCGTCAGGTTTACCAAGACCCATAGGTGAACCAGGACGGCTACCAGCCATGCCACCTCCAAATCTCTTGAGTAATTGCTGTCGACGCATACGTGCAGCTTGATCCGAGTCTCCATCATTCTCTGGAACGGCAGACTTGATAGACATGATGCGGTTGTTACCCTGAATGCTCGAGACATTACGTTGTAGCAAATCGACAGCACGCTCGAGGCGAAGCTTGAGCGGGAGGGCGGAGATGATGCGGAGCTTGTCTTCCTGCGAGCACTCGATAATGTTTGTCATGAAATCGGCGAGAACCCCAGCTTCTTGTAGGTCTTTCCTGACGATGAAGAGTTCAAGACGGCGAGCGAGGAGTGGCGAGAGCGAAGTGGGTGGGGCACGTGGTAGTAGAGAGGAGAGTCTGATTAAAGCGAGGAGTTCACGGGAGAGCTGCTTGAGTTCAGCAAAGAGAGCCTGGACCTCTTTGTCTGATTCGTCGACGTGTTCGTCGGTATGTACGGTGACTTCGGCTTCGAAATAAGGACGATCCTTGACGAAGGAGTTGAGCTGGAAGCGGCTTACGCCTTCAACGACAAGAGTGAGTTCGCCTCTTCTCTTTCCCTGGACGCCCGAGACCTTTGCGAGCGTACCGACGGAGAACAGCTGATCTCTAGTAGCCTGAGCTGGGTTGATGCCTGCGATAGGACGTCTGGTCAAGTCTTTGCCATCGTCAAGGAGTTTCTGGCCATCGGAGCTGAGATAGGGAGAGTTGACAGGCAAACATCCAACAGTGATTGAGGTGTGATCAGGAGTTGGGGTGGCAGCTTTACTATAGATGTGTGCGAGAATGGCGGCGATATCGCCACGACCCTGAAGCGGAATGCGGAGAGTGAGGCCAGGTAAGAGGACAGACCCCTCTGCCAAGGGGATTATGGGGATGGTTGTTGTCTTGTTCGAAGTCATGATTGCGGGCTTGCAAAATGGCCAGATACAAACGTGGCCTCCTGCTTCAGAACAAGATGGATAGAGTCGGAGCTGATGGGAAGATAGGATGGTTGATTGCACATGTCATGGAGTCGAAAATGCGGAGGGAACGGGCCGAGGTCTTTTGGTAAACGCCGATCAACGGACTTAAACTGTCTTGGCGGCGAGTCGTGAAAGCGTGAAAGCGTGAAACCATCGACTTTTGCATGCTTGTGCTGACGCCGTCGATGCTTTCGCCTCGCGCATCCTAACCACAACAATCATGTCTCTGAGCAGCTGTATACGCCGCTCAATCGCTGGTCGAACCTTGCCATCATTCACCCGTCCATCTTCCGTGTCGGCCATTCGCCCAGCTGCATTGGCCTACCGTCCATTCTCCTTGTCCGCAAACTTCGCCCACGAGCAGCCACCAGAGAAGCCCGAACATGATGCGCCTGAGTCCATTGCCCAGGGAGCCGAAACTGCCGACGATGTAGTAGCTCCTGCATCCACAGAGCTAGAGGCCGTGCCGTGGTACCTCCAGGTCGACACTCCTACGCCACAGCAAGAGCACCCTTTCGCCGAACGCCAAAAACTGCCCGAACTGCCCGACACTCCTCCCGCCCTGCTCCAACCCATCCTTGAGCACGTCTCGGTTGAACTCGGATTGGACCACCTCTCTTTGATCGATCTGCGCGAACTCGACCCTCCTCCCGCCCTCGGTGCCAACCTCCTCATGATCATCGGAACTGCTCGTTCAGAAAAGCATCTGCATGTTTCGGCTGACCGTTTGTGCCGTTGGCTTCGTACTGAGCATCGTCTGACCCCTTACGCCGATGGTCTGCTCGGACGCAACGAACTCAAGCTCAAGTTGAGGCGTAAGGCCAAGAGGACTCGTTTGTTGAGCGCTGTGGGTGCAAAAGAGACTGCAAGTCAAGACATCGACGATGGCATCAGAACGGGCTGGGTCTGTGTCAACGTTGGCAGAGTTGAGGGTGGTGCTTTGCAGAAGCCTGCTGAAGAGCTGGACAACATCGTCGGCTTCGGCAGTCAATCGTCTGGCTCCAGGATCGTCGTACAGATGATGACGGACGAGAAAAGAGGCCAGATTGATCTTGAGACGCTGTGGAGTGGTATACTCAAGAGGTCCGTCAAGGCCAAGACTGACAAAGATCAAGAAGTCGACGATGCCGAGAAGCGTGTGCGCAGTGGCATGCTGCTTGAGGAATCGGCCGACGTGCCCGGTTCTTACCGCTACCGTCCGCATGCTGCTGACTATCCCAGTGGCCAACAGGCTCGAGCATTTCACTCTTCTGCCAGATCATCAACGCAACAAGGTGCGCAAATCTCCACAGCTCCACAAACAAGCCCTCAATCTGACAATTTCTTGAAAAGTGCCGTCATCCTGAACCATATGGTCGATCATCTCAAGACCATGAGCCCAAAAGACGCTTACCAGGCGCTTGGCATTGGCAGCAAAGACCAGGAGTCTACTCCTTTTCTCCAAGCCTTCTACAGCGCCATGCCTAGATTTCCAGAGACAATGCATTGGCACGCACATATCTTGCTGCATTGCCATGCGGCTCGCTTGGGTCATTGCGGCTACACCTCTACTTGTCTCATTCAAGACTTGGAAAGTATGCGTCTTGCTTGTCTTGTTCCGGACCAAAAGACCTACCTTTCCGTCTTGGAGGCTATCATGTTGCCTCCTCTGAGGGGCATATCAGCTGCCGAAACTCATATCGACCGAACAATACTGCGACGAGCTCTTACTGTCTTGGATCGCATGTTCGAAGACGGCTACGATCCAGTCAGCAATTCGATTTGCCAGATTCTGTATCAGGCGACCTCTACTAGACCTGCCATGATCGAAGAAGATCAAATCAACGTAACTGACGACTCTGTATCAACAAACCAACAACCATCTACACTGCATCAACTCACTTCTGCTCTCTCAGTCTATGCTCTTCGCGCTGCCGCTCAAACGTCCGCTTGGTCTGAATTTTGGGACATGTGGCGCTCCTTTCCTCGTCGCATGTCACCTCGCTCAAGTGACATGTATGTGACCATGTTTGAGAAAGTCGCCGAGAGAAACAGCCAAAAGGATGCTATGGACGCCTTGCGACAATGCGTGCCCGAGATGCCGCGCGAACAGCCAGCCGTCAAACTTGGAGGTCAAGTGGTAGCTGCAATTTTGCGTTGTCTACAAGTTGCCGAACCTCGAGCTGAGAAATTGGCCAGAGAAGGTAACCGCGGTGAATGGGCAGTACTCTGGTTGCGATGTGCTAAAGCTCTGGAGGTGGTATGAGAAGATGTGCGGTAATTCCTCTGTTTCACGACTTGACGACTCTGCTATGATTTGCTTTCCGCAGCATTATATCCATCCCCATACATATGTAATAATAACATTTACTTCTACATTACTCCCGAGTCCCGACCAACAAGCCGAACTCGGACTCGTTCGTCGGCCAAATGTCAAGCAGGGGAACCTGGAGATGTGGAGAAATCGATTCTTCCCCACCACCAACGACCCGTCCCACTTTGCCGTGACGCAAGACCGTCCAGCTAAAGTAGCTTTATACCGCGCGGACATGCCGTCGTTTATAACCGTGAGTGTCTGTGTGTACGGTTGTGAGGCGCGGCTTCTGGGGCCACTAAAGGTACAAAAGTGATTTCGGTCGGCTGCGGTCGAGGTTCTTGTCTCTCTTCTTCTTTACACCACGTTGTCCTGTTGTTCTTGCGCACAGTACTCATTCTTCTTGGACGACTTTTACACAGCACTCATCCTTCTGCTAGCATACTTTGATCCAGCAGTGTGATCAATCAGAGGCTTCAATATGTCGAACGTCAAGGACATGCACATCTGCATTGCCGGCTCAGGTATGCCATCATCTCACCCTTCCTCAAAAACACCCACTGACAAGCAAATAGGCATGGGCGGCCTCGCATGCGCCCTCTCCCTCGCCCGTCAAGGCTTCACTAAGATCTCCGTCTATGAATACGCCTCCTCTCTCGGATTCGTGGGTGCAGGCATCCAACTAGCTCCCAACATGGCACGTATCCTCGACCGCTTGAACGTGTGGGCACCCATCCAGAAAGAAGCTGTGGATCTCAAGGACACTTCCATTCGTCAGGGGTCCAGTGATGCCGAATTGGCCAATGTGCAGTTGGGCTATGTCAAGGAAATGTATGGGTACCCGCACATGGTGGGCCATCGCTCGTCTCTGGCGGGAGAAATGTACAATGGGTGTAAAGAGGAGAATGCGGCAATCACCTTCCACTTTTCGCACTCTGTGCAAAAAGTACACTCTTGGACCCCAAAAGTCAAGTTTGAAGTCAAGCCCAGAGATGGCGAGGCCTTTGACGTGGAATGCGATATTCTTCTCGGCGCCGACGGTGTAAAATCCGACATCCGCGATCAAATGCTCGCTCTCCTCAACATTGATGCCAAAGTCGTGGATTCGGGACAGGCAGCCTACAGAATCATGCTCAAGAGAGAAGACATGGCCCACGATCCCGAACTCCTCGAACTTATCGATGCAGAGAGAGCAACACGATGGATCGGAGAACGACGCCACATCATCGCTTACCCGGTCTCCAACAACACAATTTACAACCTCAGTACCGCACAGCCAGACGTCAATTTCGCTGCTGCACCATCAGCCACCTACACCACCAAAGGCAGCAAAAAGGAAATGCTGGATGTATACTCTGATTTCTGCCCCAAGATCCAGAAAATGCTGAATATGGTGCCCGAAGGCGAGGTTTGCGAGTGGAAGCTGAGAGTGCATGCGCCGTTGCCGACTTGGGTGCATGGAAACATGGCGCTGGTGGGGGATGCCTGTCATCCCACTCTGCCACACATGGCACAAGGAGCTGCACAAGCGATAGAAGACGGAGCCGTGTTGGGAGTCGTGTTGAGCAAGTTGCCTGATACGAGTGCGGAGAGCATCAACAAGGCCCTCAAGGTTTATCAAGAGTTGAGAAAGAACAGAGCAGAAGGTATTGTTGCATTGGCAGCAGCAAATGGAAGAGAGATGCATTTGGGCGATGGAGCGGCCAAGGAGGCTAGAGATGCGGCGTTCAAGGCTATCAGAGATGGGACAGAGGGGGCCAAGGTGCCGGATAGGTGGGCGGACGCTGATGTGCAGAAGATGGTCTATGGGTATGATTGTTGGAACGATGCCGAGCAGCAGTTTGAGACGTTGTTCGCCGCTGCTTGAGGTAGATGGTTGATGTCCATAGTCACGTACGAACATATGATGATTAACTTTTCTTCCACGCCCTCAGTCAAGTCATATTCGGAGAGGAGGGATCAATTTTGCAAGAGTATCTGTGAGCACAGCATATAGAATGCAGCCCATCTAAGCAAGCTCGAGAGTCGTGTAGGTTTTGGCAATCATTTCAGGGTCGTGAGAAGGGGCGATGACAGACTGAGGTATGCTCAAGCACCACCCTCACGCTTGGCGTACTCATCCTCCATGGCCTCCCGATACTTCTTATCCGCCTCACTCTCCTCAGTCACATCCTCAACTTCAGAATCTTGCAGACGACGTTGGCTGTTGGTGTTCGATGGGGCACCCAACTGCTCGCGGCCGTGGCTGTCGTAGTGTCTGGTTTCTTGGATGGAGGGGCCGCCCATGTTTTGTTGGGTTGTGCGTATGGTTGTGCCGTCAGAGTTTGTGTGAGATTGGGTGGAACGGGTGACGCCTGTGGTTTGGCCGTTGTTGGAGCTGGAAGCCGAACTGTACGAGTACGAGGTTGAGGTGAAGGAGCTCGAGTGGCTGGACATGGTTGTGGTGTCTGTTGTGTGGTATGGTGTGTGAGATGTCGTTGATCAAGCGGTCTTGCGAGGTGTAGGCTTTGGCAGGTTCGAGTAGGATGTGAAGCGACTTGTTTGTGTGATGGATACTCTGTAAAACAAGAAAGAACAAAGCGAAGGGCAGCCACTCCACGCTCGACGTCAGCCAAGCTCTTCTTGATCTAATCGCGGGTAGATCCTTCTTCAGCATGGCTGCCGCGATCTCGAAGTGAAGCCTCCCACGCTCTAGAGGACGATACAAGCAGCAAAGGCCCAAGATGGGTCGCTTCCATCCCGTCTACATCCGACGCTCGGATGGCATGCTCGAGACAGCTACCAAGAACGGCGCCAGGATCCAGAAAGAGGCCAACAAGCCCACGCCTAAGCAGCTGGACGACAAGCCCAAGCCCGATGGAGTCAAGGACTACTACCGCGAGGTCGCCATCGACGAGTCCAAGCACATGGACTGGAGGAGGAAGCTGGCTGCCATGCTTGCGCGCGACCTCGGTCTAGATCCCGGTGTGTTTGCGCATTGCGACACGAACCCTCGACGGCACTGACGACTCGTGCAGAGANAAGGCTACATCCTCGCCCACTTCCCCGAGAACTACCGCCTCTTCGAGCACGTCAAGACGGCAAAGAAAGGAGAAGGAGAGCCAAAGACAAAGACACACGCTGGCGGCGGCAACGAGCGTCAAGATGCCTACCTGTACGGCCACCCTCTCGGCCGCAAGAAGCGCTTCAGAAGTCCTGGCGACTTTTATCCACATCTGCTCTGGCTGGCCACCGACCCCGAAGGCGACTCGGACAATTGCGCCTGCAAAATCTGCTGTCCCGAGGAACTCGATGCTTCGATGAAAGAGAGGGAGGCCAACATTAATCCCGTCCTCGCTCGTCGTCCAAGCACACAAACCCGACCGTCCAACACTCCCACGCCCGCCGCTCAGTCTTCGANNCTCCTACCACGCTCCCCAACCGTGTCGCTACTACCCTCGCTCCCCAACCAGCCGCTGCTCCTTCCGAAGCTGTAGCCGCTGCTCAAGCATCCGCGCGTACCGCCAACANAACCCGTCGACTATGACATTGATCGCCAATATGGAATCTTCCTGTTTCGCCAGGGTGAGATGGTCTGGTTCGACCGTCAAGGCGCATGGGGTCTGGGCGTCATCACCGAGAGGTCCAAGGTCGGGAACAGCTCCAACTACAGGATACAGCCTCTCTCTTTCCCCGACCATCCGACTCAGGCAGTCACCATCACAAAGGATCGCGACCTTCGCCCGTGGCTGGCATGGTCGGTCCCTCCTNACACCCACCAAGCTCTGAATCAAGTTACACACCCTCTGCACTATGGCAATTTCGACTTTAACGCCTTGGCTCAAGGAAAGTACGGCCCGGGCACTACTGAGATCGATGCTAGTATCATGGCTGCAAAGGCCATTGACGCCTCATATACTCCCTTTTGCCCTACATCTCGCTCCGAAACTCAGTCATATACTGAGACCCGATGGGATGCCATCTACCTAGGAGCTGAGAAGATCTGGGTCAACGAACCTGTGCGCTTACATACTCCTGCTGGGCAAGAAGCTCCTCGTGTTCTCGTTGTCAGGACTATCGTTGAACGTACGCAAAAGTCTACGCAGCAAGTATATTCTTCAATCTCATTTGTTGGGGAGCTCTACGTCATGCTGCCAGCACCTATGGAACCGATCACCATGAACCGCGCTCCTAACGGCATAGTTGCTGGTTCCGACACAGCCAATGTCCCGCTACGTTTGCTCGAAGACATACGTCGCCGCAATCTCGCCACCATCCATGCCAGAGGCAAGGCTTACCAATGGAAGCTCCTCGAACGCAACAAAGTCGTCGACATGAAGGACGTCAGAGGCAGATGGTATGAGTCTACCTTGTTCCTTCCTATCCTCTTGCCACGCCAAGCAGAGGAGTACGAAGAACGTGTTAGAGATGGCGTGATCCCCGAAGTCCTGGTTCTCATGAACGGTCACGGCGACTGCAACACAGACTCGACTGATAAGCGACGTTTGATTCCAGACGTAAGGGCGCCTACACGCGAACAGGCGTTTGGAAAGGCCGTGCCAGCTCGCACTACCGTCCAAGATGGCTTCAATCGATCTGCAGTGACGCAGCCGCCAGGTCCGCCACAGCAGCAGCAACCATCACGCCTTGTCAGTGGAGGTGGTGTTGCACCCAGCTACCAGGCTCATAACGGACAGCAAAACCATGCGAGTGTTGCGGCTGCGAGTAACAATGCGCCGACGTCTGTATCTGCCGCTCCTTCGGCTCAGCAGGTTACCGAGAACCCAGCAACCGGTTTTGAAGAATTCATGGACTTGGACGGTCTTGGTGGCGCCGACATGATGAGTGGCTTTGATCAGTCTTATGTTTGATCTTTGCATCCTCGCTCCTGTTTTCGTTTCCGATCATTTCTGATTCTGCTTGATCAAACGTGGCGTTCTGTCTCTCTCTTGTTTGCTGTGTGGGAGTCCTTCTGAACAGGCGCATGGCTTCTGTTTCGCGATGGTGTCGAGCGTATTCTATCTGCTTTGGGCGTTTTCTTCTTTCAATAACATCTCGTTTTATCTGGCATGCATCATCATGGCGGTGTAGTTAGTCAACATTGTAGTTTTTAGTCTACCATCTGCATTTTCTCCTCTTCGTCATTGCACTGAGATCTATCCCAAGCGACCCGCTGCTAGTAAGCCGCGCTCCAGATGTATCTCTACGATACTGTAGAACCTGCAAACGGTATACGACAAACGAAATATTGCTATACGTATTGATTCGTTTACGGTCTGCAACGGTATACGATGTACGAGGATTCGAGACCTTTTCGGTCTCCTCTTCTCTCCCATAAGTACATGCATAACACTATTGAATTTATGGCGTGTTTCTGGGCAAAAGGGGGGGCTTTTTGGATACGGTACGCGGATACGGCTGCTTGCAGTTCCGTGTTGAGGTGACTGCATATTTGCTGCATTGGTATCGGAAGAAGAATGCTTCCGAGTGGGAAAAAAAGCCCTAATTCTTCTCCGCTGCTGTGGTGTTTGATCAAAGATAGCATCGAAATGTTGCACGAAGAGGAGAGGCGTGCGTTGCATAACAGCTGATGATTTCTTCTGCTTACGATGCGTGATCTTCTGATGATTGGTTCAAGGCTGGAGCTGTATTCTGTACTGGTACCAGTGCCTTTGCGATCGCCATAACAGATGGCAGATGTTTATATCACGCCTTTCTGCTCTGACGTTCTCCACGAGTTGCGGGAGTGGGTATGAAACGGGCGTACAGGGCAAGCTACTCGGTCGGCAAGCAAGCGAGAAAGTCAATTTCTTGTCGGAGCGAGAGAAGAGGTAGCCCTGATCCTTTTCGACTGTGATTTTCTGCTGGTCAAGAGTGGGTTTCTGGCGTCTTTTGCATGTTTCTTTGTTCCCACCGCTTGGAAAGGCGGCGCCGTCCGTTTCGTGGGGGTGGAGATAGCACAGGGTTTGCGGAAGGAATAGCCGCCGCTGAGGCGGGAGCGGCGGCCGCCAGCCGGGGTGACGGTGCTCTGGTTCGCTGCAGTCAAGGTATCACCAAAACTCCTTCAGCCAACGCATAGCCAAAGCTTGGCTTTTTGCGAGCGTTTCTCGCGAAAGAGGTCATGCATTGAAGCGGAAGGAATGGGGTGAGTGTGGTGAGAAAGAGAGGGCGAAGGAAGCGTTCCCCAGACCAGAGTAGCCATGATGATTCCCGAGCCCATCCTGACTCGCCCATCCCCATCCCCATCTTTCTTCACCCCTCCACCCAACACTCTGGCCGACGGGAAAGAGTTCCTGGTGCGTGGGATTCTACTGACTGACACTCCACGCAGGCAGGCGATCAGGCAGCTCATCTTCGTATCTTGTCCCTGCGCTTGCCGCGCTGCGGCCAACCAGCCACAATATCCATCTGTCGTGCTTCTGGTTTCGTTTGCTTCAGACCGATACACACATCATCCGCCCCTTTTCCGTCTGTATAAGGAAGAGGCTCCACGCGGCGGTACACGCTATTTCCTTATCCACTGGTCATACCTCTCTACGCGAGCAAAGGACGAAGAAAAGGCCGGCGTGCTGCGAGGACAACGAGCGATTCAAGCGAGCACAGACTAGACCACTTTTATCCAGCCTGGCCACCTTTGTGATTTCGCGCCGTCGTCCAACCGCTTGCTCCGCTTTTTTTGATTTGGGGGCTCCAGTTCCAAACGAGTGACCTACTTTGCGTGCTGCAGTGATTGTCCCCGGTTTAGCGAAACAATCTTCCGTTCTTCGCGGCCACTCCCTTTCCCTTTTCTTCCTCTGTTATTTTATACTGCAGCAATGGCCGCCCTTTTCGACATTTGAGATGCCTGGTTCCCTTGGCAGCTTTCCCATCTTACTTTGGTCTTACTCGCTCATCCCACCCGGACATTTGTCTCTTGGTACCGTGTAGAGTACCTTGCTTACTGTCGTTCTGGGAAACTTTTATAATCACCCGCCTCGAACCATATCCATCTGCTTGGGCTCCGACCGCTTGGGTTTACGCGAGATTTGGAACGCCAAACTACTGTTCATTGCTCCAGGCCACCCTGTCTTTTGGATTTGTATCGCTGTCGTACCGGCTTGATCTGATTGCTTTGCTTGGTTACCGCCACGAATATCACTGTCGCTGCGACGGATCCTCCTGTCGTCACGTCTTGACCCAACTCTACGGGATCCGCCTCAGGAACAACAACCCTTCTGCCAGTATGCCATCGTCTCCACCTCCAGACTCTGCCTTTGAGCATGGTCGTCGAGGACAGATCCGCAGATATCTGCAGAAATTCACCACCACAATCCGGAGAGGAAGTAAAGATTCCGATGCGGATAACAACATTCCTCAATCGGGTGCCGAGATAAATGACACCCAGGAACATTCCCATGATGATACATTGTTCATCAACACAATTGATGCCGACCAGCCGCCACCAACACATGATGTCCCTGAGCAGCAATCTCGACCTACCCCACCGGTCACAACTGAAACATTCCACATCGATCGTGCTTCCGTGTATCAGGAGAGGGCTCAAAAATTGCGTGACCGGTATGGGATGAATATTGCTGGAGGTGACCGCTCTACTTTCCCTGCCACTGCTCGCCGAGTTCAAAAGACTGCAAGGATGCGTGTTCACCGTAGCTGTCATGAGTGTGGTGTTGACTTTGGTCACGGCATCCACTGTCGAGCTTGCCATCATAGGCTATGTGGAGAGTGTCCCCGTACCCCAGGACGAGGGATAAAGGAAGCCATGGCTCAAGCGAGGGAGTTTCCTTTCCACGTTGTTTCTGCAGAGCCGACGAGTCCAGACCTCCTCATGGCAGAAGCACCCACCGTTGTCTCAGATCAGGTCGACTTTTTCGGCAACATGCCACCGACCAGTAAACAGATGTCGAGACCTTCGACTTCTCTGGAACCTATCGTCGCGGACGACAGCTTTCTGCCGACATTGGAAGTTGACGACAATATTCCTGACTGCGCTCCTATCCGTATCGCACACAACTCTCTTCATGGCAAGGACAGACAGCCTATTCCCTCTCCACCTCGTTCAAGTCGCCATGGTAAGTTCCTCCGTTCGGAATATCGCGATGATTTTCAAATCCCGTTGATAGTACCATACCCCATTACCACCATCAGGGATCCGATCTTGAGGGCTCCCGGCGGCGTGCAACGTGTCTACCGCAAACCTCGCCAGCGAGTCCGCTACACCTGCCACGAGTGCTCCACACCCTTCAGAAGTCATGGCCGAGAATGCGACAAATGCAGACACGAACGCTGTCTCGATTGCCGCGATAAACCATCACACAAGTCGCAGAAATCACGACCGGACCCAAGGTTGATTGAAGCCGTCAACAAACGCCTCGCCAACGTCGGGAAGTGATGTCTTCTCTTTGCCCCCCCTTCCGTCGTTATCGTTTTGCGATGCATAGCGGCGGGACCGTAGTATGGATGAATCTCATGAACTACTATTTTTTTCTGTTCTGTCTCTCCACACGTAATACAAGCATGCGAGTGTTTTCCTCTGTTTTGGCCACTCCCCCTTCTCGTTTGTCAGATTAATACTGAAGCGGAGGTTTTATTGGTGGCAGTTCTTCTTGTTTAGTTTCACAAGCATGGAGGATACCCCTTGTCTTGTGTCATGAAATGGAGATTTTGTTGTTTGAGTTGTGCTTTTGATGCTCACCGTATGCTAAAGACTTGTCATGATCTGAGGATTGATCGATCCTCTCTCCCAAGACGATTGATGGCAGTGTTGGAGGCTGTGAAATCCACGATTGCTTTTCTATCGGAAGTGTGACCATAGAGATGACATAAGATGGTGTCCTCTCCGAGGATATTGCTTCGTTCTCGAAAGTATTGCGCACTTCTACAACTAGGGTGCGACAATGTTGAACACATAGAGAGTGTGTTCCACCTTCACTTTCGTACCTGTACGGCTCTTTTTCGACGCTTTCACTTGTTTGCAATAGCGCACACACATCAAAGCAAGCTCAGTGAACTTGACTCATTTGAATCGTGCCGCTCACACCATCAACACTGTATTCTTGTCTGTCTCTTCGTGTCTGAGATTCTTGCACTCGCCCTTTCACTTCGACAACAACCACGACTTTCTCAAAGAGTTGTCTCACCTTCTTCTTCCGACCTGCATCTATCGAGCTCGCGCAAGGCAGCCAATCGAACCAGCAGCTTGTGTCTCCCATCTGGGCTTGATCGCATCTTCCTCTGATTGGCTTCCATCAATCGCCATGTCGACCCCTTCCACTCCATCGCAGATGGGCGGCTCCGCTGGCAAAGTAGCCTCTACTCCTGACAAGAAACCGTCGCGGTACGGTTCTATGGACACTAAATCATTGCACGTATATCCTGACATTATTCACAGATAGTCCTACAAAGAGTCAGTCAACCTCATCGTCGGCGCGGAGAAGGAGCAGTACACCATGCACAAAGAATTGCTCTGCTTCTACTCAGACTTCTTTCGCGCAGCCTTTAACGGCTCTTTCAAGGAAGCAACCGAACGCAAGATCGAACTGCCTGATGTAGAGGTGGAGGTCTTCGAGACTTTCCAAGTCTGGATCTACACGCAGGACTTGCCTGAGAATGGAGTCAATCCAAGCAAGGCGTATCGCGAATGGCCACTTCTAGTCAAGCTTTGGATCTTCGGTGACAAGTACCAGATACCACTCCTTCAGAACAATGCTATGAATACTATGCTCAAAAAAGTGGACAAAGACAACGAGACCTGTCTCTACGTCTTGCATCTAGCATACGAGAACACTACCTCCAACTCTCCTCTTCGGAAGGCCATTGCCGACGTCATGGCCTGCAGGGGCAAGATGGACGTGGACAAGCCCATTGTGGAAAATTGCTTCATGAGTTTGTACTGGGCTTTGCAAGCCTGCCTCGATGTTATGGGGGCAATGAAAAGTGGTTGGGCAATCAATGCTTCGAGGACTGTCATGCCTGCGAGGGAAAGTTGTTACTACCATGTTCATGCTGCTGGCGAACATTGCTGATCATACTGTAAGTACTTTGATACTTTCAGCTTTTGACATGCGTGCTTACTCACCTACGGACGCCTCTACAGAACAACTACACGTCTATCCAAGACTTTATCGAAGACAGTGCTGGAATGGAGGGAAGAGAAACATTACACAAGCTCTCAGTGGACATATACCGGTTCCTCAAGCGCTTTCTGCATTTTCATGGTACAGAAGAGAGTAACAGCGATCACGGGAGATATGGGCTGCACACTTTGAAGAAGAAGAAGGCTCGTAGTCAAGAATACATTCAATGACATTGTTGTCGCCATTGTCTACTCTGGTTCCGCAGATATCTACTGTATGTGAAGCAGTGCTATCGTTGACTATAAAGATGCACAATTGCTTTTCAGATAAGAATGTGACCATAGAAATTCTCGTGGATAGTGTCCTCTCCAAAGATGTTGCTCCCGTCTAGAAAATATTGTGTATGTCACACGTTCTAGTGAAGTGCCGAGACTATTCTAGTGAAGGTGACCACAGTGCCGTGCCTTCCACTGTACGCGGCAATCGCACTTCTACTTTCATTTCTATCAGTAACGCTTTCCTACTTGCTTCTCACCCTTCATCACAGCAATCTCTCCCTGTTCGTCTCTCCATCAGCCTCATTTCCCTTTGACCACAGATAACGCAGCTCAACTGTTGAACACCATCTTCGTCTCCTGATCTGTTGTCCCATCGAAAGCGCACCTCTCCAACAAGTCTGCTCGCAGCCATTGACTTTACTCTCACTCACTTCTTTGGGTCTCGAGCGTCTCACAGTATTGCCAACAGTTGCACTCGGACTTGTCTAACATCGCACTTTTCTTCCACCAGCACGCTCGCAGAGTTTCTCGCCTTGTGTCTCTCCATCTCAACATCATCGCACATCATTGAAACATCTCGCTCACATAGGCCTCGCTTCGGTCTTGGTCACGATCAGCATCCCCCTCATCTCAACGTCCATGACTGTTCTACGCATTGTCATACACCGCTGATCAAAACATCGTTATAATGTCGACACCCGATATCGAGAAAGATGCTGGCTCGTTGAGCCCTACTGCTGTCTCTCCTGCCACAGCCACTAAAACTGCATCTGTCCCTTCGAAGGTTCCACCACGGTATGTTCTTGTGTTTTTGTTCCAGTCAACTACTTGTGTACCTAATGCCCACACAGATCCTGTTTCCAGACCATTGTCACCGTTGAAGTCGGTGCTGAGAAGAAAGCCTTCCTGGTTCACAAAGACCTTCTTGTCTTCTACTCCGACTACTTCCATGGCGCCTTCAACGGCTCTTTCGTCGAGGCTACTGAAGGCAAATTATCGCTTGCATGCGAACGTGTTGACGTGTTCAGCGTTATCAATCAGTTCATCTATACGCGTCGCCTTTCTGACNGAAGCAGATCTGACCTTGGTTGGGACCTTCTCGTCAGTGTCTGGATCTTTGGCGATAAACATTTGATGCCATCTTTACAGAATGTGGTCATGAATGCATTGGTTGCCAAAAACGCGAAGCTTGATATCACACCCATCAAGGAGCTGAAACTCATTTACCGCAGCACTGTCCCTGGTTCTNCTCTGCGCAAGTTCGTATTGAACTTGACAGCTTACAAATTTCGTGACATGGTCCGCTTCATGAAAGGGAACGACAAGGATGGGCGCTGGCCATACGAAGCACTAGTGGAGTTGGTGAAAGTCTTGGGAGGCAAGAAGAGAGAGCACGTCGGCATATATCGGTTGCCAGAGGCGTACAGAGCTGAGTGCTACTACCACGTACACCCACGTGGCGAAACTTGCTGTCCAGAAGCGGAGGCCAAGCAAGACAGATGATCCAGATACAAGGTGGATTACTTTTAGCAAATGCAAAAGGCCGAAGTGTCTTTTTTTTAGGGGAAAGAATAGTATCTTCTGCAAGAGGTTTGGATGGAGGGTTCTCTGCGGACAATTCTTCAAGATCAAGCACTACTGTGCTCTTCTATAGCATATAATACCATGCCAGACTTAAGAAGTTTGAAATGCCGCTAAATATGCACAGTAGATGCTTCCGAATAATTGGCATAGCTAAGTCAGCGATATGTGTGCCTTGCATACTTACATAACGATTGACGATCAGACCTCAAGTGTCCTTGTCAGACTCGCCTTCAACATCATCCTCGCCCTCCTTGGTGACACGCTTGCCTTGGACACCTTTCTCGACTTCAGGCACCAAGCTGTCCATGTACTCCTTGTTTCTGCCAACGAGTGTGACTGTGTTTCTGGCCTTGCCCCATCTCGGGTAACTGTCTGTCATCAGCATCACTGCGTTGCCTAGATTCAAACGTTGGATTGCTCACCTGCCAACCTTGATACCCTCAGGCTCAACCTTCTTAGCCAGCTCAGTCAAGTAAGAAGCAACACCACTCTCAGGCAGTGGAGTCGAAATAATAATTCGATAAACACCTTTGCCTTCGGGGTCGGTCAATCTAGGGAGCAGACTTGGCTTCAGACCCGTGAGCATGCGCTCAAACAGTCTCGGCACTCCAGGAAGAATGTGCACGTTTCCATTGACGACAGCAACGGGGACCCAGAGGTCCTCGGCTGTGAAGACGACTTGCTGCTCACTAGACAACTTTTCATCATACGGCAGAATCACCATGCGTTTCTTTGCCTCGAGTGCAGGAGACGGCGTGTTCCAGTCAAAGTTTGGCTGATTGGGGTGAGGTCTGCTGAGACGCTTCATGCGTGAAAAAGTGTCGTCGTGAAGCACCAATGGCAGACTGAAAGCATTGGCAATGCTTTGGTAATTGATGTCGTCGTGAGTGGGACCGATACCGCCAGAGGTAACCACAAAGTCGTAGTTGGAAGACATGCGACGAACTGCTTCCATGATTTCTGATTCTTCGTCGCCAATGACTTCGATGCGCTTGAGGTTTATGCCGAGACTGAAGCAGAATTTGGCGAGGTAGGCGCTGTTGGTGTCGACGGTCTGTGGGTTGATTGTAAGTACTTGAATATCTCGTCAAAATAGTGTGCCACATGGCTCTGAGGATGATTAATGATCACGTCTGTGATACTAGAATGTTTTTGGAAAGAGGGAGGAGAGGAGAAGAAGATATGATAACCAACCTTTNCCACCCAAGACTTCATCGCCAATGATCAGACATGCCGCCGTGTTGATGGTGCGCTGGTTGTTTGCATCAGCCATGATTGCTGGAGTGCTGGAGAGTCTGCTGGTTGCTGCTGCTGCGGAACGATGCAAGTAATTTGGTAAAGGACGACTGAGATGACGTGCCACTTGGTTGATGCGGGAGAACATGTGAAAGTCCTAGAAACAAGACTTTTGAAGGAAAGTGGTTAGAGTAGAAGGAACAACACACCGATGTGCTGCACGAAAGGTGCAGTCAAGCATGTCATTGTCGTTTGCGGGGGGGAGCGATTGCCGGCGGGCGAGTCGTGTTGCAACGATCGGACGTTATTGAGTCTGGTATGACCCTGCTCTTGACTTGGTGTCGACTATAGCTTCGCTATGTCTTGGAAACTTGACCTTTCAGAAGTGTACGAGCATCTCTATACATCGCTTTGACTGTCTTGCTGGCGTGCAGTAGTCTCTGGAGCATGCTGCTCGAGATATCAGATAGCGCATGACATCTTGTGCTTCCTGCTAACAACAGACAATGATGAGGCCAACTTCAATCAAAGATAGCCTTTTCCTTTGAGAAGGGTCGATCTTTACTATCAACCGATGGAGCGATATCAGGTACAAGCGTCTCCCGCCCAAAGTCAAGAAAGAGAATGACCATAATGCCCAAATCTCGTGGTCTTGAGCAACACACATCGGACCCGCAGCGACCAAGACCGACGTCAACGACTGTGGGGCATCGTCAACCCAAAGCTCTCGAAAGGTCCCCGAGACTCGTCACAACTTGACTCTCTTATACTCAACATACTTATTCAAAATGGTATATCCACCCCAAACAAAGCTGAGAAGGCGAATCCGAAACTGACACACTGTACAACCAGGCATCCGAAGCACGCCTCTACACCTTCTCCCCCGAAACCAAAACCGCACTGCGCAAGTTCCGTCTAGGGACTTCGAGGGCAAAGGACCCGCAAGCCGTAATCNTGTAAGCAGCGCACCTCCTAAATCGAATACGAGGGTACACGCAAAAGGCATAACAAGAGCTCGGGAAAGAGAGGATCACAGCACAAGGAGAGGCAAGAGGAGGAGAGCAACGAACACTCAAAAGAGGAACATAGAATGGCTGAAACGACCCTCTACAAGGAATAGACCAAATCGACAAGAAGACTCTAGAAATCTCAAAAGCCGACGATGAAGTCTACACCGACCTGAGCCTGCTGGGCGAGGAGCTGCCCGACCACTCGCCCAGATTCATCTTGCTCAGTTATCCCCTGACAATGGTATGTTGTGCTTGGCCTTCAACTTCTCTTCTCCTTCATCTACAAACAATTAGAGATGGCGAGTGTTTTGCTGACATCGACACACAAACAGNNGCATCCGGTCGCCTATCCGTCCCCTACGTCATGCTATACTACCTCCCCGTCACCTGCAACAGCGAGCTCAAGATGGTCTATGCCGGCGCAAAGGAATTGATGCGCAACCAGGCAGAAGTCGGTCGCATCATCGAGATCGACAGCGTCGAAGAGCTAGAAGAGATTGAGGACCAACTCAGAGGTGAAGAGTAGATTGCTCGTCGGACACGGGGCATGAGGATTTGCGGTGTAGAGGCCCGCGGAAGAGGAGAGCCTGCAAGACGACGATCCCACACCTTGATGGAGTAGCACCGTTGGCAGATCGGCCAAACCCTACGCATACATTCTCCACATGCAATGCTTGACTCAGGATGGAAAAGGATATCGAGATGTTCGGTATAAAAGACATTTGAGATTACATCTAAGAGTGCCAGTTCGTCGCCTATTGAACGCCAATCTTTTGTCCCACCGTGCAGATACATTCGATAACTGCAGAGACACATGCTGTTGGAACAGAGGAAAACAAAACACTTGCAAAGTGCGAGACAGAGGCAACCCAGAACACAAGAGCACGGCCGAGGATAGTGCCAGTGCGATACTGCTTCACACTGGAATCCGCCTGGCCACCGTGTGCTTTCGAAGAGGGCGAGCAGAAGAAGCAAAAAGACTGAGAACCGATTCGAAAGAGCAGACGGATGCTGTCGTCCATTCATTTGTTGTTGTTGTGATTTTTTCTTTGTCCTCCATCTGTGCTGTCATCATCGTTGCCGCCTCTTGTAGACCTTTTTCACGGCATCGTCCCTTCGACGAGCCCATAACGCGTGCGCTGAACAGAGCACCGACCTCTGCCGCTGCTCTGAGGTTGGTAAATTGGTATAAAAGAAAAGATAGAAAGAAAGAGACATGGGGGAGAGTGCTAGGGGGAATCGAACTTGTAAACAGAAAAAAAGGAGAAAGAGAAGAGACAACCCAAAGCTCTAAAAGTCAGATCAAGAAGGGAAGATTAAAAGCTCCAGGCACAAAAAGAGGTTCAGCGAGGGGCGGCGTGCGAGCGTGACGTGCGTGTGAGTGGTTTTACATGACGGTGCACTTGCAGCAGCCGCCATCTGAGTCGCCCTCGTCCATGTTCATCTTCTCGGCAGGGCCGCCATTTGCTCTTGCGCCTGGTGCGCCGCCGGTGATGTCGCGGTTGTATTTGCGGATTTCGCGGACAATGTCGTAGAAGGCATTCTCAACGTTGATGCGGGATTTGGCCGATGTCTCGATGAATTTGCATCCGAAGCTGCGAGCGAGCTCCTTGCCCTCTGCAGGGGGTGTCAGTCAAACGGCCAGAACAAATAAACACAAGAGCGAGGGGTCAGACGCACCTTCGACCGAGACTTCTCTCTCTCCGTCCAGATCGCACTTGTTGCCGACGACGATCATGGGGAAGTAGTCCTTGTCCTTGACGCGCAATATTTGTTGTTGGAAAGTCTTGATCTCTTCAAAGGATTGTTGCGAGGTGATGGAGTAGACGAGCAGAAAACCCTCGCCGGTGCGCATGTACTGTTCTCTCATGGCCGAGTATTCTTCTTGTCCTGCTGTGTCGAGCACATCGAGAAGGGCGACCTCGTCGTCAATGACGCACTGCTTGCGGTATGAATCTNNGTGTGGAGAAGAGGCGGTCAGAACAGAGATGGTGGGCGCGGGGAGCGGCGACATGTACAAACCTTCAATTGTCGGGTCGTACTCATCGACGAAATGGCTTTGGATGAGTTGGATGGTCAAACACGACTTTCCGACACCACCACCGCCGACTACTACGAGCTTGTACTCGCGAAGGAACTGANNCGACAGGTGTGAGCAGGCGCGGTCGCGGCGATAAGACGGCATGGTCGGCACGAACCTTTGAGGCCATTGCGGCGATAAGACACGAGGATTGGGGAGGCGGATGATGCGATTGATGGATGAGCGACGAGAGACGATCGACGGAGGTTGTTGTCGAGTCGAGTGAGAGAGAGCGCGATGATGTTTCGACGTCGGCTGCGGAGAAGGCTGGTTTGGCTGGATCGGGCGTAGAAGCTAGAGGCTAGAGGTCTAGGACTGCTGTTGCTGGTGGGCAAGAGCGGATGGGGGTAGAGGAAAAACGGGCAGCGGCAGGCTTCAACGGTTGATGCAGGCAAGGTGAATGCCGACTTGCAGAAGGTCGAAGGGTCGGGTGCGTGTGTCGTGGCTACGGGCGGTCGCTGGAGCGAGGGACTGAGCGGTGGCCAAGACAAGGACGAGCAGCACGGTAAACAAGCAGCAGGGTCAAGAGATAGACGAGAAAGTCAACGGGGGCTCGGACTGCAGGATATGGCTTTGAGTTGAGCGGCGGACGGGCCTTGACGACTATGGACGGTGCACAGTTCACTTGCAATCAATGAATGGCCGTGAGTCTGCAATCGAGTCAAGCCAAAGGTCAATACTATCCAAAGCTGGAGAAGGCAAGAGCCTGCGCTCTCCCTTTGGCACTCCACGCGCCACTTGATTGGCTGGTTCCGCTAGAATGTCCATCGTTATTTGATTGATTGTTGTCAACAACCACTTTAGCCCGCGCCCTCTCCTGACCCTCGATACCCAACAGGGTACACCCACTCAATCAATCCCTTTGCACGCTCGCCCGCCACTCGCTCCGACCCTCTCGAATATCTCGGCTGCCGCCTCGTCGAGTCTTGCTGCGAACGAGCCTAGGTTGCCTGTATCGCACCTTCCAAACGTCTTCTGTCTTGAGCCAAACAAAGCCACTTTAGGCGTCTCTCCGCCGGCGGGACAACCGCTCACCCCAACTGCCTTGGCCTCTAGAAGCGCCCTAGCCAAAAGCTCCCTTCACCAATCTTGCCCGCTTCCTTTTTGGCCCTCGAACAATTTCACTCTCCTGTCTCTACCTGTACTACTCCATGTCGCATCACGTCCGTGCTGTGTCCATATATCGCTTGACCAAATAAAGAGCATTGATATTGCTGCAAATTCTTCTCGCCTTCTAGCTGTTTTGCGTAGAAACGTGTTTCCTTGCCGCCATCTACTTGCTTCGTCTAAACCTACTGACATCATGTCTCGAGCCCTTTCTCAGCTGTGCAATCCCTCTCCAAGACACCAAGACACCAGCGTCACCGTCACATTGTTGTTCCATCCAGCAAATTTCCCATCGCCGAGCCGTGACACTTTCTCCATGGCGCTTCCAGAAGCCAATAGTGGCGGCCACTCCCTTGTACGTCCGTAACTCTCTGCCGCCGAGCGGCAGCGTGGGTCCAATCCACGTGTGTCCGAGACCACCTCCTTCGCCGACAAGTCACTTGTCTCTGGCGCATAGAACGTGCTTCCTCTGCTTGCTTCTGAAAACACTTTGGCTTTCTTGTTCTTTTAACCGTTATACATGTCTTGTACAGTCCTGAACTCGAGCTAGCTCATCTCACGACGACCTTCTACAGTCTGTCTGCTATCTGCCTGCTGAACAAAAGCCCGATCACAAACTCCTTTTCAACTTTGATCACCAATTGAGTCTCCACATGTCGTTATGTCCAATCTTACAAGATCGCTGGTCGCTGTATGCAGTAAATAAGGTATGCGGTGAATGCCCTCGTGCTTGCTCTCGCATAGTCGCCATCCGGTTGCATGTCACGAACCATTGGGAAATTTCGGCAAGTAGCTGACTAGCACCGCATTGACGCACTCTTCGGTCAACGTCCCGCATGTATTTATCGATTCAACACCCAAAACCTTCTTGATCACGAAAGCCTCGAATGTCATTGTGCATGTCAGCCAATCTTGATTGTATTCCACTTTCGATATTGTATCTTCGGATTTCACAGACGCTTCTTGACCATCACACCGGCTTCCATCTTCTATTCTCTGATCCGGATGCAACTCCTTACGGCACATGCAACTATGTCAAAACGTCTCACTCCGAATCTGGTAGGTTAATGAGATTCACCTCATCGTACTCGCCCGGATGTAAGAAGACTGAGTTGAACAAGCAAAAGACGACCGTAGCTCTCGCGAACACAAACTGCACGTAGAACAGCTCGACCAGATCCCGACGATGATTACACCAACCTTCTTAGAGGAACAGGTCCACCGATAGTGAGCATTCATTTCAGATTTGTGCTGTCATGTCATACCATTCCAGGTTCCAGCATCGGCAATTATCATCATGTATATGGCTGATCTGGTTGATGTCCTCTGCAAAAGGCCGTTATCGAATCTCATGACGTTTAAGAACAACAACAACAAGACAAGAGAATGCCCATCACGCCCAAAATATGCAGGTGCTCTGTCAGTAGATTCAACACAACTGCAACTGCCTAAGATGATGTCCAAGTAGGAAGCAAGGAGCATCTCGCGCTCGACATCTCCTATGACAGCACTCTCGAGGATATCGATCAAGGCAGAACCAGTAGTACAGAAAGAAACTCTCGTACTCTGGCTTTTAGGGAGTTTTCGCTCCTATTTCGTTAAACCCCATCACAAAACTCACTAACCCTCAGTGCTCGCGCATATAAGGATCAAAAAGAGGTGTACGAAGGGGACCTCCCCCCATGCGATGAGACCTTTCGTTGCAAGATCACGATGAAGAGCCTCAGCTTCGCTGTCGTCATCGACGACCCCAGCGCAACTTGAGGACACGAATGTTGGTCCAGTGTATGCATTGATGGGAGGGGATGCTGGGTGAGAGCTTCGTTGATTCTCTCAAGCGCTATGTATTGTGTGGATGGCACCACAAGTCGTCAGTATCTCCAAGGACTATCCGCAAACCATCAACATCCGAATGGCGAATTTGCTAGCGAAGCCATCGCAGCCTGAAGGATTGAGAATAACAGAATGAGGTATGGAGGTTGCTATGTCCGGTTGGCCAAAGTGAGCATAAGCCCCTAGCTTTGGACTAGGACCATATTTATGTAGTATATTGCAGAACCAGTGGGTTATATGTTATACTATGAATCACCGAGAGACTATAGATCCATGATCAGTTCTGACACTTATGATGCATCTTATAATCATTATCCTGTGAATGACCCTGTCCATTGTCAAGCTTCCAGAAAAGGAATCTGACTTGGCCCCAATGTTAGTGACGGAGGACAATCGTCCAATGCAGACACTAAAAGAAGACTGCGACTGCCCTAAACATTCACATGGACTCATAAGTGTAACAGTGTATGGACGAAGTTAAGTGCGACCGCGAAGTTTATTCCCTGGCGAGTGGCGTGCTTCGAGGGTAGGTGTCAGCTTCATGTACCTTGTACCTTGTAACTCCGGAGGATAAATTATGATTCAAAACCTGATAACGTTATTCGTGAAGGTTGTGAGACAGAAGCTGACGACAAGAGTGTAAACATGCTTGATTCAGGTATCGACAAGGGTGTGAATATGCTTAACTCAGCGATCATGTATCAAAGTCTCTGTATGCAAACCCTAACCTCGAAGACATCACTACTTTCCACCGAGCATACCTGTAAACATTTCCAATCCTTGCATTCTGTTGCGTCTTTCTACCTCACTGAGAAGTTCCTCGTGAACTTCATGATACGCCCATTTTGGTGCCGCCCAGAACCAGAACGTGAAGACCCAGATGAACCCGACAATCTTACAACACCATGCAGGCAAGAACGGCCGTATCGGCGAGACAAGCCCAATGACCACTCCTTCCACTGCAATGACGGCGGAATTGACGCAGTAGAAAGAAACATCATCAACAGCCTCGATAAGTTTTCCTCCACGAACAGATACAATCGCGTGAGCTAGACCTGAGATCAGAAAGATCAGGAAAGTTAGAAAAAGCTTTTCAAGTCGGAGACCAGATTTGTGGACATGTAGCTTTCTAGACACCACTTTTGCAAGACCAAGGTAAGGCTTGTGGACCAGACGATGCCAGAATCTGCCCCAGTAGCGACGAAGACTGTAGGCTTCTAGAGGGCTACCGAACATAGTCGGCCACTCTTGAGGCGAGTCGAGACGTAGTATGCCGACAAAGATGATGCCCAGAAAAGTATGTGCGGCATCGACGTCGACAAAATTGAGCCATATCCAGCGGAGAGTGAAGACGATGCGGATCAAAGTTTCGCGGGTGGTAACTGGCTCCCTCGACTCGAAGAAAGGTAGTCGTCGGAAGTAGGTCTGCGCGTAGTGGTCAAAATCCCATGGCTCGACGGGGCCGAAGAGCAAGGGTATCAGGGGAGTCATCAGATGCGCTGTCATTACCCAGTATGCGAGAAGCTTGAGCAGGCGAGAAGCGACAAAGGTAAGCAAAGTCCTCATCGGTACCGGTCCAGCGTCTGGCGCAGAAGTTGTTTGGTTGTGGCCAAGATGGCGCACGTCAAACAGCAATTTATATGCCGCCCTTCGATCCCAAAGTTTCCTGCTCTTGTCTTGCGGCGGTATCTTGTCAATGTACAGCAACACTACAATATGCGATATCCAGATCAACACTGCCAATCCCCAAATCCCTGATAAGGACTCTGGCCAAGTGAATTCGTGGGCAGTTGCAAATGCGCGCCATGCCGGCACGACAAAAACTGGCGCACAGAGGTTTCGCAGGCGTTGTGGGAGGTTCGAGAGGATATAGAAGGATAAGCTTGCGGTCGCCAGATAGGCGATTGGTATTAATGGTGATAGAAGAGCTTGAGATTGCATGTTGTTGGCCTGATTTGGGTTTGCGAGGGTACTTGTGTGGAGAATCCGGCACTTCTTGAGAAGAAGCATTTACTCGCAAATCGAGCGATATTTTGTCCGTCAAATACATTGTCTCGTGCTTGTATCCAAGCACTCAGCCTACCTGTGCTTTGCTTGGTACTATTTTTCATCGCGCTGGTTGCAGGATCACAGTGTTGGTGAGTTGGTGTTGGTGGAGAGTAGAAGAGCGGCCAATGCCTGAAGCGGTTGGTCTCGTCGATTGTGCACACGAAGGATTGATGGTCAGCATATCGTATGATGACAGCACCCCTGTTTCCCCAAGAAGTCGCGTAACAGGTGAGGAACCTCGAAAGTGCTCCGGCAAGCAAAGTCGATGTGTGTTTTGGGCGGAGACCAGCAACAACCAACACAGCCCCTAACCCAGGCCTCCAGTCAGTCACCCGTGTTTCGCTGCGGGTGTGGCAGATCTCCATACGACCTACTGGCAACGCGTTTTACGGCTGCACCATATTCCGAAGGTGCGTTCTCAGTGACAACACATAGAGTTCTCGTTGTCGTTTAGAAGCAAAGATATCGCGCGCTGCGGAATCCGAAGTCGCAGCAAGGGGATTCTGACAAACGCTCGGCTAAACTTTCCCTTTCGGCTTTCCCACCATCCTGGGCAAAGGTCATTTATCAAGCCATACCGGAATGCGCGATGTTATAGAACATAACAAAGCTAATAAAGCAGCAGGATCGCAAGAATGGGAACATGAGGTCAAAAACAGACCTTTCTGAGAGACGATTAAGGACGTGATTTGCTACGAATCGGGCAGACTGGAGTGCTAAGTGGAAACTTGAATTATTAAAGAGTTGCTATATGTACAGCAGCAATGCCACGAGGTGCTTGGGCCGGGAGATGGCTCAGATTAACTCGAGTAGCGAACGCCGATCCGACTGATAAGGATCAGAGGGGTCTGGTTGTTTTGGTAGATGAGAGGTTGTGATGCCACTTGGGTCAGGGACGCAACAGCCAGAGCCTCCCGTCAAGATCGTAATCGAGCTCAGAAGACAGAGCTGAAGACTCCCTTAACATATTGCATGGGAGACCTCTTCTCACCAGGCAACAGATCATCTCCCACAGTATCACGTTCAAGCTCTCTCATGCCAGTGTAAATATCGATATCTCTTGTTCTGATGAACAGCGGTCTGTCCGCTGGTCTGACGAACCAACTGTACACCTTCCAGACCAGGTAGAGGAAGACAAGCAGAGGGCCAGCAAGGTAAGCCTGGAACCATGTCGTAGCGTCCAGGTTGGGGCCACCGACGGGGTAAAGTGCAACGTAGAACTGGGCAAGGAGCGCGAGTACGGTAACAAGCATGACGAAGTACGAGCCCCAAACACCGAAAGCAGCTTTGTAGGGGAGTTCGTCGAGCGAGCGACCGTTGTGTTTCNNCTATTGAGAATTAGTCATGGAGTTGAAGAACAGTACGTATATGACAGCTTACCAGGCTGCACGGAATCTGACGTGCGCAAGACCGATACCACCGTAGATGAACAGAATGGAAAGACCTGACAGTGCAAGAAGCCAGTTGAAAATGTTGCCACCGCCTTCTTTGTCCAAGTTGATGAAGGCGAGGCATCCGAACAGAAGCTGTAGGATGATGACGTTGATAGGGCGACCCTTCTTGTCGACGTAAGCCAGGAACTTGGGAGCCATGCCTNNGGTGTCAAAGTCAGTTTCTGCAAATGATATGTATCAATTCTTGGACGAACCATTTGCAGCCAAAGCTTGGATTGTTCGGGTGGAACCAAACGTGCAAGAGTTCGCGACACTCATGACGGCAATGAGAATGACGGCATTGAAGATGGATGGGAGGACCTTGATGCCAGCAAGCTGGATCGCAATCACGAAGGGTGAGTGGCGAGATGAGGAGCCTGGACCATTGTACGCGTCGCTGTTTGCTGGCACAATCAGACCAACGAGAAGAAGGTTGACGCCATAGAAGATCAGGATACGGAAGATGACCTGCTTCGAGGCTTTGGGGATTTCTTTCTTGGGGTTGATAGTCTCGGCAGCGGCCAGACCAGTGAGCTCAGTGCCGGTGTAAGCAAAGGCTGCCGTGACGAAGACGCTGCAGAAGCCATGGAATCCGTTGAGGAAGGCCGAGTAGGGTGCGTTCNNCTACTAGTACATCAGTTTGTGTGTTCAGTAGCCTCGAATCCTCAGAACGAACCAGAATCTTCCACCGATATAGCCTCTGTCGTCGCTTGGCACACCACCGACATCAATGATGATTCCGAGAATCATGAAACCGATACATGCGAGAATCTTCATCAAACTGAGAGCGTATTCGACNCTGTTCAATCAGTTTCTGTCTCTTCGAATGTGCGGAGGAGAGCTTACCTCGGCGTAACCGCGCACTCCGAAGAATTGAATGATTACCTACAGATCAGATTAATTCTATTACTGTTCCATGGCTAAGGTGGCTGGTACTNNTACCAGCGCGACTAGCAACGGGACAATCCAAGCAGAGCTGTTGATATGTTGAGACCCTGGCCAGTAGTGAATGATATTGACAGCAGCCGAGATCTCGTAGGGAAGGACAGTCAGCCAACTGATGGCATATTCCCAGGCGCAAGCGAAACCGAAGGATGGGTCGACGAAACGACAGATGTACATGGTGAAGGCACCGTTGATCGGGTACAAGACGGACATTTCTGCGAGAGCTTGCATCATGAGGTATCTGNNCGTGGTCACATTAGTTGGGACAGATGTGTTGGGTGTATTAGCGAAGAGCATACACTTGGATACCTGCAGAACAGTTAGCAGGCGCAGTGTGTTTGTTCGAGAAGACCACTCACCAACGATCATGAAGCCGACAAACACAGAGGCAGGACCACCGGTTTGGAATGCACCACCGGAGCCAATAAACAGACCAGCACCAATTGCGCCACCANNCTAGAGGTATAATCAGTACCAAGAATGTTCCCAGACGTGTTGACAGACTTACATAGCAATCATCTGCATGTGTCTGCCTTTGAGCTCTCGGTGAAGCTCGTTCTGGTCGCCAACCACCACATCCTGGACCTCGGGGTCAGTACCGAGTTGGTGGCCACGAGTATGATCGCCGAGTGTGCCATGGTGGGCGTGCTTTTCGCCGTATGATTTGATTTCTTCGTCACTCATGTTTGCGACACACGATCAAGGAGAAAACGTGGCCCAGAAGTGCGACTGCGGCCACCCTTGTTTTGAGGTCTTCCGGGCACTGCGGGAAATAAGCTGCACTGCGGAATGCAAGAATCCGCCAACCGTAACGTTCCAATGATAAGCTCGTGAAGAGTACGCCACCTACGGCTTTGAAGGGAACTTATCTTCGATAAGCCCCGGTCAAAGAAGTCTAGTAGCGAGTCGTATCATATGACCGGCCAATAATCCTACAGATCCTACGTACATCATACAAAGGATTTGGGGGTTATCTTTGTGATACCGTACCTTCTTGACCTTCCTTTTCCGGCCCCAGGATGATCCCTACCTCATGCAAAGATACGATGATGACCATCCATCGGTCCTTGGTGCTCGCTACCTGGTCGCATACCAAGAAGCGCCTCACTTAACAGTTGATGAAGCTCACTCGTTTGGACGTCTGGCTGCGTTGTCTTTGTAATGAGAGAGGTCTATCGCGAAAGATTGCTCAACACAATGCGATTGGCTCGGCGTCTGGGGGACACGTGAGGGGAAATATGGGGGCGATAACCTTAAGCTTCTGGCCAATCAATGATCAGCAGAGTCTAGACTCGGATGTAGATCTTCTCTGCATAACTTCTAGCTACTTTTATGCATACCAACTATCATGGCCTACAGATATATATATATGCCTATCCGCTACGACATTGACTGCTAATCAATCTTATACGAAGTGCAATCTGACATGGAAATGAAACAGCTTCAATCGATTCAACGATGTGCGGTGAAACTACAAACAGATCAGAGTATAGTTGATTCCATTTGTTGATCTATGTAGTTCTACTAGGGGACCGAAACAGCTGATCTCACATCGGTCCTACTGGTGTGTCTTCTTGTTATGGTGCTTGAAGGTCTCCAGCAGTTTTCGAGCGCATAGCAAGTTTGAGTCATCAGGACTCATAGCAGGGCATGACTCATGCGCTGGCTGCTTTCGCTCTTTATCAGTCAGACAACTTCCAGTGGTTCACCGATTCCATCCCATCCGCAGACACCATCTAAATTGCTTCTCAAGATCAAACATCCGCAACAAGGAACGCAAGCTCTTGCGATACTAGAACTGACACATATAATGAAGCCCTCACTGTGCCTTCTCGCAGCTGTCGCTACCGTGGTTCTTGCCAGACCAGTGAAGAGGACCGAGAACTCTGCAACTGGTGTCGTTGGTGTCACATCATCATCGACTCTCCCCTCAGCCAGCTCCAACAGGGCGACATCCAATATGACGAAGAAAGGCATCGGCGATTTCCTCAACGGTGTATTCGGCCACGTCAATCCAACATGCGATACATCAACATGCCGGTGTTGTATGATCATGATCGCAACCTGTTGGGATATGCCTATGTGCACGAAACCTTCGTATCCTAACTCTGACCACGAATTTGTACCGAGCAAGGATCCACCAAAGACCGTGCAACCAGGAAAGACCATTGAAGGAGTTTCTTGTCTTCCTCGTGGAGGTGGATGTTTTCGCGGCGATGAGTCGCCTATAGATGATGGCTTCTAGTAAGAGGTCGAGAAAGACAGCTTGGAACAAGGGCCTACTTGAGGAAGGAAGGAAGGGCATTTGGTTGCTTCTCTGAGCAATACGGCATGCCACACAATTGCAACTTGAAAAGCAATCGACCCGCAGGTCTCGGACATCTCAACCTGGGACTGAATCAAGTCTAGTCCTAGTTTGAAGCATGCGTATATACGTGCATCAAGGCAGACAGAACAACCATAAGCCTTTGAACCTCGGGTATAGCAGACGCAAAGGTGAAAACATGTCAAAGAATCGGTGAATTGACACGCCGATTCTCCACTCTCCTCTGCCAAGACTCCTCCGCCAACTCCCCCATCTCTCTACAAGAAATTCGCATCTCACTTTCATTATTCTTTTGAATCAAGTCCTCATCCCAAGATTCCTGAAGCAGACATCAACTCCTAATTTCGCAGGATCTCGGAGTCGCCGAAACACTCAATCGAGGCTCTCAGCCTCAGCCGTTGATCGGGAGCAAGCAATAGTGTCTGTCTTGACTCGGCAAAACCATCTTGTCATATTATGGCATTTTACTTTCTACTCGTCTTGCCGCAGTGGGAATTCCTAGGGCCTACGATCTGGACCGACTCTGGAATTGAGAATTACCAAAGCCTTCCATCACTTCTATCCGTTGTTTGTGTGGAAATTCCACCACCGTTGCGAGCTTCTGCCCGTTTGCCGAACCGTAGTCTCAACACCTTACTGTGATTAGCCGAAACGACTAAGACAAAAGTCCACAGGCATGTTCATGAAACTACAAGACGACGATGTGACCGCTTTGTTTGGATCATGTCCCTTCCCTCTCTCGAGTTGCAGTCTGCGAGATGTGGTCTCAGTCCTCTATGTACCTGCTTTCTATTCTTGGACTCGCTCTAAGTGTATCATCCACTCCCATTGAAGAACGTGCCACACCACGGTGTACTGCCAGAGACCTCGCCATCGTCAGACGTACCGTCATTGACCCTGTCTTCTTTTGCAAGTGGTGGCAAGAAGAGTAAGAATAGTCTTCTCCGCACCATCGACTTCACTGCTTCCTAACACAGAGCCATAGCACCCGCACTAGAACCCCATTCCTTGAATTTACAGTGTCCGATGTCAACAATCTCTGTGCATGCATCGCTCCCAGATCAAATGTCAAGTCCACCAAGCACAAGCGCGCACCACTCGCTGAAGCTTCTCTTCTCGGCAAGCGCTCAACCACTACTGAAGCTTGCAGAAAAGAAGTAAGTCTCCAGTTCACCGAGCCTTGGCATTTTTGTGCCTTTTACAACGCATAGTATGTATCACATCTTAAGCTATCCAGACCGAGACGAACTGCTGACTGATTCAATCCAGTCCACGAACCTCTTCACCTTTCCCAAAGTATACAACCAAGGATCTGATCAAGCTCTGCAATTGTGTTGAAGGAAAGGCAAGTATGACAACAACCAAAAAGACTTCGGAATCTTCCAAGAAGACTTCGACGTCCACTAAGACGTCTTCGGTAAGCACAAAGAAGACCTCAATTGGTACAAAGAAGACCTCGTCAAGCACCAAGGAGGCTTCTACCCCCAAACGCTCAACAAGCACCACGAAGCCTTCGACAAGCACCAAGAAGATTCCTACGAGCACCAAAAAGACCTCATCGAGCGCTATCAAGACGTTGTCCTCCAGCATCCGACTTCGTTCTTCCACAAGCGGCAGGAAGACTTCGACAAGTACCACTAGACCCATGTCCTCGAGCATCACCAAACCCCTGACAAGTGCCCATAAGTCCTCGTCATTGAGTGTCTCGAAGGGATCATCCTCCAGCACGAGGAGACCGTCGACATCCGCTGCTAAGAAACCATCTCCAGCCCCCTCTAGCATCTCCACTGTTTCACATTGTAAGCCACGGCCACCTCGATATCCGGGAGGCTACGGTTACCTCGCTTGGAACGAAAACGACAACATGGGCAACAACACATGCGGCGATTCCGCTCCTACTGAGAACCGTCCTCCGCAGGTTTATGTCCTGGCCGTTCATCAAGTCTATCCTTACGAAGGAAACTGTATACAACTTTGCCTGGAAACGGATGCATGCCAGAGCTGGGCCTTGAACGATTTGCACACCGAGTGCACGCTATACCGCGCCTTGGCTGAGGAGTACCTCAAGCCGCTACAGACTTCTTACGAGGGGTCGCAAACCAACTATTACGATGTCAGTTGCTATGGATGCTCAGACACCATAGTAGCACTAGGTTGCAATACTCTTTCAGGTTCCCCGCCCTCAGGATCATCGTGCGGTCGACTTGGTTTGTCTACTGCGAATGCTCGAGTGGCAAGTTATGGCGGTCCAAGAAGTATTCAGACTATCAACCATTGCGCCGAGTATTGCATGTCTGATTTGGACTGTTTGTCTTTCTCAGTGGACCAAGGATATAATCTCTGTCTCACTTATACTCAAACTGCGTCCACTATCGCCAATCACAACCGGGGCAATACGACTGAGCAGACTCTGTACGACGTGCAGTGTTACCGAGCTAGCGACTTTGGCGGGAAATGTGGATGGCAAAAATAATAGATGGCTGTAGACAAGATGTAGCAGTGGGATGTGTCGACCAATTGATATACTTGTCGGCCCAGCAGACCATACTTCAATCTTCCAAGGATTGCAGATCCTGATCATATTGTTCCAGCTCTTTCAATCTCTCTTCCACAAACTTCTCGATATCCTCTTCGCTGGGCAAGCCTACGTCTAGCAATCCCCTTTCCTGGAGCACCTTCTCGAGGTTCAGCCATGAAGGCTCCTCGTCGAATTCAAAGGTATCCTGAAGCAGCTGGATGAACCAAAACGTGCCATCTTCAAAGGACTTTTGCATCAAGCTCGACACACGTTGGTCTTTTGGTATCTCGAGAGACGTTCCACCCCATCTTTTGTCTTCCTCTTCTTTAAGGCACTGCAAGAAGATAGCTAATTTCTCTTTGTAATGATATTCGTCATCTTTGGTCCAGAGAGTTGGACGTTCCAAGATGAGCCACGAAGGAGGGCAGAACAAGAATTGGGAAGGAGCTGTATATGCCCATTCCCAATCTATGACACTGGTAAACCTTAAGGTCGTCTCATCCATCAACACATTGCCGAATCGAAAGTCGTCACAAAAANNAAGCTTGAATGGGCCGGTGTCGTGTTTTGTAGAGATGAAGTGTGGCACGAGTTCTGACATCCGGCAGCGTAGTATAAACTTCCGTCGAGCATCGGCAGCGTCGTCAATCGAGTTTCTCTGCTTATGTAGATGGGTGATGTTTTGTTGGACAAGGCTCCGCACATAATCTGTGGTACTCGTGAAAGCAGGAAGATTGTGGTCTNNAGGCATGTCAGTAGAGGGATGCCAACTGTCGTAACAAACGACCTTACCGTCTGCGACAACGTTACCGCCCGCTTCTATCTCGTTCATTCTCAGTGTCATCGGTCTAGATCTGACAGACCATGAAGATTCTCCCGCGTCTGACCCGACCATGGAAAGTGCGCCAATCTTCTCAAAGTCGTGCTTTCTCAGTTCCAAGTGGGTGCTAGCGATCTGTCCATAGATGCTACGAAGTTGGTGATCCTCGATGTCGTCTCTTAGTACAGGACCCCAACTAGGCCGAGGAAGCTTCTCAAGGAAGGCAGTAACCGGTATGCCTTCAATCCAGTCTGTGATGAGAAATGGACCTATGGCAGGGTCATGATTTTCCTGAGCGTCTCCAAAGGCTATCACTTTTGGAAGCGGTATTTGAGTGTTCTCCTTGACAAATCTCATGATGGCCACTTCCCGGCAGATCTTCTCGTATGGATGCATGACACGTCCAGGTATCGGAAATCGGACCGCCCATGCTATTCCATCCTCAAACAGGACTTTGTGGCAAGAATTGAACGACCCATTGCGTCTTAGCTGCCATGTGCACAACTGGTTCTCGCGGCGACTCGATGCCAGTTTTTCGACTCATGCGTTGCCGTAATCATCGAGGAAGCGCCTAGCCCACTCCTCGGTAGCAATTTTATGAGCTCTGTTGCTGATATTGTCCTCGTCCATTGCACAAAGTTTAACGATAGAATGATCTTTCAATGAGGAATTTTCAAACATGGAGTTTGTTGGTCTATGCGTGGAAAGACAGTGAGTCGTGGGCGGGCGCTTCGAAGGTGGATATCTGGGGCCTTGGTACCGATGTAACATGTGCCTGGCGCCAAATCATGCCTCGCAGATTCCTTACATCACTTCAAGCCAATTTTATATGCGTTCTGACATGCTTCGATATTGTTGTAGAGGCATAGAACGCAAACGCGCGCGTCAAGCAAACCTCGTACTTGAGCCGCTCCAAATAGAGCTTGAAATAAATTACAACTCCTCTTACCCCTGTTTCTTGTCATAATTCATTCCTTGCCATCTATATCCTGATTTCATTAGCCGTCAAATCCTGTCGGAGAGCATAGTTCATTCGTCATCCTTCCAGTTCTGCAAGTGGTGGACCAATATCCAACTCTGCCAGTGGTGAGCCCACACCCAGATCTCTTGGTCGAAACGGCATTCGGAATATAGGTGCAGACGATGGCTTGCACAAGTCTTCGAACGCTTGACGATCTGTTCTCTGAATCAGTATTCAGCCGCCGCGGCGAAGCAATACAACCGCACCTTCTTGATCATAGAATTCGCAATCAAGAGCTTTGATTCGATGCATGATGTTGATGTGTGGATCCTCGCTCGACGTTGAGTCATGTGAGAGAACAGAATCGATGCTACCGATCGTTGATCTGCGTGGCAAACTANNTCTCGGCGACCAAATGTTAATCTTATCTTCTTCTTCCCTTCTTTCTTGATCTCTTCAAAATCATTCACTAGGGAAGTCAGCGTGGTCAATAAGATCGAGAACATCATCCACTTACAANGACCACTCAACAAAGCCAGAGCTCGATGTAGCGGACTTTGATGGCATCCTATGAGCATAGTACAGGAGTGACCTTTGTCTCTCTGCATCTTCTAGCATACGTAATGTCTCGGACGCGCAGTGGTCCTGTCCAGCACGAGTCGATATCCTTACAACGTCGAAGGTCGCAACTACACTTTTCCCAAGCAGCTGTTCCTGTACCTGCCGCAAATCTCCATAGCTCGTTAGCGATATGAAGTGCTTCCCTTATCAAATGGTGCGAGACATACCTTCGGGTTCGTCAAAGCGGTACACCGGCCTCATGTTGTAGATCGTGCTTCTGTGAGCTTTTTCATCCTTGACGATAACTTGATGCGAGCCTTTGAATTGCAGTCTGGACTCGATAATGCTCGATTTGTGTACACGCGTGTTGTCGATCCATGGAACAAATGCGTTTGGTTGGTGTGCGCCACCATGTGGTACATGGTAGATTGTGAACTTTTGATCTCTGGTCTTACTTCGCAGCTTCTCAACAACTCCACTATGGGAGATCAATATCTCCAACAGGGCATCAAATGTTCGCTTGTTTTCAAGAACACTATTCCTCGTCAGGATTGTCAACTCGGGGTGTATCTGTATACTCACATAGTAACGGGCCATGTGGCGAAGGTCCCCTGCGGATCTTCTTCGACGTAAGCAGATCCGAGACTGAAGGATGAGAATCTTCTTTGGCTGCTAGCCGAGGTAAAGACGGTACTGGGCGTCNGAGAATGCTTCGGTGCCGGGCGTGAAGATTGGTTCCGGAAGCGGGCTACCTACGATAGATGGAGAAATATCTCGAGGTTGTCCAGTGAGTCTTTGTCGTGGAGCTTCAGGAGCACCTGGACTTGTGGAAGGGGACGAAGCCATCGAGATGACTCTCGAAGGTAGCACGGGGCGGGCCGATCGAACCGGTTCAGGATGCAGCATGTGCCACCTGAGCCACTGTCCAAAGACATCCCAGTCATCGGCACGAGCTTCGAGGCTAGCACTCGCTGATCGCCCATGATTGCGGCTCTGTGTGCGAGGGAGACCAAGCGCAGTATCTGCAATGCTGCGAGCACTATCCAGAAGTTGAAGGACAGGTACAATTCGTTCGGTTGTGACAGGACCTTGACTGCTGTGTACTTGATGCCTAGCTTCTGAGCGCACTCCGCCAGAGTCCCTCATTATTAGATACTCCATCTTTTGCGAAAACTGGTGGAGGAGCTGAAGCATATCATCTGGCGACTCGGTTCGATCTAGATCTACAATGATTCGATTAAGTGTATTCGGGGCTTCGAAGCTGGTGTGTGATAGTGTCGCGAGATAGTCTAGATCCATCTCAGATGTGGATGTTGGCGCGATTCTTTTTAAAACGAAGTTGACTTTGTCACTCAAGGATNNCTGGACGCACTGTGTCAGACAAACACTGTAGAAGATGATTGATATGTTGTACTTCACCGCACGCATGATGTCCTCCGACTGCCTCTCAATACCTTGAGTGTTTTGCAGGGTAGTCGTCGTTGCGTGTAGGGTCGCAATGGCAACAACCCGGTCAAGCTGTCGATGAAGCTTCTCGGCCTCCTCGCGATATACGGGCCACGTTGCCGTCTGATATCCATGGCCGACTCGCTCTAGAAAATCTTTGATTCTGCTGCTGCTTTGTGGTAGATTGGTGATCAAAGGACGCGTCGTCCTTGCAGTGAGAACGCGGTGCTTGTCGATGAATTTGACAGTATCTGCAAAGGTCTCGTCGAAGCCTGCGAGAGAAGCGAGGTCGGGGCTGACATTGACGAGCCTTTCGAGACAGGTGATTACTTGTCGATATTCTCTCTTGAAACACTCGTACTCGTTGGTGGCGTTGTAGCTGCCATCCGCGAAGCTTTCATAGACCTTCCAACTGTACTGTGCAAGCAGTATGACATCGCTGATGGACCAGCCGAAGCTCATGGTGCAGAAGTAATATGTGGTCCCAGGTGCGAGCGACGAGCATTTTGGCTGACTTCAGCTGGACTTGGTTGACAAGCCAGCCAGCGCCTGGTCAAATTCATTGCATATTATCAGGTGGCAACAAGGCTGAGAAGGCACACGTCTCTTCGATACCAACTGATAAAAAGTCATGGAGGGTTACTATGCGACTGCATGGTCAATAAAGCAGCCAGCGAATGGAAAGTGCAGTCTACAGAACGTGGTCGTCGCAAAAGCTCGTTTGTGGCCCTGCCAAGACCGACTGCCTCTCGCGACCTCCCTTTGCTCCTTCCTTCCAGCCTCCTCGCGTTTGCGCCATCATTCGGCGATGTGAGCTCGAAGCACAGCTCCTTGGATCAGATGGTTGTCTTGGGCAATATTGTTTTCTTAGCAAGCTCGTAAGCAACGGGACGCGATGTTTGGTTCTCAGCTGTAGCCTGTATTCTCTAGTATTTTGACCCTTCTCGGTCACAGGATTCATGCGCCTGCTCGAAGCACTCGAGGAATAGGAGCTGAAGCCGACGCCCAATGGGCGCAGCAGGCACTCAGGCAAATATGACCATGTACTGCTGCGCGTCGCGGCTTCCACGAGAAGTCCCGCAGCCTCGCTGACAGAATCTATATCCTCCTTCAATTAGCAGTGCATATCGTGGTTCTCACCACATCATTGTCACCCGTAACCACCATCCTTCGCATACACCATTCTAGAAATTCGGATTCAAGCAGCCATGGCCGGACTGACTTGGATCAGATTGCATCTCAATCCGTGGGCCAATGTATCTAAATTCGAAGATGTCTCGNGTAATACGATCGGTCGTCAAAATGCGACTGTGCAGGTACTAACAAATTGCTAGCCCGCCGATAGACGTCAGTATGTCCTTGATTCTCTCGAACATTCGAGACGAAGGGAGTGGTTGTGGGTAGTCGTTGTCGCTGGGGTTGGCTTCTTGACAGATGCATACAACGTAGGGTACCTAACATGAAGCATGCTCTCCTTCACTCACGTCCTACAGATCTTTTCTATCAACCTCGTCATGCCTATGATAGGGCATATCTACTATCCAGACTCGACACCTCAACCCGGTGTTGTACCTCAGAAGTATGCAGTGGCTATCAACATCGCGACTCTTGGAGGAAGCATTCTAGGCCAGCTAGGCTTTGGTCTTGCTGGGGACTGGTTGGGTGAGTCATTTACACAGATCTCATCTTGCTCTTACTAAACTGCGGTAGGTCGAAGAAAGGCTTATGGCCTTGAGCTGATTATCACTGTTGCTGCTGCCTTAGGCTCGGCCATGGCGTCGAATGGTTATGCCTCAAAAGAGGACAAAGGATCCATGTCGCTCATCGCGTGGCTCATATTCTGGCGCCTGGTTATGGGCATCGGGATCGGAGCCGACTATCCACTGAGCGCCGTTCTGTGCTCGGAGTAAGTATTCACATGTCCTTGGCTCTGATCATGAACTTATGCTTTCAGGATGGCTCCAACCAGACTTCGTGGCAGAATGCTGACTGCCGTTTTCATGTGTCAACCACTTGGACAACTTCTTGCTACATTAGTGCCTTTGATCGCAGTATACGCCGCTCGCGAATCACTACCAAACAGCACAAGAGTGTGCGATGCAGATTGCGCGAGGACCCTGGATATCATATGGCGTCTTGTTCTTGGACTTGGAGCGGTACCTGCTGCAGCTTCTCTCTGGTTCCGGCTGACCATCATCGAAAGGTACGACGCGAAAAAGTTGTGTGGTATTGCACGTGTGCTGATCAAGTCGAAAAACAGTCCAAGATACACTGTTGACATTGTAAGAGATGATCATCAAGCAGCCGTTGATGTCAAACGTTACTTCTACTCAGGCGACCACTTCTCGACTAGGAGTCGTGATTCCTTCCAGCAAGAACATGAGGATGGACAACACGTGGATGGAACGGAAACCCCAATCTTTCCTCTATCAGTCGTAGATTCTGAAGGGGCGCAACAGCCGCCTCAAGCCTCTTGGTCAGACATTGTGGACTACTTTTGGCACCAAGGAAACTACCGCACACTGGTAGCGACATCGTTGACTTGGCTATCTCTTGACCTTGCATTCTACGGCCTTGGCATGGTGTGTCTAACCCATCACAAATTAAACTATCTGCTGACTCGTTCCAAAGNNAACGATTATAGGGCTCTGGGTCAAATTTGGTCAACCAATCATGGAGATGATCCAGAGAGTACTTACAATCCTCTTGATCCACCATTTTTATACCAGTCTTTACTAGCCAACGCCTGGCAGAGCTTGCTGATTGTCTCACTCGGAGCCATTCTCGGAAACCTTATCACACTTGTGTCTATTAACCGCTTAGGACGAAGAACGATCCAGATCAATGGCTTCTTCTGGTTATTCGTCCTGTTCCTCGTGATTGGTACAAGCTATCACAAGTTGGTTAACACGCCAAGATCTTCGGTGCTCGTAATACTGTACATTCTAACACAAATCTTTTTCAACTTTGGTCGGTTTCTCAGCGATCCAGCATATCCGACCATTGGCTAATATTGCAATACAGGACCGAATACTACCACATATATCATTCCTGCAGAGGTTTTCCCCACGCGCTACAGATCCACAGCCCATGGCATCAGTGCTGCCTTTGGCAAACTCGGAGCTGTGGTGTCCCAATGCATTCTGATTCCACACGGTATCAGGGAGGACAAGTACTATCTGCTTGTGTAAGTGTTTCCATAGAAGAGCCTGTTATAATCGAGCTNNTACACCTGTATGTATAGATTCTCGGCATTTATGCTCATAGGACTTGTATTGACGGTATACTGGATCCCACGCTCGCGCGACCAGAACGGAAAAACTTTGACATTGGAAGAACTCGCGCTAGGCCGAGCTGCTGTCAAATCGGAATAGACGAAAGTGCGTAAGGAGACCTTGCGATCGACTCCTGAGGCTTAGAAGATTGTTGCTCATATCTGATGCTCTAATTGTCCAACGTTGATTACCATTTCCCGAACTCCTGACTCTACGAGAGAACTGTTGTCATAAACTCGTGATGGATGCAAGGTCAAACCTTGACGGCACCAAGAATGTATTGGCCGAAAGACTGCTTGGGTGAGCAAACAGTGCCGTTCTAGGTAAGACCGTTACATCCAGCAGTGGCATCACAGACCAAAGTGCAACCTCCAAAGCTGGTGATGTTGGACGGTGTCGTGATAAAGTTAGCCGAAGTGTCGTGGGTGCACAGAAGAGTCGAGAGGCCTGGGTATCACAAGCCAGGACATTGGCAGCGAACCCACCTCCATTTGACTTGCCTGCAGCGTGAACCCTAGAAGAGTCTATGCAGAAAGTGCTTGACAGGTTGGCAAGAAGTTCAAGTGTGAAGCCAGCGTCATCGTAACCAACTACAGCCGGATCACCTTACCATTGCAAGTTTATACCTTGGGGGTAAACAACAAGACAGTTCGGGTTGAACGTCTCGTTAGACATGCCGGAGATGTTCTCTTGGTCCTGAGGAGATTCGGTTCTGCCATGATAGGAAAAGGCAATCGGCGCGGGTGTGTCAGTATTGTAGAAGGAAGGATTGTGAAGTAGGTGACTGGGGCACATATTTGTGTCGCTCGGTACTTCATCTACGACGATCGTCACAAGTTCTTGGATAGTATCATCCAGAACAGGGTCACAGTTCTCTGGCCGTGGTGACTGCCGTTCCTCCACATCCCGAAGCCCTAAGTTAGGGCTCGGTTACGCAACCGAGCTAAACCATCGCCCCCTCTTCGACTATCATTGTATATATACCTTGAGCTCAGAGTGATTGTTCTCCAGTTACATTACTAACCCCAAAATCAATCATACAATGCATATCCTCGGTCTGGCAAATGGTACACCTTCTGGAAATTCCGAGATCTTACTCAAGGCCGCATTGACAGCGGCCATCGTGTTCGACTCTTCGATTACAACATCATGGATACACGTTCCTTCTATATCCATACCAACAAACCCAGCACCTCTTGATTCTCCTGTTGGTTTCGATCTTGCCTCCAAGCTCAATGTGGCTTCCAACAATGCACCAGATGATCGAGCAGCTGTCCGTGAAGCCATCCTTGATGCCGATGCTATAATCATCTCTACACCTACATATAGCCATCAACCTCTAGGCACCTTGAAGCTACTCATGGATCGAATAGGAGGACCGGCTCTCGATGTTACTTTTGGCAAAACATTCAACCCCGATAAACTCGATCCTCGGCTCTCAAAGCCACGAGTGTTGGGCTTTATCGCTGTGGGAGGATCATCGACGCCAGATCAGTTCACCATGGTGTTACCGACACTGCATCTCTTGTTCTATGCTCTGCATGCCAGAGTTGTGGATCAATTCATTGGCCAAGACTTGGGCAGCTCGGGGGCGGTTAGCCTGCACGAAGACCTGATATCTCGAGCACAGCGCATGGGCAAGAATCTAGCCAGTCAGATTGGCAAGTCCTACGATGATGCGGGATATCTAGGTGATGAACAAGAAGGTGCGTGTCCGCATTGTCATCTTGCCAAGATTGAGCTTTTGCCTGAGCACGGCAAGAATGCGATTGGCTGCACGACATGTGGAACCAGAGGCACCTTGGCTGTCACTGGAGATGACACCATGCTTCCGGTCTGGGAGGAAGACTCGAAGTGGAGTTGTTTGACCTGGGCTGGCAAACTGCAACATGCAAAAGACATCGTGAGCTGGGCGAAGAGAGACGAGCCAAGGAAAGCAGATATCAAGGACGGCCAGGAGAAGTGGAAGAAAGTCTTTGTTCAGCAAGTTACCTTGCCCAGTCAGAAAACGAAAGAGTAGAGTGGGAACTAGCATGAGTTGTACTATAAGTTGTTTCGCACGCCATAGTGAAGAAGAAAGTCCATACAGACACATTCTACAACTTCTTGCTGTATTCCAGGGCTAGCGGACTAAATACAAACTAGAGACTGTTGTTTTTTCTTCTGACTAGATCTCAGGTATTGATACAAGCGAACGATGAGTGGGTAACAAAAGGTAGAGACAGGGTGACCCTACCCAACTTTCTCATTTGCCAAATTACCAACTTTCCAAATCCTCACAAATCACGATTTTTATACTACGGATCCTCGGCACGTCGTACACCCAATCCAGGGGGCAAGCGCGGACGAAATCCCGCAAACGCAAGAACGTCGGCATTCGTCATCTGTCATAGACTCCAACGTGGTACAGGGGTGATGAGGAGAGCCCCATAGCCGTTGCAAAAGCGGGTGAACGATATCAATTGATTGCGACAACAACGACAAAAACAACAGGAGTGTATCCGCAATCAAAGGCAATGTCGGCAAATCGCTAAACGTTTATATCGCTTGTGATAAGTGATAAACATGAAACTTGTCGTCGCGAAGAACTGATGAATAAGGTTTTGCAGGGCAAGATGATAATCATCTTGGAATGAGAGGAGGACGACGTACCTGCCACGTAGATGAAACAGCTAGAGCTACTCTGCCCTGAGTTGTTCACCAGACCATTCTAGTTTCGTTCTCGTTGAAGAAACGGTTCGTTGTGATGTGAGAAGAAGATTTGTTGACAACCACAGTAGAAATTTTTGTCTTTCCTTGTATCTGTACACGAAATATCCATATCGTTCCAAGAAACAGAAGGAAAAGAGAGGCAAAAAGGAAAACCAAAAGACCACTAAGATAAAGCGCCTATTCGCTTCCTATATATTCATCCCTCCTCTTCTGCTTTTGCGAACAAATGAAAAATTGATGTACAAAGGAAAAAGAGCAAAACACACATCTCAACCGATATCAACAGGTGGAAAGGGACAAACGGGGTTCGTATAAAGACGCCAAACTGCGTGAGCGGTAGGATTGCATCCGAAGACGATGGAAGGGTATAAACGGAAAGAAGAATGACAAAAAACAGTAAAAGAGCCCAGCCCTTTCTAGATCGCAATGCTAAACCCTCAGGGTGGGTACGAAAATGTAAAGCCAAGCGTGAGGAGATAGATAATAGATAGCCTGACAGATGAAGGCAGTGAGATGATTACATCTCGAGCCAAGATCTAGAAGGATAGTGCTTAGATACACACGAGTGGATTTTTGGAGGTTGGAGGAGGATCATCAATGCCGGATTGGGGTCGTTACAGCTCGGAAGAGCGCGCACTTGCTAGAAAGCTCTAGTAAGCGGTAGGGTAGGCGGCACCCGAGGCGCCCGAGGGCTTGTGGATGGTGATGAAGCCAGTGGAAGCGCAGCTAGAAGAGCTGGCGGCACCGGAGGTGGTGGGGTAGTAAGGAGCAGCGCTGCTCTGCTTGGGGACAACGCTGGCACCGGTGGCAGTGCTCTGAGCAATGGTGCTCAAGGCGGAGTCAACAGTGATGTAGACGGTCTCGTTGGCAGTGACGGTGACGGTAGAAGCGGGAGCGCAGCCAGCCTCGGTGGTGCTAGCGCCAGTACCAGGAGCGCCGTAGCTCGAGCCGTATCCAGTGACAGCGGCCTTCTCACCCCAGAAGCTCAAGTAAGAGCCGGTGGAAGTGGGCGAAACGATGACGGTGTTAGTGGTGGTGCTAGTGGTCGACAGAGTGGTGGTTGAGGTCGAGTCACCCTCGCTACCAGAGCCAGCAGCAGCGTTCGAAGCCGAACCAGAAGCGGCAGGGGTAGCGTAGACAGTCTGGGTCTGGTAGGCGGTAGAGGTCTTGTGGATGGTGGTGGTGACAACAGACTTGGTCGATCCGCCACCAATGGTGTAGGTAAGAGTCACATCAGTGGTGAAGGTGGTGTAGGCAGTAACAACCTCGGAGCCAGTGGCACCGGCAGCGGGAGCAGAGGTAACACCAGATCCGTAAGCGCCAGTTCCGAAAGCAGCGTTGGTGTTGATGCTAGGGTAAGCAGAGACACCAGTGCTCAAGGGAGCAACAACCGAGCTGGCAGCAGCGCTGGTCTCGACCGCGGCGGCAGAGCTCTCGTGTGCGCCAGTGGAGAGGGGGATTGCGACCGAGGAGGCGGAGGAAGAGCCAGCAGTGTTGATAGGAGCAACGACCGAAGAGCTGGAGCTAGACAGAGGAGCGTAGCTGAAGGAAGGAGCGGTCGAAGTCTGGTTGAAGTTGCCATAGTCCTGACGCTTGTACTGGGCGGCGTTTGCGCCGACAGCCAAGGCGGCGGCCACGAGGGAAGAGCTGAAGTGCATGATGATGAGGATTAAATGTCTCGGAGTTGGTAGAACGGTTTAGGATGCGATTGCAACGTCGAAGTTGTGAGAACTCGTGGGTATGCTGTATGTGCTGTGGTGGAGAGAATGTGGAGGCAAGAAATCAATTCTGCGCTCAAAGCAAACAATCAAAGAGTGACTGGATCTGAAAAAGAGTGTGATGTCTAAAGGAGACGTGAGGACCGGACGAGAAACGCTTGGTAGTCTTGAAGGTGAGGAAGAAGAGGGAGAAGTAGATGGGGAAGCGCCTCGAGAAAAGGCGATTCTGATGGATGCCCCGTGTGGCACACACACCGATGGACCAGTGCTGGACCTACAATCTATCCTGGCCTGCAGAGAAGCATAATCACAGTCAATCTACTGGCGGAGTGCAGGATGCAGTCTGCGGTCAAGGTGTGCGTTTCATCGAATCAGACCGTGGTTGGACGGACCACTTAGCGTGGCGATCTCCGGCTAGCGCCTTCCCCCTATCGCTTGTTCCTGAACGGGTACCTGACAGCTTGCAGCTCGGACACACTTCTGCAGGCCCTTTTGCCCGGCTTATTCGCGATACACTGCGACCGCCGTTCGGTTTCGAACAGTCTATATCTTCCATACTTAGGAAGTGCCCCTATTTTCGTACAGTTGAACGACTCTGGAACTGTCGCCATAAAAACATAGTAAAGCTTGCGGGTTTTTCCTCTTCACCTCTGGTCGACTACCGAGAATCGAAGCAGCATGCTCATTTCCTTTGGCGCTCGCTCCTTGGCAGGCTCGCCCTCAACCAACAACAATTCTCTCGTCGGCCTTTCTGCGTCGATCTAATCATTTCGGCTGTCCACTCCCGCTGTATGTGGCACACTGACTCTATCCACAAAGCAAGCCAATAATCAGTCGCAATTCTTGCATGAGTCGGTGTGGCGGTCCGTTGCCCGGGTCTCATGGCGATTACGAACAAAGGCCTCGACCATATCGGTACGAGGCGTCGCAACATGCAGCAAGCTATCGCGTTGCGTTATGTCTGTCATCGCTTTGCATGTTGGACAAAGAACCCAACGGTTATGCAACTAAGCCATGTACGTAGAACGCTCACCAATGCCGGGACCAAAACTCGCGGGCCACTATCAGAGCCTCGCAGCAGCGTGAGCTGTCAGCATTCTCGATTTCAGACCGCAATTTGCCAGTCTTTCCAACAGCACGTGCCTGCATCGATCTGTTTTGTTCTTGTTCGCAAAGCCCTTCAGAACCCAGCACAATCTCGGTGACCATGATTGACTGTGTTGCGCATAAACATGATCGATCTGCTTTGAAATGAGGTGTTCGGATCTTCGCCATGGGGTCGATATGCTATAGGCGACAAGTTTCAAACTAGAATCCTATCGGTATCACGAAGCCAGGGATCACCTCATCCTGTTTAATATACGGGGGTTCGAGGAGACGTGCTCACCAACTTGCCATGTCGTCTGGCTATTGTATCTCGACACCTTTAGTGTCTTTTCAATCGAAGGATTGTTAGCCCTCGAGAAACCCCTGCTAAACCCGCGCGACGGTGGAGATATCCATGGTCTTTCGTGTTTCGTATGAGGGCTACATCTGACAGACACGATTGCCCGGGAGATGTGCACACGTGGAAGCTGGTGGCCTGAAGGTCGGACAACATGAAACAGAGTCATGAGAGACTGCCTCGTACCAGCCAAGCCACGGGTCTCTCAAGCCGAGACCGACAAAAAAGCCCTACTGACCATATGGGAGTCCTCGTTGGCGAGTCTCTGGGTCAACATAACCCGGCCGCCTGAACCTCCAACCAGGCAATGGTTCCTCTCTATGACGGCGATGATGCTGATGACGCTGATAGAAGTGAAGACTATAGTGACTTGGAACGGACGAACTACATCTGAGCTGACCAGAGACAACAAATCTCAGCTCTGTTTGTTGTGACTTGGCGTGCTGGTGCTCAGTATCTTGCAACCGGTCTCGTACAATCACAACTCCAGGGACCGTCAGAGCCGCCCGCAGACATTGACAAAAATGCGTGATTCTGAACTCACGATTATCGGTGGCGACTCGGGAGGATTACACAGAGAAGAAGCAGATTTGGCACCTGTTCTTGAGCTGTGGTGAGGATCGACCATTCGTGGATGATTGTTATTGCGCAACAGATTGTTTCGAGACAGTATTGTGCATATGGTTTCCACAAGACGCATGCAGTGGATGTCGTCTTTGGAGCGACGAGGCTGAGCTCACAGGCGGTGAAATGCTGACCTTATGCTACACTTGGCAAAAGCACAACCGATACGACAGGCAGCGTCCAACGACGAATCTGCGGGTTCTCCATCTCGGCGCCTGTGATTTCGATCTTGGAGTTCGAGGTTGTGTACATTTTCGAGGACAACAGTTGCAGAGTAGACGGATGTTCTGATTCCGGTGCATGCTCCTCACTCTGATCTTGCTCGGCATCAACATGAATCGTGTGCCGTCTGTTGGCTAAATGCAAACCATTGTTGGTCCGCAGAGTAGAGCGAGATTCTGTGATGGAAATCAACACCAGAATATATTCCGCGTTATAAGTCGGCCGAACTCGTCCGTTGTGGCATGAGATATGAGCGGTATCAACAACACAAAGACGAGTGTTCGGACGGGATATCCATGGTGCACAATGGATAAAAGAACTGGAAGGCGCGCGAGTCGAGTGGGTATGATCAACTGGCGGGGACCGTGTAAATGCAAGATTGCGTACGTATGATTGGAGCAAAAACTGTGGGGGCTCGTCGGCAAGGATCTGGGGAACGTTTTTGAGAGTCGCAAGGCCGAGGGGTACAATGCGGGATGGAGTTCAGGACGGCTTTGACGGCCATGTTCGTCTGTTTGACGGAAAGATCTTCTGTAACGACGAGTTTAGGTCAGACTTGCCGTGCATGACGGACGCCTATCCTTGTCTGGCCGTGTCGACCAAGCATCGCGATTCTCTCCGTTAATCTTCCGTCCTCTCGACTGCCTCTCACCCAACTTGCCAGCGAAGACATGGGAAGCGACCTGTTCCTCTCACCACCATCGCCCAGTCGCCTTTGCTTCTTCCCTTCGGCCTGATCTTTCTCCTTTTCGACCCATCCTCACACCCTTGCCTATATCCCGTCGTCGAGAGACAGGCCAGAAGAACCAAGCCGTCCATGGCTACCAGAGTCCAGGTCGAGACGTCGACCATGTCCCTTACGAAACCCCGACCCATCGTTGCCGTCGAAGAGATCCGAGGTCATGAAGAGCCGAATATCCTGGTGTTATACGAACGAGATCAAGAGCAGATTGTTGCAGAGATAGCTGGCGTGCTTGGTCAACAGTGGCGTCTCACCGGCCCCGAAGACGACAATGTCTCCCCGGTTGATGGCACCGTCATTGGTATATCTGATGCCCATGATCTCTCTCGTGTCCAGCGATGGCGCGGCTCCAGCACTATCCTGGCGACCCACTGTCTGGACGAGTACAATCCTGCAGTTGGCACCCGATCTTCTATCTGTGACTACGAATACTTGTACACGACCAAGCCCTTCTTCAGGCGGGATCTGGCGAGGTTTCTATCCTTCATTCTAGGCCAAATCAATCCACACAAGGACCTCGCGAAGAAGGCAAAGACAACTCTTATTTCCACAACCTTTCCTGATGTCCATGCCGCTCTACCGAACCTTGACATTCTCTCTGTTGGTGCCGATGCCATAGAGATCCGTGTCGACCTGCTAAAGGAGACAAAGGCCGATGGCTCTTTTAGCGACGTCCCCAGCCTGCAATATGTCGGCGAACAGCTCATGACTCTGCGTCAGCGAACAGAGTTGCCGATCATTTTTACAACCCGCTGCACGAAAGAGAACGGACGTTTTCCAATGGATGATCCCAAATTGTTCTATGACTACTTATATCGAGCTGTTCAATGGGGTTGTGAATACATTGATGTCGAGCTCTGGCTACCTGAGGACGTGAGGCGCAAACTCGCTTCTCAGAAAGGTAATAGCAAGATTATTTCCGCCTTCCACGACTTCTCTGGAAACTTCAAGTGGACTTCGCCCGATGCTCAAAGGCTGTACGAACAGGGTGCTGTTTATGGAGACGTTGTCAAGATGATTGCTCTCGTTAGCACCATGCAAGAGAACTACGAGTTGGAATACTTCCGATCCATAATCCAAAGCACCCATCCTCATCCACCCTTCTCTGGATTGAACATGGGACCCATGGGTCAGCTTTCTAGAGCCTTGAACAAAATCTTCACGCCAATCACACATCCACTGTTACCCATCATCGCTGCACCAGGACAGCTTAGCGCCGCTGAGATCAACTCTGCTCTACACTCCATGGGCCAAATGCCAAAACTCGACATGTACTGCTTTGGTAGCATGCGTGCCACAGGACAAGCCATGTTTTTCGAAAAGTGTATCAATGAATTGAGCTTACCACATCAGCTTGTTTGTGTTGAGCAAAGTTCACAGGAAGGGCTTGCTACTGTGGTAAAAATGCCACACTTTGGGGGTGCCTTTATCAATCCGCCCATTGCCGCATCAGCACCTTGTCTTCCTTCAATCTCAGATGCGGCGGCATCCATTGGCCAGATTGACACTGTGGTCGCACTTTTAGAGGGTGACAAGACAAGTCTCGTAGGAGATAATGCAACGTGGAAAGGAATCCGAGCGACCCTTTGCCGTGACTTTGTTCCCTCCGCATTCAGTGGACAAGCTGCATTGTTGCTAGCCAGTCAAGAGTCTCAAGCAGCAGCGGCGATATTCGCTCTTCGCAGCCTCAACATTGGACCGATCTACACCATCGGCTTCAAGGTGCAAGGACCACTGTCTGGATTCGTAACTCCATTCAGAGGATTGGAAGACGTCAAGAAAGTCGAGCAACCTTCGGTCATCATCTCAGCACTCCGAGCAGACAAATCACTTCTGGTATCGCCCCTACTGAAGCACTATGGCGGCCACAAGCAAGAGCAGAGAAGAGTAGCAAAGGTCTTCCTGGACCTCAGCAATGGACCCCGAAAAGGCGATCCAGTCGCCCTTGCCGAGACACAGGGCTGGAGTGCATACGGTATCGCCGATGTCAATGCGTGGACGACTGTCGAAACACTGAGGCTTTTGGTGGGACAAAATGTGCCCTACGATTTCGTGCGGCTTGCGGCTGGGCGAAGTATCTATTAGGACCTGATGATTGCATGTTTGCTAGGCGTTCTGGTGCGAGGTCTATAACCCAGGCTTGTCACTTATTGTTTTGTTTGCTTCTAGTTCCCCTTGCTGGCCCTTAGAATCGGGCCGAGATGTCCTGCTCTATGCTGGACACTGTTCTTATGTTCGATGGAAGCCATTGAACGAGTCTAGTATTTTCTATCATATTTAGATTTGCACTCACGTATGCGCACCTCGACCTGACCGCATGCTGTCCTTGCCCTTTACCTACTGCCCATCCCTCACGACCCAAGTGATCATGTGCACATGAGAGAGGCGGCAGCAGGACGAGACGCTGGGCCCAAAGCAACAAATTAACCGAGGCATTAGGGCTCGATATCGATGGAACAAGTGGGCCCGAAGCTTGCTCGGCTGGTTGAAGACCGATCTCTGAACAAGATTTGAGCCGAGTCTGGGGATCTCTTTGCATCACACACGGCAGCACAAGGATTTAGCGAATGAGGGAGAGCGTACAGTTTGAACACGGGCGACGGGAGACATGTGTCTGGGGCCAAAACAGTAGGTTAACACGAGGTCGGCCTTGTGAGGATGATGCGAATCAATTCATCGTTTCGGGGGCGGCGCCGTCCTCATGCATCGTTCCCCGCTCTTAAACATGGCCTCCGCTAAGTTACTATGGGGCGTGACCCTGGGGCCAGAAGAAGCTCAAGAACCGGGAGTCACTGCGCCCGTAAAGCTTCTCGATCCCATACCGAGTCATCCTCCTACCTACCTGTTCCAACCTTCGTGACTATCACCATCTTTTCCGGCGCAAAACGACGACACGGGCGTATATCTCTCAACTTCCCCACAATACCACACCAAATCTTGTTACTACTCGAAAGAGTGCTGGCATGAGGCACACTCGATTCGCATCTCGTTGGAGCTGAGCCGGTCGTCATTGTGTCATTGGATTGTTACAATGTCTCGGCCACAGATCGGTATAGACCGCCTCCCAGTACGGCGTTCCAGCAATGAGCCAAAGGAAGCCATGAACTGCAAGAGTTGTCGCAAGAGAAAGGTGTGTTTGACATGATCAAGTCACGTAGACGCAGAAGACTCAGACCTGGCGAAGATCAAGTGCAACCGGCTGCGACCGTCTTGTGAAGCCTGCCAAGTCTTCAACTGTGATTGCATCTATGGTATGTAGTCTTCCTCGACACATATGAACAATTTATGAAACTGACTCGTTTGGATATACANNGACGCGGTTCCCAAGAAAAGAGGTCCCAAAACCGACGTACTCGAAGCCCTCCTGAAACGTGTGAATGGACTGGAGAAGAGGTTGAAAGACGAAGGAAAAGATCCGGATGAGGACATACAAGAAGCAATCATCGCGGAAAGCGTGAGGGATGCAGCGGACAAGAAGCTGCACAAGAAGGCTCCTTCTCCGCCAGGTGCTGTGATGCCCCAAACAGCCGAAGCACCGCAAATGCAGCAGCAACGACCGCAACCCNCACAGCGTCATCCGAGCATAGGCTTCCCAGACCAATTGATGCGGTGAGCTCCCATCGTGGCTGCCTCTTTCTGCGAAGACCTGCTGAGAATCAAAATTAGCCAGCAAGCCCCTTCCGCCCTCCAGAACAACACTCTTCTTGATGCATACTTCACACGGATACACAGCAAGCCATATTATATTCTCGATGAAGCGGCTACTCGCCAGAGATGGCAGACCGGACAGCTTCCTCCAAGCGTCATCAATGCCATCCATGCCGTTACTGCTCGGTGCGTCTAAACTCACGACGAGACCTGTCCAACTCAATCCATCTGACAAGGTATANGATTTGCACCCCAACATCTTGGTGGCCACAATGCTGCAGTCCGCCACAGCGAGGAATGCGCAGTGCGAGCGCGGAACTTGATGGATATTGACGATCCAACCATCGAGAACGTACAAGTTCTGTTGCTGCTCTCCAATGCCTTCTTCCAGGCCGGCAAGGGTAAAAAGTCATATATGCTTCTTGGTTAGTCCCGCTGTACACATCTCAATTCAAGCCTTGCTGACCGTGACCAAAGCTNNAGTGCCATCAGCATGGCATTTGCGCTCAGCTTGCATCGTGAACTTCCTGCCGGTCTTCGCATCTCGCCCAACGAACGAGAGGGTCGTCGAAAACTGTTCTGGACCTGCTATATCATGGACAGCTTCCTCGCCTCGGGCTCCAAGCGACCTTCGCTGATTGCAGACGAGGCCATCTTCNTACGGCTGCCCGGATGGCAATCCGATTCCACCTCGATACCATACGAAGGCAACTTCTTCTCCAATGGAATAAATCTACCCATGTCTGCGGGACCCGGAAGACTGCATCAGAGTGGTGGATCCATGTTGATCGAGATTTCAAGAATATTGGGCATCACAAATCGCTATCTTGCTGCAGGCGGCGTGAAAGGCGACTCACACTTTCCATGGCATGCCCAGTCGAACCTGTCCAAGATTCGGCAAGATCTCGATACTTGGGCTGCAAGCGCACAGGATGCTTTCCTCTCAATAGAAGCATTATTTGGCCAGACTGAAAGCCAGACGTTGGTTTTAAGCAAACTGGTTTACCACCTCATCCACTGTTTGATCTATCGACCTTTCCTACCGATTGACCTTACCGAGCTTTCCGGTACTGGACAACATCAGTCCTGGCAAATCGAAGCGACGAATCTTTGTTTTCTACATGCCAATGCCATTGCGGAGCTGACTGAGATTGGCAAGCATTCATCCATAAGTGATTGGCCGGCCTATGTCGGTTACTGCCTTTGTACTGCTGGCACCATTCACGTCCATGGTGCACACTATCCTAGTCGAGAAGGAGATGTCTTCACCAGGAGTGCCGAGTTCTTGTCCAAGGAGATGTCTCAGCTATCGGAAATGCGCATTGTCTGGGCTGGTGTGCAGCATCAACGAGAGACCTTGCAAACGGTTTACGGCTGTCATTCCCAGCTGGTGAAGTCCCTGGCCACCAACCCTATGAGATTCTCGCCTGTTTTTCAAATGGAGGACTTCTTTGATCGCTATCCTGGACAGTTCATCGATGGAGCACACGTCACATTCGCTGACATTACGGTTGAAGCCTTGCACGAGAGCCTGCCGGCATACAATGGCTTCAACAATACTAACAATAACAATAACGGTGGCACTTGGCAGTGGGCATCACAGTCTCAAGGCGGGCCTTCTGTTCCTTCTGCCACTGCGACGGCCAAGACATCCACCAATATCAATAACGATCATCATGTTTCTACAGCCAGTCGCAAACGCCGCCGCACCAATGACGCCGCCAGTCCACCGAATTTACCCGTTGTAATCCACGACCCAGCCCTCAATCCCTTGTCTCCAGACTTCGCAAACCCTTTGACATCACCTGATGCTACTGCTCAAACTCACCCGCCACCCACGACAGCAGCAGACGAAAGCCAGATGTTTGCCCAAAATCCACTCTCGCCATCCTTTTCCTTTTCGCCATGGCAATCCCACCTCTCACTTCCCATGGACCCCAATCTCAATCCAGCACAATTCGACAATTTATTCAGTATACCGGGACAAAACACGCATTCGAATGCGACCTTTGACCAACAGACTCCGGGAGGGCTTTCTGCGAATGGCAGTGTGAATACAGAAGGAGACAAAGATCCGTTCATGAGTCTGCTAGAGCAATTGGCCGAGAACGAACAAACCGGGCATGGGGGGCCTAGTGATCTAGACTTTTTCTTATCTTCGAATGGGGGGCAGGGTGGATTCTTGATGGGTTCGCCAGAAGACTCGAAGAGATGATAGATCTGGCTCATGTACAATATTGTAGTCTCATCAAACCTTCCAAGCGGCGTTATCAAGGGCCAAATGTGAGAGCGTCTTGACGCCGTTGATGAAATAGGAGATGAACCCAGGATACACAACACTACTCTTCGACATATGTATATAATCGACACAATTCGAACTGCCAAACAGCAAAATTTTAGTGCTCATATACGACACGCAAGATGTGACATTGGAAAACAAGTCTGTCTCATAACTCCTCCTAGCTATGCTCCAATGTATCATCTCGACAAGACCCAAATCCTGTGTACCAGATGGTACGCATCTATATCTAGAATCATTAAACTTAAGCATGTGCTTTCGATTGCGTATACACAGTCATGTCGAACGCATCGTCTTCTTCTTTCTGCTCGTTCTTCGACAAATCCACCGTCGTGTCCTTAAGGTTTTGCTTGAAGCATCTGCCAGGGTGGAAGATGTTGAGCAATACAGCAGCCACAGAGATCATANNCTATATATCAGAATAAGTAATCGGCCTGTGATAGAAAGTGGATCGGACTTACACAGAATCCAAGACAATGAATTCTCCCTCTCTTCTCATGATAGGAGAACCCCAACCATCCTTGAGCTCAGCAATTCGATACGCGCATCTGATAAAGATGAGAATAAATGCCGTGACCGCAGAGCCAATAGTCAAGCGAAAGTTTGTTGCTTGCCAGATGTGTCCAGCAGCAGGAGACAATCTCTCCTTTGCTCCAGCAACTTTCAGGAAGAAGATGCCCGCCAACACAGCAAATACTGCTAGAGTGACGACCTGAGAACTCAAGCCCGCGATCATGACATTGACGCCTAGATCCAGGAGTTGTTTGTTTGTGCCGCTAGCTGCAGCGGCAGAGATGGCCCCACCGGCACCTTGAAGGACGATCGCTAGTAGGTCGCAAGACACGAAGATTGGTGTGTAGAGAGAGGGCTTCAATGGTGAGAGGCGTGGTTGGAGCGATAGTGTCAGTTGCTTGAGAAGAAGGTAGATTCCGGCGGTTAGGAAAGCGGGAGCAAAGGTAAGGAGGACGATGTTTAGTTTGAAGCCGGTTGGAGAGAACGGGTCGTTGGAAAGGATGAGGCGGGATGCATAGCCNTGTTTCAGTCAGTCAAACTGTCTGCAAATCTTCTCGTTGCCTGAGAGAATGGGAAGGGGAGGTGTACCGATGCTTTCTAGAGCCGTGCCTAGAATGAGAGCAATGGAGAAGCCGATCCAATTGCGGTATAATTTGGCTTGATAGCAGAATACTAGACAACTAATGGCGAAGAGAGTGACAAAGAATGCATTGGCACCGAGGTTTGGCGCATAGCCGTAGATAGAGTATGATGCCGGGCACGTATCTTTGGTGCAGTGAGCTGGTCGAGTAGCAACTGCTCGGATGAGCATCTCTGATGATGATGGTATTCGAGATAACGAAGTCTGTTGCCGGCTTTGATGGAAGTGGATAGAGCTAATCAACGGAGTCGATGGTATCTGGTTGTGACTGTTCTGTGGACGAAAGGAAAGGTTGGTCGAAAAGAGAGGTCGACAAGAATCAGAGGGAGAAGGAGAACTGTACAAGGCAAGATCAACAGCGCATAGCACCTACTCCGTGATGTTCAGAGGCCGTCCCTTCTCACCTTGGTGCAGCCCGTTAATGCCAAAAGCTTCCAGAGCGCAAAGGAAGAGCAATCGCAAGGGCTGCCTGGTATCTATATTGCTCGCACTATGTCCGAGGAGTGAAAACGGCAGATATCAAAGATAGTCTATGCCGCTATGGCTGCGCAGGCGGAACGATGTACGAAAGCGCTCTGTCCGGGATCCATCTAACGTTCATTGTCCTCGTCCCTGCACTTGCCGCACCTCCAAGTTGTACATCGTGGGCCGAGAACACAAGAGTTCGGGGGCTTGACACTGACGACAGCAATTGCGACTGCGTAGCAGGTGTAAACGAGATGAGAAGACCCGCAGGCCGCGCGCTAACAGATATAAAGTCGCCGTAGGGCTGAAACCTGCAGGCTTTAGGGTTTGCCAAGCCGAGATTGAGATGCCGAAGCTAGCATTGTTTCGGCCTGTCTAGCGACTTGTCAGCTCCGTACATTTGTGCTGGGTGATATAAGATGTGTATATATGAAGACGAATAAAGGAGACACAAGCGCGAGATTGGGATATATTGAGGTTATACAAGGAAACAATCAAAACAACATGAGCCTTCCTTTTTGTCCTAGCACAATCATCTCTTCTATATTCTCGGTACGCCGTACACCACGTGTCTTGCGTCAAATCGCTTTTGAAAGTTCACATCTAGTTCTTGGTCTCGACGTTGATAGTCTGCTGCTCTTCTCTGGCTTGCTCGTCGGCGCGAAGAGCGGCTTGCACCGAGATGACGTTGGGAAGAGGAGGTAGCAGGGAACGAGTGGCCTGGCGGGCGTTCTGAGCCATGAGAGCATCCATGATGACAAGAGCGGCCATGGCCTCGACAATGGGAATAGCACGGGGAACGACACAAGGGTCGTGACGGCCCTTTGCCTCGAGGACACCCTCGGTCTCGTTGTAGGTGGCGGTCGATTGTGACTGACCAATGGTGGCAGCGGGCTTGAAGCCGACGGAGAAGTAGATGTGGGCACCGTTGGTGATACCGCCCTGGATACCACCAGAGTTGTTGGTCTTTGTGGTCAGGCGAGGGCGAGGGATACCGGCCTTGGCAGCACCCGAAGCAGCAGCCGAGCCCTTGGGAGCAGGAGCAACAATGAAGGGGTCATTGTGGATGCTACCAGGGACTCTTGTACCACCGAAACCAGAACCAATCTCGAAGCCCTTTGTGGCAGGGATGCTCAGCATGGCGTGGGCCAGCTTGGCCTCCATCTTGTCGAAACAGGGCTCGCCCAGACCAGAGGGCACGTTGCGGATAACGCAAGTGACGTTACCACCAATGCTGTCCTCCTTCTCCTTGTACTTTGCGATCAGGTCGGCCATGCGGTCATTGGCTTGGTCGTCGGGGCAGCGGACAGGGAGGAAGTCGTCGACCTTCTCGCGGGTAATCTCGTCAATCAGCTTGAGGAACTCGGGATTGGTCGAAGGGGTAGGGTGGTCTGCGGTGGCAGGGTAGAGCTGCTCGTGGCCGACGGAAGAGGTGAAGGCGACAATCTCGATGCCGTGGGCGAGCCTGAGGTACTTTTCGGCGATGGCGCCGGCAGCGACGCGGCCTNNGGGTTGTGTCAGCAGGGGCCTCTCAGCGGGAGAAGGTGGTATGGACTGACCGATGGTCTCGCGAGCACTGCTTCTGCCGCCTCCACTGCTGGCCTTGACGCCGTACTTTTCCAGGTAGGTCCAGTCGGCGTGACTGGGGCGCGGGTACAGGTCCATGGTGCTGTTGCCGTAGTCCTTGGGTCGCTGATTCTCGTTCATGACGCGCATGCCAATGGGGGTGCCTAGGGTGACACCAAACTCGGTGCCCGACTGGATCTCGACCTTGTCCTTCTCATTGCGCGGTGTCGTGATGGCGCTCTGTCCCGGTCTGCGTCTGGTCATCTGAGGCTGGATGTCGGCCTCGCTGAGCTCCATGCCCGGCGGCACACCGTCGACGATGCAGCCGACACTGAGGCAGTGCGACTCGCCATAGNNCTATTGAGGGTGGTCAGTCGGAGGGGTAAAGAGTCTAAGACGAGCAGTCGCGCACGTTGTTACTCTGAAATGCGATCCGAATGTCGACATGATGTGTGTGGTGCTGTGAAGAAATCAATAGAACAAAGCGACAGACCAAGAGCAAATGATCAATGGTTCGTCAATGGTTCCAAGACTTATTGCTCATGGCTCCGAAAAAGTCCAGCCCGCGATCGGCGTCTGTCTGCCATGAACCTCCAAATCGCGGCTCCTCGAATCCACTTCCCCTCCGACGTCACTCCAACACCATCGAGCATCGATTGTCAATCATCGACATCTCCTTCTTGCCATGTCGTTCGCTTCTTCGTCTTGTCCAGTCGAAGGCCTGCCATTCTTTGCCTGCAGTCACCGCTCTACCTGAAGCCTCGCGACTTTGACGCCATCTATCGTGTCGCATCGTCTTTCACCTAGATATCTTGTGCTGGTCAGATATAAATTCCGAATCATGGCCCTCTCACGAGAGCAAACTCATCTCGCATCTCTGAATCTTCCTTCTCCGACTCGCCAACTCTGCTTCTTTTCTACTGGCTGTCTGGCAGGCCTCGCCAGTCTTCCCATGGCATTCCTGCCCAGGAGTCCATCCATCGGAACAGCTACTCCTCCCGTACTTCGTGCTGGTATTCGATTTTGGACCTTCGACCAGACCCGTCATATACTGGCACCCTACCACCTCCCTGTATGGTTGACAGGCGGACTAGGAGGCGCAGCAGGAGGCTTTAACGAAGTTCTGTTGCACTCCCTGGCCCAGTCGAGAAAGTTGCCTGCTGCCACTGCTCTAGGTGCACAGACACTGCGTCTGTTTCTTTGTTTCGGCTCCTACACTTTTTTGAGCACTACCTTCAGTGCCACTCTGCCGCCGAAACCTTTCTGGAAATGCTGGTTGATGGGAGCGACTGCTGGTGCCACTGGAAGTGCTGTCGTTGCTGCTCTGGAAGGTGCAAGAGGTAGAGCTCTATGGGGCCATGCAATCCCTAGAGGTGCAGCGACCATAGGTACCGTGATTGCCGTCCATGTCACTAGTTGCGCCGCCCTGCTCGACACTGTGGCTGCTGGAGACTGATGTCTTTTGTTCATCGACCAAAGAGTCACAAGCGGCGCCACTACGACTAGGACACTCTCGTAAGGACAAGAGAAAGTCATGTGCCGGCTGCCAAACTATACGTTGCGTCAACGCAATACTATCAGCACAGGATGTCGTTACTGGAGAGGAGGAGGCAACAGCGAGAGTCCTACAAACACTGAACGCGTTACATGCGTGTTGTGTTGTTGACAAAGTGAAATCACAACTTTCAGGGGTGATTTCACAGAACTTCACTTTACTCATCCACCATCACTACGACACCGACAACACCAAGCTACATAGACCATGCCGTCGACCCCTTTCTCGCCAACCAAGTCCGGTCACCGGACGCGGTGGCCCACCTGGTTGGCGCCGTTCCGGCAAAATCATCGCTCATCTAAAGGTCCTGGGTTCAATCCCCAGCAAGGCCAGAAAGACAGAAAGAAATTATCAAAGGGCAGGCAAAGAAAAAAAGAGCAATAAAAGACAGAAAAAACATTAGAGCAAAGCCGTCCTGAAAGAAAGACAGAAAAATAACCACAAGTAAACTGCCTTTGAAATGCAAGTTTCTTCCGCCGGGAATCCGGTGTTTCTTTTGCTACTTGTGGTAGACAATGGGATTCTTTCTCTTACTCTATGTTACAAACTCAATCTACCAAGGCGTCTCGTTTCTTCTCGAAAACCAAATTCTCGACGACCTCGGGTCCTTATCACCCAGCTCCAAGAGCACAGGTCTCGTCAACCTCTGCCACTATACGTAGTAGCTGAGTTGCTACACGGCATCACTCAGAAGAAACCCGAGGTTGAGACCGATACTTGCCTACCCCTGAGCACATCGTGAAAGCCTTGTTTCAACACCAACACATTGCGTTAACGCAACATTATTAAGCGAGACAAGCAGGAGCTAGGAGAACAAATCTCTACCGTGCACGATTACAGACGCCGTTGTCTTACTCGGGTGCCTCTACATGCAGTGCTCCACTCAAGAAGTAATCCTACGTGTAAGCTCTGTGTTGCATATCAGGTTCTGTCATGTTGGTTATGAACTTTTATCGTTTCGTTCAAAGATTATGTGTTTGCAATAAACAATGTCGGCCATGGTTTGCATGGAACAACAAGTAACGAAAGATAGCAAGGAGCTGACCATTCATAGGTATGGTCTATATACCTTCTGGTCACCTTTGGTATGTTACGATCGTTCTGCCATGTCCGGCCAAAGACTTGAGCAACCCGGTAGACAATTCATTCTTTCAGTGGACTCCTCCCTAGTCACGTTTCGAGTACAAAAACAACTGCGCATTTCTGCAAATCCTTATTGCTCTGCACCTGTCACAAAGGAGGTGTGGAAGTTGTAGACTTTCTGTATGCCAGGGCGATAGAATGCTCAAGACCAAAAAACAAAATAGTTTGTCGCAGCCGTGAATCGAACACGGGGCTCGTGCATGGCAAGCACGAATTTTACCACTAAACCACTGCGACTATCGAACGTGACTATCACGTGATATTGATTGAGTCTAAATTGATAAATATATCTGTTAAACAAAAGATGGACGGTCGATACATGCCTCCATGGTCCGCCCTAATCTTGACATCCATACAGAGTGAATACAAGTACCACTTCAAAACGAGGGTTTCCTTCAAAAAACAATTCTATCTACCCCCTTTGATCTACAACATGCTATCCTTCTCCATCGCACCCACCACTCTCGCCCCCGAAGTAACCACTCGGATCAACACAGCCTTCCGCAGCGAACCCACCGGCCAAACCTGGCTCTTCTCCTCCCAAACCAATCGCATCGATATCTTTTCCCTGGAAGCAACACTCTCCATCCTCACCTCCCCTTCCAGCATCTTTCTCGCCGCCACACTTCCAAACACCGCCGAGATGATCGCAACATGCTTTCTCCGTAAACCTGCAGAGACAGTGGCACAACATATAAGTAAAGGAGCAGCTTGGTTGGGATTTCTCGCCGTAAAGCCAGCGTATCATGGACAAGGATATGGCAAAGCGATGTTGCAAGAAGCTGAAAGATTTGTCCGTGAGGAGTGGGGGGCTAAGCGGCTGGAAATGGATCATGTGAATGCGAGGGTTGAGTTGGGGAATTGGTATCGGCGGTGTGGGTATAATGCTACTGGCAAGAAGAGGGATTTTGTGTATGGTGACAAGGGTAGAGAGATTTTTGCTGCAGGGTTGGAGTTACTGGTTGTTGGCAAGGATTTGGTGATGAATTGAGCATCTCGGGCAGGCATTGGTTGGTGGAAAGTCAAAGACCAGGAAGGGATTACGAAGAGCATGGAAAGGAAGTGCTGGGTATCTGATACTGTAGCAAACCCAAAGACAAGGACAAGGCACTTCTAATGCCAAAGAGATAAAAGCAACAGCAGTAGAAGAATGGAGAAGCCAAAAGACCCAAGACTCCGAAAACAAAACACCCTAAACCCGGGAGCAAAGACCCCAATCAGCATTACTCACACCTCAGCCTACACAGCAGCATTCGATGGTCTTCTACTCAAACCAGCATTAGAAGTCCTCCGGCTGCTACTCACACTGCTCACACTGGCCGCTCTGGCAAGTCCAACCCTCTCCTCATAGATCCTCTTAAGATCATCAACCGAGCTCTTGCGCAAACCAATCTTCTCAACGACAGGTGCAATCCTGCTAGGATCCGGTTGTTGAGCGATTGTGGTGTTGTGCGTAGACTCAATGGAGGCCATGCGTTTCAGTAGGCCAGGTGATGGAGTTCTGGCAAACGTGGGTGCGGTGGGAGGCGGGTTGGAGAGAGAGGGTGCACGCGAAGTCGTGCGTGAGGATGCTGCCCAGGTGGGTTTGGCGAACATGTTGTTGTCCGGCTTTGGAGGCGAGGGGGCTCGCGCGGACGCTGAGCGTTGAGGTTGAGCAGACGATGGGTCGCTGCTTGTTGGAGAGCCGGGCGATGCTGTCGACGACACCGGCTTTCTCTTTGCAACGTCGGTTGCTAGGGAGTTTCTCAACTCCTTCATGAGATCGTTCTGCACTGGAGGGGCTGGCTTAGGAGGGGTCGGTTTAGAAGGCACATTTGGAGGAGACTCGGTATATGGCAAAGCATTTCTGACGTCTGTGAAGTCACTCAACGGACTCGACTGGCTTGTATGTGACTGCGAGACGGAGCGGCTAGGAAAATTTGCATAAGGTGGAGGAGCGACGCCTATTGGTGCAGGTTTGCGTTTGATGGGAGAAGCCAGACTATCATTTCTTGCAGGAAACGTCGACTTGGACTCCTCAGGCTGCCTCGTTTTCGGGAACGGGCGAGGGGGNAGAGTCGGTTTCTCGGACTCATCATCCTGAAGAAGGATTTTATGTGATCGTTCTCCAGAGTCGTTTGATGTTGTATCCCTATAGTGTTCCTGTAAGGGATCTTCGTAGTCCTGAGCAGACGGTGGTGGTCTCAGCGCAGCGACAAACGAGTCTGGAGCAGTCTGACAAGCGTCTCGGAGGCCATGCGGCCAATACTCGACTGCAGCCTCGAGTACTCGACGGACAATAGAGGTCATTTTGGCATCAGCTAGTTGGTCCGAACCACAGACAAGAGCTGGCGAGAAACATATTGCTAGGTTATCAGGGGTCATTTTGTTGGTCGCCTGGTAGCTTGTGACAAGAGAAAGCAGAGGAAGAAGGTGAAGTATCAGTATAAGTCTCGCTGCCTGTGAGAGGAACGAGGTATTCGAGGTTGGTGACAGCATCTCGATCAGGTCTTCCAGCTCAATATCGGCATCGGGACTTCCGAACTTATATCTCAGTTCATCGTAGCAAGTCTCATGGAATACGGGCGTCTTCAACTCTCGATACCAGAGTTTGATAAGACCAGCTGCCAGATGTACACCGTACGCGTCCGACTGATGGATGTGTCTGAGAGTCTGATGGTCCATGTCAGGCTGGGTATAGGTAATTCCGCCCTCCTTCCAGACGATGAATTGTTGACCACGATCGTAGGCCTCTTTCAAGATGCCAACCAGGATGGATTGAGGAGGAATGCGAAAGATGCCCTCTGTCCCGATGTTTTCACTCTGGCACAGGAAAGTTGTGGTTTCTCTTAGCACACGAGGCAGACGTCTTTGGCCGTACAGATTGCGAGGCATAGGGTCATTGGCNGCAAAGGCTCTTCGGCCGCTGACGTACGGCGAGTGGATGTCGGGCGATAGGCGACGGTCGTGGAGGTAGACGTTGGGTGGGATGAGCAGCTTCTCGATGGGAATCTGCAGAGCCAACTGCGAGAGGGTCGAGACGTGGACAATCTTCTTGCGAAACTTGGGCGAGACCATGGTGCCAAAGACCTCGATGAGTACGCGCACCCAGCTACGTTCGTGGACAACATAGAGCCTCTGTAGTCTCTTGCGCACCGCCCTGCTGAGCACGTGGTAGGCCTGTAGGTACCAGCCCATGCCTGGGCCACTCTTCTTCTCGGATGTAGCGCTCTCGGGCTGTCCACCGGCAAAGAAGACGATCTCATATTCTTCGCCTGCAATCAATTCTTCCTCTCCGGGCAGTCTGGCGAGTACGTAGGGTAAAAGGGCATCGTAGTCGACTTCGAAAGCATCGGGAAAGGCGGCGGCATTGAGGATGTAGACGGGTAGGCCGGACTCAGACGGGAGAGGTGAGCGATAGAGGATGGATGCGGCAGTCGCGGCGTAGTCGTCGATGTATTCGGACGAGGAGCGTGGAGGAGGCACTGCACTGAGCGATGTGCTGCGAAGTCGAGTCGCGCCTCGCGCAAAGGCCTTCATGCTGAAACAGACGGTCGGCCTAGAGTCAGCCCGCTACACGACTTGTTCCTTTTAGTCCAGGGGGATGGTCGTATGCTTTCTTCCAGTTTGGAGACAAAGTCGAACAAGTCCAGCAGAAGAAGCACCCTTCAAGTGTCGGGTGATGGCCAAGGGTGCTGGTTACGTATGCAAGCAACCCTTTGCGTCTTTTGGTGGCAGCGCCTCGCACCCGCCGAGTCAAGAATCTTGCAGCCTATTCTTGTCGATGTGACAATGGCATGTGTGTCACCCTGCCTCGTGGATATATGACCAGTCTACAGTACAGATACGCAGCGCTGAATCGATTTTCTGTTGCGACAGGAGTGGCTTTGCTTTTCTTTGTTTGTGCCTCGTCAACAATCAAACCTTCAGGGTCTCGATGCACCAGCCCGCAGTGGGGTCGACAGCTGAACCAACATCTCCCGCCTCAACCTTTGATATGACACATTGTCTATCATCATGGAACCATCAGAAAGTCACGAGCCTCATCGTCGACGGAACATGGCGCATTGTGATAGCTCTACATGTATGCACCTGCGTTGCTTGGCCTGTGTCGTTTGATCTTTGACCTAGAGTCTGACCACAGATAAGAGTCTTGATATCACGGCCTCTCTCTCTAGTTATGCCTCTCTTACAAGCCACTCGAATCCTGATCTCACACACACGAGTCTTCCTACCATAAAGTCCAAATTGCATGTCATCGATGATTTGTGATGTCCATCAGGGTTGCAACTAGTTGCCATTACCAAAGTCTGGAAGCACGGAAGCCATCCGCCTCGTCCGGCTGCTATGCCGTCGTCGAGAATATTATTACTGGAGACACCGCGCCCTAAATCACGCCTTCTGAATGACAACCCTTGACCCTTCAAAACTTATAAACCTTTGTATTCATTCACAATGTGTGTCGTATCTCACCATTATCTACAACTTTGCTGCAGTCTCGCCAGCACCCTTGGATTCCTCTTTCTCGGCTTCAGCGGCTCTGGCTTCAGCCTTCTCTCCGACACCGGAGCCGCCCATCTTCGCGACAACACCTTTGACGACCTCGAGAGTTGCTGCTGGGCCACCAGGCTCAGCTGCTAGAACCTCGCCGTCTTTCTTGACAACAAAAACTCCACGTGTGGTGCCCTTGGGTGCCTTCTTCAGTCCGATTGCTCCAATGAGCGAGGCTGAAGGGTCACACAGCAAAGGGTATGGAAGCTTTTGCTTGTCTTTGAAAGTCGTGTTGGCCTTGGGCGAATCGGTACTCAGACCGTAGATGCTGAGTCCAGCTGCCGTCAAGGGTTCATACGAATCCCTGAAAAGGCAAACCTGGGTCGTANNCCTATGGAGCAAACATGTCAGCAACCAGCAATCGAGTCAGAGAAGAAGCCATGTCTTTTCTCAAGGTATAGAAGACGTACATCCTGGTGTGCTCGCCTTGGGGTAGGTGAAAAGCACAATGCCTTCTTTGCTCTCGTCGACCAGCGTCTTGAGCGTGACTTTGCGACCGTCGTTGGTCTCAATCTCACCGCCGAAGCCATCAAAATCAATCTTGTCACCAGGTTTGGGTGTGCCAGAGGCAGCCTTGGTTTCTGGCTCGGACGCGGCAGCAGGCACAGCACTCGTCTCTGGCGCAGCAGGCTCGGCGGTAGGCTCAGCAACAGTCTCGGGCTTTCCATTCGCCTTGGTTGCCTTTGTCTTGCGCTCTTTTTTCGGTGCTGGCGCCGGAGCCGGCGGAGGTGTCTTGCGCTTTCGTAGTTCAACCATGATGGGGGGTTGGAAGACAAGCTATGAAGTCGCGATGAAAGGCACAGATCAAGTGGTGAGTTCGCACGTTATTTGATGTTAACGACAGAGTGTTTGCAGTATTGTCAGGCAAGCTATTGTCAGCAAAAAGCTCGAAGGAAGCTCGAGGGGGAGCTCTCGAGCAGTTTACGCGCCAGCTCTGGACAGCTTCGCGAACCCCGCCTCCGGCAAAATCGACCTCGACCTGCAACTCGCGGCTTCCCTACCAGTCGGCTCTCTCAGCTAGCTCACTCCGAATACTCCGACTGCCGACCGGCCAATTTTTCAGACTTCACGAACATGCGACAATAGTGCAACCCCAGGCGATGGACCAATTTCCAAGAAACGACTGCCGTGACGAAATCGGAGGTCCCTTTCTGCCTTGACATCTTGGCTGGAGAGACCTTCACTTCGCATCCCCTTCATGACTCGACTGAAGACGCCTGCTATTGACAGCAGACATCATACCGACATGCATACCAGTACTCGAGCAACAGGGGTAAGAGACCGGCATGGCTATGGCATCATAACTGCTTGCAACTCATGCCCATGACGCTGGAAAGGTCGCTGCTTTTTTGATGTTCGCTCTTGCCACTCGGCTACCAAAATTCAGATCCACCTCGCAACGTGCATCTCAGAATTTGTCCTTCACAACAACAAAGGTAAACTGGCCACGGTAGGTGTTTACTATTCTCTCCATCGGCTACACAAGACCAGTCCTTGCGCCTGCATTTCATGTCTCCTTCCAGCCCCTTATGCCGCTTTCAACCTCGACATGTTGGTGGTCCAGCTTCCATCGCATCTGAAGCTTGGACCACCATCTCCATCAAACGCTTGACTAACCCGCAATTTTTTGATAATATTCAAGTAATAGAAACTGCTTGTTTCGGTGCTTTGGGTCCAGAGCACGAGACTTTTCGCAAACAGGTCGACCATGTGTTCCGAGATCGCTGCTTGACGTCTCGCGCATTCAGACTCATCCTTCTGCTGACCTAGTTTTTATACTTTCATCATCCGCCTTCTAATCACCTTTCCTGTTTCCTTACTTTCTTCGCCCACTACCAAATTTGCTACCTCCAGCGACTTTCAGGACTTCCCGACTGATTGTCCTGTCACGAACGACCTACGTCGCAACCGCCAACTCGACCCTTGTTATCTGCCACTATGGCATTGGAAGAAAAGAAAAGAGGCGGATACACCGCTGGCAGCGTCAGCTCATCATCGAACACAGATTTGGAGCAAGCACCGCCGCCGAGACTTCCAGAAGAGAAGGATACAATCCCCGAGGCAGATGAGACCATGACATTGGACAGCAAGAGGGAGGGTCTGATGGTGAATCCATTCGAGAACGATGCCAATGGCGAGATCGAGTACAGGACGTTAACATGGCTCAACGCCGGCTTCCTCCTTGTCGCTGAAACCATCTCGTTGGGTATCCTTTCTCTTCCTGCTGTTGTGGCCAGCATGGGTTTCGTCCCTGGCTGTATCCTCATCGTCTTCTTCGGTGTCCTTACAACCTACACCGGTTATGTCACCTATCAAGTCAAGATCGCATTCCCTGGTATTCACAACTTCGCCGACGCTGGTCTCTTCTTCTTTGGAAGATGGGCTAAGGAAGTTTCTGAGGCCGCTCAGATCATCCTCTTGGTCTTTATCATGTCTGCGCACATCTTGACCTTCTCCATCATGATGAACGTCCTCACCAACCACGGAACCTGCACCATTGTCTTCACCGTTGTTGGTATGGTCGTGTCCATGATTCTCTGCATTCCCAGAACCATGAAGAACGTTGCTCTCATGTCAATCGCCTCCTGCTTGTCCATTGCGACTGCCATCTTCATTGCTATGATTGGCATCGGAATTGATCCTNCTGCTGGCGCCCATGCATACGCCGTTACTCCTTCGAGCCAGACTGGATTCCGCACCGGCGTCGTGGCTGTCGCCAACATCCTCGTCTCCTTCTGCTCCAACATTGCCTACTTCGGTTTCATCTCCGAGATGAAGAAACCTAGAGATTTCCCCAAGGCCTTGGCTATGCTGCAAACTTGCACATGTTCTCTTTACATCATCGTCGCTGTGGTTATCTACCGCTTTGCTGGTACCGATGTCAAGTCTCCTGCCATCGGCTCTGCTAGCCCCATCGTCCGCAAGGTCGCATACGGAATTGCTATTCCCACCATCGTCGTTGCTGGTGTCATTTACGCTCACGTTGCTACAAAGAACGTCTACGTTCGCATCTGGCGCAAGACCAATGTCATGAACGAGAAGAGTTTCCGCTCGCTCGGCAGTTGGTACGGGCTCACCATTATCCTCTGGGTCGTTGCCTGGGTCATCGCCAACGCCATTCCCGTTTTCAGTCAGCTTCTCGGTCTCCTTGGCTCTCTTTTCTGCACTTGGTTCTCCATGATCTTGCCTGCTGCTTGGTGGATAATGATGAACAAGAGACAGCTCACCTCGAACTGGAAGAAGATTTCTCTCACCATTGTCAACATCGCCATTGCCCTTATCGGACTCGCTCTTTGCGGCTTGGGTGTCTGGGGCAGTGCTGTGGACATCTCCGAGAACTCTGGCAGTGCCAGCGCCTTCTCTTGCGGCGACAACTCATAGACGTTTGAGTGTATTATCATCGTCTCGATTTCTTGCATTTTATGAGCATTTCTGCATGGCGTTTTGGAAAGACATGCATCTTGTAGTCACGGCCTACGTGTAACGTTATAGCATGGAGAGGGAAAAGTTCATTGATTAGGACAAAAAGCATTGATACGAACCCCATCGAGAGACCTAGTTTAGAAGGGTCCTTATGATACAGAATTATACGCTCTTCACTGAGCCGAACTCCATTTCAAACATTTTTATCTTTTCTTTCGCTCTTTTGATATTCTTCTACTGCAAGCGCATCATGGCTTAATCCGATGGCTCTTTCTTGTATCCATTCTGCATCGCTGCTTCTTGATCAGCTGTGACTGAATCGCTCCTTCCACACTTGTTTCGGCTGGGTCGCTCCTTCCAGTTCCATTGTGACTGCATCGCTCCTTCCATTTTCATGCCCGGTTTGCATCGCTCCTTCTCATTATATACATTGCGTAGACCGCTCTTTCCCCTTTCGTGCAAGATCGCTGTTAACTTTTCCCTCTGTATCTTGCACGTGTTGGTCCCTTCCATTTCTGTACCAGCCTTCTGTGTCAGTCTTTATCGTTCCTCTTGTTCCTGAAGTAGGCCGACTTGTTTTTTTTTCCTTCAATGCGGTAATTTAAAGTCGTGCTTTGGTTACGTCGTATGCTCGACGAAAAAGAGGGGATACGGAAGGGAGGAAACGAGCTCAAGGGATGAGGATGGACGGAAGATGCAAGGGGTTGAGGAAAGAACCACTTATGAGGAAGGAGCAACTAGCTGTCGAGTGAGGTACGCCTCACCATGGAGGAAGGTGCAATCCGCTGTCGAGAAAAGCGCAGCTCACTCACAATGCAACTGCGTTTCGCTCTGTACAAGTACGCAACCGTTAACCAGGGCAGGAGCGACTCTTCAACTCAGCCTAGGATATCAGCATTCAATCATCTCACGCAGGGAGAAAGCGACGATCTTCCAAATTCAAGGTGAAGCAAGACATAAAAGGTTGTTTCATATTGAAGATGGAAGAAAGAAGGCATTGCGAAACGTGGTATCAATCTTCGTAAAGGTCCAAACAAGCCATCAAACGCCGCGGTGTATCCATAAGTCCTCCTTTGTCCCTTGGCAAGGCCATCCCAAAAAGATATGCTCACTGACCTCCTGCGCCCATCAAAAGAAGAAAGAAAGAAATGGTAAAGACATTGGAGGAGAAAAAGAGAGCAGCAAAGCCGAATGACCTAGGCATCGCCAGCTCTGTTGACATCTCGAGCGACCTCTTCATACCAAATAGCATGGGATGCCCAGTCAACCTCTGCCACTTTCCTCAGAAGCTCCACCATCTCGCCAACTTGTGTCACGAACTCAGGCAATCCAGCGGTAGCCAATGCTTCTGACGCACCACTCGCGGCTCTGACTCTCTCACTCGAAGTCTTGGCCACGACACGTGAGAAAACATGGCTACGCAATCTAGAGCCCAAAACTTTGGCTACAGGGTCTGTGAAGCGTTGAGTTGAGGCCTGGGTGATGACGCGAAAGGTTGCTGACTGCAAGGCGGTTTTCGTGGATGGCGGCAGGTTGTGTGCATTCTCGAGGACACCAAAGGCGCGCGAGGAAAGGCTTGCTACGGCATCTTCTGACGTGGTTTCTGAGGGCGACTCTTTGGTNAAAAGGTCCCAGAGACGAGATGCTTCGGCTTTCCAAGGACTGCGCACATCGCGCTTGAGCATGTTCTTAGCTACCAGTAGGATGGCACCAATCGTGGTCATATGCAGAGCCTTTTGTTTGATGGCGCAAAGACGGTCTACATCGAGAGCAAGAGTCTCAGGCACATCAGTAATGCTAAGTGGACCCTGTCCGAAAGTCAGATCAACCAATGCACGAGTATAGATATGGTGAGCTGAAGGCCTGTCTGCAGGATTGCGGACCTGCTCCGGGTCCCGTCGATCGGCTTCAGTCAGCATGTTTACGCTCGCGTTGCGCCACCAGCGATTGGTGCATGCAAGTGTAACTTTGCCTGAGGCAATGTCTGCTGCAAATATGCGCGACTCGTACCCAGCTGATTCTCGTATGAGTACGGGAGCTGCGTTCATCAACAAGAAGTTTGAGTAGTCGAGCGACAGCAGATCAATGAAGTGCAACAGGCGGAAGAGCTTCTCGATCATGGCACCCATATCCTCGCCATTATCTGACTCGAGGTCCTCGGCCAACGCTTTCACCTGCGCATCACGGAAAGGTGCGCACAGCTTTGGCAGAATGTTGGCCATGAAGGAGAAGAAGTTGGCGTACGAGAAGATGCCTTGCTCGCACTGTCGATAGATGAGATCTGTATCCAGAGCCTCAACAATGAAATCGTGCATGGAGTTACCAGGCTTCACGATGTGCACGAGCTTGGCTCTGATTTCTTGAGCCATAGCGACGGTCCACGGGGTCCCCAAGCCGTGCTCAACTCCATCCCGCATACCATCACATAATTCGCGATTGACAGCATCACGGATGTCTGAATGAGTACCGGAGGAAATGCGGAATTCTTTGTCGATAGCGAGCTCGTGAGTCAATACACGATTGCTTGGGATCGGTGAGAACAAACGGGCGAGGCTCAGTCGAACGTCATCTTGTGATTCAGCCTCGTCGTGAGCTGGGTCCCGCGAGCTGGTCTCTGCAACAATGGGTAATGTTTCAGTAGACTCGGTTTGGGCTCCTTCAACATCGGCGGCGGCGCGAGGACGGACTTCGGCAGCAGATCTTCTCTTGACGCGCCTCCTTCGGCTCTCACGAATAGCCTTCTTGATGAGGAAGTCGGCACGGTCTGGGCCAGCTAACTTTCGAATTTTGCTAAGAAGCATGACCTGATTATCGCGAATTCCTTGACGGTAGTCTTCTGCAACTGCGCCTTGGGTGTCGTCTTTCACCGTCTGCCAAATAGCGTCAAGCTCGACAAATGAAGCGACCATAGTCTCGACCAGAGCCGATGAATCTTGAGCTCTCCATGCATCGAAGGCAGAACCATAAGTTGTGTATAGTTGTGATAAGTCCTGGAGCCTAGCTGTAGGGGCTTCGAAGCGACTTGAACGCGAAAGCATAGATATGGTAGACTCGAAGCAATCAACCAACTCGCGGGCTTTGGCCATAAGATGCTGCTCCTGTGCACCGTTTTTGCTGAAGACGGAGGCTGGATGGACGATGACGAGATAAGCGCTAAGGAAGGTGCGGGTAGCCTGAGGTGACGGTGTATCCTCAACATCTTGCAGAGTAAGGAGACGAAGAACTCGAGTAGTAGCTTGAATGATGGGTGTCTCGGAGAGCAAAGCGCCTACGTCCTCGAAGGAGCGTTCTTGAACGCTTCCTAGACTGAGATGGAAATCTGCAAAGGCATTCACAATCAACCTCCGTCGTCGCACCCGCCATGCTCGTTGTATCCTCAAGACGGCTGTCTCTTCGTGTAGCTTTGGACTCGTGTCGTCGTCGGCTTCGGAAACGTCGGCCAGCTTCTTCTCCTGCTCGCTGGCTCGTCGTGTTTTGCGAGAGGTCAAATTGCGCTTGTATTCTGCCCTCCTTCTGTCGGCGTCTGCCAACCTCTCTTCCATATCCAAGCGAGCTTGCTTCTCTTCTTCGAGTTTCCTGGTCTTGATTTCTTGTGCCTTCTGTTTGGCTCTTTGGACCTCCTCAGCGCATGCTGCTGCGACCTTTGCAAGGTGGTTCTCGCGAGCCATCTGAGCAGCCAGGGCTCGCTCTTCACTAGCACTGGCATCTCCTCTAGGAGCAGCCTTGGCCATGGCGGCTCGTAGACGGACTTTTTCGGCATGTGCGGCGCGGTCGGCGAGTCGTGCTTTCCGGGCTTCGATGATGGATGCCCTGCGCAGGTGTTGTGCAATGTAGTTGCTCTGACATGACGAAGAGCGACGTAGCGAACGTGTCGAGGTATGCGACTGGATCGAGGACAGCGAGTTGCGACGGGATGAAGCGGCCGAGGACTTGTATTGGCGAGACTTGGGATCGCGGTAGAAACGAGCGGCGATACGAGCAGGCGGTGCGTAGACTTGGCCAGCATCATCCGACATGATGACCATGGACGTGGTTTCGAAATCGTCCTCCTCGGCAATCGTGTTCTGTCCGTCGTAATCGGGCAGGTCGCTGCTGGCTTGACTGTCTTCGGACATGTTCTCTACGGCAATGTCGGCAGAGTCGAGCGACATGTTGTCCACCAGGCTCATTTTCAAGTCGTCTTCGGTCGGTCGGTCGTGGTGGGGGTGGCCTTGTCGCATGCGGCGAAGACAAAGGATGGACAATGGCGTGAACTCGAAGCAATCGCTCGACGAGTCGAAGCAGGAAGCCGTTCCTTTTGAAGCCGAAGAGACGGACGGCGAGGTGGTCAGCGCACTCTTTCGGGGTTGGTCTTGTAGCGATTAGATGGCGATTAGGGACCCCTCGGACGGCCGCTAACTCTTCCCAAAACGACCTTCACCCTTGATGACGTTGGACGAAACCGCTGGGCCTTTGCATGTGATCAATCAATAATCCTCCTTCTTGGACAAGTGATGGCAATGCATGCAAGAACGATAGAAGACATGTTTCAACAGAGCAGTCATGCGCTGGTAGGGCAATTGCGTCTTTCCCACCATCCCGCTTTCCACTCTTGTTTTTCGATGCGTAATCACCTGCCGTCTTTGTTCCAACACCTTCTCTCCGCTTCGTGACTCCAAATCTCGCACCTCCTTTCGGAACTACCTTACATGCACCACTACTCCAGGTACTGCAATCATTTCTATCCTTTTTACAACATGGACGTGCACATATGTTTTTTGTTGAAATCTTGGTTGGCAAAAGCTATAAAAGAGCTTCAAGACTACCTCCAAGAATGACTGCGCTTGTCCTTTATCTGAGAAACTCAAAGATAAGGTATAGCCGTCGCTTTTGTCACAGAAGTGACTGACAAAAGAAAATACATCAACCAGAGCACAGCCATGCAATCATGGCTGGTCTGCAATGACAACTCCAAGAATCGCCCACATCTCTCTACTCTTCCTCTAGCATCCCCCTCTGTATGCTCCTCCCTGCCCCCTAAACTTTCGATTCTTTTTGCGCCTCGCTAAGAACTTTTTTCTGGCTGTGAAATGTTGCACACTTGGTGACATATGAAACTCGTTTTGCCTTCTTGAATGAAGGAGTGGCGTGGTGCCGCAAGAACGCACCGAAAAACAGCACAAATGGCGTCGTCATATTGCGTCGTGAAGGTCGTGATAAAAACGTATGGTGAATATGTTACAATGAAGCGATCATGTGATGTTGCCCATCACAGACCGAGGCCGGTTGGTGTGCGGCCCAAAGTGTTGCCCGGTGTTCGGACATGGTTGAAGAATTTGAGGAAAGCCGATTTCTTCGAAGATGACTTTTGCTTGATCTTTGCATACTTGACCATTGGTCCGACGATGTCAGACCCGTCAAGTTTGGGAAACTTCAGAGGATCGTCCAGAGCGGGCAGATCAGTGAGAGGAGCCGGCTCTGCAAGAGGCTGGAAGACAGGCGTCTCACCATTCGCAGCTGTCTTTGCAACAACCAACTCATGGTTTCTCTTCCACTGCGCATCAATCTCTGCCCACTTCTTCTCTGTGTACTTGTACACTTGCGAAGTTGGACCATAATGCTCACTCGTGCGCGCTGCTTGGTGCATGAATTGCCTGCGAGCCGATTCCCAGTCCTCAAACAGTTTACGGCAAGCGTGAATGTTGTAGGTTTCTGGCAGATAGGGCTCTGGGAAAACGTTGAAGTTCGCATGTCCGAGCTTCTCTGCCCACTTGTCCTGGGGACTAACAATGTGCATTGTGGAAATGTCGGGCGAAGACATGACTTGGCTAGAGTGCATAGCGCCGAGAGAAGTGGTGGAAGTATGCGCCGACAGGGCAGGTGAGACCATGGACATCTCGGGGAGAATTGGACTGGACAAAGATGGGCCAATCATTGACAAGCGAGCTATCTGAGCATTGTCGACAACAGTGGGAGTCTGCAATGGAGATTGGACTACATCCTCGTTGATTGGTTCGGGATTCTGAATTGTCCTGGGAAGAAGTGGTGTAGAGGCTAGGGCCTTGCGATCGATTGGTTCGTCCGCTTCAGGTATCTGAATATCCAGTGGATTTGAGGTCTCGACAGCAATATTGGCTGGGGTTGGTGTCGGAGTTTGCTCAGCTTCGACGTCAAGAGGAGTCAGAACAGGCTTTGCTACAGAAGACATGCGGAAAGACGAAGTACGTGAAGGTACACGAGAGACAGGAGCGCTCTTTGTGCTAAGACGGTGGACAGCTGTGGTCGGAGGAGATGTCGGCGTTCTGTCACGGCGTTTCGAGAACGATGACAGGCGACTGCCCACACGAGAGGCCAGACCGGTGACGGATGATTCACCAGAATTCGCTCTGGATCTGGATTTGGCTACCTGTAGAGGGAATTCACTGTCGCTGTTGAAGTCGCTCGGTCCATCCGCGAGAGAGTAGTCCAGGCTGGGTCGTTCCAGAGCAGATGCAGACTGACAGAGACGGGGATCCATCTCGGCTTCGCTCAGATAGTACATGTCATGGTTAGAATGGGTTTGCTCGAGACCACATTGGCAGTTGGACTCGAATGCGCTGTCACAGAGGTCAAAGCCATCCTCTCTCTCATGGGGATCTTCAACAAGATCATGGAGGGTCGTCCTTGAGACGCGGTTGTTGAGGGATTCGATGCTAGGCTCGTACTTTGGGGGAGTTGACGCGACAGATGAAGAGCTAGAACTTGATTGGCGCGTGTGTTCATGGAAGGAGAAAGTTTGCGTTAGAGGTGAGTAGTTGTCGGATGTGCCTGATGAGTTGCGAGAATGCATTGAGTATGGCGAGTCGACCATTTCGCCGATCGTTGCGGCTGTAGGCGTTTGCGCGACGATCAACTTGGGGAGCATAGATGGTCGCATATTGGCGCGTTGCATGATATTCTACCGGAAAACTTGGACGACGGCGTCCTGACTATAAATCGAATGCAAATGGCATAATGATGTGTCGTGTGAGATGGTTGGATGCCTGGATTGGGAGCCGGGATGAGGCCAGAGAGTAGTGAGTCAAGCAACCACGTTCGGACGAACAGAGGGTGGATACAGAGAGAGAATCCGGGCGTCCGTTGGCTGCACGTCGTACCTGACACTTTTGATCCGCCTACTTGGATGGTCGCTGGAACAGAGGGAGGGGAAGAGAGAGAGGTTGCGAAGAGTGTTCGTGAAGAAGATGTCTCAAAGCAAAACGGCGACAAGCGCAGCGCAGTAGTCAGAGCAAGACAGGCGCAGTCGATCAAGATCAGTCGGATGCAAAACAGAAATTGGGGCCTAGCGTGCGGGTCCCATGGCATTTTTTATGCTTGAACCTTCGATGCAGTCACCATCGCAGAGCTTAGGCCCTAGAGCGCGGAGCAGACATGTGGCCCCTCCTCATCCTCCACCAGACAAGCGCCTAGCGGGAAAACCACCACCCTTGTTGCAAGCAGTCCAGCCACCTGCAGCTGTAGCCGATGCTGGCAGCTGTCGAGTCCACTGGCAATCGCTTGCATACTGTGGTCGAAACTCTCACCTGCTCTCCTTCGTGCACGAGATGCACAAGACAATGGTCCCTTGTCTTTGGACTGTGTGTGCCCATTCTGCCTGTCATGTAACGGCCACACGTACAACCTTGACGCTCCAGAACCGACAAATCCTTCGGATATCGAATAGTTTGTTGTGCGCCCCATCATTCAACGACCTTCCACAACTGCCGCTTTGGAAATTGTGGCCATCAGCAGTCACGCACAAGTGCTTTGGATCAGGTGTTGGAGGCATGTCGTCCTTTCTGTCATTTCTGATCATCCAGTGACCCCTTAGGCTTGTGCCTCTATGCTGTCTACAGCTTCCGTTGCAGGGTCTGTCTCGCTTCTCCGTCCTTGACCCTTTCTGTTTCTCTCCATCTGCTCTAGCTCCATCAAACACACACCCGAAGCATTTCGTCACTTGTTCGTCTTGTTCAACACAAGCGACAAACGGCCACACCGACGGCCACCTGGACGCTGGGGCCGCGAATGACGAAGACTTGCACGCTTCAACCTCGTGTGTCAAAAGGTACAGTTACGGCATTACAAATCCACCGATGACCGTGGTGGAGCAGGTCGAAGAGGGCACCAAGCCCTTTGGCAGAAGGTCGGGCCAAAAAATCAGAGGGAAATCTAACCAGTCACGTCGCACGCAACGCAGCTTTTTCGGCAGTGGATAATATAGAAAGAGACTTCTTTTTCCTTTGGCACCCGAACAAAAGCCAACCTNAGCTTTGACGCAGGTCCCGCTGCAAGCGCGCCTTCTCCCGCCTTTNNTCTGCCCTTGTCGTCTGCTCGTTTGTGATACCCACCCNNCAGCTCTTGACTGTTCGTCCTTGCAGATGGAGCGGCTCTAGCTACAATGTACCTCAACGTCATTTGNTAGAATTGGATATTCTTCCTTTTTCCCTGCTGTTTCACGTTTCGAACGGTCGAGTTCTTAGAGGTCGGATTCTTGTAGCTGTAGCAGTAGCTGCGTATGGTCGCGTGGGCTTTCTTTCACCATTCAGCGGGGCCGTCGACCCTGCGGGCACTCTCCACTAGAACCAGAGAAAGTGGTAGTGCATCTNNTGTACCGATCAGGTACGGGAAGCGAGGAACTTTCACGACAAAGGGATCCAGCAACCTGGGAGGNCAGGATGCCCAACACAGCCCAGCAGACCAGAATTGATGAAACCGATAGATGCAGCAAGTTGCTGACGACGCATGCAGAGTACTGTATCGACCCTTTTGTAGAGCTGCAAACCTCGCGTCAAGCCTGAAACCACCGACCAGCAGACAGGTCAATGTGATTGACAAAGCAGCCTCTCTGTTGGCCAGCGTCTTCTTCGTTGTTACTTCGTCTCTCCGAGTCATAAACAGCTGCAAAGCTCAGAAGCCTCCGGAGCAGCCGCACGTCCGCAGCCGAACCGTCTTCTTTGACAGCCAGCGGCATGGTCGTCAACAGGCGCTAGCGATGCATAATTCATGGACCGACACTCGCCGTCACGGGGATCTTCCGTCACTCCGGCAGAAGAGCGAGCAAAAAGCGGAAAGGTGAGAAAAGCTCTCGACGAGCGCTGAGCCCGGTTCCACGCGAGCCAACGTCGGTTCTTCGCCGGCGCGAACCATCGTCCACGAATCCCACACGATCCGTTGGGGACTATAAAACTCTCTCTTTTGCACAAGGGAGCCATTGAAGACCCGATCGTGCGGATTGTGAAATCGTGTACTTGTACATCAGGTACAAGCGCGTGAGAAAGTGTATGCATAGTGACAGAAGGCCACCAACTCAAATCGAACATCCACTCACTGGGCCATCGGCAGATCAGTGACAAGCGAAAGAATCTGCAGAAAACTGTTTGACGATTCGCAAACTGCAAAGCAAAAAAAAGCAGACGTGGTGCAGCAAGCACAAAGAGTGCAAATAGCCGATGGGAGGAAAAGGCCAAGGCAGCATACGCAGCACAATTTGTGCGAGTTACGTCTCTGCTTGATTGCGCGGCAAGAGAGACTTTTTGTTTGACCGCAGTCAATTCTCGATTGTTAGATTCCATGGTGCCTTTCACCGTTTGTTTGCTCGTCCGGTGCGGCTTTCTGGCATTCTGTCAATTCCGCTCACGAGAGTTTCTGCCAAGCTTCAATGGTCCTTAGTGAAGCCGTTTGCGATCAAACAATCTATCCTCAGCTCCTCTCCTCTTCTTGCTAACGATGAGAGAATCGACTACTGCTTTGTGAGTTTAATGTGCGGTTCGAAAGAAGAAGGTGCCAATACACCGAGGCGTAGAACGGAATGGTCAGAGGATTCTGCTATCTCGCGGACAAACTCCTTCCTTCCCAACATGGCTTGAAGCTAAGCGAAGCAGACCAGGCGCGGCAGCAGCGGACTTTTCTCTTGCTTTCCATCTGACAAAAGGCTTGTCGAGGGGCCTCAGACGTCAGGCATCCCTGTGATAGCAAACGCAATACTCGAACAGCTGAATAGGATAAAAGACGGATAAATGCACAAGTATCGTCTTGCCGCCTGTCGCGCTGCAGCACTGCAAGGGGAAACCCTGTTCATCCTGCCGAGGTGTTTTTCTTTGCCGCAAAACATGAACCGATGCAGGTCGTTCATCAACCCTCTTCTGTCACCTTGCTTGTCCCGCTCAAAAGGCAAGGGAAGATTGTATCGCTGTACAAACAGACAGAGTTTCGGATCAGAGATGGAACTTTGATAGCAAAAGATCTAATCGACTCTCGGTTCCGGGGGCAGGGCAACACAGATTCCGTAGCCCTCGTCGTCTTTGGTTGGACCTCGTAAGCCGCATCCCCAACAGACGAACCTTCGCACGCCTTGCCCTTATTCTTTTGTCTCCCCGTCCCTTCCGTCTTTTCTGCGACTTGCAAATCCATTACTTGTTTCGAAGGGTATATCCCATGCCGTGCCCTTCCCGGGGTAACTCTGTCGCGCTGTTATACGGGGTGATGAACGCCATGCCGGTCTTTTGAACAGATCTAGAATAGTGTTGGCTGCCTCAGGCGCCTCCGGTCCCACCGTCGAACGATGGCCACAAGAGAAACTTGGGTAGACCTTGCAAATAATGATAAGAGCCCGAAAGAATACGAATCGTGGTCGAGATGAAGAAGTGGTATCTCGAAGCGAAGTCTTTAATGGACCTTCCTTTCTGGACTCTGCCACTTTGAGGATGGCTGATATCGAGGTTGCCCAGGCTTCCACCAACGATGTGTCGTGTTCGTCGTTCGAGCGAAATGTTCCGGCCCCGGGTCAAAGATCGGATACTTCTCCGCAATGTCTCACACCCAGAACTTCGACCATGCGGTCTTCTGCTCCTCGGTACCAGAGAACTGTTATGTCGCGATCTGGTTAGCAAGCGATCTTCATTGCTGTCCATGTGCTGAGTCAATCACACAAAGCTGTAGAAATGCACGATTATCTCCAGGCCGTAGATGGATCAGAGAGAACCAACGAGTCCACGACTCACTGGACCCGAGTCTGACACGAGAAGGAATCATGCATTCCCACGGCTGCTTGTATGACAAGCCTCTGCACACGGAAGGGGATGGATCTACAACGCACCTCAAAGTCGACCTTGGTAATGTCGACGAAGCCCTCATCCAGGGTTGGGGGNCTGTATCTGGCTGCGAATCCAGTAAATGCCTGTCTCGGCAGCATAGTTCTCGACTCTGGGTTCATCTGTTATCAATCCGAAGTGTCAGTAAGCGCTGCATAGTTATCACGGCATCCTGCAGCTTGCAAGGCGGATTTGCTCACTCCTAGTTGTTGACCTGCGATGGACCGAACCGCATCGTTGTGTTCACAAAGCTTGGATGGGGCCGTGAAGTGTACACATCGAATAGGAATTTCGAGCGACTCTGCCAGTTGTGTCCAGTACTCGCGAGCCTTGGTGTCGGCATTGGTATTGTCTNNGGATTGGTATAGTCAGAATGAAACTCTCAGGTCTGGTATAGGAGCAAATGTACCAACTGCTACCGACTTTCCGTCCTCGAGAAGCTCCCTGGCCACCTTGAGGCACCTGTCCCTNCTGTTTGCTTGTCAGTACGAGGATGAAGACAAAGCATAGAGGATTGTTTGACACACAGATTTGAGTAAGTCCTGATTTATACGTTCATAACCAAGCGGCTTCAGGTGCTGTTGGAACCACGTGGACTTTCCTGCTCCAGGGCTTCCACAGAAGATGACCAGCTCGAGATCGTTCTTCCTGGTAAAGGCTATGGGACCTGAAGAANNAGTCAATATAGGCACGCATGGATCTTGTCGCTCTGCTAAAGACATACTCGCGTTGCTTGTCAGGACTGGTGATACATGTGCAGATGGATCGAACGTGCGATTGAAAGGCCGAGGATCCTCTCCGAGGAAGAATTCTTCTGGGGTCATGAATTTGATGCCAATATTGCTAGCCAGATCCCTNGCCGTGGAGTTAGTATGGCATCAACCATGCAAGGAGGAAGAGTTGGACCTATCTGAGCAAGAGAAATCTGCCTTGATGCCTCTTGTGGTAGCTGTTCGGCCCCCCGCGTCGCCAACAAAGTAGCAGGCCTCAAGATCAACGTCGCCGTCCTGAGTCAAGCCTTGTGCCTCTAGCAACTTGTCCCACATTCCTGTACGCGGTTTACGGAACTTGTCCTTGTCGGTGGCTGCGTAGAGGACGATGGGCAAGTCGAGTTGCGTGAAGACACTCTTGACTTTTTGCTTGAAGTCGGCAAGTCTTTTCTTGTCCGAATTGACAGTCTTGGAGGCACTGTTCATACTGATACCGGCTTGGTTGCTCAGAATTGCTAGCAGGTAACTGACTTGGTTAGCAATATAGCTCATGAGTACAGCAAAAGATAGTTACCCTTCCTCAGCTAAGTGCTTCAGCCTTGAGGGGACCTGTGTATGCCACCATTTCCAGTCATCCCCGTCCCTGGCAAAGCGATTGCCCGATTTAGCATCAACCAGAGTAGAATCCTGCAGATTGCAAATATCAGAAACTGTTTATGATAGCTGGGGGGATAGGCATACGAAGTCAAAAGCTGCAATTTTACGTGGTCTGTCTGCAGCAAAGCTATCTGTCTTGTCATACTTGCAGTACAACAGAGTGTTGTCAATGACCTTCCAGGCCACTTTTTCGGGATCTTTTTGTGAAGCTGGTTTAAAGAAGTTGGCAACAGCCGAGCCTGGACGATTGTTAGTCTATAGTCTATCCTGCTTGACATACTTCTTATAAATACTTGTGGTTGTGCTGGCCGAAGGTGCTGTGCGCTTCAATGGTGGGGGAGAGACGCTTCCATCCTCTGTTGCAAGACGTTTGAGAGTCGGCGGCATCTTTAAGTACGTAGAGGTGAAGTTGCAGAATGATAGTCGAGGTCTGCAGGCTTGTGCTCGTGCGAAAAGCATTATCGTGAAATTATTCAATGCAAGGGCAACCTGGAAGACGTGTTTGAGTCGCGTTCGCTACACGTGATCAATAACAGCCATTTTGGGAAAACATCTTGCTGATTGACATTCTGGGAGGCAGACACGAAGCGGCACGACTTTCACATGCATCTTCGCATGTTGGGGAATGTCAAGTTTGAGATTATATAACGGATGCTAATTTGATTTCCTGGTCGAGCCGACCTGTGACCAAGCAGCTGGCGAAATGCAGCCTATCTACATAGCTGAAGTATCAAGCAAACCGACATGTCGATCTCTTGGAAGCCTTCAGCCTTCTCGCGGCGCTGGTCTTCACCAACAAACCGCCAGCAAGCAGTGGGCGCGGGTATGTCTAGCACGTCGTGGCGTATTCGCTCATGTGCAATGTGTCGGGCTCTTGGGTTATCCGGTGAAATCGTGTCGCATCCGCGTGAAATATCAATCGTCGTAAAGTTGTGTAGATTGGGTTGGCAGGGGAGAGGTGCAGCGCTTGCCTGCAGACGCTCGCTTTTCCCATGTGCACCTCGCTAGAAAGACTTTTTGTTCATCATCAAAGGGAAACTTTTGTTGTTTATGCGAACATGCTGGCACCGCCGGACTCGATGGCCTCGATCTCGGCCGCGGTCCATGAGGTTCTGGAGAAACGAGCAGGGAGATCGCTGCGGTCGAAGAACTCGCCAGATGCCGGCTCGACAGGGCCGAGCGACTTTCCGGGCTTGCCGCCGACGAAGCCGCCGTATTGGCTGGCGGCGGTACGGCGGTGTAGGGGACCGTGCTGTTGGGCCTTCTGTCTGTAGGAAGCGAACGACTCGGGGAGCTCAGAGCTGGGAGCGGCGGGGTGAGCGTGAGGAGTGTGGTCAATCTCTGCTTGCGTGTTAGACGGTGACGTTGGAGCTTTGACATGAAGTTACGTACTGGAAGGGACTGATCTCTTTCCAAGGAAACGGATCATGGGCTGGCGAGCGAAGAGAGTGCGTGTAGCGTTCATTTTGGAGGATGTGGTGGTTGTGGATTGTTCGAGAGTGCGTGTGTAAGAGTCGGGTATTTCGTGTGGAGTCGGGAGTGGAAGTGATCGAGTCTTGACAGAAGTTGGAAGCTGTGGAGCTGGGCGTGCCGAGACTGACGAGTCGGGCTTTGGTTGTGATGGGATTTGTTGATGGTCGGAGAGAGGTGACAGAGAGAGATGGGCAGGCAGACACGGATTCACAAGGAAGAGAAGAAAAATTGTACAAGTGGCAGTGTGCGGGGCAGGAGGATTGATCATGTATCCGCTGTGGTGGAAGGTGCAGCGCGTGGTGTGAGATGGGCCCTGGTATCACGCCGCACACGCTGCAGCGCGAAGACGACATCGGCCGCTCACAATACCCGATGCCCGCCGGGCTGACTTTCAACCACTCGTTTGCCCACACATGCCCTGCCTTTCTGCCTGAACCTGCTTCGTCTGACAAGCCCTTCTGACAAAGCAGCAACTGTCCTACCTTATCTTTGCTATCGCCGAACTTTCGGTCGCTGTCCCCCGCCATCACGCCAACTGATCTTCTCCTCGGCCTTCTCTTCGGCCGACTCTCTCTCCACCAGCTCCGACTCTTCCTCCACGGGGTAAGCCGACCTCCCATCACTTCATCCGTCGTGCCTATTGCGGTTCTGAGCGGTTCACTGTTCCCGTCCTTTCCAGTCTGCCATCATCAGAAGAAAATCCTGAGTTGCCGAAATCCCGGCGGCCTTGTTTCCACTTTTGTCAATTCTGCTTCAGCACAAGAGTGACACAGTGCAAGCAAGCAAACAGACCTTCCAGTCTAGCTCCGTCTGATCAAGTCAAGGCAGTCTATCTGTTCTAGTTGTGCTTGAGAGTGTAAACTCTTGGCTCGCTTAGCCATCTTCTGTGCTATCACTCCATTTCACGTGCCATGCATGAATTATTGCTCTATGGCCAGGTGCCCCTCGAGCGCCATGATCAGGTCCTCAAGATCCTCGCTGGCATTGCTGCAATGCAGCCACAGACTCTTTTCGAGAGACATTTGATCTACAGACCCATGCGCTCAACCCAGGATAACAAGCCCAACAAAAAGTTCCCAAATAAGCCTGTCAAGCCTCAAACTCTCACATTCCAACATCTCGTCCGTCAACTCGACCAGTCCGAGTTCGGCAAAGACTCTCCTATCCTGCACGAATCTGAGAACAATGAAACCGCCAGCCAGCTTGTGTGTCCATGGAGAATCCAGACACAAGAAACACCTGAACCCGAGACCAAAACTCTCGTTCTCCGTCAAGCAACAGATGTAACGTTGGACCACGATCAACTACGCAAGTTTCTCGATCCTGCCAACAATGGGTATCTCTCCTCTCTTTATGTACATTCACTTCCAGTCTCTGACTTTCTTAGGTTTGTAAACGAGTTTATCATCGAAGGCCACAGATTCGTGCACAAGAACATGGTACTTACATTGTTCCGTCTCTTACGTGAAAGTGAGATACCCCAACAGACACCCTTGACTGCGCTACCTACCTTGGGTTCCCTTAAACCTTTGGACGTCAGTGGTGCATTCGTTCTCGAGGCGTGCGTTCGTATTGATGATCGTACGAAACCCAATTTGGTGTCGACCGCCTCCGACGAACTGGGTGCGTTTAGAGATCTGATGAAGGGCTCTGTTGATATGAAGGTGCCTGAGAGATTGTCACTCGATACTCGCGTTCGATGAGCCATGTTGGAAGCCGGCGTAACCAATACATCTCAAACTCTTCGAGCAGCCAGCAGAGCTTTAGCGAATCGTTTGCTATATTGTCGTGATCGTCAAGATGGCACGCAACAAGTGCTTGTTACCACATCCTCTTCGGCTTTGGGGTCGCTAGATTTGTTATTGTGGCACCTAAAAGCCAACACATGAGTGTAAGTCGATTTGTTCCTATGGGTCATCTCAAAAACATACTAAATCGCCTTCATAGGCAACCACGCCTTAGACCATAAGAAGTTGTATTATCCCTTACCACAGGCTTTACGAGCAACCAGCAACCGGCAACCAGCAATTAGCAACCAGTGGATCACGAGCCTGGTAGGATGCACCGACTCACTGCCCGCTATAGGTGGACAGGAATCTCGTGGCGACAGCCTTCAGTCAGATGAAGCGGTTATCAATCCGAACCAGGAGGTCGCATTACTACAACGCGACCTCGTGATCGTCTTACGGGAATTTCTTTGGTAAACCACAAGGAAGGAGGTGTAAATCCAACTGTCCTGCTTTGTCTAATTGTCAGCCCTCGATTCCTTTCCAGTGCTTCTCATTCGCAGAAAGGAGGTCACAGTATAGCTATGGAAACGCACAATCATTCCAAAGTGGAGCAACGTTCAAGTAGAGACACCATCTCAGGTCTATCTCCGTGGTCACTCACCAGTTTCGATAAGCGTTTGTGCATTTTTGTAGCATGCTATAACACTATCTGCTGGCATGGAAATGTGTATTCTGCCTAGTGATCAGTGCTATAGATATCGTTATACTGTTTCAGAGCGGCTTGTTCAAGCTCCTCCACATCTGTTCCAGCAAACCTCGTAGGATCCAAATCTTTCGCGATATCCTCGTCATGACCCTCTCCTAGCATCATCCTGTCGAGCAATCTTGCACATCCAGCAGCATGCGTTACCCATATAGCAACAGCCATCCACAACCCATTCACACCGCTTACAGGACCCAGCAAAGGCATATTATCAGGCGTTACAGAGAACACACCTCCAATCTTCTCTGCACCAAAAGGCATCTCTTCATTAAACCCTGCTTCGGGTGTGAATCGATCGGAGATTGCTCGTCTCATGGCGGAATTGAAGACTTCGCCTGACCATGGGACCGTTGCTGTAGATCCTGGAGAAGAGACCTTTTGAGGCGCGTGATCGTATGTCCCTACTCCGTACCGAGATCCATGATCTCGCGAGTAGACATGAGATTCAGGCCATCTCATGAATGGCGTAGGCGGTACATCATGCTCCCTGTCCTTGGCGTAGACGTATGGATGGCTGACTGGCACCACGGGGACAGAAGGGATAGCGGCCGACTCCTGAAGCAGTGAAGCAGTCCAGATACCAGTAGCGAGCACAAGCCTCTGACATGAGATAGTGTCCCTATTCTCAAGAACGACACCTGTAATAGCATTCTTCTCTACAATGACCTTCGAGACAACCGCCTCCTGAAAAAGCACACCATTGCTCGATGCCATCCTGCGATATGCGGAGCACAGCACCCTGGGCTCTGCAACACCGTCCGCAGGGAAGAACAACGCTTTAGTCCCTACAGCCGGACTAGCAACTGGAAGTACCAATGCTTCTATCTCTGCCTCATCAAGCAGTCGTGCTGGCAGTCCTGCTTTCTTACTTGCTCCGAGTCTCGAATGCAGCATCTTTATACCGGCAACCGTAGACGCTATTTCCAAGCCGCCAACACGAGCGAATCCAGTCTTGAGTTTTGTATACTCTTTGACGGACTCAACAGCGAGTTTGGTCAATGATGACTTTTCGTTATATTGGCCGATGAAACCTGGAGCGTAGCCTGTCGAGCCAGCAATGGTGCTGAGAGAGCGGTCGAGGACAAGGACATTTGTTTCTGGCGATGATTCAGAAAGGAAGTGGGCCAGTGAGGAACCAACTATGCCTGCACCGACGATAATTGTCAGGTTTTCCTTATGCCGGCTGGACATGGTTGGTTGATTCAAAGAGTATTTTTGGCGAAACTTGATATGAGATTGATGGGAAAGGTGGTTTGCTCGTAGCTGAGTAATTTCAACCCAAGTATACTTTGGCAAGGGACTGTATAGTTGTTTTGATTTCTGTCCCATTCAAGCTTGCCAGTCGAAGGGCGTACGGTGGATATCTGAGCGATCACGCCCTATCTTTGACAAGCTGCGCCTGAGTCGTCGGTCGGCTGTGATGCAACGCACTTTACTCCACATGATGGTGCATGTGACGAGCTTCCTTGGGCTATGGAGTGTTTTGTACTTTGAGATATAATATTCGTTTCGGATAATGATTATTGGGATAGTCAGGGTGACCCAAACGACAACTAATATTTACTCTTTTTTGTTTATTCTGCTGTCCTAATGTTGCTTCTTTGTGTGGACTTATCTGGATCTGCCAGCAGTAACTCTGTTCTTCGCTGGATTCGATATCGTCCAAGACACAAGAGAGAGGTAAGAGGTTTGAGACACGACGGGATCAACAAGCTGCGTCTTGTGACATGTGACATCCCACACTACTACGGCTGAAGGATCCGATCAAACAGGGATCAACCAGACTGCATCCTTCTATTCACATAGCCTCAAGCGTCATAAGGCGACGATGATCCTAAGGGAAGTTTGATTCTAATGCTTATATAGATGAATTCGTCGCTCAGCCTTTGTCGATATTCATCCCGTGTTTCAACCCTGAAATTAAGCCCACCCTATCCAACCATCAACCATCAACCACAAACCTCATCTCATCATGTCTGGATTCTCCATCAACGGTGTCTATCCAGAGTTCAAGGGAGAGACACCTTACATGCCCGAAGACTTCGCAGACCAATATCCCAACGATCCTGAGAAGCAGAGACAAGCAGCCGACCGCAAGAATCAAGTCATGGCTCAAGAGAAGCAGAAGAAGTCAAGTTCGTCATTTGCACAGACTGCGAAGGGATTGTTTAAGAGGAAAAGTCAGGGAGGAAGTGAGGATGTTGAACTTGTAACTGGGCAGACCAAGTAATGTGTAAGGTAGGTAGTTTGTTCGACGCGTGTTTGAAGCAACGCTAACACTCGCCTGCATAGGTCATGACGAGTGATTTAATCAAAATTTGCGCTTACGATCGTCTTCTCCTTGAGTATATCTATTACAATGCTGCATTGTATACAATTTATCTCCTCTATATGGACTATAGTCTTCTATGTTTACCTATCAAACCGCACAGTAATCTGCGAATCGGAGCAGCATCCATAGAGAGCCTTCATTTGGTCGACTCTCTCTGAATCCTTCTCAAGTCGAACACAATCGTGCAATTGTGCAGCTCATTGACTGCTACGATATAATACAGGGGCACGAGCTTCATCACATGGACAATTGTGCGTAATGAATTATGTGGTTCCGAAAAGGTATCTCATCAGGAAAAAGAGCTATATAAGAATAATCATTCCTCATCATCTGAGGGTTTGGGAGCATCCTGGGGAAGTGGCTTATCTTCGGCAGCATTGGGAGCGTTGGGGGCAGCCTGACCAGGGCTGTTGGCAGCATTGGGAGCAGTTGGGGTGGAGCTGTTGGGAGCAATGGAAGCCTGCTGACCAGGCAGGTTGGCAGCTATGCGGGCAGCATGGCGGTCGACGGCTGCGTATAAGAGCTGCGAATCGACCTCATTAGAACACCAAACCAAACCATATATGAGTAGAGCGTGATCTCGTAGGACCATATGGATTGGCGTTGACGTTTGCAATCAATCGAACGACTTGTATAACGAAGGTCACCAAAAGCCAAAGCAACTGCGGCGAGAACACAGTCTGAACCCTATATGAACGTCAACCAGGTTTTTTTCCTCAGTTCTCAGCCCAAGATTTATAGATTGTCAAAGATGGTACGACAGACCCAGAAAGCAGCGTACAATAGGAAGGCCGAATGCTTGACGTGAAGCAGACTGGCTGCATCGAAGAGTACGTAGGTAGAAACCCCGATCGCTCTTCCATGTGCTACAGACAGACGCAGGCCCGGCCATGCTACCTCTCGCGGTCACATACATAGATATCACAGGTTGCAAAAATGCACAGTACTTTCTGGTTTAGACATGTGGCCATAAAGATAGCCTGAGACGACGTTTCTCCATGGACAGCACTCCCTTCAAGAAAGCATTATGCATTTCCATAGCTAGAATGCAGCAGTCTCCAGCACACGGAGACGGCCGAGATCTCACAAACGATCCAACTGCCGTATTTAGGGATCGGATATCCGGTGCCGACAACTGCATCTCTTCGCCGAGTTGAGGCAGTGTTTCTCGGTCGGATGTTGGAATCGCGAGTGGTACGCAGGCGTGGCCGACCTGCCGATGTTGTTTGACAGGGCGTCTCGCAGGTTGAGGTCCGTTGGGCATGATACTCGGCTAAAACAAGCATTTTGATACGAGATGAAGTCGATCACTCTGCGCAGTGAGATTTTCATTTGACGACTGGAGTCTCCACTGAAATGTCCATGCCTTCTCCACAACGCTCTCCGTGGTTCTGCTGGAGACACGTGGGGCACTTTTCTTGTGCTTGCCCATCGCTGAGCACTTTCGCTCTGCAGATACAACCCTTCAATAATGCAGCATTGTCGACGGTTCGACGTATAACAGTATAATATTGTTGATGACGCAGAGCGAACGGTGGTCGATTGAAAGTATTCCAGCTCTGCAGCCCTGCAAGCCACCGCCGTGATCCGATCGTTTGTTCCTTCGCGACAACCAATAGGATTCGCCCGGGCTCTCGTGCCGTCCACGAGGCTTCTTCAAAACTCTCCAGCCATGACGTCGCATGCTATCAATGACATCGTGCTGTGCCTAGTAACCAGAGTCCGCGGCAGAAATTGGTAAGCCCTGGCTGGAAGATGTGCTCGGCAGACGGAATATCGATCACGGGTCTCGCGAAGTATGCTCGGTTTGGTTGCATTCCGGAAAGTCGTGTCGTTGACCCTGAGACGATATGACCTCAGTTCGCGGCTCCTGCGAGATGATGAATTGAAAGACGAAAAACCAAGAAGATCGTCTTTGGTGTATATATCGTCAGTTCCCCATAGACACTCCACCTGCTCTTCGGTCCTTTTCCCACGTTTCGCGTTATCCCACACTACAACCCCAAACTTCTCCACCTTGGCTATAGCCCAGTAGCCGCCAACATGGGCATGTTCAGCAAGAAAGACAAGGAGGACGATGCCTCGTTTCACAGCGGTACGACGACACCGCCGACGACAGCTCAGCGAACCATGGACACCACAGAAAAAGGAATGGAAGATGACGGACCTACACACATCTACAACTTCAGAGTCATTGCCATGGTTATGATCGTCTCTCTCGGCGGTCTCATCTTCGGTTTTGATACTGGTCAGGTAATGATTCAATTCACAAATGCACACGAAGCTTTGCTGATGCCAGTGAAATATAGANTTTCTGGCTTCTTGGCCATGGACGACTTCTTGAACCGTTTCGGTGAGAACGGAGCATTCACTGCTGTAAGAGAAGGCACAATTGTTGGTCTGCTCTCCATCGGTACTCTTCTCGGTGCTATCATCGCTGCACCAATCGCCGACAAGTTTGGACGTCGCATGTGTATCCTTATTGGAAACATCGTTTTCTGGATCGGTATGATCGTACAAATGTCAGCAACACATCACTGGTACCAGGTCGCAATCGGCAGATGGGTCGCTGGACTCGGTGTTGGTGCACTTTCTGTTCTGACCCCTATGTACATGAGTGTAAGTTGACTTGAAGCCATTCTTTGTCTTAGCAATATGCTGACTTTTCTGTTAGNNGAAACCGCTCCTAAGAACATCAGAGGATCCATGGTGTCATGTTACCAACTTTTCATCACTCTCGGTATCTTGCTCGCCGATGTCATCAACCTCGGCACTAAGAACATCAACGGACCTGCTTCATGGCGTATCACCATGGGCATTGGCTTTGTCTGGTCTGGTATCATGGCTGGAGGTATTTGGCTTCTCCCCGAAAGTCCTCGCTGGGACTACCGTCAAGGAAAAGTTGAGAAGGCCAGACACACCATTGCCAACGTCTACGGAACCTCTCAGAATCACTCTGCTGTCAACCGTGAGATCCGCGAAATCAAGGCCAAATTCGATGTGGAGCAACAAGGTGGCAACCATCCTTGGTATGAAGTCTTCACTGGACCTCGTATGGCCTACCGTGTGCTCCTGGGTGCCGGTCTCCAGATGCTCCAGCAGCTTACCGGAGCAAACTTCTTTTTCTACTATGGTACGACTATCTTCGACTCGGTTGGTATCAGCGACAGTTTCGTCACAGCCACCATCCTTGGTGCTGTCAACTTTGTCTGCACTTTCGGTGGCCTTTGGGTTGTTGAAAACGTTGGACGTCGCAAGGCTCTCATCTTCGGTGGTTTCTGGATGTTCGCAATGTTCATGGTCTTTGCCAGTGTTGGACATTTCCAGGTATGGCAAAATCTTGCTCATCGCCCTATAAAAAACATGCTAATTAAAACCTCACTAGNNCTCAACGAAAACAAGAACACAGGAACTGCTGGTACAGTCATGATCATCTTCGCTTGTCTGTTCATCGCTGGCTATGCCTCCACTTGGGCTCCTATCGTGTGGTGCATCGTGGGTGAACTTTATCCCACCCGCTACCGCGCAAAGGCCATGGGCATTGCCACAGCTTCCAACTGGATCTGGAACTTCCTCATTGTAAGTAAAGCCGTGGTTCCCTTACATTCAGCTTGGTGAGACTGTGCTAATTCTATTTTAATGATTTAGGCATTCTTCACCCGCTTCATTACAAACGATATCGACTACCGCTACGGCTACATCTTCGCCGCCTGCAACTTTGCAGGCGCTTTTGTAGCATACTTTTTCCTCTGCGAACATCAAGGACGTACTCTGGAAGAGATTGACACAATGTACATTTTGCACGTCAAGCCCTGGAAGAGTTCCAGCTGGACACCACCAGAGAACGAAGAGCTAGTCACCGCCGACGCCCTCGCCCTCACAGGCGGTGCCCGTGGCATCAAANAGGCCGATGCCGCCGGCATGGAGAGCGAACGCCGTGTAGAGAACATGCAGGTACCCGCCGCCACTTCCACCCACGGCATCCACGATGTCTCGGGCACCGATTTTGTGCCCGAGAGCACAAGAGCGGCTGATGGTCGTCCACCCAACATTGGACAGTAGAACTCAATTGGCATGATGTGTGTTTTTGGGCAGGGGGAAAAAGCCTGGAGTTTCTTTTGCCCTTGTCGCAGACTTCTTGTATCTATATTAATATCTGTATAAATATCGTGAATCACTTGTATCTTCTCATTTGCCTCTTCGCTGTGTGTGAAAAAGACGTAAAGCACATAGCTATGGAAACGCACAGTTTTAGTAAGAAACAAGTCGATATGAGATGAGCGCCGCCATCATCTTAGACACTCTCTTTCGCTACGCTTCTGCTTCATAAAAGGATTGTGCCTTTTTGTAGTCTACGTTTCGCTCTACGCTATCGTAGGAGAGAGTAGACGTGATAGACTATAATGCATATGGAGACTATATTTGTTTGTTATACAAGATAGAGTAAATACTCTCTCGGTCCCAGCTTCACTACAGAGCAATCTGTGAGCTGTCCGGCTGCATGATAGTGTTCGAATGAGGGTTGCGTCCAGAGAGAGAGAGAGAGAGAGAGAGAGAGAGAGAGAGAGAGAGAGAGAGAGATGAAATGAATCGAGGGCTCTCGAGGGTACTCATGCTCTTCCGGAGAGTATCGTGCATTGTTATGGCCACACACTACAAACCCCAGTACACAGGGAGACAGAAACTGCATACACAACTTTTTGATCTCATGTTATAACCTAACAAACATTACTAATCTTCATCCTCATCTCCATCCTCAACAGTAGCGGCAAACTCATTTCCAGGAACAGCTTCACCCTCAGCCTCAGGCCCACCAATAGGAATAAGTCGTTGCTGCAGCTCCATCAAGCGCTGGGTACGCTGCACAATCACTTCTTCAGAAACACCACTTTCAGCAATACGGCGTTCAATCTCCTCTTCGTTAGGTTGAGGACGCTCTTCGCCTTCACCTGTTGGATTGAACCAGGGNAATAGCTCAGAGAAAAACCGGTACAGGCCTTGGAGTTCACGGAGTGATTCTGCTGCGCCGCCTAGAGCGCCTGAAGGAGGTTGTGCGGTACGCTGGGACACAGCGGAGCGAGGTGTGTATGTGGAGATGTTGGTTTGAGGAGGTAGGGGGTCGGAGGATGAAGTGACTTTTGCGGTGATAGAGCGAGGGAGTAGTGCGATGAGGGTTGGTGTATCGCTCATCAGGATATGTCTGCCTTCATCAAGAGTAATGTCCCTGTCTACCACAGGTGGATCGGGGACTTCGCTGCTGACTGCCGAGCTGACTTCTACAAGGAGCTCGCTGGCTTCTGGCGTGTTCCAGAGATCCTTTGCGCGTGTGGCGTAGACTTCGGAATGCAGCTTTTCGCTGTCGGTGCGAGGGGACTTGCCCCAGACGCTGGGTGGAGGGTCGATATTGAGCTCCTGGAAGAGGCGGGCAACGACCCATGGGAAGCGGCTGACTGCAGTATACAGAGATTGTTTACCTTTCGCTGCGTCGCCCACACGAATGAAGGCCAACGCGCGACTGAGCTGGACGTTGGGCAAATGCTTCCACTTGGATGTAAAGATGGGATTGTTGACAAGATCGAGAAAGTTCTGGGGTTGGCGTCCACGTATAGCGTATTGATCAATGACAAGACTGATGCAGTAAGGGTCGTTTTCAGGGTCGAGACTGAGCAATAGCTTGGACCACTCGTAGACTGTTCGCCAGGTCGAACGCATGCCCAGGTTGGAAATGTAGCGACATGCGGCCAGCCAGAACTCGCGGTTCTCAGGGCGGCGGAAGTCAAGACGAGCCTTGCCTTGCTGGAGGTTGGTGGAGAAGGTGGAATGAACAGCACGGCCAAAGGAGAAGAGGGCACGCTCCAGTAGGTCACCAGAAGTGGTGTGATCGCGCTCTTGCTTTGCAATTTCCGAGACCTGCAGCAGAGTGCTGATGTGGTATGGGTTGTGTTGTAGCAGGAGAACCATGCGCTGAGGATCCATGGAAGCTACGCAAGTCTCGAACTGGCCCTGAACATCCTGGTATATGCGGTTGTGGACAAAGGCATATTCAACAGTGCCGTCTGATCTCTTCTCAATAACTTCCATACCGAGACCGCCGCTGGTAGCAACAGGCCACTCTTCCTTGCCTTGAATGAAGATGTTGCGACGACGGCTGAGGGCAGCCAGACCGTCGCTCCTTCCACCTTGACCAGGTCTTCTGCCCAGAGCAGCAGCTAGACCGGCCTGCTGAGCACCTCCACGGTTTCTTCTACGCCCGCCAGCATTGTTGTCATCGTCGTTGTCACCCTCGAGAGCAGCACGACCGAAGAGTCTGCGCATCTCGTTTGCAGCATGGAGCGAGGATGTGTCGACAGAAAGTAGTCGGTAGACTTCACTGGTGTTGGGATCGGCAGTGTTTGCAGGGGTGGCCGTGCCAGAGCCCTTTGTGCTGAGAGACTTGAGGGCAAGGTCGATATCATCGAGCGATGGATCCGATTTGGCAGTGGCAGGATTCGTAGACTGGGCCTTCTTTGCCTTCTTCTTTTTCTTCTTGGACTTGGTCGATGGCTTTGGTGCTGCTTGCGTGGGTTGAGGCTTCTCTGGTTCGTCGTCTGATTCTTCTAGCTGACTATCATCGTCTTTGGCATCGTCTTCATCGTCATCATCGGCGCCGTCTTGGTTCAACATGGCAAAGAGGCTCTGCTTGGACGGAGCGGCAGCAGGAGCTTCTTCCTCTTCGGACTCCTCATGCTGCTCGTCGTGCTCTTCCTGGAGCTTTCGCAGTTGCTCCTGCTCTTCGCGCTCGCGTTGGGCCTTTCTGAGAGCTCTCGACGACATGATTGTGGTGTGTAGTATGGCTTGTATGCTAATGACGAGGGGTCAAATATTATTCACAATTCCGTCAAACCGGTGACGTATCGAAAGTGCTGAACATGTGCCAAAGTTTGTCACACCAGATCCGCTCTCTCACAGAGGAACAGAGCAGTTTTGCTGCTATAGAGATGCACAATGGTTCTTAGAGTAGACAGATGGCCAAGGAGAGGCAAGATTCGATCATCCCTCTGCGGCCACCTTCTTGGTTTGTGATACTATCGTGACTTCACGCAGCTGCAAGCGTGACAAAGTTGACAAACGGCGAGCGATTGCATCCAGCTCATCCCCAGACTCGCGCGGTCTAGACACTCACTGAGCGCACCCTCTTCGCGACATCAGCATCTCTGTTCAAATGCGTCGCGCTGTGGTTCAGAACCTGCGCGCAGTTCGCCGCCCAAACGTCTCTCGATCAAAGGTCACCGGCAATGTCGTCTTCCACCGCTCGCTAGCCACCCGCTCATCCACCGCCCCCTCATCTATGCGCCTTCGCCGTGTTTCCCTGGCCGTCGGTGCCGTTGCTGCCGGAGGTGCTGCTCTATACCAATACCGCCAGTCCTCCTCTTCGACCGCTGCTTCTGCTGCCTCCGCCTCGCCTACAAACCACGCATCTGCTCCGGCCCCCGGCACCACTGGTCCCGTGTCAGAAGAAGTCGCCGATGCCGTACGCCGCGCCCTCATAGTCGAGCAAGGCGCGCTCTACACCAGCGTCATTCCCGACAACCAGCCTCTGCACAAGGAGACGGACGACTACGGTCGCAAGGTCCTTGAAATGCTGACTGCAGAGCAAGCCACCCAGAAGCTGAGGACCAACCAGGAGTCTTATCTGGTTGGTCGCGGTTCTGGTGTCGTTCGCTACGATGTCGTTCAGATCCCTAGCAACGATCCCATCGAGGACGACCATGCCGAAAAGATCATCCACGTTCCTGAGTCGGTTTCTGGTCAGACCGAAGGCAGCGATTGGATGTTCTGGGGTGTCTTTGACGGTCATGCGTACGCCTACCCAATTGCTCGCCTACCGTTGTCATTTACTAACACCCGAATCACAGTGNGCTGGACCACATCTGCCAAACTCCGCCAGACCCTCATCTCCTACGTCGCTCGCGAATTGAACACAACCTACACAGCCGCTTCCGCAAACTCGTCCTTGAAACCTCCTCCTCCCGACGCCGTCGACGCCGCCATTAAGAAGGGCTTCACTTTGCTTGATCACGAAATCACCCACGAGAGTGTGAAGAAGGTCCAGACTGCAAAGTCGAGGTCGTTGGCTGCCGAACTTCTTGCTCCTGCCCTCTCCGGTTCATGCGCTCTGCTTTCCTTCTACGACAGTCGCACCAAGGAGCTCCGCGTTGCTTGCACTGGTGACTCGCGTGCCGTTCTGGGCCGTCGCGGCACCAGCGGCAAATGGACTGCAACGGCCCTCTCTGTCGACCAGACCGGTGGAACTGATTCCGAAAATGCTCGTCTGCGCAAGGAACACCCCAACGAGCCCTACGTTACCCACAACGGCCGTATACTCGGTGGTCTCGAGCCCAGTCGTGCTTTTGGTGATGCCGTCTACAAGTGGTCAAAGGAGACTCAAGATCTCCTCAGGAAGAACTTCTTTACTCGCTCCTACTCCAAGTACCTGAAGACGCCTCCATATGTCACTGCCGAGCCTGTCGTCACTACTACAAAAGTCCAACCTGAAAAGGGCGATTTTGTTGTCATGGCCACTGATGGACTCTGGGAGATGCTCACAAACGAAGAGGTCGTCGGTCTGGTCGGCATGTGGCTTGATCAGCAGATGCACCCTGCCCCTCAACAGAATCAGTCGTGGCTCAAGTCGTGGTTCAGCTCCAACAAGGCAGCCTCTGCTCTCAATGTAGAAGGTGCTTCTCATGGAGAGGATGCCACCGGCCAGCGTGCTCCTATCCGTCAACAGCAGTGGGGTGTAAACGATCCCGAGTTCCAGCGCTTTGTCGTCCAAGACAAGAATGCCGCAACCCATCTCGCACGCAATGCTCTTGGCGGCAAGGACACAGACACCCTATCCGCTCTACTGACTCTTCCCAGTCCTTATTCGCGCAGATACCGCGATGATCTGACTATTGAAGTCATCTTCTTTGGTGAGGGCGGACCAGAGAGAACGGGGAGAGTGGAGTTGAACAAGGAGGCATCGGCACTTAGTCCCGAAGGCGTCAAGCCCAAGCTTTGAGGTGGCGCAAGGAATGTCGTTGAATGTTGCATTGCGGGAGTCTTTTATTGTTTTGGCGCTGGGGAGCTATGGTATGGGAACATGGCCTGACTCAAATGCATTTTCCAAGTACGTAAAGGGGTTCTGCCGGGAGATGGTCATTCCCGATCTGAGGAGTTCATCTAGAATTGAGAACTGAAAATATCTTTGATGATTCATGTGTGCAAAGTAAGTCTTGACGAGGACAGATGTCGAGACTCGAGTGCTTCTTACAATCTTCTTTCCATATATTCTTGTAATGTTTGTGTTGACTTTGCTCTTAAGGGTCTCATATCCTTACCCTGAAATTTCCTGATCCTCTACGACATAGAATTAGTCCCACGTGAACGCAAGCCTTTTTCGAATCCTTCCTTCTCTGTTGTTCTCATGCATACGATGCCTCGTAACCCGACTCTCGGTACCGTACAGCACGGTGAGGATCGTCGCTGCGTCTCCAGATCTGCCTCCTCTGCGCGCAGATCATCTCCTTGAGGGAAAAAAGTTCTCCTGCCCTATGGACGATCAACAAGACTCATCTCATCAAAACCGCGTGGCAGGTTCGCTTGCCGCGTCGGAGATGATGCTGCAAGACAATGACAAGTGAGATCCTCTCTTGGTACTCATGTCTCGGTATTGTTTTGTGGATCTATGGCCGCGGCATCTGACTTATGGGAATACAATCTCAATCCATTTCGGCCTATCGAAAATGACGGACCAAGTCACCGTCTCGCTGCCACGATTTGGGATCAGGTGGGGAACTTCCATGAGCTTGAGTCGTGAAAAGTGCCCACATGGTGAGTATTGGCAAACCAGAGTCCATCAGAGCGGTTTGCCAATGGACGAATCGTGTCTTGTGCACGGAGCCGGATCATGACCATCGGTGTCTCCGAGCATGTCCGATGCCTTTCTTGGTGGACAGGTTTGCGTGCTCAGATCTTGTCAAGATGTTCCTCGGTGCTTGGAGCCTGCCGTCTCCCAGATGCGGCATTGCTTGACTCGGTCAAGATCTGCTTAAAGAGTCAAGCGTCTTGCTGTCAGGAAAACCGTTGTTCAACCGCTACAAAAGTCTCGTGGTTGGACCCTTTGCCGAAGCTTCTGAAAATGTTTCTCGCGACGGAGCCTCAGGGCTTGAATGATATTCTGCTCTTCATCCTTGATTGACTGATTAACTGATCAACCTCTCGCCCTTGTACAAAGTTGTGTATGAGTTCGAAATTGAAACACGGGGCCCCCTTGTGACCTCCTGCCCAACATACCCATACGAAGGGGAGGTTCGTCGTACCGATGCTAGTCATGTTTCATGCTCCAACAAGATTTAAAGTTAACCTCAGCCTCTTTCTGCAATGGCGTTCTGGAGTCCACTCAACCCAGCATCCGTGAGTCGTGGCTCTGCGTCAATAACGTAGAATTTGGTACCAACTAGTCTCCAGTCATGCCTATGTTGTGTCGATCATTTGTTACATGTGCTGAGGATGGTCCTCAAAGTTCGAGCCATATGTACAGGCTGCAAATAGATGCACATATGTAGGGCAGGCACGTCCCCAGCTTTTGCCTACTTTGCTTTCTTTGGACAATCATCTCTTCTGCCACCACTTTCTGCTGTTAATCATATCTGGATCCAAAGTGCTGGCTATTCTTTAATATATACCAACTGGAGATGAAAGAGCAAGGGTATTAGATTGCGTCTACGTCACCTAAGCGTATCTCGAGAACTTTATACATCTACCTCCGAACCAGGATACTAGGATTCAACAAGGACGCAGCTAGATCTGCTATACTGGAAGCACGATGGCAGCGAGCGAGATTCCAACCCTGAGCCATCTGGGCTCTGTACCACAAGCTCTCTTTTCAGGAACTGTGGCTATTTTGGCAGTTGCATGGTTCTCAGTCATCTTGCGTGTCTACGTTCGTAGTGTGATGATGAAATCATTCGGATTGGATGACTGGACCATCATGCTTGCTATTGTGAGTAATTGGAGAAGAACAATCTGTCTCGTCTGGGCATTACGCTAACACCATCGGTAGACAGCTTTAACAGTACAATGTGCGTATTTAATCAAAGTATCTGTGATGGAAATGCAACCGCACAAATACAACAATGTTGTCGGTCTGTCCACTCTTGTAACAGTAAGTAGGCAAACACCCAGAAGAGACATATGTATGCTAACCTCACCCAAGGACATCATCGCGTTTAGCGGATCATACGCCCTGACCGGAGTATTCCTGAAAATCTCCCTGGGCTTCTTTTTCCTGCGAATCATCATCGAACCCTGGCAGAGAGCGGTCATTTACATTTGCATGACCATCAGCACAATCTACGGCTTCATCTACTTTGGCATCGTCACCTTTGGCTGTGGAGACCCAGAGAAATTCCTCATCCGGACGGTGGAACATAAATGCATATCAATCACAGATGTCACCATACCTGCCAGTTACGTACACACAGCTCTAAACGCAACCACCGACTGGATCATGGCTCTGCTTCCCATCGTAACCATCTGGAATCTAAACATGCCACGCATAACAAAATTCTGGGCCTATCTGCTTCTCGCACTGGGAGCGGCAGGAAGCATCGTCTCGCTGATCCGCTTCGGCTATGTCGAAGGCCTCAAACCAGGAAAACACTTCTTCAAGCAAAGCGCCAAATTCGCTTTGTACAGCACCATCGAGCCCGGTCTCGGTATCACAGCCGTCAGCTTTGCAACCCTGCGACCACTATTCAAAAGGTGCCTTGAAGGAGCCAAATCAGTCTCTCATTCCCAAGGCAGTCGCAGCGGCGGCAAGAAAACACCTTCGATCGTGCCGGATATCCAGCTCAAGGGACTCCCTCTATCTAGATCTCGTCCACGAGATGGATTCCGTGCTTTTGGAAGTTCGGAAGACGATGATTCGCAGGGCTGGACTGAGGTTTCTGTTGTTTCTCCTGATTTGGAAAAGGCGCAGGATACTAGATGGCCGCAGAGTCCTCGACCGCTGTGAAGCTGATGGGTGGACGAATGTTCCATCTGTTGAAAATCACCATTTGACTGGCTCTTTCTGGACACATCTCTTGTTTCGCGAACAAGCATACATCTTCACAGCTTACAAATCACATGGCATCAGTGTGTGGGAACCACGACCAGCCTCGCCAGAAGTAGCATGCCAATTGGGGCTAGTGATATGACACCCAAAACCCGCGACATCGATACAGACACATACATAAGTGCCCGAGGACCATGAGAGGCACGACCCACAAGTCATCACACGAGCCTTGGGACTATTATTCGCTTCACAAACCAGCAACTTTAGCAGCAAAGACCAGGGGTCGCCCAGCAGAACCACTTGCCTTCGTCATGAACGAACATCGCATACGAGAACTTATGCAAACATCGGTAGATTCGTCAAAAGTGTTTTTTTGTCGGTCTCTGCCGTATACACCAAAGCCAAAGCCAGAGCCAATCGGATTTAGGATGAGCCACGAAGCATGCAGGAAGGAGCGGTAAACAGGACACTCCCCTCGTAAAGAAGAACGAGCCGCCAATCCAGAGGCGCAAATGGGAAAGCGCAGCCATAATGGTCGTTGAGCTGGTATAACACCCAAATATATTGAACGGAAGGCAGCGGAAAGTGCTTCCTTCGTAATCTTTTCTCATAGTCAGGAAAAACACTGTTTCTTTTGTGCGTATATCCAGACAATGCAGACGTAACTAGAAATCAAGAATTTCATGTCATACACTTGAACCATTTCTTTTTCTTGTTCATCGTGACTATTCCTTGACTGGAGAATGATTGTCTACGATCTACCTGTCACTCACACTCTCAACCCCAATAGTAGAACGTCACGTCAATATACTGTCAGTCACTTCAATGCCTTCCGTGACGGCAGCAAAGAGGTAATCAAGCAGCCGAGATACATGAGTGCAATATGTAGAGAGCGATATCTTCGTTGACCGCACTCTCAAAGGAATTTAGTCAAGCTCGGTAAGACTTTATGCAATTCTACGGCTCATCAGTCGTGGGACAGGGACCTGCAGAATATTGCGGCAAGCAGAGTGTGTGAAGAACACTATTTTGGAAACATCAATATACCACTTGGTTCCAAGGCCTTGCATGTACACTAGCTGAGCACCGCTTCCAGACACTGTGAGTAGGGGTCACTTACGTGGACCAAGTTGGGAAGGAGCGATGCAGACTACAATCAGTAGGGTGCTCGGGAAGGTGTAGCGGCAACCTCGATCCGATGATACACTCTTGATGGCGATATCAAGGGAGAACAAAACATGCTGGTGAGAACCAAGTGTTGTTCACAGCTATAGTATAGTATCATGTTGAAGATATGTGTTGTATGGTATCGGTTGGAGACAAGGTTGGTTATGATACTGTCTCAATTCTCATGAACTCGTTAAACTAGGTCATAGTAAAGGCTGTTTTCCATGCTTCTGTCTGCGTCTCTTGGACGTTCTCGTCATGAACAAGTCGCTTAGCCGTTGACAACGACACCACCGTTTGCGTGGATTGTTTGACCAGCGATGGAAGCGCTGTCTGGGTTCGCCAAAAATACAAACACTGTAGCGATCTCTGAAGGCTGCGAAGGACGGCCGATGGGAGAGGTGAAAGAGCTGTTACGTGTTAGCAGATTTCTCCAGTTATATGGCATCAAGACTTACCTTTGGGCCTTCTCGTTCATGGTTGCAGGAATGAGAGGGGTCCAGACGGGACCGGGGGCAACTGCATTCACGCGGATACCGCGACCGACATATTGGTTGTGTAGACCTCTTGTGAAGGAGATGATGGCACCCTTGGTGCTGGTGTAGTCCTAGACAGTAGTAATTAGTAAGGTTGATCAATGACACACAAGAACAACAATCTCGAAGGCTGTGCAAAAGCAGTAAGATGTCTCTTCTCATGACAAGTACATCATAGTGGCTGTATGTGGCCAGTAGAGATACTGATGTGTCGTGGCATGGGTTGGGCAGGCTTTGTTAGTACGTACCAGGAGATCAGGACGACCAATGTAGGCGTTGATGGAAGCGTTGTTGATGATGGTGTCACCTCTCTTCATGTGAGGAAGAGCGTATTTGGAGAGGAAGAAGAAGGGGTGAATATTGGTGTCAAAAGTGTGCAACCCTGAGGTACAGTTAGCAGCTTTCTGATGTATGGGATGGTACACATAGCAGTCGAACNNATGCCATGTACCTTCGTCTTACGTACACTGTTCCTCGGAGAGATCCTTGATATCCTCGACCATGTTCTGGTAGGCATGATTGTTGACAAGGATGTTGATGGCACCCATCTTCTCAAGTGCGGTGTCGATAACCTTCTGGCAGTTCTCTTTCTTCTTGAGGTCAACCTGGAGCAAGTGGCACTTGCGGCCGTAGGACTCGACCTTCTTCTTGGTCTCCTGTGCATCCTTCTCCTCGACTTCGAGGTAGGCGATCAAGCTGTCGGCGCCCTCCATGGCGTACATGATGGCAACAGCACGGCCAATACCGGAGTCACCTCCGGTGATGATGGCCTTCTTGCCCTCAAGCTTGCCGGCGGCCTTGTAGAGCTGGAAACCGCCATCCTCGGTGGGAAGGTGCTCGTTGACGGGCTCAGGACCCTTCTGCTCGCTCTGGAGACCCGGAGGCTTCTGGTGGTCGACGGGGATCTCGAAACCTGTTGTTTGTCAGTCGCTGTACTGCCCCACTTGCAGAACCAGACACATACCCTGCTTGAATTGGCCTTCAGACATAATGGTTGATATGATTCGTGAGGTGTCTGTGAAAGTTGGTGTGTAAAAACAGATCTGCGGCTCTGAGAACAAAGATATAAGTGAGGATGCCACATCTGCGTGATGTAATTCAGCGTGACATCACTGTAGCGAATAGTGACGATCGAACGACACCGTACACATCACGATTTCACTGCAATAACATGTCTTGGCTCATTTTTAGCAGCATTTCGAATCCCAACGTAATTCTGAGCCGGATGAACATTTCTATTCTACCGTAAGAACTTGGTGAGAAGACGAAGGAAGCCTCTTGCCTGTTGTTCTCCGCTCTCGAAATAGGCAGCTTCCTGCTGAGCAGCGTCATCTCCGTCGCACTTGCCTAAATCCATCAAGTCTGGCAACATTGCTTCGGTGGACAAAGACGTGCGATTTTCGAGCCAGGAACCACATTGACAGCGATAATGAGTCAAGGAATAAGTAGAAGGACTGAAATCCCGCCCACTTGTATACGATCGATCTGAGAGGAGCTTGAGCTCGGGCCTCCTTTGAATCAAGCCGAAGTTATCACCTTGATGTTCTCCTTCTCCTTTCGGCAATCGCATCTTTTGGTTTGGCATCTGTCAAAAACGTACTCTGCGTGTAGAATTATAGTGGTGACTTGGTTGAGTACCATCACAGTAAACATGGTTTGATAACCATCCATCAACAGCTTTAATCTATGCTGTGAGTACATGATTCTGTTGTCCCCTTCCGAACCCTTTTCGGGCGATCGTGCAACCTTGACCAAGCTCGCTATCGGCGGCGCATCTTTCTGTAGCTTGCAATGTATTGGGAAGACCTAGATCTGATTGTCCGAAGTAGTGCATGTACGTAGAAGAGAGGAAACTGTGTGTCATTTCTGCGATCTCTGCTATCTGCAGCCACTCCAATCTCATAGCAGGCATTATGCATTACAGACCATCTGCTACGATGCCTTTTGCGGACTACCGCAAGGAATTTGGGTCCGCATTTCCGGCCTTTCCTAATAAATGGAGCACCTATTGGGACTCTGATAGAGCCCAACCTCCGAATGTGGAAGGGAAAGCAGCGATGAAATCTGCTGCCAAGTTGTGCCTTTCTGCTCACGGGTGCATATTCGTTGTTGCCTACGTCTTCGATCATGAAAGGCGCGGAATGGTTCTCGGTCCTATCGATGAACCAGGGCAACCTGCGCCAGGGCTTTCTCGCTCACGTTTACGCATTTGCGCACGGCCTACCTTCGTTTGTGTGTAGTTTACACGTCGTTGACGCCGGAAGTATCTTGAATGGTTTGTCTTTTTGTCCAAACCGGAATGGCTACGACAATGCTCAATTGAGCATGCGACTAGGCTGAAAGAGCTGAGATGCGCTTGCAGACACCGTAAATGTGGTGGCATCATGCAGCCATCATCTAGTGGCATATCCTGGTCGTGCAGAATGGTGCATGTGTGTAGTCGTCTCTTGCTCCTTGAACACGCAAGTGTTGTTCATCAGGCCTCGCGGACTTTTCTAGTCCTTTGGGGATGAACGCTGGTCGCGGACAGGCTTACGCGTTGTCACAATGTTGAGATCGTAGAGGTGAGTGTTTGCAAGGATTCTCGAGTCCTGCGTCCGAAGGTCGGCTATCGGCGAGTATGGCGGTACGCGGCCGATGGGGGTAGCTGTCATGTTTCCCTGCATGAACAAGTCGTCTTAGCGCATCTGACCGGCTGTTTGTTGCATTTACTTCACCTGATGGGCCGTCGACCGATCTGAAAAAGTTGTCGCATGGTGTATGTGCTGCTGATGGTAGCTAAATGTTATTCGCGTCCAATCCGAGGTATGCAAGACGAGAGGGTTGAGCAGCACCGAGACAAGTACAGAGACGTAAAGAGACGCCGCTTTCTGAACCAGCGTCTTCGTTCTGTATGTTATGTTTCGTCTGCCGGATAGCACATCGTCGTACCGAGCTAGCGAGCGGCGTCACCATACGGCCAAGAATATAGGAAAGAGTTGCGGTGTAGGTGTGTTGGTTAAGTTTGAGCTATGCACAAACCGTCAGGAGTGTGAAGTCCCGATGATACTCGTACCTCGTAAAAACCCTTTGCGGCTCTATGACCTACAAAATTGCTGTGGTAGGCCAAGATGATGGACTACAAATGTTATCGTTCTCGTTCATATGCTTGCTCCCATGACAAATCGAGTTCAACACATGATCATGTTGAATAGCAGGAGCGGCCGAGAAAGGCAGGTACCGGTGTGTGCTTGTGGCTGCAGACTCGAAATGAGAGGTTTTGATTCTCATGCTCACTAGGCCACAACTTTGGGGTGCGACGCGAACTTCATCAACACGGTGTAGGATGACAGATACGCTAATTACCCCTTTGACGTGATAATCATCGTTCTATGTATCTGCTAACATCGCTCTTCGAAACAGTGATTCGAATGGATGTTTCCTTGATGGGAACGGAAGGCTTCGGCTGTTTACATTGGGAAGAAGCACTTCCACGTGTCAACCAGAGAACGGTCAACTTTAACTTCTGGACCTGCGCACAATGGCCCAAGCTTGAAGATCTGCGCTGGACATGTCAGTCAGAGCGTGATGGTATGGCAGTCTCCGAGGGTAAGGTGTCGGATTTACTGATCAAGGACAGACGTTCCTCCATCTCGAGCGCACTGACCATTCCAAAATCCTTCTTGTAGTTTACAATCGATGGAAGAGGAAAGAGACATGAGGGACAATGAGTATCTAGCGCTTTACTTACAAACTCTGGCAGTGTAAGATGTAGTGTGTGGGGATTCCAACCGTGTTGCTTCGAGAGAGGCGGCAGAAGGCCGTTGACAGCGCCGCAACCATGGAGTCGGTGAAGAAATGGGTCCAAGTTTGTTGAAAACCTGGCCGAGCAACAAGCAGCCGGGGGCCCCTGCTTGCGCCATGTGTTGTAAGCAGAGCAAGCATATGACTGACAGACGCCAACTATAGCAGCAGTCAACAGTGCTACGCTTCACGATCGGGTTTCGAAAGCCGAGTCCAGTTCGGAGCCAGACTGCAATTTGTCGATCATTGGAAGAACGCAGGCTCATGCAGTACGACAGCACAATGGGCCTGTTGAGAATTTGCTGTCCAAAGTGGGAGATGTTGCGTTGGTGACAGCCACATGACGCCTGCAGCACACAACCAATTCGATGATAGTAGCTGCTCCAAGAAAAGTTCTTGACATGCTTCCAGGTACCGGTAAATTGAGTTCGAGGGTCGGTCCAACCGCAGGCATACATAGTACATGCTTGCATGAAACTGTTCCCACGAACTATGTGTACATTGCATACAGATCGGTAGAACGAATGCAGCCAAGTCAGATGCCACATACTTGTATGGCCGGTTCGGGAAGTCAGTACTTTTTGAAACTTCAATGCTTGTTGTACAGAGAGGATGTATCCAAAGACAAGCCAGGCACCATAAGCTGGCCAACCGAGAGGGTCTTGTCAGCAACTCCGCACACAGTCAGGAAAGCTTCGTGAGAGCCGAGCGGGTCGTGTGCGATGTTCATGTTCTATGGCAGTCAGTGATTTTCACGCCAAACATGCGAACCCTTTATGACTAGGTATGCACAACATCCGTCGGCTTGTCTTGCACTTCATCGGGAACATAGGCTTTGCACCCCGGGCCACAGCGTTCGCATCAGACTATTAAACCGTCAGGAGTTTTGTGAACGCATGGCACCACGTTGCCAACCTTTTTGAACTGTTCATGGTCAATCCTTCGTCGCGACCAAAGGCTTTACACTTGATTTTACGACTTGGTCCTCATTCTTGATGTTCCTGTACGGGCATTGGCACATTCGAACAACGTGAACGGACCCATTTTTCTCGACTGGTGGTCAAGCAAAGTTCATCTGTCGCTCCACAACAGCAATGACTTCAAACTCTCAGCCTCAACCTCGGGGCGATGCTTCAGTGCGTGAATTTGGCAGAGACTTTCTGGCCTTCTCTGTCCAGCACGGCATACACTGTGTACCTATTGATGATGTGAGTATCATGTCGGCTGCCAGGTCCCACCAGCGGGTGTGACATTGCATAGGTTACCCTTCTGCTTGCGATGCGGACACTCCGGTGCGACTACTTATCAACAAGAGTTCGAGAGTGATTCGAACTATGCGGTCCGGAGAGCACTCAAGAGAGCGGCACTACAGAACCACCCAAAAGGCTGCCAGGCAGTTTAGGGGCTGGCAGTGGTAGAAGACTTGCTGTCGCAGCGGCTGACTTCTCGAAAGGAAGAACTCAACCGGCAAGCCGATTTCTACGATATCATCTCTCGATTGTTCGAGAGACGTCTTTTCCTACCAACCGAATTGACACCAGAGTTCGTACTCGACTGTGGAAGCGGCAGCGGCATCGAATGGGCAGAAGAAGTGATGGAGAAGTCAGAGCTGGGGCCAGGGTCTTCCAGCTCAGAGGACGACGACTTCGCATGTCAGGTAAGCATCAATACATTCCCTGTTCACAAGCCTGACTAACCTGCTGGAAAGGTAGTCGCTGTCGACATCTTCCATACCGAAGGATCATCGCCCGGAGTGGTGAAGAAGAGGTGGAATCTGAATGGACCCTTTCGTTACGACCAAGAAGAACTTGCCAGAGACAAGTATGATCTTGTCAACTCACGCTTCCTTGCAGACAGTATCAATGCAGACCGATGGAGGTCTTACGTACAAGACCTCTACGACCGACTCAGGACTGGTGGCTGGCTCCAGATGCTCGAGGCTCAGTTCAATATCCAATCGCGCAGCGGAAGACCTTTGGAGTATCTGTCGAGATGGTGGACTATCTACAGTCAGGCCTTGGAAGGGCACAACAAAGATCCAAGAGTCGGAACAGAGTTGTCGAGGTATATGGCCAATGCCGGGCTCGTCAACATCGCCATGGAGCCGAAACAACTGCCGGTCGGAGAATGGCATCAAGACCCTCGCTTGAGAGAGATAGGTAGGGATATGAAGTCGATAGCTGTGCAGACCCTGAGGTCGTTGGGTATATGGCATTGCCGTCGAGCTGGTATGCAGGAAGTCGACTTCGAAGATCTAATCGCCGGTTGTGAAAGAGAAATTTCAGACACAAGTCTACGACTCTATATCCCGTTGTAAGTTTGTCAGCGATGCGACAAAGCCTCTGGACTATGAGCTGAATATTGCAGATTTGCCGTCTGGGGTCAAAAAGCCGTGGTGGGACAAAAGCGAGTCGACAATGGAGGCGCTACATATATTCCCGACCCAAGCAGACGTCTTCCTCCCCCAGTCGACTGGGCATAGGTACTCAAGGGTGGTCTGGTCGCTGCTATAGAGTGTTGCTGGCTGGCGGTCTTATGGCTGGGTTCGAGCTCAATTTGCTAGGACCAATTTATGGGTGGCTCTTTGGGCTGCTTTCAACAATGGACGGGATTGAAGTTGGTCTCTGTCTTCGAGGATGTGCGGCTGGACAAGTCTGTTTGGTCTTGAGGCAAATGAGCCTTCAGACAGAATGTCCTAGGAAAGGACGACATGGACAGGCCACGCCAGCGTAAGGATGTGCGAGTACTCCAAAAAGACCATAAAAACGAGCAGCGGCTAGCAATGTTGAAAGAGAGAAGATGCCGAATGCTCTGACCTCCGAAGAACTTCGTGTTGATCTCGGGTCTTAGCTGAAATATGCGTCACCCTTGCAGCTGCTCTAGGAACCTCCATGATGAAAGTTACCACTCTGTCGGGTCCTTGGTCAAAGTATCCATGAGAAAACGAAAGAAACCACATATGAACCAAGGAGCATGAATCCAAGTCAAGCCGTTTTCTCAAGCGTAACTAGTCACTTACACTCTGCCTGGTTTTGGTCTTCAGAAGGTCCTTCAATCATGCTGTGGATATATAGATGTTTGTCATAGAAAGAAGCCTCAGCACCGCTGCACGAAGCCTAGCAAAACGCGTTTCTGGCTTTTAGTGTCCCAAATTTTCTACGTCGTCTAACGTCGGTATCATATCACTTCGCTCAAGGTGTTGTCAACTTAGTTGTCACAAAGGCTCCAGCTCTACTTCTGCTGCGGGTCGCGTGCAAAGCGCTTCCACTCCAAAGCATACAAATTCGAACACGTTGGATTAAGTATGAAGATTGGAAGCAGAATCGAACAGATTCCGTACTTCGTGAAGCTAACAGCACTCGGCCGTAAGAGCTTCGAGGAGGCCCAGTCTATCGGAAGCGGCCCTGTGCTTCGATTGACCAGTGCACAACTTCGTCACCAGCGAACACTGACTCTGTGTGTGTCCACCTCCCTTTTATATGTGTATATAGATTGAATATAGTTTCTAGAGCATCGTACAATTTCTATGCCTGTGTAGATGACAGACTTTGCTATACAGACTTTAGCATATCAGCTATGCAACCGCGGCAGACACCGTTTCTATGACGTACACTGGCAGAAGACATTCCATCAAAAGGAACGAACTTGATAGGAACTGTCATGTCATATACTTGATCAGCTTGCAAACACACACACTATAAGCAGTCATGACAGAAGCATTGAAGGAGACTGTGGGTTCAGCTTGGACAAACGTCAAGCGTGGGCTATCCAGCGCACCACCCAATGATGCCTACCTGGCCTGGGATGCTGAGGGAGTCGAGATTATCAAGCCGGACGAGCAGGAAAAGATTCAGCGCATCAAAGAGGTCATGGAGCGCATGCAAAAGCACAACTTTGACCTTCACAGGAAAGCCTTCAGAGCAACTCACGTAAAAACGCAGGGCATTGTCAAGGGAACCTTGAAAGTAAACCCGGATCTTCCGGAACATCTTCGACAAGGCATATTTGCAGTGCCAGGCAAGACCTACGACGTTGCCGCGAGATATGCGAACGAACCGTATCTCCTTCAGCGTGACCAGGAGAATGGTCCTCGCGGTCTAGGACTCAAGGTCTTTGGTGTTACAGGACCTCGACTGGAAGGCGTCGATGACTCTATCAACACTCAGGACTTCTTCTTCAACAACGCCCCTAGCATCGAGTTGACAGATATCGACACAACGCTGGACATTATGAGTCTGCGCGAGAAGTACTTCGACGATCCTGCAGCTTTGGGCAGGCATCTCAAGATGCGAACGGACCTCGTGAAGCAACATGCTCCTTATATGCTTCCGAACACCAACATCATTTCTCATGCCATGTACAGCCAGTCAGCATTTCGATTTGGTAAATACTACGGACACATGGCCCTGTTCCCTGTATTGGAGAGTCAACAAGCAGCANGACGCAAGGTCAAGAACGACGACCCGTCGTGTGTTTTGTCGGACTGGCTGTTCGACTACTTTGGCGGCAAAGAAGCCAAATATGAGTTCAAAGTAAGATATCCTATCCATATATCGAAGTAAGATACTCACGAAATGCAGATACAGCTAGGAACAGATCCTTCGCACCATCCCACTGAAGACGGAAGTGTCGTGTGGGACGAGGCAACAAGTCCTTATCAATCCCTGGGTACGATCACTTTCACTGCGCAAAACAGCTTCAGCCAGGAACGACGAGTGTTCTGGGAGGATCACATGTCGCTGGATGCATGGAGGGGCCTAGATGCGCATAGACCTTTGGGAGGAATCAACCGCTTGAGGAAGGATGTGTACCCGCACAGCAAGAAGACTAGAGACAAGATCAACGTCTCAAAGTCGGAGGATGTCCGCAGTGTCGATGAGATTCCCAACTAGAGAGATGCGGGCGGTAGATAATAATGATGATGATTGCTTGAGAAACCGGATTTGCAGTAGTCCGCAGCCAATTATTGTATCATCAAGCACGCGCTGGCCTCGGCGCGGGATGCGAGAGTCGGCAGAGGACGAGCAGCGTGCAGCTCCTTCCATAATTTCTCTGTCACCTTGCGAACAAGTTTTGCAAGCACTGCAAGCACCTTCCGATGGAATCAGCAAAACTCTGACACGCAAGATTGAACAAGTCGACGGCCTTTCAAGTTTCAGAAACGTCTTGTGCAAATCGAACAGGGTCACCGAGTGGGGCCTGGTGCAATTTACACGGACAAGTCACAGCACGCGACAGAAAGAGGACAACGTGCCCCCCAAGCTCAGACAAGAGTGCCGGTCTTGTTGACACTGGGCGACTGCGACAGGAATACATTTCTTCCACGCGGCCTTCCAGAAGTTCAGGTCGTCTCCTTCCAGAGCGCGCGCCGACCACTCGACCCCGGACCCAAACAGGCGAAGTGTCCAGAGTCCAGACAGCCCGTCAAGACGCAAAGGGCGGTCAGAGGCATCCAGCGGCAGAAAGAGTTCAAGCCACTTTGTATGCGCTGCTTGACCACCACATCTCCCTCGAGTTCCCTCCGACCCTTCCGGATCTCCATACACGCCGGTTGAGCGTGTGGCCTGGACGCGCCCATGTGGTACATTACGCGCATCCTGTCGGCGCTCCTGTTTCTGTTCAGCGTCGTCTTCACCATCCCACTGGCCTTTGATGTCGGCGGCCGAACCTGTGGTCTTGCCTTTTCACTCTCGCTGAGCGCTTTCTACTTCTTCTACTCTGCGCTACGACTTGCCACGCCCGATCGCTCGAGACTTCGCTATGCCCTCGTCAACACCATCGCTGCCTCGCAGTGGATCGTCATCCCCACCCTCATGATCTGGAGTCTCAACAAGTTCTCGGTCGACTCGGACGCGAGCGCGTGGGTGGAAAAGACCTTCAGTGGGAAAAGAGCACAGCACGATACTTTCTATGCATGGGTTTTTGGTAGCGACGGCCTGGTGCAGTCACTCACCATCGGCGGCTGGGACAAACTGCTGCGCTGGTCGACCCCCGTCTTCCAGCTGAGTGAAGGCTTCTGCAGTCTGCTCGTCATCCAAGCCGCTGGTCAAATCACAAGATACCTGGTGAACCGTGAAGGTGGTGATGGCTGGATGGTAAGTCGGTTGCAGTTGCGCGGTCAGATGGACATACGAAGGCTAACCGTGATCCTGCAGATCGGACTGCTGATCACCTCTGCCTCGATCATCTCGAGTTCCGTCTATTTCCTATGGAGAATCACCACTTTCCCGGAGCTCGGTAATGTCGATGCTATCCTGATCGGCGTTGCAATTACCTGCGCCTTCTTCCTCTGTGTTTGGGGCATTGGCAGCGGCAAGGGCAACCCCGTCGAAAGCTCGCTGCTCGTAAGTCACATCCATATCCATCTCATCTATGCTTAGTAGACTGACCCCAACCAGTTCGCCTACATCACCTTGTGCATCTACCAGATCTTTACCGACTACCAGCCCTCGAACCCAGCTCAATCCGTTCCTGTTCCTGCCGAGCCAGATTTCCCTCCATTGCCTCCAATCATCATGGCATCCTACTCGACTCTGATGCACGCTCTCTCAACTCTCCCGTCTACGATCCACACTTCGTTCAACTTTCTGTTCGCAGCAATCATGACCATTACTCCCTCCGTCATCATTTCGCTAGCATACCGTCTCTTCGTTATGTACGCCTCCGCTCGAATCATTCCGGCTGTGCGCGAGTCAGGAGCTCGCGCGCTTTCGCAAGAACCGTCGCTGGAAGATAGTGACGGCGTGGGCCAGGTCCTTGGGCTCCTTGGCTACTTCAGCCCAAGTATCCTGATAGCTGTCTACACCAGTCTCTTGATGCAACATTTCGCTTCGGCTTCAGCTGATCACCCTGGAGAGTGGTGGACCAGTCAAGGCGGAGACGCAGGTAGCAACGTCTGGAGATGGGCCAATCTGGCTGGTACTATGGCACTCTACGCAGTCGAATTGTATCTTGGCAAGGGCCACGATGACAGTAGTCTCACAAGTCATTGGAAGATTGACTGAGAGGTTGAAAGACATGTTACACAGGTCGAAAGTCAAATCAGCAGGACAGCCAGTGTTGACCACAACCGAAACAGCTACTCCCTCCAGACACAAGCTGGGCATGATAACATGCCCTGCGAAGATCAGTCGTCTTCAGGGCCAGGAGTGAAGACACCTACAGACCACAACTAGGACTCCAAAATGATATTTGGATAGAACGCCAGCGGAGAGAAGGTATCCGGAAAAGGCAGGTCCTTGACACTAAAAGCGACGCGGGACGTATGGATGCTCTCAGCAATCCCAATTTTCTTTTCAGCGAAACTCTTTTTTTTTTCTCCTCCTTAATTTTCTTCATCACAGCGAACTGCTGGACTAGATACCACCTCATCCTTAGCTTAGCAACAGAATCAAACCACTATGAAAGCGATCAAGGACCACAGCACATGACTTTGAGTCGGAAGGCAAGTGCAGCCGAGGAAACATGTTGATCATCGTGAGCTTAGCCATACGTCACAGCTGATCATCAACGTGAAGCTCTCGCCTATTGTTTTTGCATGCAGAGCTCCCTCAACCTTTGAGAGATACATTTCAGACCTTTACATCTTGAAGATTTGACATTGGAGTTTGTACTCGATACAGCAGGAAGAACCTAACAACCTTTTCTACCACTACATCACAAACATCAAACAAGATGGCTGAGACTCACCACTTTCATGCCCACAAGCTCTTCAGCATGGACGGCAAAGTTGCTGTTGTCACTGGAGGCGGCTCTGGCATTGGTCTGATGATGACCCAGGCACTTGCTGCCAACGGTATGATACATCTACTACGCCGTTCAAAGACATTCAACTGACCCCATTCAANNGGCGCAAAGGTCTACATCGTCGGCAGAAGTGAGTCTCGTCCACGTTATTGACATCTACCAATGCTGACATGACTTCAAGATCTCGAGAAGCTCGAGACTGCCAGCAAGGAGCACGTGCCCGAGAACGGACAGATCATCCCGTATGTACTGCCTTAGCAAGATGAGAAGGAAAAAGTTGACTGAGCACGCGACCAGTNNATTGGAAACATCGATGTCACCAAGAAGGCCGATCTTGAGAAGCTGGTCAAGCAGATTGAAGAGAAGGAGAAGTGCATTCACCTGCNNTTGGTAGGTCTCTTCCCATCGACCTAAGGCTGTCATGGCTGACGTGCTGCAACAGTTGCCAACGCTGGTGTTCCTGGTCCCAAGGCCGAACCCGACAAGGAGGACGCTGGAGAGCTCAAGGACAAGCTGTGGCAGGGTGAATCTGTCGAGGAGTGGAACGACACATACTCGACCGACGTCACCTCAGTCTACTTTACCACTGTCGCCTTCCTGCCTCTGCTGCAAGCCGCTGTTGAGCCCCAGGGTCCTGGAGAGAAGTTCAGCTCTTCCGTAATCACCACTTCTTCGATGAGTGGTATCATGCGTCACGCTCAGGGCCACTTTGCGTACGTCAGAACACAGTCTAGGTGCAGAGTGTATAAGCTAACCATGACGGCTCGCAGTTACAACACTGCCAAGGGCGCAACTGTTCACCTGACCAAGCTGATGTCGGCCGAGTTCATGAAGGTCGGCGTTAGAGTCAACAGCATTGCTCCCGGCTACTTCCCCAGCGAAATGACGGCCAAGAGCTCCGACGACAGACAGAAGAGCGACCTGCCCGCCGAGAAGGTCGCCGACAAGGGCCACGTGCCTCAGATGCGCGGCGGGCGCGATGAGGAGATGGGCATGCTGGCACTCTTGCTAGCCAAGAACACATACGTGAGTACATCTCTCAAGGGAAACTAGAGAGCGTAGAGCTGACAAGGGCAAATTTCAGNNATCAACGGAGAAGTGATCGCGATTGATGGCGGAGTGCTCAATACGCTCGCTGGTCGCTAAGCGAATACGGCATGCCTTATGACCAGCGATCATGGGACTGGCTAAGGAAATCAGTACAACGACAACGACAACGGCAACGACGAAATGATGCAATGATCCTTGAAACGCAGGCCTGGCCGCGTGGTTGGTAGCAACGACAGCAAGACGGGAGAAGTTGAGAAGAAGCATGAGGATGCTGTGGAATGAAGAGTTGGACAGGTAGCAGGCTCGATGAATAGAAAGCTACAGTAGCTGTCAAGAAATAAAGGAATTATCGTACAGGTGTATTTCTGGCGCGGGAGTTGGTCCCCTGGATCGAATCCCCCACCGTTTCAACGCCGGCCGCAAAGGTTGCTTAGTCCGCAGTTTGAAGTAGGGCAACATCTCGTGGACCTGCGTGGGATGGAATTGCTGTCTCAGATGGTACAATAAACAACCTTTCGCCATCGCCAGTGACTTCATTCCAATCTCCTGGATGGTCGGATGTGGTAGCCTCGTGCCCCGTGCCCACGCCGAACTGTCGATGCGAGAGTGGAACGCCCTACCTTCTCTCTAATCCCCGAGTGTGACGACTGCCAACAAGACCTCTGGATGCTATGAGGCCAAGCAGCGATTTCTCTTTGTCGCCGCCACCGCTGTCGCACAGCTCGAACATCTGCAAACTGGAGACGCTTCTGGACCTGTCCCTGTCCCAGTCACCGTCCCTGAACCCCGCCGACCACGACCGCTCCTGATAGACACGCCCGAGACACTGCCCACGCCGACAACTCAGACACGCCCGCCGCCATGCCGGCCGTCGCCCAACGCCCTCAGTCGGCCTATGGCCCTCCCAGGTCGTCGGTCGAGTCCGACAGCGGCAGCGAACGATTCACATCCGCCCTCGAGAGACGAGCCAGTTTTCAACCCCAATCCGGCCTCAAGCCACCCGGTCAGAACAGGCAACCGAGCTGGGAAAAGATGCCCAAAGATGGGTCTGTACAAAGGGCTGCTGGCGAGGTCTCCGGCCTCAAAGACTACGTAAGACAAGAGCTGCCGCACATGAGACATAGCGCTAGGCCATGGAGCTGACAGAAGCTCGCAGNNCAACTGGGTGACTGCCTCGGCAAGGGTGCCTTTGGCAGTGTGTACCGCGCTTTGAACTGGGGCACCGGCGAAACTGTTGCTATCAAGCAAGTCAAATTGGCGGATCTGCCAAAAGGCCAGTCTCGCGCTATTATGGTATCGTTATAACCCCGGGCTACATGCTTACCCTTGGCCACAGGTGTTGACTTGAACCTGCAGATGGAAATTGATCTGCTCAAGAACCTCAATCACCCAAACATTGTCAAATACAATGGCTTTGTCAAGTCCACCGAATCATTGTACATCATTCTCGAGTGCGCCTGCCTGACACCTCAATTTTCGGACTTCTGCTTACATACTCAGANNTACTGCGAGAACGGTTCGCTGCATTCTATCTGCAAAAACTTTGGCAAGTTTCCCGAAAACCTTGTTGCCCTGTACATGACCCAGGTTCTCAACGGCCTGTTATACCTTCACGAACAGGGTGTCATCCACAGAGACATCAAGGGAGCAAACATTCTTACCACCAAGGAAGGTCTGGTCAAACTGGCCGATTTCGGCGTCGCCACGAGGAAGGATACTGGCCTACATGAGAGTAGCGTAGTCGGCACACCTTACTGGATGGCTCCCGAGGTCATCGAATTGTCTGGTGCTACTACTGCTTCGGACATCTGGAGTCTTGGATGTACTGTCATTGAACTACTCGATGGAAGACCTCCGTATCATAAGTTGCAGCCCATGCCAGCCTTGTTCCGCATCGTCAACGATGATCATCCACCGCTACCTGAAGGAGCTTCTCCGGTATGCGATACCTTCTGCTACTTTTGGTGTAAATTTCGCTGACATCACTCAGNNGCCGTTCGCGACTTCCTCATGCAGTGCTTCCAANAAGATCCTAACCTCAGAGTCACAGCCAAGAAACTATTGAAACACCCCTGGATTCTCAGTGGTAGACGTTCCGACCAACCTGTCGCAAAACCTACACAGTATGACGAAGCAGTAAAGAGTGTTCAACAATGGAACGAAGCACTCAAATCGCCACAAAATACATCCTCAAGGCGCTCCTCGTCTAGACCACTCTCGTTGAGCCCTGTACCTCCGAGACCCGATGTTGGCTCACACCTGAGGACTCCTGGACTCAACAAAAGCGGCTTGGCATTGGCGCATCGAGCAAACGACACCAAACTTTATGAATCACCTGAAAGTGATGCCAAAGACAACTGGGACGATGATTTTGCAACTTCCATCGGCAATTCAGCCTTGCAGCTGCCTCACCTGAAACCTCACGACAACTTTGCCGGCATGTTATCGTCGGATAAGCTAAAACAATATGCTACTTTCGACATGAACGCTGAGGAGGAAGAAGGGGATAACTGGGACGACAACTTTGAAGGAGATCTTACTGTGAGGAGTCCAATGGAGGTAATACGAGGCGACCCTATGGAAACTGTGCGACCTTTCTTCCCACCTAGGGCCAATACCTTCGACATGAAGCATACGGCACCTACAAGGAACCCAGGACAAACTACGCTACGGCACGCTCAAAGGGCTCTAGAGAAGACTGATAAGGACAACCCATCGAGGACACAGATTCTTCGCCCAATGCACAAATCGACAAAATCCGAGCCGAAACCTGTAGATGCTCCTGTACGCCCATCGCTAATGTACCGGGAGAACTCGACTGAAGACTACTCCGATCTGCTTGGACCAGATAACGACTCGGTCTTCCGTCAGAAACTTGCGGCACTGACTATCCGAAGTGACGATTCTTTCGCCCCTAAACTGTTCCATCCTTCTGACCTGAAGAGCCTACCTCGACCAAGTTCGCGTATGGGTCATATGCGCCGACCATCCCCTCAAATCCATGATGCCGCCGCAATGCGTAGAACACGTTCCGAAGTGGAGATACAAAAGTATGCTGAGGATCCCGAGGACGAAGACTTCTCGGACATCTTTGGCAAAGAAGACGGACAGCAGGTACCACCACCCGAGAGTGAGAGTGGCTCAGATATTGGAACTCTCATGCTCAACTCGAAACTATCAACGAATTCATGGCTCGGAGATGAAGAAGACGAGGATGATCCGTTCGCACAACTCGAAGAAGGCTTTGACGAGATGGATCTGGAAACCAATATTGCTCGAGACAAGTTCGCTCGCTTGGTAACACTTGTCGAGGGCCTCGTTGGTTCACTCAAAGTCTCGCAACCCGAGGACTACCTACAAGATATTGTGGACCAACTCTTCCAAGTACTGTGGGAGTCTCCCGAGGTCAAGACTGTCGTTATGTCGTCGCACGGCATGTTGCCTATCCTGGAGATTCTGGAAACATGCAATCGTCCAACGACCATCCTAAGACTATTACAAGTTGTCAACTTGATCATCATGGACAATGTCGAGATACAAGAGAACCTTTGCTTCGTTGGTGGCATACCAATCATCACAAGATTTGCGCAAAAGAGATACAGCAGCGACATCAGGTTGGAAGCTGCTGCATTTGTCAGACAAATGTACCAGACCAGTACACTTACTCTACAGATGTTTGTCAGCTGTGGTGGTTTGAATGTTTTGGTTGAATTCCTTGAAGAAGACTACGAAGCGGAGAGAGACCTCGTGCTGATTGGAGTGAATGGTGTTTGGAGTGTGTTCGAGTTGCAAGGCCCAACACCGAAGAACGATTTCTGTCGAATCTTCTCACGCAGCTCAGTATTATATCCACTCTCTTTGGTGCTCAATCGAGTGCTGGATGAAGAAGGCGAACTTGCCGAATTAGTCGAGGGACGCATCGTCAACATCTTCGTGTTGTTCTCACAAGCCGAGAATCACGTCAAGGAGGCAGTGGCTGATCGCATGGTCTTGAAGTGTGTGTTGAAGGATCTGAAACGCATGTCTCCTCAACACCAAATCACCATGCTCAAGTTCATCAAGAACCTGTCTATGCTTGCAACCACACTCGACGCTCTGCAGAACTCGAACGCGATCGAGGTGTTGACTGATCTCCTTAACGCTAGCATGAAGGTACCGCACTTCCGCGAGATCTCGAACCAGGTCTTGAACATCATGTACAATCTTTGCAGATTGAGCAAGACTAGGCAAGAAGATGCTGCATTGAATGGCGTTATTCCTCTCCTACAGCGCATCGTTAAGACTGAGCGTCCATTGAAGGAGTTTGCACTGCCTATCTTGTGTGATATGGCACACTCTGGCAAAGTTGGAAGAAAGATACTATGGCAGAACAAGGGACTGCAATTCTACGTCGGTCTACTTGCAGATCAATATTGGCAAGTTACGGCTCTGGATGCTATCTTTGTCTGGTAAGTAACGCAAGTTATGTGTAAGTCACAACCTCAACTAACATTGATCAGGTTACAAGAAGAGACTGCANAGGTAGAAGAACATCTCCTCAGAGATGACAGCTTCTCTAAAGCGATTATCAACTGCTTCAACCACAGCAAAGCTGACAGCTTCGAAAACTTCCTTGAGCCTCTTCAGAAGCTCTTGCGACTCAGTCCTCCCATTGCCAGCTCTCTCATACATCCAGATTTGTTCTTGCGCACGGCTCAGAAACTTCGCACCAAGAAGGCCTTGGTACGTCTCAACTTACTGAGAATCATTCGCAGCATTTGCGACTCTAGCGATGAAGACGGTGCACTCATTCATACATTCGGTTTGCACCCTATCATCGCCGAGACTGCTAAGTACGACCCGGCTATTCTGGTACGCGAGATGGCTTCGGACTTGATCAAATCTTCCGAATTGCACGTCTCTCGTGCTGTTCACAATGCTCGTGTTGGCGAAGTCAACAACCGCCGCCAACTCCGTCGTTCGAGCTCTTCCACAATGGTACCTACTGGCAATTCTCTTCCTCCTACACCGACAACCGACCGTATGCCAGGTCGTATAGGTAGTTACTTCGACCCCTCCGCCGACTTACAACGTCCTTTCTCACGCGGTGCTACTGGCATGGCGTCACCATATCGACCGATCAGTCGTGACGGAGGTTCTGGCGGATCATCAACAGGCTGGAGTGCATCGGGCTTCCTGGCATCTCCGAGCGCTATACCTCCGGTCGCTGGGCTCGTTTCGCTTGATCGCACCGGCGCCAACAACATCAACAACCTCGTCTCCAAATCTCGTCTGCCTCGCACCAACCATACCCGCGGCACCTCAGGCGCGCGTCTCAGCCTCGTTACTGCCGAAGGCCGAACCTCGCGTCCCGGTTCCCGAAGCGGACTGAGCAGCAATGACAGAAGTGAAAACTTGACGCCAAAGAATGCCGCTGCTCCATCGCACGGCCATGCTAGAACACCAAGTCGTCTCGGCCACCAGCATCAGCTTTCTGCGCCCTCGGCGGCTATAGGCAATATGAGACCTTCGCGAGGTAGACGCATGACCAGTTCTGGCAGCAACGGCGGTGTCGGCGGAAACTAGAAGTTTCCTGGCTTGGTCTTGGATCCTTGCGATCCTTTTGTCGAGGAAGATGAGTGAAAGACTAAGGTGACAATCTCACATTTCTTTCCCATTACTCCTTTGGCCAGTCTTTACCACTTTTCCTGCCCTTCTATTCTCGCTGTTTGTTTCTTTGCATGCAAAAGAGGCGTTTATCTGGGGTTTAGCGTTGCTTTGCCTTCGTTTCCTTTTTGTCTCTTCTTTTCTTCCTCTTCAGCAAAGGACATGCATATACATAACTCTGTCCTCATTTTCCAGCATAGCCGTGGCGTTTACAAGAGATGGAATCTTCTCTAGCTCAGGGAATTCAAGGAGTATCAGGAGCATTCGGTTCATCAGATCAACAATATACATTATGCAGTATGTGTTCTTGATGTCTTGGTTGCACTTTGCTTGTGTGACAAGTGTATTGAGTTGTGTTTCTTGCGCCTTGTCAGGTTACATTGAGTTGTCGAGGAAGGTGTGATGTTCAAGGCCTGCCCCCTTACAAAATCTTCTACACATCCGATAATCAACACCATCACTGTGATTCATACAGATATGATGACGATTCGGAAATTCTCTAGACGTTATCATGGCGTCAACCCCTTGTATTCATGCAACAATACTCTTCCCTTCTCACATTGTCCAGATTTCCATTTTTTGCGTAGGGAGTGCTGCCGAGGGTGACACCCTGTCTTTGATATGTACCATCGAGTTCTATCTCCAGCATTGTTCAGGCAGTATTTGCTCAGGAAAGGATACAGTAGCTTTGGAAGTTGCCTCTATGCTCTAGTCTACCACTGCTGAAACCCCTCAGATCTAGTACCCCGTGATCGATTGGCATGATGAATTTTCTCATCTTCCTCTCATCATCATCATCCCGATTCCATTCCCTCGCTCTGGTCGTGCTGGTGAGACATCCATGATCGTATTACAGTGGAAACAAGACTCGTGATCTTGATATAAGAACTTATTGATACTCTGCTCTACTGCTCTCACTTCCCCCTCGTATCATCATACCATCAGCGTGGTGATCAACTAGATACCCAGTGGTCAAGTAAAATACAAAACAACAAGAAGGCGGAGCTTTTAAATACACTTGAAAAGAGGCAAACGACAAGATAGATATCAAAGAGGCACCAAGTCACGTAGAGAAGCGTGGACTTTCAACAAGCTCAACAAGCTAAGCAGATGTCTACACGATGCAGACAAGAGAAGCCGTCACGAACACACAACAGTCAAGGACAGAGACAAGAGACACAGGCAAAACGCGACATTGACATTAAAATAGTTCATTCTTGATTCTAATTGCTTTCGTCTCTGAAGTGATCGAAAAGAAAAGAGAGAAAAGACATTCCCAAGCTCCAAATGGTCTCCGACAACTGAAAGCGAGAGGAATGAAGGAAAAAAAAAATCTCTTTGACTAGTTTGAACAGACAAAATAAACTCCACATTACTCCGTCGCTAGACAAGAAAATGAGATTCAAGAAAAAGAGCTTTGCTGCTATCCAAAGAGCAAGGCCGAGTGGAAAAAAAAGAAGTGGAGAAGCGTGAGAGAACAAAATGCAAAGATGCAAAAAGGCAGAATATGGGGGTATAGTACGACAGCCAAGGCATCGAAGCAAAAGCGAGGTAGCTACTAAGAAGGGGGTATTGGGGTATAGCGAGTCTGGCGTTCAAGTTGGCTGAGTTGGATAAAGCGAGCGTGATAAGAGAAAAAAGAGAAGAAAAGTCGAAGCGGGATATGCAAAAGAGCAGCAGATGCAGAAATGGTTTGCAAGCTGTGCTGAGTGGGTAGATCAGCTCAGATCAGAGGTTCATGCGGTGGCTTGTTCTTCATCAACACTTAAGGCCATCATGGAGGGGATGGGCTTGCGCTTTGTGCGCGTTTGTGGCAGAGGCAGGCCTTGTACTGCTCTAGGCTCTTTCATAAGAGCAGTGTCCAGTTTTGCTGGGACTCTACTAACAACCTGGCGATAGTCACCGGGGAAGCGAGAGTTGGGTGCTGCGGTCGAGGCGGAACGCCATAAGTGCTCTGAAGTGTCGAACAACCAGGAGGTGTTGTGCTTGGAGAAGATAGATCCACGGCCCCTGTTTCGCTTGGCAAGGATGATCTCGTCGAAGAGCTTGATAGACGGGTTCTCGGCACGAGTTGACTCTCGCTCGTGGATGAACTCGTTGAACATCTGGGTCTCGCGCATCATGGTGATGTATTCAGTTGCCTCGCCAGGTACACTGCGGATGAACTGATCCATATTGAAGTGATATACCATGCCTGCTTTTCTGCGCTCACCTGATGCAGGGTGCATGAAACGACGGTAGGTGTAGAGAAGCGAGGCAAAGCAGCGGACAAAGACTGCACGAACGGCTTCAGGGCGGAAAGCAAGAGGACATACGACTGAAATTTGATGCAAACAGCGCGGATGCACGCTGGTGTTGCAACCACCGCAGCGGTAGACTCCATCTTCACACTTCTCGTCGCAGATGCTGCAGTATGTCTTGTCTTCGCGTGGGCGCCAAACCAGGCAATGACCCTCGACCCACTTGGTTGTTTCGGTGTCACGAGGGCATGAGGGCTGAATAGCGTTCGGCATGATAGTAGAGGCGGCGAGGGTGGACGGCGCGTAGACGGAAGGTGCGTAGCCGGCAGAGTTTGCCAGAGTCGACGTTGACATGCTGCTGTTATGGCTGATGGAGGGTTGACTACCGTTAACGGCGCTAGGTCTTCTGAGGTTTGCCATACGATCGAATCCGAAGGAAGAGTTGCGCCTGCTCGCTACATCGAAATGCGCAGAGCGCTTCTCACGAAGTGACGTTTGCATGCTGTAGCCTGAATCATTGCGAGAGACTGGAGTCGTGGGGAAGGTCTGCGACAAGGGGGAAGGAATGGTGGGAGATGGCGGAGATCTGGTAGATGAGGATCGGCGGTCTTCTCTTGTCGTTGAGCTTGTAGACGGGCGGTCACTTCCGCGCGAGGTGGTGCTAAAGTTGAGGAAGGCGTTGAGGACGATGTTGCGATTTTGCGTAGGCACAGGCATCTCCGCAAAAGCGGCAGAGTTAGCACCAACCAGAGGTGCCAAACTCGAAGGAGTGGCTCTCTGGTTGTAAATCTGGGGGTTCTCAGAAGAAAAGGCGTCGTTCGGGAAAGTCTCGATGGCGTATGAGGGAGGACCGACCGGCACGCCATATCGTATATGATGGGGTGCGACCGACTGTAGCGAAGCAATGAGCTTTCTGCGCTGTTGGCGAGGCAGGAGCGTTGGTCTAGCTGTGCTTTCAATTGTGTCCTGATCCAAATCCACCAGAACAAAGTCATCGTCAGGGAATTCAAGATTCTCGTATCTTCGCTCTACGCCAACGATATAAGGGCAAGGAGCCTCGAGAGCCTGGATCAGGCGTGCTGGCAGAACAGGGATAAAAACTCCAGCCCACTTCAAAGGGTAGATGAGACTAGTAATGGCAGCGCTTGCAAGATGCAGCATAGATGTGTGCGATGAAAGCAAGATAATGCGTGATTCTGACAAGACATACTCGAACAAGGTGACAATGTTGTTCAAGGAGAGAGACCGGAAGAGAGCGTAAATGTCGGCGTTTCGGGAGCCAGGAATCTCATTCTCGGCCTCTTTTCTGGCGTACAAGCGCAGCTCGCGGATGGCGACTTCGATCTGAGTGCTGGAAGACATGGGGCTTGGAGCCTCGACACACAAGTTGACGACGTATCGTTCGAGGGGCAGCCACATACCGATCTTGGGAGAGCTCGGAGGCACGCGAAGTACAGCACCGTTTGTCATGGGCGTAACAATAGCCTTGAGCCACTCTTTCCAGAAACTTGTCATGTTGCCATCTTTGCCGAGTACACCGTAGCATCGTGGGATCCAGAAGCCACTCTCACCATCAGTAAGACCTTCGATTTTGGAAGCAGCTCCGTGTCGCACAGGGCGCAACAAATCGGCCATGAGAGAAATCTTCTCCTCGACTGCGCTGATTTGATCGTCGAGCGTCTCTCTCTCAGCCGAGCCCTGAGCAGCGTTGGGTAATTCGGCGAGCAGTCTCGAGAGTTTTGCTCTCTCAGCTGCCAACCGCTCTCCCAAACTACTAGCCAGTTCTCTTTCTTCGTCACTCATGTTTGCCTTTCTCCATGCCTCGCACTGTCGCTCGAGTTCGACCGACGCCGATTCGTTCAACGGCATCCATACCGTGACACAAATTGCATGCAGTTTGGAACCGTCTCCAGTTGTCATGGCAAAGCCATGCCAGGTCGATCTTGGCCGCTCATCGGCCGAGACGACCACAACGTCGTTGGGAAAGGCAAACATGGGTACGTAATCGGGAAAAGGACATCTTCTCTTCATCTCGTCGTCTTGGGCTCTCGGGGGNTATCTGTCGAGCAGGACAGGTTCGTATCGTCGTTTCAGGGGGTGCATGTCGGGTGAGGCTTTGAAGGGTTTCGGCGTAGGGATGACCGAGTTGTAGCCGCTCAGTCTTTTGGATGTGCGTGTAGAAGCTAGCGAAGTCCGGTCAGCCGGGTGGCCTGTCGACGTGCCGAAGTACTCACGTTGCCTTGATACTGAGACCGAGGGCTGTCGCTTCATGCTGTTCATGGTCGACAAGCGCCTCCTTAGTCCTCCGATGCCGCCCTTCTGTGCCGCCGCGTTTGCTGCATCTTCGGAGCTTGTGATGCGCACTGTTCTCGGTCTGGGTTTCGGTGTTCTGCTTGTTTGCGGTACAACTGCTCCTGCCTGTACTTGGATCTCCTCGAGAAAGTTCTCCCTCTCCGAGGCGAACTTGCGGAGCGCAATCTCAAAATCTTCGTCGCTGAGAGCAGGTGTTTCTGTTTGTGGGCCCTTGATCGTCGCACTGCTACGGTTGCTAGGGGTTGGCTTGAATTCGCCAGGACCGATGACACTGCTAATGCTCTTGCGCGCTTCCCAGCTGTAGCGAGTTGATGCTCTTTTCGGAGAGTTTGGTGTCGAGGGTCTAGGTGATGTGACACTGTCTGTCTCGAGGGCAATGTCCTCCTCAATCGTCTCGTCAACCGGCGGCGGAGAAGCGGCGGCGTGTTCGCGTTCGTCGTAGATCTGGGTCGACTCTATGCCGGATATGAAGAAGTAGTCGGCCAGCGGCACCGAAGTTGACTCCTTGGTAGGTGCCATGTGTAATTATACTGAGTTGTTGTGGTTGTGGATGTGGATTGGTGTAGTGTATTATTCCATTGACATGTGTGGACGGAAGCACAAGGGTGCGTTGTGGGAGAGGTGGGATATCCAAAAGGAGTGACTATGAATTGGCGGTAGATTGATGCTTCAGGTCCAGGGGGTCGCGATGGTTTCGTGACGGACAACGGCCGTCGTGAGGAGAAAAGTGAAAGTTACGGCTGAGTTTGTTGAGCGGGATGCAGGCAGGAAAGCTGGCAGTGGCTTTTGGCTCTCGTCAAGTACAATCTCGGTCGTCCAGATTACAAAGCTTCTCGAACAGCAGCAAAGGAGAAGAGACGAAGAGAGAAATATCCAAACTGTGTGAAGAGCGAGCGCAACTCCTGACGATCCTTGACGTGGTTTGCAGCCGTCAAACGGTTCCGTTTCGAAAAACCGAGCGAACAAGTGTGGCAGTTGTGGAAGCACAAGGGACCGTTTCCCTGAATGCCGGGTGGTTTATGCTGCCCGCCCGCTGCCCATCCATCAATCCACCACCCTCACACGCCTCACACGCCTCACGAGCACAAGCCAAGCTCTTGTTCCCTTCGGCTCTCTTTGACCTGTCTGTGCGCGACTTGGCCACTGGAACGCAACTCCTTTGACCACACTACCCTTCCACCCTGACTGACGCCGTGTTCGATTCCTGTTAGATTGCAGACGCGTCTTCCTGACCAGAGGACTACTCGCTAAGCGCGCACGCTATCCTCCTTGCTACAAGTTCGCACACCCTCAACCTGCTCCATCGCAGCACCCACACGCTGCCACAAGTATATACATAGCAGCAGCAGCAGCACCATCGTGTCGCGCGCCCGTGTCCCGAACCTGTCCATCACTTACTTTACTTTTCCCCTATGTTTTGGCCAGGCCAAGCGGCCGGGCTAACCACGAATACGCCTTTTTAGTGGTCCTCTTCCCCGTTTCGGGCAGACCCTTCTTCCTTCCTCTCCACTTGTTGCTGCACACGCGATCGGCAATAATAAACATCCATTCTTTGCACGCCGCAATTTCCTGCTTCATTGTGCGCCTCGCCGTGCCTCGCTGCGCAGATGCTCTATCAGAGACAAGAGTTATGTGCGAATGACTGACTCTACGCGCCCTTCCCGTGCTCCCCTTGCAACCATGCAACTTACGAGCGCACGTGAAATCTCGGCTGGTCTGAACTCTTAAAAGCACAAACGATCTGCGGAGGCTGCCCCTCATGTTTCAAGCTAATACCACGTCCACTCGGTCAACAAATAACTTGACAAAATCCTCAGCAACCATCTTCAACACAGAATTACAATGCGTATTCGTACCGCACTTTGAAAGCGCCTCAGTGTTGCTTTGGCTCTTCTTGTCATGTTTAATCATCTTGGTTCAGGGCTCGGGCCCATTTGGGCTGACGGAACCTGACTCTGTTTTATTTCTGGTCTCACGGCTAGCCGGCAACCACGACTAAACACGAACCCTGGGCGGATGAGACACTTGCTGTAGCACTCCGAGGACTGAGACTTGAGTCAACCACGCCTCTCCCGACGTCTCATCCATCCAGTGCGCCGAGCACGATGAGAATAGACTTTGCGTAATCAAACCCTTTGGTCATTGTCGTCATCTAGCTCTACTGGCCAGCCAACCTGTGGTCAAGCTGCCCACTTCCCCATTCTGGCTCTTCCAGTCAACGTGGAGTTGCGCCAGGACTGTCCTGCCATTCTTCTCGTCCAGCTGCTCGCCCTGGTTCTGTTGAAGAGTAAAGGCGACTTGCATGACATCCTGGGGACTCAGTATCGGCCTGTCGTCAGCCTCATTCCAGTTCAGGCTCCTGCTCGTCAGGCCTTCAGCCGTGCTGACAGTGACTCGCTCCAACACGACTGACTTCTCGGTAAGATTCTCGAGCTGGGCCTCTAATACGAATCCGCGCATGTCTGGCACGTCTTTCTTGACTGCAAGATCGCCTACCTTTGTCCTTACGCCGAGTGCAGGTTGTGCCACGAACTGATATAACTTTCTGAATGTCCGCTTATTCGTGGCATCATCTCGCGTTTCTTGATAGGTGACAGTGACAGCCAGGACGTGAGGACCATCCTCGCGCAGCTCGTGCCGTACAACGCGCTGTAGTGTTTGCGCTGGTTGGATATCTTGTTCTTCTGCAGCATCTGGGCCCTCGAGAGCCAATGCAATGCTGCCGCTCGGCACTTGGAGTTCGGCACTTAGCTGGACGTCTCGTACGACGACAGAAGATGATGGCGGCAATTCGTTGTTCGCGCACAAAGTGCAGGAGAAGACGGTGCCCACATAGGCAGCGCCAAACGCGGGAGGCAGTGCCAGTAACGGCGACAGCGGAAAGGTGTCTGCTGGCGCTTGTGGATAAGGGAGCGATGCATTTGCGACGGCATCGGTGCCGGGAAGTGTATGCGCGGGCGACAGCGATGGATGCGATAGTCTGAGCGAGACAGAAGATGTCTTGTCAGCAAGCATCACAACCAGGCACTTGTTCATTTACCTCAACACCTTCAGACTGATGCTATGCGGAGACGCACCGCCGACGACACTTCCAGCACGCGCTTGAGCCATATTCTGTACTCAGACCAGAATCGCTAGACGGCGGATGCGAATCTAGCGAATTGGAAGAATCAGGGTCAAAGAGAAATGTCAACAAGATTGCTGCTCTCCGATCGTCCTTGCTCGCATCTCACAAACCCACGCGACGACTGTCAATCCACAGAGAGCCGAGATCCGAACGAGTGGCCTGAGCTCAAGCTCTCTCCCTGCTTGCTGTGAACCCCTGCAGACGGCGTTGCTTGGGCAAGTGTCTTGTTTACCCCTGTGATGACTTTGCATCTGGCACCCCTCGTCACTTCAGCACCCTGATCTTCTGCACAGCATGTGTGATGTACAGTGCTTGCTTGTCAGCGCCTCCAGACTCTCCGTGTGCGGAAGTCTATGACGCATATAATTATGGAAATGCACGATTGAGTATTAACAACAGGGCAATATCCACTGAGAGCCAACATCTTAGCGGCTCTCTCTGGCCACTCCTCTGCTCTAAAAAACATTCATGCCTTTTTATAGTGCACACCTTGCTTTGCCCTTTTGTGGAAGAGGGTGGAGTCATAAACTTTGGCACATGGGGAGGAGACACATGAGATCTGCCGGTTGGCAATCAACGACCTTTGACCACTGTGTGACCAGTCATTTCGATGGATGGAGATCATCTTGCATTCCTCCGCAACTATTGTATCAGATAGAACAGTGACAAAGTAGACATCACTTCCTTCTCCACCTTCCATATATTGCCCTCATCTCTATTCGAAATCAATAGCTCTTGCTGCCACTTTTGACACATCCTTATCCGCTTCTTGATCGGGTGCATTCCTTCATTGAGATAGCCCCTTTTTCTGCACTTTTGTCTCTTTTTCTGCACACACGTTTACTGGGGAAGGCAACATCTGCCACCGTTGACACTACAGACATCGTTCGTGTGCAGGCTACAACGACTGAAATTGTGTGTTGCCCCCTTTTGTGTGGCTGTCTTGCTTTACAGATGTGCTGTGGGATATCGTGCTTGCATTACCCGATATAGGTTCATGCATGTTGGACGGTGGGAGGTTTTGTGTTTGTAACTTTTTTATGCCGAAACGTTCTTGGTACCTTGTTCCCTTACGCGCCAAAACGCTGTACGCCAAACGAGAGGGGCTGAGTAGGAGATGATGTACATGGCAGAGAAACTTGTGTTGCTATTTTTGGGTAGCTGAGTGTCTTGGAAGCCAACTCATTCACGTGCTTCTCTATAGACGCTATTGGTAAGACAAGAGCAGAAGATTGCTTACCCTTGTAGGCATGTCTTGTACAGAGAAGCCACTCGTCCTAATCCATATATTTGTTCAGAGCATTCAATGCCATAGCAGGTTCACATACATGTGCAAAGACCAAACAGCCATATTGGGAAGTATAGTATGTTAGAGTGGTTTCAAGCTCAATGGTCTCGATGTCTAGCAATGGCAGAGAGTTTGGTATCGAGCATCATGGTGACAATTAAGCATAAAGATCATGTCGCGTGTGAGACAGAAGGAAGGCGCTATAGGAAGCGTCTGCTGGCACAACTATTAGCCCTAACCACATGTCTCGACCAAGAGTTGCCCTAGCGTCGTTATAGCACTATGACAAGCGAAGATCATCTTGGATCATTTCATTGATTGACTCGCTTGTTGCAGATTTAGCAGTGTACCATGGGGCAAGTAGACGATCGTGTATAAGCAGATAGGCGTGGCTTCGGCTCAATATTTGACCTGTGCCACGTGGGCGTGTATTCCGAGCAGAAGAGATAGTCCATCATCAACAACATGGACTAATAACAAAGATCAGTTGTCAAGACAAGCAAACATGATAATAAATCTACTGTTGTATTGGCCGACTCCCCTCACAAACTCTTTCTGATACCCAAGGGTGGAGACTCCGACGGATCATCAATCTGGACATCACTCCAGCCAGGGCCAGCAAATGCTGGCGACACTGGTCGGATGGTGCCTTGTTCCGCTCCTCCGACAACGTGTGGCTCGACCAAAGTGATGTTCGAACCAGGGGTTTGCGGTGTAGTGGGGATCCTCAAAGCATCCATCTCATGTTCCTCCTCGTCTCTTCCTGGTGTTGTAGGTCGAGAAATTTTGGCTGCAGGTTGATGTCCAGCAGTGAGTGCATACCCTTCAGGAAACCATTCAAGCTTGGCCACGGTTTCGCTAGCCACACTCAAGGAATGGACATGATTCTTGGTGTGTAGGTCTCGTTGAAGCATTTCATCGGGTCCATGGATCATTGTAGCTATGCTGTTGGCTTTCCAGGTGGGAACATGAGCTTTGTGTGCGTCGATGATCGAGAGTATGAAGAAGATAATACCAACTGTCCGAGCACGATCAGCACGGACGAGCATGATGTTTGATGCTTCTTTTGACTTACTTGTGATCAAGGATAATGGCAGAGCTAGGAACGCNCCAACGGACTTGGTAATATCTGACCCACTGCTGTGTTGTCCCCACGATCAGTTCCGTCCCAATATTCCGGATCGCGTTGCTCATGCTTTTAGCTATAGAATCGAATGTCGCTGTTGTATTTGTCAGATTGAAGATCGGTTGGAGAATGGGGCTCCCAAAAGTGTACAGAGGAGCTTGATCATCTTGAGTCACCGCTTTGACCGTTTCATTATCGTTGTTTTGTCTGATCAATGATGTCAAAAAGTCTATTGTGCTTAGCAGAGTCCTTTGCGTTATGCTGAATCTTTGTGTATCGTTTGTTGGCAAAGTGGAGGGATCCAGAGCATAGTCGTCGCGATACAGAAACGTATCGTGATATATCGGATTCCACTCCTTTGTTCCCAGGTCGACCGGAAACCCATTCGGGTGGACACCACTTTGATCGACGTCGGGTGAAGGCAACCACGACTCAAGAACTTTCGGAGAGGCGCTTGCCAAGATGTGCTCGATCAGGACATTGTTGACGACCGTGGAATTGTAAAGATTAAGAGTCAGTTCCAGTCCACACTCCACGGCCGACGCGCCTGCAGCATCCCAGGCCGGGCTGCCCAAAGCTTGGCTATTGTCAGTCCGGATTATATTGAATCCAGCGAGCAATGCCTGTGAGGTCTTGAAATTGACTGTGAGATCTGGATCGGCCACCACTTTTGCTTGAAGAACAGCAAAAGTGCTTGCGTTACGCCACATCCCATTCGTGTTTGAAAGAGTCAAGTTGAGATGTTCCAGCGTCCAATTTGTCCACCTGGCTGAAGGATCCGACGATGCCGCCAATTCTGACTGAACAGTGGGATATGCCTCTTCTCCCGCCCAGCAGTCGCTGGCGTCACAATGGAACGAATCGGTGCTACTAAGGAGTTTAATGTCGACACGTCAGAAAACACAGCTAGTGTGTATGCTGGTACTCAGTCTCAGTATCTGTAGAAAAATCTGTGTTTGAACTAGCCACACTTTCTCGGGTTACGGTAGATCTGACAGATGTTACCATAGAATTCTGTGTCGAGACATCTGAGAACGCCGACAGAAGTGCTGTAGGGTACATCGCCATCTCGGTGTCAGTATCTGACGTAGGAGTGTCGGTCGATCCGGGAGACGGATCTTGGGTCGAAGACTTTATCTTTCCCGTCGAGTCATTCGGAGTTGTCCTCTTTAGATGGCTAGAGATGTCGAAGCAGGTACTACGTACAGCTATAGATATGTATCCAGGCCATGTGCAGTTGCCATACACACATGTAAAAGATACGTTCTGATATCCATGACTTGTTGCTGTGTTCAATCCATCGTATAGAGAAGCACTAATTGCAAAATCAGGTGTGGTATCGACTTGGGGATAGTCGCTTTTGTATGTGGAAATGCATTGAGTGCCACCATCAAATCGGCTTGATTTGCCAACGGCAGCACTCATGCCGTTGGCGTTGGTTGAATCCCTGTCGACAAGACGTCCATAGTCGGATATTATTGCTTGGAGGAAAGGCTTTCGACAGAGGCATATTCGAGTGACGAGTATGTTTGGGCTTCGAGACGAAGCAGGGAGTGGTAGGTCGCAGGATCAGTAAAGGCCAACTTCTAGTCAAGCGCCCTGAATTCTCATAGGCTAAGCCATATGTACATACATGACAAAACCACAACATGTGATTGTAAGTCGACAATATCGACATACTGCCAGGCTCTGCCTGCGAACAGATTGTTCAAGCGACTGCGGTGCGAACGAGTTGAGTGTATCTACAGATAGGGATTTGCGAATCAAATCATCGTGATGGCCATGCAGATGGGTGCGATGGTAAGGACATGGTGGATGTGCTGGCATGCGTGCTCACAGCCTCAATGTTAAGGCAGATGGTGGCGTCGTAGCCCACGTTGGCACGGGAAGCGGTGTCTGCTTCTTTAGAATTGCTTCGAAAGCCATTTTGGGTGGCTCAATATATGATTGATGCCGCGATACGCGTCGGTGGTGGCTGGATGTGCAAGATGTAGAAGTTGCTTCGACAAGGACGGGAAGTTCGACAGAAGTCGATGATTACCAACATGAACGCAACAGTTGTCAACAGGCGCCAAGCATTTGGCTATTGACCTGATAGTAACACTCGCATACATGGCTCTTTCCTCTGAGTACTACTCGCGGATATCAAACGTTTTGAGGAAAATGCTTCGCTAACATCTCTCTGTTGTCCATGTTCACAGATGTATTTGCGAAGAACGTGCTTGACAACACCATCATCAGCATCTCGGAAGCTTCGGCTGTTGGAAGCGCCAAAGTACTGACGTAACTATCAACATCCAGACAGGAAACCACTCGTCTGAATCAACGTGTTCTACTACTCGATCGATCTTGGATTTCAATCTCGTTCGATCAACTTAGTTGCTGTATCGTCAAAACACCAGTTGAAGTATCCCAATTTTAACTTACACCGACCTTACAAGCTTCGTTCGAATACATGCGACCAATGACCATCTGATCCTGATCCAACACTATAATTACACTACGAAGTCATGTCGGGAAACAGTCGAGTCTTCGAGGCTCATAGCGAGCGAACCGAGCGGGTTGCAGCTCAAGTCAGATCCTTCTACGACAGAAAAGAGCCATTCCGGATATTCCATGGCAGTACGAGCAGCACCAGAAGCCAAGAGCAGGACCGCAAGAAGATGATCTCGACCAGCGACTTTACCGAGATCTTGAGGATCGACCCCGAAAAGCGAGTTGCAGTTGTCGAGCCCAACGTTTCTATGGAGAAGTTGGTCGATGCCACGTTACAGTATGGACTTGTTACTCCTGTGATCATGGAGTTCAAGAACATTACCGTTGGTGGCGGGTTCAGCGGTACTTCTGGTGAAAGCTCCTCGTTCAGACACGGTGTTTTCGACAACATCGTGAACAGCATCGAGATTGTGCTGGGAAATGGAGAGATTGTACGCGCTTCTCACTCCGAAAACTCGGATCTGTTTCATGGTGCAGCGGGCTCTTTCGGAACACTAGGTGTTGTGACTGAGATTGAAGTTCAGCTGGTGGAAGCTGGTAACTTCATGGAGCTGGAGTACCACGGAATCACAAGTTCTCCAGAAGCAGTAGAGTCCATCGAGTCTTATACTGCTGACGATAACGTTCAATATCTGGATGGTATCATGTTCTCCAAGAACAGTGGCTTGATCATCGCAGGCCGCATGGTCGACACCNCCACTCCTGGCTGCAAGGTCACGAAGTATCTTTCAAGATCGGATCCCTGGTTCTATGTCCGCGCACAAGAGATACTCAACCATAAGATTCCATCCTCCAAAGCCCGCCGATCATTCACCGAGGTTGTACCCATCAAAGATTACCTCTTCCGCTTCGACAGAGGTGCCTTCTGGGGCGGTTACTACGCCTTCAAATACCACTTTGCCCCTTTCAACACACTAACCCGTTATCTCCTCGACGACCTCATCCACACAAAAACAATGTACACCGCTCTCCACAAGTCGGGTCTCGCGAACGAGTTTATTGTTCAAGATATCGGGTTCCCATACTCTACAACACCAGACTTTATCGACTACCTGGATGATAACTTCAAGTTGTATCCACTCTGGCTGTGTCCACTGAAACTCAATGCTCCTTACCCACTCACACCAAAAGGAAAGCACTACTCGCAAAATAGCCTCAGAGTCATCAACATAGGCGTCTGGGGCCCAGGCCCACGCAACCGCGACGACTTTATCGCCGCGAACCGCGCCATCGAGGCAAAAACAAGACAACTCGATGGACTAAAATGTCTGTACGCGCATGCCTACTACACAGCCCCCGAATTCTGGGATCTGTACGATAAAGAGCACTACGATTCACTGCGGGAGAAATACCACGCTACCATGCTGCCATCTGTATTCGACAAGGTTACCAATAATGGACCTCCTGCTGCAAATACCATCTTCGAGAGGTTGAAGAACACGAGGCCGGTGAGGGGGATTTATGGCGCGTTGTGCGTGTTTTGGAGTGGTGCGCTTCCTTATGCTAGAGTGCATCAAGTACTGAGCATTGTGCTGTCTCCTCTGCTGTTACTCATGTTTACCACAGCCTGGATTGTGTCTTTCGGCAAAGACTTGCTGGGTTTGAGAACCGACGCTGGGTTCAAGAAAATGCATGTAGAGTAGAGACTGCAAACACGCAACACAAGAAAGACGCATAAACAACAAACGGCAGCACAAAGATCCGTGTCTGGATCTTTCCATAGAGATGTGAAGCTCGAAATGGGGGTATTGATCCTCCAGTATCTCTCGTATCAAAAAGATCCATCGGGAGAACAAACACACAAGTTGAACGACCACAATAAGTTCGAAACAAAACGGTATCTTGGGATGTACACAAACAATGCTTGCGTGGATGGAAAACCAGAAAAAAAAAACAGGACTTGTTCATAGAAAAAACACATGAGAAAACGCAATGATGCCTCCAGGCAGCTATCCGAATACTGTACACGCCAGCCCTTCTAAACCCCCACATACCTCATCTCTCCTCACGAGGAGCAGACGAAGGCAGCTGAGCCGGCAACCCATGAATCTCCTCCCTCATCTCCTGCTTGATTCTAGTGATCGTGCCTGCACCTCCGTAAACCATTGCCGTATACACCATCGCGACACTAGCGCCCGCATTCAACACTTCCAAAGCTTGTTTGCCATTCGTAATGCCCCCGGTAGCGAAAATTACTTTTTCCTTGTTGGTGTGGAGGTTGGCGGGTGAAGTGAGCGAGGTCTTTTTCACAGGTGCTGAGACTGCTGAGGATGCAGGGCCGGATGAGAGCATCTTCTCTGCGGCGTCGGGGGCGGCACCTAGAGCTGGTTCGACGGCCGAGAAAGCAGCTTTTGTCTCTGCGGTTGTGGTGTTGGAGGATGAGGAGACAGAGGCAGGGATGTGGCGTTCGGGGATCTGGATAATGGATTGATCGCGGCTGTTCTTGTCGGCGGCTCCGGTCTTGGGCTTCAGGTTCTTGAGATCGCGTTCGACGCTTGATTCGATGGAAGACTTTGTTTCAGCGTCCAGACTGTTGGGGGCTGCACTTTGGGTTGCGTCGGACTTTTGTTGCAGTTGTTGTCTGATCTTCTCTCTCATTGATTCGGTCTCGAGCTGGAACTCTGACTTTTGTGGTTGCTTGGGTTCTTCGATTTTTTTGGGCTCGGGCTTGGCCTCGTTGGGTCCTTTGTCCAGTGCAGTTCTGTACTTCTTGACCAGAGCAACGGTACGTTCGAATAGTTGTGGGCCAGAGTAGCCACCGGTTTCGAGCATGATGCTCTGTTCGCTTTGAGGGAGTAGGTAACCAGCGGGCAAAGCATCAGGGCGCTTCTTGGTTGTGTTGCCAACGATAATGCCGTCGACGCCACTGGCCCAGACGGCACCACAAATACCACTAACCTGCTCTTCGCTGTCCTCATCGGGAGACACCTTGACCATAACAGCAGGCTTGTTCTTGCGATCAGCGGCTTGGGCCGCGTCGACGACGGCAGTCAAGATCTTGGTCAGAGGAGCAGCCTGCTGCAAGTTGCGCAGACCGGGTGTGTTTGGCGATGAGACGTTGACGACAAGGATATCCGCATACTTGGCGAGCTGGTTGACGCAGTAGACGTAATCCTGAGCGATGGCATCAATATCGTTATCCGGAGTCTCCTTCATCTTTGCCATCTGAACAGCGAGCAAGCGGCCGGGCATCTGACTACCAGGGGGCACGCCAGCGTGGCCATCCAAGACAGATTGCTCTGCCACGGGGTCAAGACCAAGACCAAGGGCGTAAGCAAACTCGCGCAATCGCTGGCGAAGACGAGTAGCTACACTGTCGGCACCTTCGGAGTTGAGACCGTAGCGGTTGATGAGAGCGTTTTGCGAGGGAATGCGCCAGACACGAGGCTTAGGGTTACCCTCCTGTGGGCGAGGAGTAATACCGCCAACCTCAACGATACCAGCACCAAAGCCCAAGACGACATCGGGGATATCAGCGTTCTTGTCCAGACCAGCAGATGTTCCGATAGGGTTGTCCAAGACGTGTCCAAACACCTCGACTTTCAAGTCTCCGTTGATGTCTGGGTTGCCTCTTTCGCGAGGATGTAAACCGATAGAGTATAGAGCCTTGAGGATCTTGTTGCTGATCTTGTGGGCGTCCTCGGCATCAGGGAACAGTGTGCGCAAGACACGGGGCACAAGCCATTGGTGAAAGGTCGCTCGTGTGTCGGTCACGTAGAGGTATCCGAATCCAGTGATGGCGAGTATTGAGGTGCCGAGGAGCAGGTTCTTGATGCGACTGATACCAGAGCGGGCATCTCCAATCTTCTCGTTGCGGGCTACCTCTTGCTTGAGCTCGCTCGATGCATGGCGCACTTGTTGGAACTGTCGGAAAGCCGGTCGCGCATGGAACTGGACAGCCCTCGGCGCTGCCTGCGCTCGAGACCACTGCAATTGACCTCTCATCATACCGCACGCAGATCGAAGAGTGCTGTGTAGAATGTCTAGTAACCATCTTGATCGCATCGTCCTCCGACCTTCGGGGGTTCGCCAAGACACCCTCCGCATCAGACTCCGCAACCCCGTCATCACCGAGATCGATGTAAAAATACTGACATGCATTAGATTAGATGAACTGGAACAGGGTAATATCCTTTTAAAAAGTAGAAACAGAAAATCTTAGCCAACTTCAATCCACCTTGCCTCCAGTGGCAGCTCCACCTAGTAGCCCATCCTTCTCGTTGCTTCCCACTGTGAAGAAAGACCCCGTGTTACCAAACGCCTTTCCTCTCTTGATCAGCCCTCTACCCCAGATGCTGGCTCCAATAAGCATGCCAATCACCAACCCGAGTGTTATCAGGGGGTGTGCAGACATGCCACTGCGCACTGTCCAGATCAAGTGCCCAAAGAATGAGTTCTTGTGCTTGGGGCTGATTTTGGGTGGAGATGCCACAACCTTCGGCAATGTCTCGAGAATCGACACACGAGATGGCACGATAGGATTGCCAGTTGTTGTAAGATCCCAGTAGCGTTGGTTCNNTGTTATCGCTGGTCAGTATTTGCATCTTCGTTTTAGCTCATGCCATCCAAGACTTACATCTTCGTCGTTGATGACGACCTTCTCTCCGTCCTTGACATCAATGCCGAAGGTTGTCTTGAGCCAGCGCTCCCAGAAAACACCATCGACCCAAGCGAAACCAACCTCCTTTCGGTCAATCTCGTTCATGTCAATTCTTATTTGCTTGGCCGACCGCAACCCACGCTGGTCGTTGCGGTCTTCGGCCTCTTCGATACGCAATTGCTTGGCATCGCGGAGTTCCTGTCTCTCGAGTTGGAATGCTTGAATCTCCTTGTCGATCCACTCCAAGGCAGCGCTCTTGAGCTCGCGCCTTGCGATGACGAAANNGTCCTCCTTACGCTCACGGCTCAAGATAGCCAGCACAACGAGTCTGTGATCCATGATATCACGAGCGTTCGAAGATGTCAGCTCGGGCACGATAGGCAGCCAGTTGGCTTGCATCCATCCCAAGACTTTGCGGAAGTCGCGCATATCTCTGGGAGAAAGGGGNGTGTAGTAAGTCGGCTTGCCATCTCTGGACACGATCAGACGAGGCCAAGTTGAGATCTTGTATCTAGCGGCAAGTGCGGGATCCTTGGTCTTGACCAGCTTGGCATGTCCGATCAGACTCAGCAACAATCGCTCGAGAGCTTGGAAATCCTCGCTAGTGGTTGCGTGGTCGTAAAAGTATAGGAAAATGACCTCTTCGTCCTGCTCAAGAGCTTCGAATGCAGCAGCGTCGATATCAACAACACCATCACCGGCCGAAACAGCCTTGTTCGCATAGCTAATGAGGTCACCAAGGCCACGAAGACCTTCGTATTCGATGCGCTCACCAGCCTGGAAGTAGATCAAGGTGGGGTAACCCTTGACATTGACATCCTTACACAGTCGACGCTCAACCTCGCAATTGACTTCACCGACATTCAACTTGCCCTTCATATCGCGAGCCATGGCATGCCAACTAGGAGCCATGGCTTGACAATGGTGACACCAGGGAGCGTAAAACTTGATGAACCAGGGGTCGTGGGTGGTCGTGACCTTTTGCTGGAAGCTTTCAGCAGTCAAAGGGACAGAAGTTCCAGCAGGGTTGGGAGTCTCCTTTGCAACCTTGGTGGCTTTGAGCAGAGACTTGGTTGAGGTGGTAGAGGTGGTAGACTTGGTGGCCTCAGCAATAGCATCAGCCTCTTTGGCAGGACCCACGACAGCGGCGCCCTTGAAGTCTGGCGAAGAGCTGGCTCCAACCTTTGGAAGCTTGGGGCCGTCCTTTTGTCTAGAACCAGGCTTGATGGTCTCGAGCATGCTCTCGATCCACTTGACCTCATCTTTCATAGACAAGGCGCCGACCTTGCGCTCCACCTCTTTACCATCCTTGAATTGAACAACGGTCGGGAATGAGTTAATGCTCTTGTCGGAGCATGCAGAACCAAAAGCGACACAGTCGAGCTTGGCGAATTTGAAATCGTAGTAGCGGGTGAAGGAGTTGAGAGAATCGGGTGAGTCCTTGTTGGAAGCAGGCAGAGGGTCGGAGGTGTAGTAAAACTCATGGAGAGTTTGCCATGTCGGTGCAAAAGATTTGCAATGATGGCAGTATGGTGAAAAGAACTCGACTAGCCAGGTGCCCTTGGAGATGTCCTGGTCAAGGGTAGTACCACTGAGCTCGGTGATCGGAGGGACGTCTTGGCCATTAAAGACAGTACCCTTGGGACCAGAGTCTGCACCATCGGTCACAGGATCTTTCTTCGTCTCGCCGTTGACTTCGGGGTCCTTTGCAGGTGATGCTGGAGCGTCGGGCGCATCTCTCGCTACGTGCAAGGCGGCATCCTGGGCGAAGTTTGGCGGAGAGAGAGCGGGCGCATCGTTCTTGATCGGGGGAGCAGCAAAGACAGAGGCGGCGAGCGACAGAGCGATCAAGGGCGATATCAATAGCGATCGCATCTTGGAGAGAGGCCCACTGGCACTTTAGGCCGGGGTAGATGAAGTACGGGAAGGTTCGTGCGAGCAAGATAGGCCTATCTGCTCGACTAAGGGGAGGTGCGACGAAAGACCCAGGTATCCAGGATAGAGACGGGCACCAGGCAAAAGAGCGACAGTAAGATTTGGCAGCAATGAAATCCAAGTCAGAGCATCGGAGCTCCAAAGTCTATTGAATAATAGGAGACAGATCTGGTCAGACCAATGCCCAGGCCCAGACGGCGGAGGCGGCAGCTTGGCGCATGTTTGCGCTGTTTGCTCTCGCTGGTCAGCAATTGCCCAGAGCATGGCGGGCGTCGGGTCTTGACGTGCTTGAATCGGCTTGACATCTATCACAATCACATTCACCACGCCACAATGAGAGCCTCCTCCCGATTGCTTGCGCAGGCTTCGCGCTTCCTCACTCCTGGCGCCCCTACTGGTCTTACTGGAGTCTTGACCCATGCCGCCCCTCGCTCCACCCTCCTCTACCTCTACAACTCGACCCTGGACAAGCTGAAGCAGTTCCCCGAGCACTCCGTCTACCGCCAATCCGTCGAAGCTCTTACCAAGCACCGTCTGTCAATCGTCGAGTCTGTCAAGCCCGAGGGCCTCGAGGAATGGCAATCTCGCGTCAAGAGCGTCGTCGAAGCCCACCCCAACGCCTTCCGTTCAATCGCATCATCCACCAGCAAGAACGAGGTCAACATTGTCTACAATGAGACTGCCCTCAAGGGTATGGAGACCGAGGACTACGAGGATGAGCCCATCCAGAAGCAAGAGCCTGAAGGCCCCAGAATGCGTGCGCACAAGGCCCACCAGGAGGAATCTTTCATGGCAGACCCCCAAGCAGACAACGAGATGATTCCTCGCATTGAGCCTGAGCCTCCTCTTACCGCCGAGCAGTGAGTCTCAACGCCTTGAGCTCGAATCACAGTCACTAATCCAGAAATTAGGGTCGACACCATCGAGCAACAGATCCAGGCTGGCCTGATCGAGGAGATCATCCTCGTCGCAGAGGCCGAGTCCGCCCTCGTCGACGACATGTACAAGAGCAAGGTCTGGGAGGATCTTGAGGAGTCCCCCAACCAGGGCCAATGGGCGTACTACGAGCGCGATACCCACACACCCAAGACCCAGGCACACAACTAAAAGCCCTGTGTTTGCTTGTTTCCTTGTACAAAATACCAATACGCAAAGCGCTTTTCCTTGAATCCTAAATCATGACTTCTTAATCACACCCTTCCATGACTCAAAAGTGCCATACAAAGGATTAGATTGGAAGGCTCGTATCTGGTGACAAAGCACACCGCACTAACATCAATATACTGCGCAACTCTTTCTGTGGTATGCGCGGGCAGAACCAACATCTTCCTCGAGGCACAGGATAGACAAAACAGAAACCCCCAGTCGAGTAGGGGCAAAAACTAAGTACTAGCGCATACGCTTTTCTTTCATCATTGTTCAGGACAACCGGTTGGTGATGAGTCGATTCGAACAGGTGGGCTCCGGCTCACAGGGAAGGAGCGACGAGCTCAACTTGACCACTGCACCATCCTACCGTCCAACAATTAACTCACTTCCACGACACTATGACACTAGTTTTCACTGGCATGTGAAGATGAGGAAAGGCACTGACAAGCGGAACACTCACTGCTGATACTTAAGCGATTGAAAGACAACCCTTGATTCATTGGCATAGTTGCTTTCTAGGTTACCATACACTTCCTTTCTCACCTTGACGCACAGCCTTCACGAGTCTCTCCTTACCATACTGGAAACACTCTGGCAACCCCGTGTCTTCCCATGAACCACCGAGGATCAACTTAGCTAGGCCCGGTGCACAAGTGAAGATTCTGGCCATTCTAAAACTTGTTAGTGTCTGCTTTTCGAAAGGAACTATATTCACTTACCCATGTCCATTGAAACCAGCACAGATGTATTGTCCAGGCAACTCTTCAATAGCGCCGACATACGGTACTGAGTCAGGGGTCATGGCGATGATTCCTGTCCACGCATGATCCAGTCCTTCGCCATGACGCTCACTCTCTGAAACATGTTCTGGAAACATGATTCCGAAGCGCTTCAGTGCATCATCAACAATCTCTTGGTTGAAAGCACCATCGTCAAAACTCTCTCGCACTGCCAGTGTTTCTGCGCTGAGCTCTGGATTCGATCTAGAAACGCCCAAGACAATGGTTCCATCGCCTTTTCTTTGGATGACCGAGTAGAAGTGATGAAGGCTGTATCTAAGCGACATGGTGCTGGTGAAGGTCTTCTCAGCACTGAAAGCAGAGGTGGGTACGAGCGAATGTGCTTGTGCTCTGTTCGGCGTGATGTAGCCGTTGAGATGAGGGAGCAATGCTGCGGCGTACGCATTGGTGCTATGCACAATCGTTTGCGCCGCGATGGTGCCTCGCGGTGTGCGTACATCCCATCGATATCCTGCACGCTTCGACTCGGTCACTGCAATCGCAGGACAGTGAGTCCACAGCTGTGCTCCTTTGTCAATTACACTGCTCAACAGCCACTGTGCCAACTTGGCAGGATGACTAGACCCAGCAGGCCACTCATACGCAACGACAGCCTCAGGAACTCTCGTTCTGCTCTTCGCTTCATCGCCCTGGTAGAATTGCACATGCGACACATCTCCTCCGGCCGCTTTATACGCCTCAAAGCTCTTTGCCTCGTACTCAGCGAACTCAGGCGTCAAGCACACATCAAAAGTAGTGGTAAGATCAAAGTCGCAAGGTACATTGTGTCGACGCACAAACTCGTCAACAGCATGCAACACTTTTCTCTCCTCTACAATAATCTTCTTTGCTTGCTCGGGGCCATGGACAGCTGCGTATGCGGCATAGCCTCGAAAGGCATCGGGACGAACATGTCCGGCATTTCTACCGCTGGCGCCCGAGACTGCTTCTCGGGCTTCGAGGATGATAATTCTGTTACCAGGGATGCCGGAGTCGATGAGGGAGAAGGCTGTCAAGGCACCGGAGATGCCTGAGCCGATGATCACGTACTCGGCTGTTTCTGGTGTAGGGGTATCTTTGTTGGCATTGAGATGAGGGAAGCCGCGAGTAGTCTTGTGCCAGTAAGATAGACATGGTGAGGCCAGAGGCAGAGAAGGCTCCAAACCAGAAGGCGTGGCAGGAGGTGTCGCAAGCTGTGCGGAAGGCATGTTGACCAATTGTTGTGTTCTGATCTGTTTTTAGAATCGAGTGTCCAGAGACGGCCTCAGCGAACTGTTGTTATATAGAGGCTGATCTGGTTCAGTTAGCCAGAGTATGCACGGCGCTGCTAACACGAGTACAGATTCGTTCGAACTTGACTTCCTGTTTTCACATGTCTTTCTCTCGCAAACCCGTGACAGCCGACATAGGTGTCCGGCATATGCTCTATCGATCGCCTATCTGTGCTTGGCCGGTGGCCGAACAACTCGAAGGAAGATGGGCAGTCGACGATAGAGGTGATTGGTGGCGATCGCACCCGCCAAGACATCTTGACCTCCACTGTTCCCCTCCTCGCTCTTCCTTCCGAGTCTTGATACATACAAGTATTCTGTCAACGATATCGGGCTACGACAAGGCGGAGTAACCTCACGGACTGATATGTGGTATCACAAGGACAGCTATGTCTTATCAAAATCCTTGTGGCGTAGATGATGCCTCGCCTATCACCCCTCTGCTGCTACATGCAGGACAGCATGATAGTGCTTTATCGAAAAGGTTCATAACGTCCTTCTGATCCTTATTGTATTCTTATTGCGAAGATCACTGCCATTTTCCTTGGTCCATCTCGGTCGATTCTCTCACATCACCACCATGGGCTTATCAACTATCTTCAGGAAGGCAAAGCCGGCCGTACAGTTAGAGCATCGTTCCCNNCCCGAGGAAAAGGCTTTGGTTAGAAGACTGGATCTGTTTCTTCTCACATTTGGGTGCATCAGTCAAGTCATCAAGTAGGTCAAAACTTGTCAAGGGGGCATAGATCAACAGTCTAACTCTCCTCCCGATNATCTGGACCAGCAGAACATCAATAACGCATACGCGTCTGGCATGAAAGAGGACCTGAATCTCTACGGAAATGAGCTCAACTATTTCCAAACATACTTCAACATCGCGTACTGCCTCATGCTCATCCCCTCGCAAGCGATCATGACCTACGTTCGGCCCAGCTACTGGCTCACTGGCTTGGAGATTACGTGGGGTGTCATCACAGGTCTGATGGCGTTAGCAAAGAATGCAAAGCAGGTCTATGTCTTGCGAGTCTTTCTTGGACTGTGTGAATCCAGTGCTTGGCCTGGTATGATGACTTTGCTTATGCATTGGTATACGCCCATGGAGCTCGCGAAGAGAATGGGTTTCTATCAGTCTTGCCAGACGTTGGGATACATGATGTCTGGTGCGCTGCAAGCTGCCATTATTGCCACGCTTGAGGGCAAAGGGCTTTCTGGCTGGCGATGGTTGTTTGTGATCAGTAAGTCCATTGTGGTCTTCGTTGACTGACAACGCGTACTGACCAATCATTAGNATGCTATTATGACAGTAGTCTGGGGTATCTTGGGCTTCTTCATGCTTCCAGACGTACCAAACGATCCTAACCCCAGGGCCTTCTGGTTCAAGAAAGTAGATGCCGAACTTGCCATGGAACGTCTCGCCCGTCATGGTAGAGCAGAGCCCAAGAAGCTGTCATGGGCAGGTACCAAGCGTGCTTTCTCTGGCTGGACATTGTACTTCATCGCAGCGCTTTACATTGCAACTGTTCATGCTCAAGGAGGCTACTCGTACTTCAACTTGTTCCTAAAGGCTCTCACTAACCCAGATGGATCGAAGCGCTGGTATGTTGATCATGTCTCTCGAATCGCTGGATTAGCACTGACATCTCTTAAAGGTCTACCGAAGNCCATCAATGTCATCCCCATCGCAGGTGGCGGCATTGCCGTAGCATTTGTCTGGATTTGGGCCATTCTCTCCGACACACTCCGCACGCGCTGGACTCTCATCGTTGTACAAGCCCTCATTGGTATGATACCAGCAATCATCATGACCCTCTGGACAAGTAACCCTTCCAGCATACCCGTCTCCGCAGCCTATGCCAGTTACTTCATCTCCTATCTATCACTCGGAACAGCACCGTTAATTTTCTCCTGGCTCTCCGAACTGATACCCCAAGACCCCGAAGCCCGATCTCTTATCGTCGGTACCAGTGTCGCTGGCTATTATGCCGTTTCGGCATGGTCTGGAATATTAATCTGGCCCGCCAAAGAAGCACCTTACTATAGATGTGGATGGCAGACTGCTTTGAGTTTGTGGCTCGTGGTTATCTGCATGACCTGTGTGCTGAGATTCGTGGATGTCAGATATCTAATGCCGAAGAGGAAGTTGTTTGTTGAGACTTTGCATGGTGACGCAGTGCAGGAGGTTGAAACAGCTTCCGAGCATGGAGACGCGGATAGCTTAAAGGGCAAGGATGTCGATGTTGCGGTCAACAGAGTCTAAGTACGATACGAAAAATTCAGATCTCTCATTAGGTTCGCATGACTTCCCTTGATTTCACTCAATGCTGAGGATGTCTTTACGATGCGAGGTGCTAGCAGCAATACGTTCGCTGCAGCATGCCCACCCTTGCTGGACTGCTCAGAGAAGTATCTTGTGCTACGTTTACTGTGTTGTCTTGACTCGTGTTTGCTCAAATAAGCTGTAGGCGAACAAAGCGTTGTTTGCATGTAGCAATCCGAGAAAGCTTTCTTGGACCAGTGAGCACGACATCTGTTTGCCTCTCGATATTTTCACTCGCGATCGCTGTCCACCAAGTTGCATCTCCTAAATAAGTGATCGAGATATTCTAGATAACCCAACTCGTGTCTTCTCCGTCCATCAACCCATCAATTCAGACAGTCCGCATCTCCATCACTGGATTCAATCATCAGCCTTTCCCACACCATGGAGACCTCCACCGTCCCTATCACCGACAACACCAAGGAGAAACCCACCTATACCCTCCCCGCAGTCAACTCTTCTGGCACCGATAACATCATGTCCGCCCTTCCTCAAGACTCAAAACCTTACCACTGCCTCGGCCCCCTAATCATCATCCGCATCCTCAGCCCCAACATCGATCTCTCCTCCACAGACCACTTCACCACCACCTGGAAAACCATGCGCATCCGCCAGCCCTTTAACAAAATCATGACATCAGGCGCAGGCTACTGGCGGGAGGAAAACCGCAATTGGCTGCATGCGGAGCAGACTCCTGACGAGGCATGTTTGAGAGTCACGAGCTTAGAAGGGGCAGATACTGATGATGAGGTTAGGNTTGCGCTCAAGCATGGTCATACTATTCGTGTTGTGTTTTGTGCTGAGCCCGAGGGTCCTGCTGATGTTCTTGATGTTGACTTTGAGAAGAAGGAGACTGGCGAGTACTTTGAGTGGGAGACTTGATGGAGACGAGACCTTGAGGTCTTCTGAGGGTTCTTCTGCCAAAGAGGGAGGAACATCGGCAGAAGAGTGCGAACATGGATTACATGAGAATAACGATTCAGTTGCGAGACTAAGATGCAGGAAAGGAGCAGCTACGATGATGCTGCTTGCCTTGGGAGAAGGAAAAGCAATTCCTCCACGAACAAAGCATAAACAACAGAATCCCTTTCTTGGTCAAATGTTGTGATGATGGCATATGAGTGACGCACAGATTCACCCACAAGTGAACACACAAATAACAATCAATCTCACCTCACCTCACTCATCCACCCTCTCACTTCTCACCATCATATCCAATCTCACAGAGCCAAGTCATATGACCTACTCGATAGAAACTTCTTCCAGAAAGTTTAGCATAAATAGAATCCAGAGGTGGTGGGTCCAACTCCCCGCTTTGGTTGGTCGCGATCATGACTTTCGGATCCAAATCGACGTTTCTTCTAAGCTGAGGCTTGGTTCTTTTTGTCGTTTTAGTTTTGTTGTTGTTTAGATGTTTCTTACTGCGATTCTCCATTTTCATCTTCTGATTCATTTAGGGGTTGGAGTACTTGGATGACGGAGCAGCGAGCGGATATACGTACCGTAAGATCTCGTTTTCAGGGGCTCTCCTTTGTATAGTGGTCCCTCGCTCCACAAGAGCAGGTCTGTCATACAAATTTTGGTGAGAGAAGCTCTTTCAAAACTTATGAACTTTCATACAGTGGCATTGCCATATGGAACGAGTTTCTACGGTACTTTGACCAATCGAGACTACGTACTCCATGAGATAAGATCAGAAAGTAAGTAGACGATCAGGGCCAAGTCGGTGCTTCTCCAAGGGTGTGTTCATCACGCTTGGCCAGAACACCACTTCCGAGAGACTGTTGACCAAGATTACGGACAGCATATCAGCGTCTGAGGCCAGAAGACAAGTCCAATACTCTACTCGTATCTCTGTTAAACAATCATCAATCGTGTGCCACACACAGTCTCACTTGACCTTTCCATGCCCCAGTTTTGATAACCACCAAGTCTGTGACTTTGATGCACTGACAGGTCGATCATCACAAGTCTCAAATCCCATTCCCAAACACATTCCCACGTGCTATACTGTCTCTGCTCCACTGAAGATCATTCTCGTCCTCATCAAAGATAGAAGATGGATACTTGTGTCCGTGCGTTCGTGCCTGACTCGAGGACACGAAAGGCTCTGACACGACGATCTGTGACTCGACAGCATGACTCTGTGGAGAGGGTTCGGTCTACTCATCAAACCCATGTGTCAGCTACTTAGCATTTTGATCGACGTTTTTGACAGCACTTTGATTGCTGGAGGCTCTAAAGGTGACAGAGCTCCAAGACAGGCGGTGGAGAGGAGCGACAGGGTATGCAGACGATCATGTTGATCTTCTCCGGACAGAAGGGATGCTGGCGGTGTGTTTACCATCCCAGGTTCTGGTTAAAGTGTAAGTGTAGTCTGGAGACACAAATTGAGGTGTCAGACAGCTGGGGCAAGAACGGACGGGGATTAGCACTGGACGACGACCTCATTGTCGGTCTATGTCGAATAGGGCAAGAGAATAGCACATTGATTGCGATCGCCAGAGATGTCATTACAGAAGAAGAAACCAACGTAGTGTGTGGTGGGGTATATGATAACAAAATGGATGAAACAAGAGAACATGACAAAGCCGCCAACCGATAGATGTGCCCTGGTCTCATACGAGATGTCTCTCCTTGGGACTCGAAGCTAATGAGCTCGGATCTATCGATGGGTCCGTCTCAGAAATCGAGGGTGTCAACTCGTGCGTAACAATGGTAGTCATGACTCTGATGCGACCGTCCTCGAGATCGTTTTCTACCATCGTCTTGCCGTCCTCGCTGTCATCGCTCAAGCGTGTCATTTGTATAATGGTGTCCATCTCAACTTTGTGTGACAATCCTCGAGCATTGCCATTCTGGGTCTCTAGGCCTTGTTCCCATTCTGCCTGTGCGGCCTGTGATGTGATGGCAAATTTGGCAAAGCCAGCTGTGTCGTTGTTCGTACGTGGCTTGGTCTTGGGTTTGCGTGAAGGAATGTAACGATGATTCGAGTCCGAGTTCGAGTGTGACGAGAAGAAGCGAGGGAAGAAGCGTGATATCGTTTTGCGAAGTGTAGGCAGGCAGGCGGCAACGACGGAGAAGTTGGCTTCCAACGAGGACCAGTATGCTGCGGGTGTGTTGTCCCAGGTGATGTCGGTGGAGACGGAGATTTGGTAGAGGGCCTTGAGTCGTAGGATAGATGTCAGGCAGACAAAGAGTCCCAGACAAAAAACAGCGATAAGTGCATACTTCTGCTTGCGTGGAAGCCGAAGCCGGTTCAGGACAGGCACTGGCATCAGACATATCACTACATCGGTGATGATGTTCAGGGAGGCATTGGCAAACCACACTCCCATGCGACTCAAACAGTGGCCGCTGATGCTGGTATCCCAGAAATAGGACACTGGTGTGCACATGAATGCAGTGCTGAATACAGACCATAGTCCGTAAACAAAGATCACACCGATCGAACCGGTGATGATTCGCTGAATGTCAGAGCCGACAAAAACACGTCGGTATTGGAGCAAAATAGAAATCTTGGTCAAGCTCAAGCTGGCTTGGTAGACAGGAACACTGGCCCAAAATGCCTTNGAGAGTATGTCAGTGAACATTCTATTGAAGCATTCTGATTTACTCACCTTGTTCAGCTGTTTTAACTCCTCTGGTGATACAGACGAATAGTGCCGACCTGGAAGGAACGTTAGACTGACGGTAAACCAAAGAATTGTGGACTGAAAGATCATACCTTGCCCATGTTGCACTTCAATGCAGATGAGAGCTGTGAGTGCAACAGAAAATGCAAAGGCAGCGAGTACAACAAAATCCTCGGCGCCGATATTGCGAACAATCAAACTTCTGGTGAACATCCTCAAGCTGAGTACAACAAAAGCGATGGAAGTCGAGACGATGGCTACAATGACGCCAGTAGAGCCTCTCGACCCGTGACCCGCATGGTGGTCCGTCATACTGGAAGCTTTTGACCCTTCGTGAGTAAGCCCGTGTGTTCTCGAGGACCAGTATTATATGAAAATCAAGATAAAAGAGATACGTGGAAGAGTAGAGAGTGAAGGTAATTATAGTATAGAAAGGCGTTTGAGTTTTAGAGAGCGACAGCGAGACCGGTATTCTGGACTCGGCTCCTGAACAGTACCGACAGATAGTTGAAACGAAGAAGAATGCAAAGAGATAGATGAACCCTAGGGAGAGTAGGGTACATATTCTTGCATATGCAGGCACCACACCTGCCACGAGGTGATCTACATTCGAAGGATCAGCCCTCTAGCGGAATGGACGGCGCACTTGTCCCACGCCAGTATCAATCCTCGAGCAAGTGTGGACCTGCCTTGCGAACTTGAAGTAGCATGATCGTGAGAGATATTTCTCCATGAGGAATAGCAAGGTAGCGGGGCTCGACGGGCAAACGGTTCGTGCACTGTTCGTTCGGAAGAATGGCAACCAACCGGGTTGGTGGACGGTGCATACTGTGGATTAGGAGTATAGACGTTATTAGCGAACTTGTTCCGTCTACAGAGCAACCACATTACATTGGATCGTTGCGTCAGAGTGGTATATTGTTTGGACCGTGTGCAGGCTGAGTTGTGGGTACTTCGCCTGGGGACTTGGAAGTACATCTCACAATTGAGACCTGGCAGTTTCTCCTTGTTGTGTCCAGATGTTTTGGGCACTTGCGAAGAATCATTCTAATGTGGCGTATCGACTAGCATGAATCGACATGACGGAGAAAGCCCGTCCTCCCTGCTTGACGGTTGAGGAGCTGGGAGAATCCTACCTGGAGCATGTAGTGATGAGTTTGGGGGCCCTAAAAAAGCGGCTGGGGCGGCTCTATGGCGACACAACACCCTTTCTTTAGGGCGTGGTGTTTCAGAATCCAAGCTCAGCAGTTGGGGCTTGATCGGTCATGATGGAGACTAGTGAGTGCTGCTGAACGATAGACATGAATCATACTGGACCTCAGATATCATGGTTGTACCGTTATAGGCACTTGGTCGTTGACAAGAACAAAAATCGCAGTCGTGCCGTTAGCGACTCGTGAAAGGTGCAGATGAGAAGAACATGAATCGGTGCCCGTCTTTACGAACTTAGGGGAGGAGACTAGCAAGTGGGTCTCATCAAGTTGCCGTACCGGCCGCAAGAGTTTCAGACTGAGAGGTTTGAGGTTCAGCGAGCTCTTGGCAAGACAGATGGGTCAGCATTCTGCAGGATGAACCACGACTACAGCAACAAGCAAGACAAATACCTGTTCAGCCCTCTTTGACGGTTGACTGATGCCGAGGTCACACTGGCTGGTACAAGTCGCTCGGGTCGAATGCGACTTTCATCATGACCTACGGAGCAGTCGCTCTCGGCAACTTCCCTCTTTGTGAACCGTGGAGAAAATGACGACGCCGTAGGAAAATCTTGGCAACACTGGAGCGTGACTTCCATGCCGAGGTTCTGTCGACCTTCAACAACAGGTTCAAGCAGTCAACGCATAGCAGCATCTTTGGGAAGGAGCCTCCACCATGTCGCTTGAGTCGCACTATCCTTCCAATTGTCCATTCTGTCGTATCAGCGAGGCGTATCCTGCATCGTCCAGCACGCCCATACCCTCGGCTCCCGACCCAACTCTCGTTGATCCCAATGCCTTCATCATCCTATCCTCTGATCATGTTCTTGCCTTTCTGGACATCCTGCCCATGACTACCGGACATGTCTTGCTCACCACGCGCGTGCATCACGAGAAACTGAGTGAAGTTCCCATTGGGCCTACTGCCCAAGCCCTAGGATACTGGATGCCGCTAATGTCAAGAGCACTTGCCAAAACCTTGGATGTCGAGGACTGGAACGTCGTACAAAACAACGGAATACGTGCCGCTCAAGTTGTGCCTCATGTACATTTCCACTTCATTCCCAGATACTCAGAAGGCCGCCGTCCGCCATCTAAGAAAAGCAAGGGTGACACGTTCGAGATCAAGAGCTGGAAGATGTTTGGGCGAGGTCAGAGAGAAGAGCTAGACGAGGAAGAGGCAGTCGTATTGGCTCAAAAGATTAGGGATGCTTTAAAACAAGAAGTTGAGGCCCTGGAGAAAGATACGGTCAAGCTTTGATCACGCCTTGGATACACCCGAGGCAAAATACACAACTCGACAGGTCGGTGTGGTTGGGCGTTGTATGAAACGTCTCTCCGAGATACCAGACACCCAGATTACGACATCTGGATCAGTCATTTGTGTTGCACTTCCGAGTCACAAACATAGGACATTGCCAATCGTAAATCCTTTTGCCTTACGACACGCGACGATACCGCTTTCATCAGGAGCTTACCCGCGAACAAAGGGTGTAGATCACCTGCACCGTGGATGTGGGAGGTTGGAGAAACGCCAATTTGGAATATTCGATCTATCTACTGCGACAACAAGTCCTTCATGACATCAGAAGCTGTGCGCCTAGGCGCATACAACTCAAGTATCTCCTTGCTTGTAGCTGCGGCCCTACAAGTGACATCCTTGTTGTTCTTCGGGGCGTGTTCGACAGAATAGATGAGGTTCTTCGAATGCGGGCCCTTTGCCATCTGGTCGAGAAAGGACATGTCTTGAAACACAATCTTGTTCTCATCCACTTTTGTACCGATATGCTTCTCGACCAACTCAACAAGCTTTCTGCCTGAAAAGTCTTCGGGACCATTTACGATGTATTTCTTGTTGTTGTGGGGTGTGACGTCGTCTTGAGCGAGAAGGTGGCCAGCAACAATGCCAACATCGCCAGAGTCGACCAGGGCATAAGGGGTATCGGCATCGATCAAGGAGGACAAGGTGTTCTGCTCACCAGTCATGCGGTATTGCTTGATGAACTCTGCAGCAGGGCCCAAGAACATGGAAAGGAAGCCTTGGGGCTGCAGAGACGTCCAGGCCAGGTCTTTATACTCGGGCTGACTGAGCATCATCTCAATCGCCCAATGCGTGCGAGGGTAGTACGCAAGGAAATTCGGCTTGACGTTCGCATGCGTAGTGGAAATGCGAACCACATACTTCACACCGGCTACCAAGCAGTTGGCGTAAAACTGACCCTCCTCGGCGAATTGATTGGGCTCGTTGTGCGAAGCGACGAAGACACGCTCGACTTTGTGCTCCCGAAGCCAGGTCGCGTCAATTTCAACCCAGTTCTGCTCGACAATCTCGACAGCAGGGATTTTAGCGAGCTCCCTGGCAGCATCGCTTGATGCTGAACGGGTGAGACAGAGGATGTGGTGGTTGGAGAGGGAAGATGTCTTCTTGATCAAGGAGGGCAGAGTTTCGACGACGCTTCTGCCAGTGTTGCCAGTTGCGCCGACGACGAGGATGGTAGGAGTCATTTTTCGAGGGAGGATTCGAATAAGCAGAAGGACGAAACGAGGGGTTTTGCTTGGGGCGCTCCTGAGGTTGAGGTGGAAAGTGTGCTATGAGAAGAGTGACAAGACCTGCCTTTAGCGCTACTTATACATGCAAGATAAACTCCATTCCCAATGACGGCTTTGAAATCAAAGAGGAGACTAGGGATATCAAATATGATGAGGATCATACACCGGATGGTATGGAAGTAAAGTCGGAATGTGGAAGCATGTTCGGGGTCCGGAGCGAGAGCTTCCCAGACGGGCCGGGGCAACTCAAATTCCAACGGCGAGAGCTCGAGAAAATAAACCCCTAGCCATGCCCACGACATTTCGTGCCTGTGTTCCTCGCTGTGTCGGGGTACTGTCACGATCGTCTGATCGAGTTTTTCTCACAGTGACACAGATTGCGACATGGTCAGCTACAGAAATGCATAGTTGCTTCCTTGATTCGCTAAAATAATGTCATTCAGTGGATATGTCTCCCATCTGGAGAGTATTGTGGATTGAGACAGCTTGCGACATGACAGTCTCTTGCGTATGGAGCGGCAGTAGACCTGATACTTGCTCATATAATCTTGTTGTACTGTCGCCCATGTGCTTGGATGCATTGCAAGAAGTTTATCACGCCGACGCGACAAACCGCGCTCTTCTTTCGCGAATCTCAGACACCCGGCCATGATTCTCCAACATCCATCAATACTTGACAACTCCTGGCGATCGTTGACACCTTGTGAGAATAGTTCGCTATGAGCATCAGATCATATTTCTGCAGTCTGCCTGTCTCAAGGAGCAGATGCTAACGTCAGACCCTTGCTTAGACAAGATAGGACTTTTGTAGAGGCATGTCGACATGTGTACAACGGCATTGCCGACGAAAACAAGGTCATTGGAGCTCAACCCGAACGTTCATATGCCCAGGTGGTGGAACTGAATGACATTAGGAATGGGTGTTTTGTGGGCTATGAGTGGTCTTTGAAAGCTGTTTAGTTTTACTCTATCGCTGTCCGGCAGGAGGGCAATGAGTGGCGTGGATGCAGAAAACGTGTAACTGATTCTTATCCAACTACCATCGTTTACCTACATCTGTCGTCTCTATGTGCTGCGTGTGCGTAGGGACATTGTAGACTATACACAGTACTATTAAGAGCAGAGTTTTAATTCAAAGACAAGTCATTATCCTAAACCCTACTTGCATGCCACACGCCTATTTCGACAAAACACACTACACTTCTAACGCACAATCGTCCCACTATCTGCTAAATCAGGGAGAGAGAGAGAAATCTTACGCATCAAACTTTGTCTAGCTATCCCATCATTTCCCCCTTTCTAAATCTAAACTACGAGAATCATAGAAAACGGGAATGAACGGGGGTTTCTTATATTTAACAGACAGGTGGAGTTTCTCGAGAAATAGGTAATGCATGTGTATTCGAGTATTTACTATTGGCACATGTATATCAAAGTTGAATGTTTGTTGAGAAGACTCTTAATTAAGTATAACAATAGACTATTTTTCGCCCTCATGAGACCGAAAAACTAGAAAGACAGTCAAGTAAACATATACGTCACTTCTACAGAACGGTTAAGATTGGAGGATGACTCCCTATATCGCATGTAACAATTCATGAGATCTACTTACAGAAAAGATCCTGACAAATGCAAAGAAAGAAAGACGTATATATTCATGCGCGTGAGGTCGTTAAAAGTATGCACACTCTGACGCAAAAAAAAGGACAAGTAGATTGACTCCTAGACAACGAGGTTTTTTTTTTTTGGAATGGAAAGTGTATTGACTGTAGCCACTTCTCGTGGTCAGTGTTTAGATAAACAATTGGGTCAGGGTGACACAAAAGACTGCCACTGTAAAAGGTCGACATGTGGCATACGACGATAGCGTCTTTCCATCTGTATGAGAAAGATTACCTAGGAAAGTCATCTCCTACATTTGTTCACTGCATGTCAGCTAGAGGTTTGGTTGCCGAAAGTGATTGTATCATTCCGTGTGCAGCAAAAAAATCATATCATGCATACATTCTCATGCCTAAAGCTATAGACAATTTTTCATCAGTATTCTTGTACCCATGTCTTTGCATACCCTTGCTCCTGCAAGATAAAGCATGGGACCCAGCACTACCCTCCTCAAGGTCTATCGTCCTCCCTCCTAGCCTCATCATCACTCTGCCTCAATATCTCCACTACACCCTGTCCCGTCGACGAATTAACCTCTTGTCCATCCTTACCAACAAGCACAGCATGCGGTTGCCCATTGTCATCAGGATTCATCGTGTTCCTCAAATGACCCACAAATCTAAAATGTACAGGTGTTTTGCAGATCCAGCGTATACGAAAGGGTGGTGAGCAAGGCCATTTTAGTTTTTGNCAAAAGAGTGGTTGGGGTACTGTTGGTGAGGGTGGGCATGTCATTACGGCCNNTGTATATTGGTGTTGTTAGATCTGGGGGTGTTGGAGGGGGGAGGAGAGGAGGGATGGTGATCGGAGAATGCTTACGGCGCCTTGGAAGGCCATGCTTTTGTTGACGCTGAAGAGCAACACGACGGAGCGACAGCTTTGGAAGGCTTCCATGAAGAGGCGTGTGTTTTTCTCTTGGGTGGCCCAAACGCCATCTCTTTGCGCTTCAACAACGTTTTGCATGTTCCAGGATTTTATGATGAAGAATCGTTCCTGATCGGCTGTTTGCAGTCTTGAGTTAGCGAGTATGTTCTCAAGACACGTATGCTCTCTTTCGACCATGTGACGACGTGGATAATGTAACGACATAAAAAGTAGGTTGAACGGAAAAGCATTTATTTTGTGTGTTGGGCATTTGTTGAATATCCCCAAGACTCCTTGCTATCAAAAATGCTAATCATGCCAGGAAGAAAGGGCCTTCTAGATCTTCCAAAGTGGAAACACCAAGTATTCGTCGTGATCATGTACGCGTTTAAAAGCCAGAAACAAAACAGCTTCATCTGTTGTATCTGTTTCTGGGGTCGGAAGGCTTGTACCCACATTTGTTGCTCGAGTGGCCACCTTGGCCAATGGGCTGCTCGTTGACATCTGAGAAAGACGCAGGGTTCCATCCATGAGGGCGCGCGGACCATTGTTCAGGAGATCTGGGAGTCCATGACTCACGACGACCGAAGGGACTGTCACTAGGACGGAAAGCCTGACCATGAACAGAGATAGACTGGCGGGTAGGAGAGGCATCGAAAGCAGCGCGTTGATGATACTCAGGTCTGTCGTTGGTATAGTGCGATCTNGTCATAGTGTCAGCTAACTGCAGTCGGCTCTCGTCCGGTCTGGGTGTTTGATCATGTTCCATTTACCTCTGGTCGGAGCCACGTCTGGAAGTACTGGCGGATGAAGGCTTGTCGAACAAATCATCTCTACGCACAGCACGACCAGAAGTGTGAAGACGGGTCAGTTTCTCACGGTTATTGTTCAAGGGCACAGATGGCGAGCGAGGGCGTTTGGTGCCAGCGGGAGCAGGCTGAGAAGGCACAGGACTGGCCTTGGTCAAAGGAGCGGACCGCTCGTCAGTCGAAGTCTGGACAGGGAGAGCTGGAGGTGGCATGTAAGCAGCCGAGACAGAACGCATGTAGTCCTTGGTGCTAGGGTCGTTAGCCGCGGCAGCCTCTTGACGCTCAAGTTCGGCAAATTCACGTTCCAGAGCACGTTTCTTTTCTTCAAGTGCAGCACGCATCTTGTGTGTCTTGAGCTTTTGCTCGCGGAAAGCCGTGTCGTGGAATCCAGTGATGGAAAGCCACAAATCAACGTCCTTGAAATACTCATCCTCTGTTTCCTTGGTGGGCTTTGTTGTCAGGCTGAGATTGTGCTTGTGCAGGGGTCCACTGGACAAAGGATGCAGAGGCTTGGGTTTGGTGGCATGCGGGTTAGTGATCGTATCAAGACTCTTGTCATTGGGTAATATCTGTTCGGGCACAGGGGAAGCGGGATTGGACTTCTGCTTGGCCAGACTGTTATTCTTGTTTTCCTGTTCGCTAGGAATGTCTGGCGACTTTGCAGTCGACGAAGACTTGTCGCTGTTTGCGATGGTCTGTTCAGCAGTATTGAAAAGTGTGTTCAGGGCAGTAGACAAGTGAGCTAGCTTGGGTGGCGCAGTATTCTTGGCTGCAGATGGCTTGCTTGTAGAGTCTGTTGTATTGGGCTGTTTCTTTTGGGCAGTCTTCTGTTGGATGTTGATGTCAGATTGCGACATGTTGGCAGTTGCATGACCCTCAGCTAGGAGAGCGTCGACTGATCTTGAATGGCTGAGCATTGAGGCAGCGGTTGTTCTGTTGGGTTTGGACGTGGATGCCTGTAGATCGGCCTTGTTCTTGGTTGCAGCAGATTTGGGAGTGAGGGCTGGTTTCTGGGGTCGGGACTGCAACTCTGTTTTGACGGCTACATGATTGATGTTGTTGGCAGGGTCTGAAGTGCTCTTGACAGGAGTGGCCTGACGATTGGCAAGCAGTTTTGCGCGCAGTTCATGAAGCTTGGCCGTGTTGACCTTGACGGGAGTATTGCCGGAAGGAGTGTTGGAGCCATCGGCTCTATCTGTTGTGCCCAAAGCATTACCCATCCTAGTCGAGGCGAGTGTCTGTGGCTATGAGTTTCTGGGTCAGCAAGGGCCAAGCTGTGTTCGAGGATGCGAGAGTGTAGAAGATCTCACTGCGTCGGCCGTGACTGGCGGGTGAGACGAGTCAAGCTCGTAAAAGTCCATTTCGTCGTCGACTTCCGAGCTTGTGCTGATGTCGCCGCCGGAACCACCGGGCGAGTATATGTCCATGTCAGCACTACGAGCTGGACTGCGTGTATAGCAATCTTCTTCGTGAGTCTCGTCCTCGTACTCGTCAAACGGAGATACGGTGGAAGGAAAGGCCCGAGGTTGGTAACGCTGTAGCTGAACTGCACCCAGCTGGATTGGAGACAGGAGCACGCGCCTTGTCAACAGCCACGGGACGGCTCGGCCCTCACTTTGTGCCCCACCAGCAGAAGCCTCTTCGTTACCAGACATTGTGGTGGTCATCTTCCATAACTCACAATGATACTGTGCATCACCAAATGGGAGTGGTTGATGTTGAAAATGTGACTGTCTGAACCATGTGTTCAGACAGTTTATAGATACGAACTGTCCAGCAATGTAGATTCTAAGCCGCATCATCTAGACCAAAAAAACTGAACAGAAAATGCAAAAAATGTGACTTCTAAACCTCAAAGTGCTTGACCCAATGCCCAACGACAATCTTACCTTCATCAAAGCCCCAGCGATTCGTCCTTACAACAATCGCTGCGTGTGTATGTCGGACTTTGCTGATGTGTACCGGATACTTTGTAAAGCCTACACTATCCAATCCTTCAATCATGTAAAACTGATCTGACGTGAGAGCAAGCGTAGGAAACTTCTCTTGTCCTTTGAACTGGCTGCCAGTGTGTTCGGCCTTGGAGAAACGCTCGTCATCTTCAGATGGGGGCGTGGGCAGGTAGTCCTGGCCTTGTTCGGAATTTACATGTTCGTAAACGCGCTCCTCGAGGTTCTGGACCTCTTCAAGGAGTAGGTTGGTACGGTATCGCTCGATCCCGAACGCGGCACCACCTGATTCGTGTAGACGGACACGCTGTGCGGATCGAATGGTCTGGATTCCGCTGTTGATCAGGAAGAGCATGCTACCGACTGGGATGAGTACGGCGAGCAGGAGATAGAATGGCACAGCTGTGAGAGTGGACCAGCTTGTGGCTCTCACGCGAGCCCAGAAGCCAAGCGGGGCTCGAATCTTGGGGCGGACAGGCTCGTCAGGACGTAGCAAGACACCGTCGTAGCCAGGCAGTGGTTGCAGATCGACAGCGTCAAGGTCGACAAAGGGATCCTTGTGAGTAATACAACTGGTGTAGTAGACAACACTGCGATCATTGACAATGTTGGAGTAGAGCGTTCGGTGCTTGAACTTGGCTAGACCACGGATGAAGACACTATTCGGATCTGCCAGTACAGTCAGGAGCGGACGGCCCGTGTCGCGGAAAGAGTCGACAGTGAAGAGCTGGCGACCAGAGGTGCTCAGAGTACGGGCACCGAGGACATTCCAGAGGTAGTTGTGTGGACCAAGAAGAGGTGATCGCACGCCCAAATGTGGAGTCGCGAAGGTGGTGAAGTTCATGGGCTGTATGCGATCGAAATAGCCCTTCGAATACAGCAGACCCACAACATAACGCGCGACCAGGCCGCCGAGCGAGTAGCCGACAATGCTTATCTTTGTGATCTTGACATCATCTTTCTCGAGTGTCTTGATCTCTTCCTCGACCTCGTTGGCGGTACGCTCGCCTCCTAGCTCAATGCCATCGTAGGTAAAGTTGTTCGAGTTGCTCTTGGTGACGAGAACGTGTAACTTTNNGTCTTTGGGGTACTCGGCTTGCAGCGACGTGGCGAGATTCTTCAGGTGTTTCGGGTTGCCCCAGAGNTCTGGTTAGCGATCATGTCAGCGTACACGACCTGGGTGGAAGAAGGAGAGAAAGAGAGTCTACCCGTGGATCAAGATACATAGATGATCAGCCATACCTCTTTCTGTAGCTGTAGCCTCGCTCTTCCAACGCGACTGTAGTTCTTCTGAAGCGGCTATGATAGCTGTACGTCCATGATCTTGAGACGACTCGAAAGACATAGAAGTTGCTCCAAGAAGAAGAAACAATTTGGGTGCCTGAGTTGTCCCTTTGCCGTTGATGATGACGTCGCGACTCCTGTCTCTCGGCGCATTCGAAAGTCCGACGGGCTTTGTCTTTTGCGGCCTTCCTGGAACAACTTTAGTCGTCGAAAATTCACCAACTCGATGGCATTTGGCCTGGAAGAAAAGTAAAGAGCCGCTTTGTTCTTGCCAAAGACTTTAGCCTGCGTTGAAAGCGATTGCCATTCGTGTCGACGCTCCGTATTCGAGAAGCTGCGCTAGCTGACCTGCCTCTTGGGATTCTCTTGAGCACGAGTAAATCACTTTGATCATCAGCCACTTTCCTACCATCCACATGATCTGAACCACTTCACACTCATTCCATTCAGGTAAACATGTACGCATCTATCAAGTGTGTTTAGGCCACTGAATCCTTTTGCATCAAAGTCGACCTGCCCTTGTTTGGCATCCATTGAGGTACCATGTTTTCAACCACCGGTCTCTTCAAAGGCATACCATGTCCCGAGGGCGAGAAGTGTAACATAATTCACTGCATCTTCTCTCATGAGTTGCGACCTCAAGCCACTGCTATCTCCGAAGAGGCTCAGGAGAGCGCCACTAAGAAGAGAAAGTTGAACCCGGTACCCGACAAAACCACCAAGGCCCCTGCCATTCCTGTCACTGCCTCTCCAGGCAATACCGCCCCTGGCTTTGCAACAAACGGGCTCACTACTGTCAATCAGAAGCCCACAACATCAGCTTCAGCTCCGCCTAAGATCCCTAAGACATTGCAGAGGCCAGTGAGCCCTCCTCCCAAGCCGCCAACAGCATCATCAAAGCCTACTCCTGCAAGGCCAGCTGTCGAAGAATCGCTGAATCCTCGCATGATTCCTAATGATCCCGCTGGTCATGCAAAGCGTACCTTATTCCTCAAGCATCTTCATGCTGAGATGGAACGCTTAAACGCTGCAGTCGCCAGAGGCTCGCATGCTAAGAAGGTTGCCTTGACAATGACGTCTAACGAACTCATCAAGGTAGCTCTGGACGAAGAGGAGAAGACAGCGCGAGAAAACCATAAGATCTATGCCAACGTCATCAAAATGCGTGTCGCGGCCCTCAAANAGATGGCCATTGATGATTGGATCGCCCATGTAATCGCAACCATCAAAGTCGATCTACAGGAAACCCAAGTAAAGTCGCCGCCGCCAATCAATACCGGCCTGCCTCTGGAGCAGGAACACATTGTTCTCCCTCATCTGATCACCGACCAGACCAATCTAGCCAAACACGGCTATGTGCCTGTGCCACCGACTGATGAAGAAATCGCCGATGCCAAAGCCGGTGTGGCCGCTTCCCTCAACTATGAGGTATGCGATCGCTGCAAGTCCCGCTTCAGAGTGTTTGAGGAGCGTAGAGAAGAGGACGGTGCTTTGACAACAAACGGACCCTGCACTTACCACTGGGCTAAGCCCTTCACACCCCGACGTGAGAAAACAGATGCCATCAAGGGCCCAAAGGAGGCATTCTACCCTTGCTGCCAGGAGTTACAAGGCACTCCAGGTTGCACACACTGCGAGACGCACGTCTTCAAGGTCAGCGAAGGCAAGAGACTCGCATCCATTCTGCCTTTCATCAAAACCCCGGAGAACCCCAAACCTGCCAAAGGACCCGATGGCAAATCGCCTAACGCCGTCACCTTTGACTGCGAAATGGGCTATACTGTGTGTGGCCTCGAGCTCATTCGCCTGACCGCAGTGTCTTGGCCAGAAGGCCATTGTCTGGTTGATGTGCTTGTCCGTCCTCAAGGCACTATTCTCGATCTCAACACTCGCTGGTCGGGTGTGACGCCGGAAATGTATAGCTCTGCTGTACCGTATGAGGAAAAAGTGGCCATGGACGCGTTGTTACCGCCTCCACCGCCCGGCAGTTCTGTCTCTTTTTCACTCCTCGATGGTGCTACTGGTGGCCCACTACCAATCGTCTCAAGCCCTGCCGCGGCAAGAGACCTTCTATGCTCTTTCCTGACACCGGCTACCCCTCTGATCGGCCATGGCATCGAGAACGACCTCAACTCTACGCGATTGTGTCATCCTACCATCATCGACACAATCATCCTTTTCCCGCACCCCCGTGGTCTCCCCTTCCGATTTGGTCTCAAGATGCTCACCAAACGCCATCTCGGCCGTGACATTCAGATGGGAGGAGCATCTGGTCACGACTCTCTCGAAGACGCACGCGCGACAGGCGATTTGGTCCGATTCGAAGTAGGACAAAGACTCAGGCGATTACAAAGAGAAGGGTGGACTCTGAGCGACGGCGTTTTGATGCCACCACTGCCTGGCGGTCCACCTCCAGTCGAGGAAACCAAGGCTCTGGGCGCTGGATCGGGGGTCAAGAGACAGAGAATTGATGTCGAGCAGCAAGGTTCAAGCAAGAAACTCAAGGAGGGATGAAGAAGTAGCATTGTACTACACCAGATCCTGGAAGGGTCAGAGAAGTTTTTCCTAGGTAGACAAAGGTCGGCACGACGTGAGAGACAGAGGCAGCTGCTTGCTTGCTCCTCATCGAACCCTATCAAAAGACAGACGACATCTGAAGTCAACTCAAAACCACATTCTATGAACCACTTACCAAGCCATGTTCTCAACCACATCGTTCGAAAAGAGCCATTGTACGGTTTCAGATCATTCCTTCATTCATCCTTGCCAATCTGAGTTCTCCTTCGCACTTGCCCTATTTGTCAACATACATTCCTGCACCGGGACTCTACCACTCGCGTTCGACAAGTGTCGACACTACCCTCCTAGTGACTCTCGGACTTTCCTCAAGTGAATGTTGAGGTACGGATGAAGTGCACGAGACTTTGGTCGCAGGGAGAAGACGCGAACATCCAAAAGTGGTCATGCATTGTTTTTGTGAGAGTTTGTAGAAGTACCTGTTTCCGAACATGATGATTTGTAGAAGAGGGCATTGATGGATTGTTGCAAGACGTTGGTTGGTGAGAGAACAGGGAGAAGGTGTTATAAAGGGCTGACGATGTTTGTTCTAATCAGACCTGATGGGTTTTGCCTGGATGTAAGGTTTATCTCTGGTGATTCTGATCTTGAATTGTCCTTGATGGGTTTGGGTGTCGTTCTTGCAAGTTTCCTTTTGTTAGCATTGTTGGTTCATGTCTTGTGTGTCGAGTAGGCAAACTGTGAGACGCCGTGATGGTTTGTATGGGTGCATCAGGCTTCGGTTATGTCACGAAGTGTTTTTGCATGGTAAATTTAGAGAGGCAGGCTCAGAAAAGTGTAGAGAGTCGTGATATTCGTCATGTTCATGGCTATCGCAATTGGTGGTATCATCCCAGAAAAGTTCATCCCTCCATTCTATCCCATGTTGATGTTTGCGACTATGCGCTTGTGTATGTGGCAAGACCCTTACGCTCTAGCCTGCTTGTCGAGATCAGCCTCAACGCCACGCTGCTGAGTCTTTCCCTCATCATGCTTGGCCTGGTACTTTGCCTTGTCAGCCTCATTGCCAGTAATGCCCGCAACAGCACCACCAACGGTACCAGACACACGGTCTGCGATACCAGAGCCCAAGTCGTTGAGTTGGCCCTTGGCTTCTTGCTCCTTGCCTTGAGCGTTTTGCTCTGCTCCTTGCTGCTTGAGCGACTCGTTGCCGACGAGGTTGCCGAGGGCTTCCTTGCCGGAGCCCAGGGTTTGGTTCCAGCTGCCGGCGCTGCGGTCGGGGTCGTTGGCGGCGACGCCCGAGGCGCTGACGCTGTAGCCGCCGATGTTTGCGCCGGCGTGGGAGGCGTCGTTNTTGAGGTCGGCTTCGGCCTTCTTGGTTTCGCCGGCGTTCNNTGGAGGGGGGAAGTGTCAGTGTTGTGTTTGGCAGAGGTGGAAGGGGGTTGGGTATACCTTGTCGGCGTTGCTACCAATCAGCGAACCCAGAGCGGATTGGGCGGCGCCAGAGGCGGAGTCGATGTACGACTGGAGGGTGGAAGTGTTCTTGTCAGACATGTTGTTGGTGTTTTGGTGTGAAGTGTCGTGGGTGTGAGGGGTGCGTGAGATTGAGATGAAGAGAGCAGTTGCAAGGATGTAAGTTGAGGTGGATGGAAGGGATGTTTTTGAGCGTGGACAAAGGTTTATCGTGAAACGATTGTTGTGATGGTCGCTGCAGCTTTCACTCGCATGTGAAGCCAATGACTTCATGTGGCTGAAGCTGTTGGACCCTGTTTTGTGCGTGGCTGGGACCATATGACTTCACCAACTCCTTTGGCAACCACCATGGACTCTTCTGGAACCTGTTGGTGTTGGCTTGGTTTGTGGCCGGACATTGTCCTCCTTGTGTTTCTTATGGCGGTCAATGCATTAAAGGTATTATTTGACGAAAAGTGTCGTCTTATTGGCTCCCTAGCTACGCTTCTGGTCTGACACCATTCTTCCTTCTCATGTCGTGCAACTAGCCCAAATAATAGAGCATTGGAGTTACACGCTCTGGTACACGATATATGTTCCTCGTGGCCATTCCCATACGTGATACAACCAGTGCGTGTTACCCTGCTTCGCTCTCACTCAACCCCGTCTGCTCTTCTGCTCACCAATCAGAGGTGCTGTTTATAGCCTTCTGACCGAGAAGAATATCCTCTTGGTTCCCTCTTTATGCCACGAGACACTGCTGCCCACCAAGGGCCAGTCTTCTAGTCTTGCCTTGACCTCCCATTTGGTACCGGTTTCATCACCAATCTCTTTCCACATTTGCTGCCACGACTCTACGTTTTGCAGAAACATGTTGCCGCTTCCGCTAGCAGATGACTCTTGCGCGTGGGCCTTGACGTTGCCCACCTGGCGTCCGACCAGCAGCGAGTCCTTCTTTGGTTTGAGCAGTTGGACCACTCGTCTTGCAATCTTTTTNTGTCCTTCGTAGCCAAATAAGTGAAAGAAAGACGATGCGTGAATGATGTCAATGTTTCCTTCCAGCGGTGTGAGATTCGACTCGGACTCGAACACGTCTGCGGCGATGAACTTGCTATGAAGCCTTTCCTTGTCCTTGAAGAGGTCGAATCCAAGGTCCAAGAATCCTTGTTGGAGGTCGCTGCCAATCAGAACTTCGCTGGGAACTCCATCGGTAACCAGTCTGCGGATATCCTGACCGAAGCAGCAGCCTAGGTCGAGGTATTTGTCGTTGCCAGATTTGAGTCTCTTGACGATCTCGGAATATTCTTCGAAGCCACCTAGAGGCATGTCCAGAAAGCGGAACTGGCCGATGCATGGGTATGGAAAGACATCCCAAGCTTTGTCTCGCTAGGAACTCGTTAGCAACTAGTTGTGTGATCCGGATAGAGCGAGAAGGTCGTAATTCTACCTCTCATCAGAGGTGCAAGAGAGAAGCGATACTCACGATCGANNCAAGACATGCGGCACAACCTCATCCGATGGTATGTTGCAGTACGTCTCAAGGACTGATCGGGCTTGGGGATTGACATCCTCTAGCTCAGGTTGGAACCAGTCCACGCTTTTAGCCTTGGTACCGACTGCTGTCATGTTGTTTGTGTAGAGAAAAATGCTAGGTTAAGACGGGGAGGGAGTCGAGGTCGACGCTGTGTTCGTCAAAAAGGGTAATCGGCAAATAAGTCTCAGCTATCGCCACGTCGTGGGATGCTCTGCCGCTTAAGAACTGTTCAGGATGCCACGGAGATGTCCTCATAATCTACAGCGATCGCTCACCGGTCGCTCTGCGCGAGTAATAAAGCTTGGTATCAAATCTGTATGATCCTACCAGGCTGCCGCACCTGATATAGGCAGACGAATGATACGAAGCTTGAAAGGATGATGGCTGAGCGCGACTGCCTCACCTGAGGATTTCTTAGGCTGCCATCAATACCTTGATTGGGCACTCTCTGCCAGCTCGCATTGAACTGCAGCTCCGCAAGGTAGCAATGGATGCGGACAAAAGTCAAGACCCAGGAGAAGAGAAATAAAAACAAATGACAAAAAAACCTGGCAAGGCCGGTCAGGTCGCCGTGCCCCGCAATGGCCAAGAACGGGCAACGAAGCGGGCGCTGAAAAATTGCGAGCAACAACAGCTCGACGCAGTTCAGAGCCACCATTGCTTCTCGTATTGCTCACATCGCTTGTAGAAGACTACCAGCGTACTCTCGAATATCGAAAGCACCTATCTCCATTCTTTCGAAAAGCCCAAACACCACAATGAGCGAAATCACTCACCCCACCATCAAGGGTAGCTAGAGCTCCACATTGCAAGTGAACAAAGAGAATGGAGGCTCATACACAAGGCAGNATGGCTGGTTCCGCGAGATCTCCGACATGTGGCCCGGTCAGGCCATGACCCTCAAGGTCAACCAGGTCGTCCACCACGAAAAGTCCAAGTACCAGGATGTCCTCATCTTCGAGTCGACCGACTACGGCATGGTCCTCGTCCTCGACAATGTCATCCAGTGTACCGAGCGCGACGAGTTCTCGTACCAGGAGATGATCACCCACCTGGCCATGAACTCGCACCCCAACCCCAAGAAGGTCCTCGTCATCGGTGGCGGTGACGGTGGTGTCCTCCGTGAGGTCGTCAAGCACGAGTGTGTCGAGGAGGCCGTCCTCTGCGACATTGACGAGGCCGTCATCCGTCTCTCCAAGAAGTACCTCCCCGGCATGGCCGTTGGCTACCAGCATCCCAACGTCAAGACCCACGTCGGCGACGGCTTCAAGTTCCTCGACGACAAGAAGGGCGAGTTCGATGTCATCATCACCGACAGCTCCGACCCGGAGGGCCCCGCCGAGGCTCTGTTCCAGAAGCCCTACTTTGAGCTGCTGAAGGGTGCCCTGAGAGAGGGCGGTGTCATTACTACCCAAGGTTGTAAGCACCCTTTCCTAGTCCCCTGACTGCCTTTGCTGCTAGGCAGGAAGCCAGTCCATTCGATCACTCTTCCTTCTATCTTTCTTCCAATCAAGACCAGAAGTTGCTGACTGAAGTATAGCCNNGAGAACCAGTGGCTGCACCTCCCCTTGATCACCAAGCTCAAGCAGGACTGCAAGCAGGTCTTCCCCAACGTCGAGTACGCCTACACCACCATCCCCACCTACCCCTCTGGCCAGATTGGTTTCATGGTCTGCTGCCTTGACGCCAACCGCAACCTCAAGAAGCCCGTCCGCCAGTGGTCTGAGGCCGAGGAGGACAAGCTGTGCAAGTACTACAACAAGGAGATCCACGAGGCCTCGTTTGTTCTGCCCAACTTCGCCAAGAAGGCCCTCAAGTAGACATGATTTACGACAAAAAGATGGTCCGTCAAGACGCTGTGCTTGGACGTTTAAATAAGATACCAATGATATTACCTGCACGCCTTGCGGCTTTTTCACTCGGTTCATGACAATTGAAAGACACTTGATGCTGAGGGAAAGAGAGTCAATCTCGATCAAGCTGCCGAGGACGCTCTCATAGGCCGGTCGAATGTTGGTACGAGTAGATGTGCCTTGTCTGTCTTGATCGTTGTCCTGCGGTGACCAATGCCCAACCTCAGCGATTATCGACACGTAGAAATGCCCAGACTGCAAACAAAGGCTTTGTTGACTCTTTCGAGCCCTCTCACCGCAAACGCTCCAGGTACATGTACGAGTACAGTGCTTACCGATACGCAGGAGTCCCACCAGAATCAAGGTGGGGTGGAGCCTTGTTCTGGTCTTCTGGATAAACGTGTACATGCTGTAAAGTCTCTTTCATTCTCCGACCCGTCGTCCATCAAGAGCCGGCTTCCAAACAGGTCGGCCGAGTCGCGGTCGATTGCGCGGCAACTTGATGGAGACGACGGAGAGGTGTCGACAGCAGTGTGAAGGCTCTTTTCCTCTTCTTCACACGTTCTGCCACCGGACATAGGACGCAAGACACGAGTCGGCAACTCCGAGTGTAAAATGGCGGGATTAAATGCATGCATATGCATCCTTCTCATTGGCCCATTTGTCCGAATTTTCCTTGTGCAGCAGGGCTCTTTACGCTCGGCGGCTCTTGCATGTCTCCGTCTCTCTGATAGCCACGTTTTGATGCTCTGAGCAAGGGCGAGCGGGTCGAGGCGCCTTGACGGGTGGCAGATGCCGCGAGTGCATGAGCGACAGTCTTGACTGCATGACAACTCTGGATCATGGCTGGCCGTCTGACGAGTCGACTTGCACGCGCAATCTTTCGTCTAAGGCTTCCTTGCAAAGGCAGGCTGTGTCGAGCATTGGCTATAATTCTCCGAATACAAGGTTGTTTTTCCTGTTAGTGTTTGTTGGTTGGTGGAGCAAAGCGAAAAGCGAAAAACATCGAGGAGACTAGAGCAGGATAGGTTGAAGAGATGATTCTTTTCAGCTCCCCAATGTTTTTGCCGTGTAGCAAAGGTGCAGCAGCCGTAACAANGGAGTAACAGGGATAGCGTGTTTCGAGATGCGCCGTCAGCGGCCTTGTTCCTGCGCTAGCCACGCCTTCTCCATGCCGATGCGTTTGGTACCTTGAATCTTAACACCACACNNCACGCGAACAAATCTTGCCGTCCCCGGTAAACTCGANATGCAGGTCAGCAGTTTGGAGCTCTGCTTCGAGGACATGTTTGGCGATGTTGAAGAGGCAAAGGTCGAACACTGNCGATCCGGCTTACTCGTGCCTGCGCCACTGTGACTGACGCCTCCATGTGTGTACGCAATTGAACTCTGTCTTGACTCGGCCAGGTTTTAAGCTCATCCGACTGATCATCCGTGGATCTGGTTGTGATCGCGTACAGATACCTGGCAGTCTTGAAGGAGGTGGGGAGCTTCATCTCAAAGGTCCGCTGCGAAGCAAAAACTCAGCTTGCCAATCGCAAGGAAGAAAGCTAGAGAAACAGATCCGCGCGATGAACGACACGTACACTGGGTCCCCGGGTCTGCATGCGTACTGCAGCATCGTGAGTCGACGGTAGCTGGCAGTTGTGATGGGAAATGAAGAACCAAAATCAAAGATGCAGCGGTAAAGCCGAACTCCACTCCACACTCCCCTCCGGCTTCTCGCTTGGATGCCAACGTTTGCTCTTTCCTCGCCCCTTTCCACTCCGGTCAGGCAAAACATCAATTTCAGCTTGTCAAACTCATGAAAGCAGTTGTTTTGAACGATATGGCGCAATTGTGAAACAATCATCTGGTCGAGCTGGAGCGGGCGCCAAACTGTGGGTTTTCATCCTTTCGGAAGCGCGGCGGTCCCCAGTCACATCTGATTGATGCATCTAACCGAGTGGATACCGCGCAGCGGGAATGGCGCTGCTGGCGCTCTGGACTTCCTGCAATCTCAAAGATCCACGCTGTCACTTTTTTCCCGCCGCCTGCCCTCCCTCACCTTCCCTGTAGGAGCACGGTTCACGGCTTGAAACTCAAAGTGCGCCCTTCTCACCTACTCTGACTCCTATATGTATCAAGCCATTTTCCCCCAGTCTTGACCTTCATCTATTCCGCTCATCTTGTCTTCGTTGTCCCTTCTAGGTCTGTGACCTATTCTTTCTTTACAAGTCCTTGCTGGGCTAGTCATTCATTCACCACTTCCATTCATTCGCTCTTTCGACCTTCTCTCCACCCAGGATTTGATATCCTCGCTTTTACCTCATCAACTTCTATCTCAATATCTAGTCCCAAAATGTACACCTCCACTAAGGTTCTCGGCCTGGCTGCCGCTCTCGCCGCACCTGCTGCTGCTTTCTTCCGTATGCCCTGCCCTGGTCGTATTGTTACTGAGCGTGCCGACCCTATCGTTTCCCCTGGACAGGTCTCCGGCCACGTCCACACTATTTCCGGTGGTAACGGATTCAAATTCGAGATGGACTATGCCGATGCTCGCTCTTCGAGCTGCTCCTCTTGCCCTATCAAGCAGGATCTTTCCAACTACTGGACCCCTTCTCTCTACTACCAGTACCAGAATGGATCTTTCGAGAACGTTCACCAGTCAGGTGACGGCCAAGGTACCTACGGTGGCATGACTGTCTACTACCTCCAGCGTGGTGGTCCCAACAACGACAAGCTCAAGGCTTTCCCCGAAGGCTTCCGTATGCTTGCTGGCAATCCTTTCAAGCGCAACCACACCGACGACTTCGAGTCCGAGGCTGTCAGCTTCGTTTGCCTCGACTACAGCGGTGGCTCCAGCACTAGCGATGGTCTCCCTACTAAGAACTGCCCCGATGGTCTCCGTGCTCAGGTCTTCTTCCCTTCGTGCTGGGACGGTGTCAACCTTGATTCTGCTGACCACAAGTCACACATGTCATACCCCATTGGCGGTAGCTACGACAGCGGCAAGTGCCCTGACACTCACCCCGTCCATCTGATCTCCATCTTCTACGAGGTCAACTACAACGTTGGTGACTTTGGCAGCATGTGGTATGGTAGCGGACAGCCTTTCGTCTTTGCTCAGGGTGACCCCACTGGTTACGGATTCCACGGTGACTTCGTTAACGGTTGGGACGTTCCTACCCTCCAGTCGGCTGTTGATGAGTGCAACAACGACAGCGGTCTCCTTTCTGACTGCCCTGTCTTTGACAACCTTCTCTTCACTAACGATGAGAGCAAGGCTTGCATCATCCCTCCTCAGGTTGACGAGCAGGTCACTGGCATGCTCGACGCTCTTCCCGGCTGCAACCCCGTTCAGAAGGGTCCCGGCCTCGCTACCGTCCAGACTTGCGCTGTCACAGCAAACTCTAGGGTCGCAACTGTCGGCGCCTACGAGCAGTACTTCACGGATGTGACTTCATCTCTCAAGTGGCAGTACGTTGGCTGTGGTACCGACAACTTGGGCAGCCGCACCCTGAACTCCGCGTCTACCAGCAGTGGCTCCATGACCGTCGAGTCATGCATTTCCTTCTGCTCGGGCAAGGGATACGCTTACGCAGGTCTCGAATACGCTTCCCAGTGCTACTGCGGTAATTCGGTCGCCTCTGACCGTGCACCCCAGACTGGTATTCTCGGAAACTGCTTCTCTCCTTGCGCTGGTGACAGCAGCGAGTACTGCGGTGGTAGTGCCGCTCTGTCCATCTACCAGAGCTGCAATGGCCTCTCCAGCTGCACCAACAACGCCTACAATGGACCTGATGGCGCTGCTGCCTCTGTTGCTTCCTCATCGGTTGCCTCTTCTTCTGCTGCCGCTTCATCGTCGAAGAGCAGCAGCACCAGCGTTAGCTCCAGCCACACCAGCACGTCAACCTCGAGCACCAAGTCTGCAACTACCCTTGTCACCTCGAGCAAGAGCTCCTCTTCCTCAAAGTCTTCTACATCTACCTCCACCTCGACTTCTTCGGCACGCCACCACCGCAAGCAAAAGACGCCCGCCTCGGCAACCAAGAACGCACGTTTCGCCGCTGCCGTTGCTGACAAGGAGGCTGCCGACCGTCAAGCCGCCGAGGTCAAGGCCAAGCTCGCTGCCAGCAAGGTCCGCCGCCATCTGGCAGAGTTGAAGGCTGGTCGTCACCACTAAGCCTTTCTATCTGTTTTCTCTTCTGATCTTTTTTTACGAAAATACCACGTTGTTGTACGAATTGCTTGGGGATGAACTTATGGGGGCTTGGGGTATATAGAAGGAAAGGGGATGACTTTACTCTTCTTTACGTTCGCTTCTTCCTGTATAAACCAGGATCGCCTTTTTTTTGACGAGAGGGTTTATGGGGGTCATTCCATGGTGTCACTGCACAAGGATGTTTGCCCACTCAAGATATATATGATGTTTGGAAAGAACAACAAAAAGAATTGGATCTTTTTTTTCGGACTACGAATTTTGATCTCTTCTGTTCAATGTGTTGTGAAGCAATCCAAGGAGATGATGAGACACGAGGCATGTCCCGCTCATGATATGGCCTCGCGGCCACAAATAGATTTGAGTAAGCTATGAATGAGTGTATTTGTTTCCAGCTCAGAGTAATTCAAGAGGTTGTATCCAGCAAACGAAAAACCTTCGAAACGTCCAATGATCAGGATATGTAGACGCGAGTTGGGCTGGACGATCGGTTAAGCGAGTGCCACGTGATATGGCAAACATGGCTACCCTGTTCAGGCTATGTAGAATAGAAACGAGACTTTTTGGATTGCTGAGAAAGAGGGCTCGAGGTGAACTTCTGGTTATAATGATGTTGGAGGTCAGGCAGGAAAGAGAGATGCCGACTTGATACGCCCCGAAAGCATGCCAAGCCGTCAATCTTGTGGAGAACAGATGTGTTTGGAATTGTTAGTAACAACTTCACCCAAGCTGGCCTGTCGGCCACATATCCTCCATGCTCAGCTCTCACCAACAATTGTCAGCAGGATACCGCGTCATGCTACGACATAATGAATGGTCCTGAGAACTATGACATGAGAAGCAATGTCTACAAGCGATGCCATGAGGAGCAAGGGCTAGAGCCTCGCGGATGTGGCGCGTCTGGTTCGTCTCCGACCCCGGAGTTCTCACCATCAACTCCAAACCTCGGCAATCAAATCAGCCAAAATCGGGACGTGGAAAAGAGAACAAATAACAGAGACGTACCTAAATAGGATACACAGACATCTACCTTCTGACACGACCATCCGTTCTTCTTTCTCTCGAGTCGTCGTCTGTTGCGATATCTTCTATCTCTGTGTGCTGTGCAGTTGGGATTGACTGGACTACTAATCGCTGAACATAACAAAGCACAAGCAATTGATCATATTTTCACGACTCGGGGCAAGGCCAATACACCGGAACCATGCCTCTACTCGAGGACAAGCAACCTAAGATCATCATCGCCGGAGCTGGAATCGGTGGCCTCACCACTGCATTATCCCTCCACGCAGCAGGCTTCACAGACATCCATATATTCGAAGCCGCCTCAAACCTCACAACCTTGGGTGTGGGTATCAACGTCCAGCCCTCAGCAGTCTTGATCCTCAGAAACCTTGGCCTATTGCCTGCTCTCAAGTCGACAGCCATCGAGACCAAGGAATTGAACTTTTACAACCGTCACGGAGATGCCATCCTGAGCGAGCCCAGGGGTGAGAGTGCTGGGTATGCAGTACCTCAATTCAGCATCCACCGTGGCGAGTTCCAAATCCTGTTGTTGGATACTGTCAAAGAACGTCTGGGTGCCGATCGCGTGCATCTAAGCCATGCACTTGCAAGCTTCGAGCAAGATGAGAGTGCGCAAGGAGATAGCCCCACTGGAACAATCACGGCACGTTTTGTACGAAAAGGCGATTTGACCCTGCAACCAGAGATCCCGGAGATGACTGGTGATGTTCTGATTGCAGCTGATGGCATCAACAGCGTGGCTCGCAAACTCTTGTACCCTGACGAAGGCCCACCACGCTTTTCTGGCCGTATCCTCTGGCGCGGATGTCACGAACAAGAGCCTTATCTCACCGGCGCATCAATGGTGTGGGCAGGCCACGCAGACCAAAAATTCATCGCTTACCCAATTTCGGGCACCTCCATGCGCAAAGGCAAAAGTTTAGTAAATTGGATCGCAGAACTACGCATTCGCGACAAGGATGATCCCGATCTTACACCTCCCCCGGTGGACTGGACAAACACAGTCCCCAAATCAAAATTCGAGGGCCCATTCCAGGACTGGCGTTGTGGAGGTTTGAGCATGAAACAACTCATCGACGACACGGACAAAGTCTACGAGTTTCCCATGAGCGACCGCGATCCTGTGGACCGCTGGAGCTTCGGTAGGCTCACACTCCTTGGTGACGCAGCTCACGCTATGTACCCCATCGGCTCGAACGGAGCATCGCAAGCCATCATCGACGCCGAAGCCTTGACCCACTGCTTAACAAACAACCCCCGAAACATTTCCCTGGCCCTCGAGCAATACCAAGCCATCCGCCTCCCTCCCACCGCCAAGATCGTAATGGCAAACAGAGCAAATGGCCCAGATCACGTCCTTCAACTCGCTCACGAACGTGCTCCAGATGGGTTCAAGGACATCTATGATGTGATTCCCAAGGAGGAGTTGGAGGGTGTGGGCAAGCAGTATAAGTTGATTGCGGGCTTCGAAATGGATTCGGTGAACAACAAGGCAAAAGAAACGGAGGGAGTGGCCGAGAAGGCGGGGTTGAAGAGTCCGGTTAAGTGGACTGTGAGCGGAAAGAGCTGATGAGGGTAGCTGCCACATAGGGATGACTTCGATGTACAGGGTGAAGAAAAATTACATTTTGTGAAAGGCCAAACGGTCATGTGCAAAGGCACAACAACAGCGTCAAGCCGATATATCGTCACAAAAGACTCGGGATAACTTTTATAAAACATGATTAGGGCACGTGAGAAAAACTACATGAATTTTATATCATCAACCCAAAACAGCGACACCAACAAAAAAAAAGACCAACATGCTATAACCTCATCAAATCGTAATCTCGGCATCCAATCTTCCAGCACTTGGCTGTCTCATACCCCAAAGGTCAGAAACACGTCTCAGACTCCACCCAATCTGCTTGCCTTTCTTCAAAGGTTGAGGGGCGCGCTGGAACCCTTCCTCAGAAGTACTGCCATGCACATGCTTTCCACTCTTGGGTGGCAGAACATCATCCTTGACGACAAACATCCATTGCTGAGGCTTCACAAAGACACCCAGACTGGCAGTGGTGTTGTCAGGCTTGGCTTGCCAGTCCTTTACGGGTTGAATGTTCTGGAAGTCAGCGGTTTTGGAGTACATCTTTGTCACATCGGTCACGAGCTTCTTGTAGAAGTCTGCAGACTTGATCCAACCACCGTTGCGCTGGTAAGCAGCCTTCAAAAGGTCAACTTGCTGGCGAGCGGTTGCAGCGCTGACAGTGTCGATAGTACGATCTTCACCATCATCACCCGAAACGATGAGTTGCAAGATCTCCTCGTGCACGTTGAGAGCATCTCCGTACAGCTTCGCGCCGGTATACAGTTGAGACAGCAGATTCGACATCTTCACAGTGTGAGGGTGAAGACCACCGAGTACACGACGCAAATTGTACGTGATGTCTTCGGCGAGGTGAATGGCGCGGTGAGAGTGACCTTTGTCAGATGCCAAGTGGCGCGATACCACGAGACGCTCTCCGAGATTGATCAGTGTATCCTCGCTCCAGTTCTTCTGGCCCGAACGCGACTTCCACAGAGACTCGAGAATGATATCTAGCTCTTTGTAGTTCTCTTGCTCTCCCAGGAGCTCGACGAGATCGTTGAGTTCGTGGTCGTGCAGCTGGGAGAAATTGATCTCCAAAGTCTTGCATGCCTTCAAGACTTCTGCCATGATTTCTCGCGAAGCTTGTAGCATCTTGGTGTGTGTCTCAGCGGCGATGTTGTCCTTCATGGTCATGTACTTGGCTAGCTTGAATCCATAACCGATCAAACCGGCTTGCTGGTAGCCGCCTTGGGTCATGACGAAGTGGAAAGTACAGTGTGCGACCTCAACTGCTTCCTGATACTTGCCACTTCGGACCAGTGCTTCGATCTTGTGGTTTCCGGCAATGGATGCGGCTCTGGCAACTTGAATTTCGTAAGCATCACCGGATCCAATATGTACCAGTAGCGAGGTCAAGAAGATCTTGATTATCTCTGGCCTGGTCTTGAGAGCATTGCCGAATTGTTTATTGAAGACTTCGAACACACGTTGGTCGAGCATGTCGAGTTCTTCGTGGCGCGAACGGTGGGCCCAGAAAGATCTGATATGAGCACTGCGTAAGAGCAGTTGTTCGGTCTTGACTTGAGCGGTCAGACAGCGAGAGTAGTTGTTGAATAAGACAGACTCGGTCAACCAATCTGCCATTACTTCGGAGTAGTTGTGGCCAGAAGAGCCCTTGAGCGACAGCTCGAAGGTGACGAGGAAAACAAAGGCGATGCGACCGATCGACTTATCGAACTTGAAACCATGCTTTGCATCTACATGACCTGTGATGATTTGACGTCTGGCAGCCTGTACGAGCTCAAGACCATGAGTGTGGTATCCACAGGTGATGTAAATAGCACTGAGCGCATTTGCTGCCTCGAAAAGTACTTGAGATCGCTGCTCCTTGGTTATGATCTCGACAGTGTTTTCTTGAAGCATGCGAATGATAGTATGCTCGTCTTCCGATGTCTTTTTGGTTTTGTAGCGCATTGAGATCAATTCGCTGAGGATGGACAGACATTCGGAGTGGGCACTCCCGTGTATGCTCTTGAGCTGCTGAAGTCTCTCCTGGAGTACAGTGATGGCTTTTTCGGTTGTTGCTGCCGACGAGATGCCCATCCGGTGGACATGAACATAGGCTTCAGTCATACGGCTCTTCACCATCGACATAGTCTTCTCGTCAATCACAACCTTGCTGTTCTTTGTCGTGGTGATTATCTCCTCATAAGCGGCAACAGCTTCGACCTTGGTGGATTCATCTTCCATAAGTACCGAGGCGTGTTCAATCCTGGCACGAATGGCGACTGACGATGAGGTGCCAAACTTGGTTATACAGATATCTCGGTATTTCTGAGCGACCAGAGCCAAAAGCTTATGGTCCGCTCTACCATGGTTTCTGTTATGATGCTTCAAAACGTAGGCATATCTGATGTACAACAGCTCGACGTAGTTTTCATCATAGTCGTACTCTTTGGTCTGCGTTGTGAGGAGATTCCACAGGACGTCGCAGACAATCCTGAGCTCAACCCAATTGCTCTCGTCATAGTAGATTTGGCTGAGTCTCTTGTAGGCTCTGAAAGAAAGCTTGGTGTTGGATGTACCGATGATGTCAACAATCTCGCGGTAATAGTCTTCAGGGTAACCGTGACCATGCTCGAGGGTCAGATCACCAAGATAGTACAGGAGGCCAATGATCCGCTCGTGTGATTTTCCGAGATATCTACTGGGAGTTAGTATGAATGACTTGAGAGATGGTAGACCCGCGGACTAGTCACGCAAGACACGTCAAGTAGGCACTTACCTGCGGTACTCCAGCAGCAGATCTTTGTGAAGCTCTACCAGAACTCTCCATCTCTTATGCTCGGTGTAATTCTGGATGAGAACATCCAGAATGACGGTTCTTCGTTTGTCGTCGATGCTGCAGGAGCTTCGTACTGCTTGCCATAGCTGAAGGTATACCGCCAAGCTCTCTGAGTGGCGCTTGCTTCCAGTGTAGCACTTTCCGAGCTCGAGAGCGAATTCAATGGACTCATCAGCGTAATCGTTAGGTAAGCACACTCCACCTCCCCAAGAGCCTGTGAAGTGCATAAGGTCAAGCGCTCTGGTCAGAAGACTGATGGCCTCGGACCAGCTTTCTTGCTTCATGTACATATGAACAGCGGATCTCGCGACTTTGATAGATTCATGAGACAGAGTAGTGGTCGAGGAGGTGAACATTCTGCGGACGATGGTCTCCATCTCGTCCGTTGATTCGCTTCTAGAAGAAGAGGATGACTGATTCTCTGAGGTCTCCTGAATAATTGCGATCATTGTCTCTTCGCATTCGCGAGCATAGCTGCTCTCGTACTTGCCGACTGCTTTGAAAAAGTTTGAAACGCGCTCAAAGACAGATATCGACAAGTTGTGGAGCTCCAGGGATCTCATAAGCTTACCGATGGTCATCAGCTGCTGATAGAAAGCTTCAGACTCGCATCCAAAGTGCTTGTGTTCGGTCCACAGGACGATGAGTATGTTCTTTGCTTCCTCTTTGCGTTGTTGTCTTGTCAAGAAGTGGACGTACTCGACGGCAATTTGAAGCATACTGATACGCATCTCAACATCGTGCGAGTGTTGATCTGTGCATAATCCTAGTAGACGCGTCCAGAGAGTAACGTATAGCTCTTCGGCTTCGTAAAACTCTTTGCGATGCTCGCAGCCTTGCGCAAGCTTCAAGAACATCTGAAATCTGGCAAGATTCCAGACAGTGGTGCTCTCTCCGCCTACGGAGAACACATCATGGACATAAGTCCCAATTGCTTGGTCCTCGTCGGCTTTCAGAACAATCATGAGCTTGCCTGATATTTCTCTCTCGAAATCAGAGCCCTCTCCGTGCTTCTTGATGATGACAGTACGAAGCCCCTTCCAACACACTGCTGCGTGTTCTTCTTCATGGATTGAGACATACATCTCAGCTAGAGTCTTAGTGAAGCGGATGACAACATCGCTGGTCTCGCCATGAGTCTCCTTATAAGCAGTAATGATGAACTTGAGCATCTCCTCTCTGAATGTTACAAGCTCTGTACGGCTAGTAAACTTCATCGAGTCCGTGATGGTCAAGAAGGTTTCGGTCAAAGTGACTGTGATGCGATTGTGTTTCGGCAGGACGTGTTGGCAGACCCGCGATGCTCGAACGAAGTAAGGTGCAGCTGCTGTTGGGGACGAGTACATATGGTACACGTAGGCACAGGTGATGGCAGTCTGTAGTGTGGAGACATGCTTTTCCTGGAATACTTCGGAACGAATGCGCAGGGCAAGATCGTGCACAGGTAGCAGCTCGGTCGTTGGGAACTGTGCATCCCAGCATGTCCATTCCAGCAATGGCATCAGCAAATTAGTCGGGAAGGTAGCCTTGACATCGTTCGACAAGCCAAATGTTCCGGTCGGTTTGAACAGAGTGGACTGACGGAAGTGGATTATCCAGTTCCGGACAGCATACTCCAACAGATCGTGTTCTGTGAACAAACGCTGAACGTCGCCTTGCGGTAGAGGCTCGAGCGAGGCATCATAAGGCTTTGTCAGACAGGCCTTGCTGTAGGTGAGTAACCTCAAGGTCAGATCCGTATGGGCTTCTTTGTGGGGGAGCAGATGTTCTCCTTTTATCTGCAATGCAATAAAATGCTCTCTGATAGCGGGATGCATGAACTTAACAAGACCTGCATTATCAGGACGTAGAAGTCCAAATGTCTTCTCGAACTTGCTTTTGAGATCGATCTCGCGACGTGTGTTGACCTTCTTCTGCAGATCGACTTGAAGAACATCATAGAGCTCGTGTACAGATAGAGGTCGTTCAGTGACCATCATGTATGAGATCATAAGCTTCACGTCACTGTCCGCGAAGTCAACAAGTCCAGCACGTTTTTTGATCATCTCGTCGAGAGTTCCTTCGAGCTGCTTGAAGTTCGCGTCCAGGTCCTCCGGTAACTTTGGAGATCTGAGCAGATCCATGGCCAATAGCAACCAAAGGAAAGAGCCGTTGGCTTTCTTGGTCACGTCCTCCAGAAGTCTTTGTCGGTCTGCATCATTCTTCTTTCGATAAGCTGCACAGCTCTGTAGCCGGTGCTTGGCTATGTGTTGAATGTCATCATGAACATGATCGGGACTGATTTCAAAAGTCTGCCAAGTCTCAGGAAGCGTCTTAGTTCTCGAAAGAATAATAGACTTGAGGGAGTGGTGGGCAGTCGAGAGCTTCGATATACGCTCACAGACCTGCTTCTTGTTGTCACGAAGCTGATCCAGACCGTCGATGACGATCATGGTAGGCTCAGATGAGTCAGAGAAGGCTACATCGATAGCATTCCACAAGTGATGCTCCATGTCAGCAGAGCTACTGCTGTTGTAGGCTTGGACGATGGCCTTGAACATGTGAACATTGCCAAGACGAATATCCATCAATTGAAGCACCAGACTCTTTGCCAGAGCCAGCGATGTTGTCTCGCTGGGAACGTCGGAATCAAAAGAGAAAATCACGGTGCTATGCGTCTTTTGGCCTAGACGGCGTTGTAATCTCTCCTCAATCCAGCTAGAAAGTACTGACTTTCCACATCCAGGTGGACCAGTGATAGCGAGTATCTGTTTGTCACCACGAGTGAAGTTAAGCAGATCCTGCTGGAACCATTCACATGTATATTCGTCGTACTGGGATGCATAGGTCAAGGATTCAGCGGATATGCTTCGGAGAAGGAAGGCTCTCTGGTCGAGCCACTTGCGAACTTCGTGGACATCTCTAGATGCATCGCCGCCAAGAGCATGGCTCCATATGTGGTTCATGATNGCTAGACGTGATCAGCGACGTCTACGATAGAAAGTTCGAGTCGGGTCGTACCGGTTCTTCCGACTGTAGAAGTTGTTGAGGTGCTCCCTGAAAAGGAACGTGAAATCTAGAGTGACAGCACCGTGCGTGAGACCGCGAACAGATCCTTGGTAGTGAGATGCCACATCGAATACAAGGAGGTGAATATCACGAAAAGCTCTACTGACATCCTCTCGGACATCACTGCTCAAGCTAAGCTGGGTTTGATGCGACGACAAGAATGACAGTGACAGGCCAAGCTTGTAGAAGATCGAGAAGGTTGTGTTGAGAGCGCCAGCGTTAGTTTCTCCGAGCTCAACGATACTGCGCAGTAGTGTATAGATTTGTTTGGCTGCCCACTGGCTTTCGGGGACGAACGCTTCGATCTTCTTAGCATAGTTGTCGATTTGCAGGGCGTAAAACTCGGCCCAGCGCAATACTCGATCCCAAAGACTGCCACGATGAGGCATGGAGCTCAGGCGTTCTCGTGCAATGTAGTCTGAGAACTTTTCGATGTTCATGTTGCCCATCAGTGAAGCATCAATGGTATCGAAATCTCTAAGGATTCTTGCTTCCATATGCATAGCATGGCTGTCCTGGCGAATCGGTGAGCCATTGTTGGAGAAAGACTGGTAAGCTATGGAGCTGGAGTCGAGGCGGCGATTGAGGATCCCACTGCTAGCAGGACTTTGGGGAGAGGGTTCATCCGCTGCGGAATCTTTACGCTTTTTTGAAACCACGAGGCTGTCTAGAGCTGATGTTTGGTGTTGGTACTCCATGGTTTCTTGATTATTAGGCTGTATTTCTGTAGGTATGGTAGAGGAAAAACTGGGGACGCGGTCTGATACGAGACCTTAATTAGTCTGAGGTTCTCTGCTATGAGGATGGTGGGTAAGAATCCAATCACATATACGTACTCAAGGGGTTTGTTCGTAAACCAAGCATGCTCCAGAGCGAATATAATGGAGAGAAGCAGCTACAGCAGCAGCAAAGGGAACTCTGTTCAATTAAACAACGACTCTTTCCTTGTCGCGGCATACGACATCATCGAATTGACGAGGAAAAAGAGCGGGGGTGAATTAGCAGTTGATATATGCTTGATGACTCCATCAAGCCGAGTGAAGATCCGCCGTATGCTTCTTACGGTGATAGCTGTGCAACGGTTAGCTGACGGCTGAAATTGTCACTCATAGAGGTTCGCCCTAAAGGAGAACAACAACACGCAGGGGCATACTACGCGCGTAACCAACTTCAGCTAGGTAATTTGCGCTCTCACCAATTGACAGTCTTGTCTCGAGAAGGTGAATGGAGGTTTGCTTGTCTGAAAACGCTCTTGCTGATCACGAACGACTTGAATCAAGCACCATTTTCCATACCCATGTCTTGGTGTTGAACCACCACACTACTTTGACTTTAGCACAAAGACGTTGGCTCTTCGGATTTGCTTTGTTTGGTACCCACCACGAGGTGCGGGCCGCCATGAGGAGACTCGCGGCGTTGAACCGTAGACCTTCTCAATGCCTCTGGTTGACTGACGCAACCAGAACTTGTTTCATACGAGAAAGCTGATATCAGAAGCTAATCCGGTCAGCCGTTTGTGGCTTGAGCTGATGGAAGCCCCTCAAGTTTGCCTCTCGAATGTCAAGCGATTTTCCAATCACTGAGGGTGGGACATCAAGGTGGCAGGTTGCAGAAGTTCAGGGACCGTTTGATCGTGGTTGCCGACTGGTACGAACGGGGCGGGCCAGGCGGGGTACCAAATGGTCCGAGAGCTTGCGGTTCTGACGTCTGCCGCTGATCGCAATGGTTTTCCACGTCCCCGAATGAGGTAGTGCACACAGCTTCCATAACAGTCCAATTGACGAGCATCTTCACGCACACTCAGCATTCGACTTTGAATCGCTAGCTCGGCTATCAGAGCAATGGTACGGGGTTCATGTTGCTGCAGAACGCGCAAGACCGAGATCTACGTACAGAGGCGGGGCTCGGGCTGGCTGATGGAGGGAAGGCTGAAGCTTGACCTTGCACTTCAGCTCGCCAAAAGTACAGAAAAGACCTATCCGCATACCTGCCACACGGCTGACTTACGGCGTTGCCATATTGAAACATCTCTTGCTCATTTTCAATTCTCGGATTACATCCTTCGCTGTGTCTGAAGCTGGAATGGGACATTTGCTGAAAACACTCGTCGCGAGGCAATGGTCGTATCGCCTCAAGTGCATGCATGCATGAGCTAGTCTTGTCCAAAAGGAGCTCAAGATCTGGAGGGTGATGTCTCCACCTGCTCAAAAGGGGCCATGCGTCGAGCATGCTGCAGCAACGTTGGACCAAGACAACATCCTTGTTGTCCTGATCGATAACTGTCTCGCTAGAGACATAATGCAAGGTTCCACAGCAATATAATGTTGGCGGTTGCTTGCGACCGGAATGCTGCTCGGCGATGCCGCCTCGAGATGAGATTTCGCGCTGATCTCGAGTTGTCGATAGGAGCATAGCTGGCGCAAAGAATCCTTGTAAGTGAAAGTCTTCGCTTTATTAACCCTTGGTTTTCAAGATGTCCTTTGATTTGACTGGCATGTCGTTGGAGGTTTGATGTTGCAGAACAAGTGACTTCGGACTGTATCTGAGCATTATCATTCCAAATTGGTGGAAACAACAGACCCAGTAGCCAATCCATTGGATCGTCGCAAAGATCTGCCACCGTCAAGATCTACGGACGTAGGAGCCAATGTGCATTTCCACGCCGACGCTCTGTTGCAACCCCTTCCATGAGCTTCTTCTGTATCGAGAGATCGATTCGGCGGAGATGGTATATCGGAATCAGGAGAGCCTTCCCAGTCGGTTCGGATATCAGCCCCTCTTTGATCATGCCAAAGTGTCCGAGCATACGTAACGGCAAATCCAGATCCGCAAGAGACTCGGTTTGAGAAGGAGTTCTGGAAGTGAGATCTAACGATCCGCAGGCATCAATCCATCGAGTCATGTCAAGTTCCAACCATGTGCCTCAGGGAGAACATGGGTTTTTGATCTCTTCTTCGCAATCCTACGACTTTTTGTATGTCGTGACGTTAGCTGGCAAGCATTAGAGATGAACCATTGAAATCGTGAATCTTTGGTGTCCCAACGTCATCTATAAAACTGTTAGCAGGACAACCCTGGCCGGATCAGATACCCATCTACATATCTCCAAGATACAATTAGACATTCGACTCTCTATGTATACATAGAACCAACCTTTCTTATGACTGTGTGCACGTGTTTTTCGCATAGAATACAGCAACGCATGAGATGCAGATACGTGTGCAGGACGAAGTCTGAACAGTCCCCCAAGCCGAGGACTCACTGCATTCTAACAACTATAGAGATATAGAGAGAAGATGATTTAAGTCTAGGGGTCTAGAACTAATTAATCTAGACAAGCTAACTTATACATCTACATACGAAACTTGTATCTTGACAATAAAAATGGAGGCGGACATGTATGAAGGTAATAGCATATTGACCGTTCCCAACAGCTCAGCATCCGTACTAGACATATGCATAAAAGTTATGTGACTGTGCGCAAGCCCGCTTCCGAGTCAGGGTTGCATTATCATCGCTCTTACTATATTGCTTTTATAGCATCATTCAGCCTTCTTTCTCCACCTCTTATAAGCGCTCGCAAATCCTCCGCTTCTCTCTTCCTCTCCACCAAACCCACCCAAGCTCTCCTGCGTATACCCATCTTCTCCGCCAACATAGACTAACGGCACCATACTGTTTCTTCCATGCGCACACATGAACGGAAAGGCGCATCCGGCAAGCTCTTCCACCAATCGCTGACATTGCTCAAGAGTCATTTTATCATTGAACATGATGGCACTTCTGCAAGCACGAGAGTTTAAAAGTTGGAGTAACCCTTTGGGACAAGAGCCAAGACGTCTGAGCCATGCATGATTCGTATCTGTATCTGCCAAGTCCAGATGAGTGATGTTTTTGCTGCTGCTCTCAGCAAGCGTGTATATCTCGCCGCGAAGAAGCTCGATGAGTATCCTTGGATCGGCTTTGCAGCGTTCAGATATTCCTGGTGGTAATGTCAAGATGTTCAGGCGAGGCGGCTCTGGTGTATGCAAAATGATATCGTAGAGGATGCCCCAGTGTGCAAAATTTCCAGCGTGAGCTCTGAACAATGCTTCTTCTTCCAATGGAATTTGAAAATGTAGCGGCTTGTTTACCGGATTCGTGATTATACTGGATATACAGCCAAGTTTGGATTTGATGACTGAAGTCCCTTGAGCCGGTATGCAGAGTTCTCTGAGTAGCACTTCGAGGATACAGCGTTCCGATGCCGCATGTTGGTCCATCAGCACCAGCAACTGCCTAGAACGATCGAGCTCTTGCGACTTCGACCCTGCCAAATCTGGAAGTTTCATTAATATGAACTTGTCGTCGACTTGCGAAATGACATGCGCATACGGCAAGGCGGATTTTGACAGTCGACTTGTATCAGTCGTTCCAGCACGCGAGAACGAGTCAGCTATGGCACGTTGTCCATGAAGATCATGCGTGTGAAGTGCTTGTTGCTCTGGCCCACAACAACTAGCCGTTGGTATTGCTTGTTCTGGCTGAGATTCGAAAATCGGGTTCTTCCATGTTTGAAGGAATCGTTGAAGCCAAGATGAACTGGACTCAGCAGTCGAGATCGCCTCAACTGTGGGTGGCGTAAAGGTCTTCCTTCGCTCTAGGACAAGAGGCTTGCCGAACGATGATAAGCGGGAGTCCACAGCAGCAGTAGATCTGACTGGGTATGCAGTATTGGAGACCGGCCGATGTACCTTTTCTGGCATCATGATGCCTGTACGTGCGTTGATATGGTGCCTCTGATTTGTCTTCAGATCGATCCAGTCAATGTATGTCTCTCCACATTGGATGTGGTCCAATTCTTGAGGCGCTGTCACCTCGCGCGAGCTGTCATGTGCAAGTCCAAATTGATTCGCATCAATAGCTTCCACCTCGATCGTGGCAGGGGGTTCTGGCATATAGCTTGTCTCCTGCACTGTTGACTCACTTGCGGTGGATTGTCTTGCTTGTGGTATTTTGCAATTCCAGATCCTGTCATACATCTGTGGTTGGGCGCTCTTGATACGGCTCCAGTCTGTAAAAGGCATTGTTGGTGCCGCCATGTCTGTCGATGGTAATGGCCGCACTCTCTTAGAGCTTCGGCTGTTTGTGCTCGTGTTGTCGGCTTGGTTTGAGGGGCGAGTCCTGCTGCCGGGGGCGAATTGCAAGGGAGCAGACGAAGACCGGCTGTTGGTATCTGGCGCTAGAACATCACAGGCTGTCTGGCTTGACCTTTCAACTTCATCCACGACTTGCTTTCGCTTTTGTCCTATCCTCTTTGGTCGGAAGTTGTTCGCTTCCAACCAATGCGTGGTCAAGCTCTCGAGGACGTTGATGATGTTCTTGAGATGTATGTCACTGAGGTTGCTAACGTGCTGTTTGCTCTCGTCGATCTTCAAATCGATACGGAAATAGAATCTGGGCCAGCGATCTACTCCCTTCCTGCCGCCTAAAAGCTGTCTGTTCGTCGGGCCATCCTTTTTGTATCGTCGATCGTGCTGTCGACGTTCCATCTCTGCCTCGTCAAATCCAGACTCGTCGTATACGTGACCAAAATTGGACTGAGCAAANAGTCGGCTGACCGCTTCATAGAGCCCATTGTGTCTATTCTCGTCCAGACAAGGAATGGAACCGATAGACATGAATTGGGCGATCTTACTAGGCGCCGGTTCCATTGATATGAGTCCTTTGATTGTGACCGAAGAAGTCGATGCAGATACTGGTATCCAGCTACTTTTGGAGTCGGTCGAAATGATACCGGATTGAGATAGGATACTCAAGACAGAACTTTGATCGAAGTCTGGCATCTTCTTATTCAAGAGGTTCAAATTCCTCTCGCTCAGAGCATTCGGCGTGTAATGTGATCCTGTGTTGATGACGATGGTCTTTTCTGGATTGTTCAAATCTGTGACTTTGACGGCGACGCGACGGTTCCATGGTAGAAGCAAGCCCACCAGTCCAATCTTCAGAGCTTGCCATTGTCTTTCAGTTTCAAGACCTCCTTCATCAGCAATGGCTCGTTGCTTTACCCTTACAGGCATGTTGCCGAACAAATCTCTGACTGACACGCGTGTACCATGACCAGTGGTAGTGCGAATCTCATTCTGAGGTGGTGTAGGAGTCATTCTGGAGATCGCTTTCGATCGATGGAGGCTCAGAGTATTATGGGAGTAGTGCTGAGCATGCCGAGATGTGATGGTAAGAAGCGAGAGTGCTCCTATGGATGCCAGAAACGTTCCTTGACCACCATGAATTCCACGTTGTGTGTTATCCTTCTGCTTGGATGTGTGGTACACGCGACCCAGACCTCCAGTTTCACGAAACTCCGAGGGCAAGATGCCGATACCATTGTCTTCAACTGTACAACCGCCTCGACGGAAGTCAACGAAAACGTCAACCTTTGTTGCCTGTGCATCCAGGGAGTTTTCGAACAAGCCAAGAACTACTTGATTGAGGTTGGTGATTGTAGTGGAAGATTTGATCTGTGCGACGACGTCCTCGGGAAGTGGCAGAATAGCAGACGATGCCTTGTGTATCTCCTGTCCAGAGGTATAGTCCATATTGTTATTCATGTTATTTGGTGCCAAGCAAGCGTGTGGCTCAAGGTGGGCGCCACTTGAGTTTCGAGCAGTCGCGGTTATCCAGAGATGTGAACATTGATATGCCAGCCGATACAGCTGCTATTTTGCGACAGCAAGATGAATCTTTGTACAATGCAGAGTGGAAAGACGGAGAGGTCGCAAGAAGGTGCAAAAATGGCAGCAACCACGACGTCACCAAATGCTTGGCGTTTGACCTCCACTCTTTGCTCCACCAGCGACGACCTCTCTTCCTTCCAAACCAGCAAAACTACGAAGTGAAGCAGCGATAAGTGTCGGCAATTTACATTGTCTCTTAGTGCTCGGCTGCAACTGTCGGAACTGCTGTCATGAAGTTCTGAGCATGAACTGCTGGAAGACGCATTCGTGCTCTAGACGCTGCGTCTGCTGCTTCTCAACTTCGAAAAAGATTGGACAGACAAGCAAAACGAGAAGAGAAGATAATAGCTTCCCAACGTGTGTAATAAACCAGTCGCCCGAAAGCATCCTCGTCGTGAAGAGATCAAGGCCTCATGCCTCAATTCCCCACGTGACTTGGCCCTCGCAATCATTCTTGCTGGTTCTTGAGGACACCCTCCTTTCATCAACACCAGTCATCCTTTGCCCTCTACATGGCCATCCTCAAAGTTTCCAGGACCTGGTGTTTCTTCTTGAGGGGTATTGGATTGGTTCTGCAACAAGAATCACTAAGCGAATTCTCGGCAAGCATGTCGAATTTATCCTCTGTGACGCCCACATCACCCAGACTTCCTGGCAGACCAAGCTCTTTGACAATGGCTTTCAGGCAATCGCCCAGATCTGCCGTCTCTTCTGCCAAGCCATGAATTTGAAGGACTTTTCGCACGACATCGTCATCCCAGAATACTTTGCAGACTTTAGCTTGTTGGGAGGGGTTGGCGTGGGCATTGTATTTGCATACAGAGGGTAGAAGGATACAGCTGGTTTCGCCGTGACCGACGCCCAGAGGACCCAGTTGATGGCCGATTCCATGGCTACCCCCCAGCGGCACGTTCTCGACGGAAATGGCTCCGATGGCGTCAATGACGCCTAATTTGCAAGCTAGCCTGGCGTCCAGGTCTCTAGAGTTGGCTTTACAGCGCAATAAGCCAGGGATCAATGCTTGCAAGCCTCTTGTGGCGCGTTCGTCGGCGCTGGCGTTTGACTCTAGAGAGCACATGGCTTCGATACAGTGGTCGACTGAGCGGATGCCGGTGGATAGCCAAATAGAGTCTGGAGTCGTGGTCGTAAGCTCTGGGTCTAGGATCACGAGAAGAGGTCCTCGGCAGGGTCCACGGAAGAGTTGTTTGCGGCTGTTGCGGTCGTCGGTCGCACCGCCTGGGCGCGTGTACTCGCCACCAGACAGGGAGGTGGGAATGCTAATTATGGGGATGGTTGGAGCGTTGATCTCTAGACGCTCTTCATTGGTGTCGCTGTTGACGTGCAATCTGTCGAGGTGTTCAGGTGTTGAGGCGTTGTTGGCGAGTGCCTGGTGGGTGTTGTTAGCTATGTCGCTGGTGTTCCTTGTGCCGGGATAGCATTACAAGNNAGCTATGATATTGGCTGCGTCTGTTAATGATCCAGCACCACAAGTGACAATCAGGTCTGCTTTGGCACCGCGAGCCTCGTGGATGATTTCGAGGACTTCGGACCACAGAGTATGAGGTGTCATGCCTCGACGCACACCGACAACATGCTTCCGTCCGAGAGCAACCTCCAGCTTCTTGATGTTGTCGGTTTCATGTGACAAAGACCTTGAGGCTATGATGTACACACGTTTGGCATCAAAGGTCTCCTTGACGTGTTTGGCACATGACTCGTGGAAGGGAATGCCGTAGCTGATATGCGGGGGAGAGTCTGGGAAGGCATAACGGTAAACTCCTTGACTGGGCACCATGATGAGGATTATGTTACTCTTCTTCTGAGCCTGTAAGGAACGATTGATGTAGACTGCGAGCGCCGAGGTACATGTGTGTGAGCGGGGCCTGATGGCTACTTGATGCAATCGCTATATAAACGCCGATAAGTCCGTGTGCGGGACGAGCCTGTCATTTTAGATTGATGTTTCGAACAAGAACTTCTGTTTTCTGTCAGCATTATTGCTGTCTCGACTCATCAAGCTCGAGTCAACACGAGAAGCCAAGTCGGTAATGATTATCGATAAGCAGTCCGAGAAACTGTGGTGGCCCGGAGTCCGTGGCTGGAAAGATGAATAGCAGAGAGGAAGATTACTAAAGAGTCGGATATGGTCATGTCTATGAAGAGGCGGTTTTCCTGTACGAGACCTTTTCCACGGCCACGTTCTCGACACCATTCTGGTCCTTTCTCATCTGGTAAACGTAGAGGACGAGGACGTCTCCTTGGACCTGCTCGGGATGATCAGAAAGGTCGACTAGGTTAGCCCACGAAGCGTGGCGACTCACATCCATAAGCACAAAGCTGGGCGTTGAGACTGCTTCTCCCTCAGAGTCGAGCTCGGCGTCTGGCGACCAACTGACGGCACCGGTTGCACTACCTGGGTTGACGAAGAACTTGCCCTCCATCTCGTAGGCTTCGAATTTGCAGGTACCGCCCCAGCACAAGACGTCGACGTCCATTTGTCTTGCGACTATCAACAAGCTGTCCGGATCGCCGGGTGGGACAATGGTGTGGCCGTGTGTGAAGCCAATGCGCAGACCGCCATGTGTGACAACTTTTGAGAGAGCGGTAGGTACAGGGACCTGATCGGTGGGAGCAGCATATGCAGCGTTGGGATTCGGGGGGNNAGCAGGAGTTGATAGCGAAATGTCAAAGTCGCCCTTGACGAGCTGGAGATCGGGCGCGAGGTTTCGGAGGAAGGTGTAGACGCTTGGTGATGTGAGGTTGCCTAGGCAGAGGATCTGGCCAATCTTGCCCGGTGTGAGGAGTTTCTTGAACTGTAGAGAGTCGCATTAGGTTCCAAATCGAGAGTCAATCGGTGATGCAGAGTGTCGTCGTACCTTTGCGGGAATGTCNCTGTCATTGAGTGTCAGTCGGGGAGTGTGGAGTGAGAGGGGGAGACGACTTACATTTGCGCGGTCCGGGATGAAGAGGTCGCCCAAGCATAACACGAGTCTAGAGGTCATGGTGTATCACGCGCTTCTCCTTGCGCCTGTGTCGTCGTCCGATATGAGTTTGTGGTTGGTTGGTGTTTGTCGCATCGCGACACGCAGCAACGACATCAGCGGGGCCTAGACGGCGGAGGTGAGCTCGGGCCGCAGAACTCTCGGACCTCGCGACTTCCTCCTTTTCTCTTGCTCTTCATCTTGCGCAACTACATCCATACCATCAGAGAACATCATCAAACTAAGTATCCGTGCAAGAACCTCTCACTGGTCGATTCAACATGCGTTTTGTGATGGACCCTGGAAATCACCATTTTCAAGCGATAACTCTCTCATACCATGACTCTACCATGCCACGCGGCTGCACAGCCCATTTGATTTGACTCACTGTGGTTCTATATAATGGCAAGTACTGCAATAGTCTCTTTCTCCAGAGCTCGAACATTTTCCGTCACAATAGCCCGGTTTCCCAAGACGCACCTGTTCGTCCATCGAAACTCCTAATCTACAAACATGTCAGCATACAACAAGAACATCATGGAGAGATACGCTGCTTTCACCAAGAGAGCCGCACAGCTGAAGCGTCTTCGTGCAGCCGACGTTGTGGCCATGAAAGCTCGCTACTACGCCAGCCGCAAAGGACCGGCCTTGATGAGAGTCTACACACACCACTCTGACAATGCTGAATCAGCAGACCCTCGACAAGACAAGCCAAATCTCAAGCATTTCGATCCGTTAGATCTTCACGACGACAAGCGCAGGAAGACACGTCGTGGAAGTTTCGTCAGAGTGTCCAAGGACGTAGCCGATGTGGATAAGGAAACGGACAAGATCGCCAATGCCTTTGCTAAACTGTCTGTCAAGTCCGAGAGCAGAGGCTACATTACGCCCAAGGCTATTGTAGCAGCGTTCAGGCGCAAGCGGCAAGCCTTGGGCCAGCGGCCACGAATTTCAAGAATTCCACGCTTCCAGTCGGGAGAATTGATACTTCCGAGCCTTTGTGCGCGTCTGGCCGCTCTTGTCGTGTAGCGTCTTTGACATAGGCATAGCAATGGAGTTGTTTGTATATTGAAGTTGTGATGATTACCTATGAAGAGATGTCGAGTGGAAGTCGGCGGTCTCGGAGACCCCAGGCCAAGAAATGTGGAGAAAGAAGGACAGCGGGCAGCGGCCGAAATCGCCCAAATATTTCGCTGGTGAACAGTCATTTTGCCCTTGTCTTCTCTGGTTATTCTTCTCATTGTACACACTAGACACGATGGGAGCTCAATTATTGCGAACGGGCAGACTGCCCGCAGTCAGGGTATGCGTTCATCTTGACGATTGATGTTGACACAAGCCATGACTAACTCGTCGGCAGTCACTTGCCTCTTCTGTTGCACGACCCTCAATAGCGCGCCGTCATCTCGCAACACAAGCCGATGCCTCTACCACGCCCTCGGCATCAGACCTGGCCAGCCGCACCCCGCCATACCCCAAGCTGCTGCAACGACTACACCAGGTCCGCCGTATCCTGCCCGACCGTCCCCTCACACTCGCCGAGAAGATCCTCTATTCACATCTCGAGTCACCCGAAGAGTCCCTCCTGACCGGAACAAACAATGGCGCCGACATTCGTGGAAAGGCCAACCTCAAGCTCAAGCCTGACAGAGTCGCCATGCAAGATGCTTCTGCACAGATGGCCCTTCTGCAGTTCATGTCGTGTGGCCTGCCCACCACTGCTGTCCCGGCCAGTATTCATTGCGACCACATGATTGTCGGAGAAAGAGGTGCAGACGTCGACTTGCCCCAGTCAATCAAGGGCAACAAGGAGGTCTTTGATTTCTTGGAGAGTGCGGCAAAGAAGTATGGCATCGAGTTCTGGCCTCCGGGTGCTGGCATCATCCACCAGAACGTGCTCGAGAACTACTCGGCCCCTGGTCTGATGATGCTCGGAACAGACTCGCACACTCCCAACGCTGGTGGTCTTGGTGCTATTGCCATTGGTGTTGGTGGTGCCGATGCTGTTGATGCCTTGGTCGACGCTCCCTGGGAACTCAAGGCTCCCAAGGTGCTCGGTGTCAGACTCACAGGTCAGCTCAGTGGTTGGGCCAGTCCCAAGGACATTATCCTCAACCTTGCCGGCCAGCTCACAGTCCGTGGTGGTACTGGCTACATTGTCGAGTACTTTGGTCCCGGTGTCGAGACTCTTGCCACGACCGGCATGAGCACAGTCTGCAACAGTATGGATTCCTAAATTGGGCATGCCAAAGTATGATGCTAACAGCTTCACANNGTGGGTGCTGAGATCGGCGCAACCACGTCCATCTTCCNNCCCTTCACAAAGGCTCACGTCCCTTACCTTCACGCAACTCACCGTGGTCCCATCGCCCTGGCTGCCGAGACCATCGCCAACTCTCCTGGACCCCACAACCTCCTTCGCGCTGATGATGGCGCTCACTACGACAAGGTCATCGAGATTGACCTCAGCACTCTCGAGCCCCACGTCAACGGCCCCATGACCCCTGACCTCTCCACTCCCCTGTCCATGTTCCGCGAAACCGTCAAGGCCAACAACTGGCCCGAGACTCTTGGCGCTGGTCTGATCGGCTCATGCACAAACTCTTCCTACCAAGACATGACCCGTGCCGAGTCGCTAGTCAAGCAGGCCACAGCTGCTGGGCTTCAGCCCAAGGCCGACTTCTTCATTACCCCGGGTAGTGAGCAGGTCCGCGCAACTCTCGAGCGTGACGAGACCTTGAGCACTTTCAACGATGCCGGTGGTGTTATCCTTGCCAACGCTTGCGGTCCTTGCATTGGTCAGTGGACCCGTACCGACGGTGTTGAGAAGGGAACCGAGAACGCCATCTTCACTTCTTACAACCGCAACTTCCGTGGTCGCAACGATGGAAATGTCAAGACCATGAACTTCCTCGCCAGTCCCGAACTTGTTACTGCCATGGCCTACAGCGGCAGCACTACCTTCAACCCCATGACCGACTCTATCCCTCTTCCCAACGGTGGCGAATTCCGCTTCAACCCGCCCCAAGGCCGCGACTTGCCTTCTACTGGCTTCGCTCAAGGCAACCCCGAGTTCCTCCCCACTCCTGGTCAGGCCGATGCCAGCGTCGAGGTCAAGGTTGACCCCAACTCGACTCGCCTTGCTCTCCTCGAGCCTTTCGCCCCCTTCCCTCAAACTGAGCTCGACGGTCTCCGCGTCCTCGTCAAGGTCAAGGGCCAGTGCACAACCGACACCATCTCGGCCGCCGGCCCCTGGCTCAAGTACAAGGGTCACTTGCCCAACATTGCCGAAAACACCCTCATCGGCGCCATCAACGCCGAGACCGGCGAGACCAACATCGTCTACGATGTCAACGATACAGAGTCCCGCAGCAACGGCATGGGAATCCCCGCTCTGGCCAAGAAGTGGAAGGAGCAAGGTAAGGAATGGCTCGTCGTTGCCGAGCACAACTACGGCGAGGGCTCTGCTCGCGAACACGCTGCCCTGCAACCTCGCTACCTCGGTGGCCGCATCATTCTCTCCAAGTCGTTTGCTCGTATCCACGAGACCAACCTCAAGAAGCAGGGTGTGGTGCCATTGACTTTCGTCGACGAAGCTGATTACGACAAGATGGCTGCTTGTGATGAAGTTCGCACAGAAGGTCTTCTTGACGTCCTTAACTCTGGCGGCCAAGGCAATGTTACCCTTGTCGTCAAGACTAAGGCTGGTGAGGAGATCAGAGTCGCTACCAAGCACACTCTTTCCAAGGACCAGTGTGCGTTTGTGCTTGCCGGCTCGGCCTTGAACTTGCTCGCTGCTAAGGCTGGCAAGGGACCTTCTGCATAATCTGAGTTGACAATCTTGCGAGTCCTTTTCCTAGCCTACCACAAAAGCACAGATTGGAGTTGTTGGCATCCTACTCGGCTTCTTGTCTTTCCGCAGCTGGGAGTCACTTTTTCCTATTACGGTTTCTTCTTTATACTTGTTCAAATATCCCACGGAATTTCTGAAACGTTTTTACCTATGAACCTGGTCACCGTTCTTGATTTCTTCTCATATATGCATCCTTTCCTGCAGCAGACCAACAACAACGACGTCTAGAACTCTATAAGCCTCACTCATTCCTTTGAGACGGATGCACCTTGGACTAGCGTCTCCCTCGACTCCTTCATCAGCTGAGAGCCATTTATGCATCGGGCATCCAGCTCTATCTAAGTCGTGTGTACGTACTTCGCAAACGGTGATCATACAACGGCTTGTTATGGCTCGTAGCCAATCTGAAATAAGGCTTTTGAGAAAGGCTTGATCAGCTGCTGACATTCTGGATGGCTTATAGCGACTGATGCGGGGTGACGTTGATGGGCGGGTCACAGTTGTGGCTTGCATACTGGCACCCATCTCAAACCTGATAACGTCTTCCATTCCTTGCAAGCCTTCAATACGTAGATGCATTTATGGATACGCTGTCCAATGAACTCGAGACCTCATTGTCGGCCCTGGTAGATCATGGCTGAGTGTACATAATCTAGGTCAAGGAGGTTACGCAGACATAGCGCAGTCCCATAAGCCAGAAGGTACGTGTGACGTGTCAATGGCAGCCCGTATGGCACCTTCTTCCTGCTAGTCTTGCCTCAACATTTCAATTTAACTCAGACAGTTCAGCACATTGATTTTATCATCATAGCTCCTCACATCGACCTCTTCTGCACAGCTCGAGTTTGCTAATTTTCTATCGCGATCATGAGCAGGTTCAGGGCCCTGGAAAAGTGTGACTTGTATACAGTCGGTTGGATTGCCGCCCTTCACAAAGAGCTGGCAGCAGCACAGGTCATGTTAGACGAGATACATGACAGACCAGAGGACTTCGAGCAGCCATCTTCGGACAAGAACTCATACTGTTTTGGTCGAATTGGAAGACACAACATCGTCATTGCTTCGTTAGCAGCTGGCGTCTACGGTACTACATCTGCGGCAACGACAGCAGTCTGTATGTTGTCTTCGTTCCCAAGCATCAAGATCGGCCTGATGGTTGGTATTGGAGCAGCTATCGCGAGGCCGAAACAAAAGCACGACATCCGACTGGGCGACGTTGTGGTCAGCATGCCACATGGAACGACTGGTGGTGTGATTCAATATGATCTGGGAAAGAGCCGTGCCAGGGCAGACCAAGGGAACACTATACACACCTTCGAGCGCGTCGGCTCTCTCGACTCACCTCCCCAGATTCTTCTCAAAGCAATAACTTCATTACGAGCAAGAGTCAGAATAGATGGCTCAAAGGTGTCGAAATTCCTCGAAGGCATGTTAGAGCGGTATCCTAATTTGGCGGAGAGCGAGCCTGACGAACCGGGATTTGTCTACCAAGGAGAAGAAAATGATAGACTTTTCGAAGCATCGTACCTACATACAAGCGACACTGGGTGCGATGACTGTGACCCTGCCAGGATCATCACTCGCACTGCACGCCGAAATCCTACTACTCCTCGTTTTCATTATGGTGTGATTGCATCAGGGAACAGACTTGTCAAAGATGCCGTCGAAAGAGACAAAATACTAAAAGAGAGTGGAGAAGATTGCATCTGTCTGGAGATGGAAGCCGCCGGTCTCATGAATTCATTTCCGTGTTTGGTCATAAAAGGCATTTGCGATTACGCCGACTCTCACAAGAACGATGACTGGCAAGAGTACGCCGCAGCTACAGCAGCCGCCTACACCAAAGAACTGCTGGAATTTGTGGACGATGGAGAGCTGGCCAAGACATCGAGGGCCTCGGAAATCCTACGACAAAGTTAGTCGACTGCTCGTACGCTCCAAATTTAACTGCAGTTTGAGNATGTTGACGGGTCTACAGTATCTAGAGACATCAAAGACGCCGGAGATAGAGTTGAAAGGCTGCGACTAGGCCACCATCAAGAAAGGATTATGGACTGGTTACTAGCTCCAGACCCTTTCGTAAACTACACAAATGCGCTAGGGAAGCGCCACAAGGGGACTGGATTATGGTTCGTGAACGGTCAAGCTTTTAATCACTGGAAAAAGCAACCCAGGTCTTTCCTCTGGCTATACGGTATACCTGGATGTGGAAAAACAGTCCTTAGTTCCACCATATTAGAGCACTTGGAAGGTGACAGCACAACAGCCCAAGCCCTGCTCTATTTCTATTTTGATTTCAACGACACAGAAAAACAAACTCTCGACAGGATGTTACGCTGTCTGGTGAAGCAGCTGTATCAGCAGCGACCAGAAACTCAAGAGTGCCTTGATCGTTTGTGGAGCTCTCAACAACTGTCAAAGCAGTCGCTGAGTGGTGTTCTAGACGAGATGCTCCGAAGGGTCGACAATGTCAGCATAATTCTGGATGCCCTTGACGAGTCACGCACGAGGAGTGAGATACTTGTTTGGTTGAAAAGTGTTCTCGGAAATCTAACATCTGATTGTCGGTTACTCGTCACTGCTAGAAGAGAGGAGGAAATCGAGTCAGCTCTGCGATCTTGGACAAGGCCTACTGACAGGATAAGCATTCAAGGAAGCGATGTTGATGGAGACATAAGAGCCTATATCAGCCATGCAGTACACAACAGCAAGGAGCTTAACAGATGGCTAAGCAGGTCAGATGTACAAGATGAGATAAAATCAGAGCTGATGAAGAAAGCGGACGGGATGTGAGTCTGATACGCTTTCTGACACATTTGCTAACATGTGGCAGAGTATGCTAACAATTGGGCAGGTTCCGTTGGGTAGCCTGCCAGATCGATGCTTTGAAGAACTGTCTTGACTACCCTAGACTTCGGCAGACGCTGAAAAACCTCCCCAAGACGCTCGATGAAACTTATGCTCGAATCCTGGAGAGTATACCGAGAGAGCACTCGGAGCAAGCTGCAACAGTTCTCAACATCCTAACCAGATCAAACCGGTCCTTAAGGATGTACGAACTGGTGGATGTCGTCGCAATCAATCTGGATGAGGATCCCGAATTTGATCCCAAGAACAGGATGCCTATCGCACGAGAAGTGCTCAGACTTTGCTCCAGTTTCGTAGCGGTTTCATGGAACAAAGATCCTTTCGGGTACAGGTCTGATACCTACGAAGAGGTCCGCCTTGCGCACTTTTCTGTGAAAGAATATCTAGTTTCCAACCACATTCCGAGAGGTTTCGAGCCTCTGTTTTCCGAAGCAGTGGCAAGATCATATCTGGCGAGGTTGTGTTTGACATATCTCATCAGTGTAAGCCGTATCCTCTCGCGAGGCGAGCAATTGCCTCTTGTTGAGGACCCTGAGCCAGGATTTCCTCTCCTCTGTTACTCTGCCGACAGTTGGATGATCCATGCCGGAAAGGCAGGTGACGAGACCGGAGTCTTGTGGAAACTGGTGTCAAGATTCTTCCTGGGGACGCATGAAGCGTTCTTGCTTGCGAGGGATTGTGAGGCTCGTCCAAGCAAAGTGATAGGTGAAAGTCCCCTTTGTTACGCTAGCCACGGCGGGTTGTTACAGGCAGTAGGAAATCTACTCGACATGGGTGTACGTGTCAACGCTGAAGACAATATATGCGCACTGCATGCTGCTTCAGCAGGGGGTCACGTCAGGATCGTACAGCTTCTGCTCAATCGAGGCTCGAGAATCGATGCTCATCATTCACACTGGGGGACAGCATTGCAAGCAGCCGCATCCATGGGCCGCAACAACATCATAAGGCTCCTACTCAACAGGGGTGCAGCTATCAATGCTGATGGGGGAATCTGGGGCCGAGCTCTGCACGCAGCTTCCGCTGCAGGCTACGATAAAACGGTGCAGCTCTTACTCGATGCAGGTGCAGACATCGATACTCAAGATCCACGCTTGGGTAGCGCTCTAAAGGCAGCCTCGGCAGAAGGCCACGACAAGGTCGTACGGACCCTACTCGATAAAGGTGCGCATTTGGGCTCAAGACATGAGATCTCCAAGAGTCCAGATAAATTGGATGCACTGGACGTGGCCTGTCAAGGAGGTCACGAGCAGATTGTCCAGCTGCTGCTCGATAGAGGCGCTCCTCTAGACGAAAACCACTTCTACTATGCCTTGCGGAGAATAGGCGTCCAAGGGAAAAGAATAGTATCGATCCTGCTGACCCATCTCACCGCAGAGCATGTCCCGTATAGCGAGTGCGATTTGAGAGCCCTGTTACTCATCGCGGCCGCTCGTGGGTCGGAGATTGTTCTGCGCAGATGCCTCGACCTCGGAGCCAACGTCCGTCATTCACGCCCGGACAAGAAGAGAACAGCTTTACACTATGCCGCAGCGAAAGGGCACCTTGCCAGTGTAAAAACGCTCGTTGAAGCCGGCGCCGACGTGGACGCATACGACGCAGACGATTTCACGCCTCTGGACTGCGCACTTAGCGACGGCGATCATCCATATCAAGAAGTGACACCAAAACTAAGACCATGCTCCGACGTCATCGAGTACCTGTCTGTTCGAACACGCGGGCTTCAAGTTTTGGAATGGGATCCCAAATCCAAGGCTGGTAAAGCGTTTCTTTCCAATATCCCCCGGCCACGTTCATTGTCGAATCCAGTCTTTGGCGACGGCGATTTGCTGTACGAATTAGGTTTCCGCAATGGTGGAGAAATGAGTCGGTCCAAGCTACTCGGGCCGTAAATGAAAGATTTTGCTATATCAGAGTATATATCCAGACCTACAGTACTTACACTTTATGACTACACTGTTCTTGAGCACTTATCCCGATACTATGTGAAAGCTTTTCCGAGCCCTCTGATATAATGGTCTGTTGCTTAGACCTCCGTATATCCTCTTCCCCACGGAGTTTCTTTGTGCCGTCTTGACATTTGACATTCAAGAATATTCTCTCCACCCGCCACTAGGGAGCAAGAAAAGGACAAAAAATATGCAAGACTTGCGGTTTCTAGAAGATCAAGGCTTTGGAGAGGTATCCAGCATCACTCTTCTGCCACGGATATCTTCTAACGACCTGCTCGATCATCTCTGCATGCTTATGACTCCTCGGAGTGACCCTGACTCCAAAAGCCTTCGGATACGCAACAATACCACCCATGAACTCATGTGTTGGCTCAACAACCTTGCCTTGCTCATCAACTTGCTTGCTGATGTTGAACACAGCAAGACTCTGTGCAAAAGCAAGGAACAGAGATGCATCGGCCAAAACCCGACCAGGACAAATTCTACGCCCGAAGCCAAAGGTAAAAGAGGTCGCTGCCGGCTCGTTCAAGGGAGATAAGAAACGTTCGGGTTTGAAAGACTCGGGGTCGTGGTAGATGGCAGGATCGCGGGTGAACCACCAGATTGCCGGTAGTAGGAGGGAACCTTTGGGAATGCGGTAGCCGTTTATGGAGTCTTCTCTGTCTGTGGCGTGGGGTAGTCCCATGGGAGCTATAGGATGCCAGCGCTGTGCTTCTTCGACAATGGCGTTGAGGTAGGGGAGATTATCGCGGTCAGCGTGGGTGGGGAGGCGAGTGTTCCCAATCAGGCGATCGAGTTCCTCTTGAGCTTTGCGTTGGACTTCGGGGAACATGCTCATGGCGAGGAAAAAGGCGTTCATGGTTGAGACGGAGGTGTCGGCACCACCTAAATACATGGATGCTGCTGCCCATTTGATCGCGTGTTCGTCAGTTGCATCGAGCATCTTCTCTTGCTGTGCTTGTTCGATTGATTTCGTGACAAAGTCTGCGTGGCTGGTTTGCTTGTTTTTGCCTTGCTGCTTGGCGTAGGCGTAAGGAATATCGGCTACAGCCATGAGAGTCTTGTTCCATGCCGCCGCAGTCTTTTGAAATCCAGTTCCGGGTACCCAGCTAGGGATGTGCTCTAAAAAGGGGAAGATGTCCACCATCCATCGGCCTGGGATAGTTGCCTCGCTGAACTGCTCCATGGCCTGATCAACCAAATCGACAAGAGTATCGCTCTCGAAAGGCTCGATGGTGTAGTCATAGACGACTTTGAGGATCAGTTCGCCGGCTTCAGTCTTGAGATGTTGAGTCAGAGCTGTTCCATTGTCTTGCTTGACACGCCACAAGAAGCGACCGACAGCAGTTTCTTGGACTTGGTTATATCTCGCGACCGATGCCTTTGAGCCCAACTGTTGATGCGTATACTTTCGGTATAGTTTGAAGATCGAGTCGCATTGCTGTCCAGCCATGGGCTTGTTCCATCCAACCAAGTCAAAGCCGAACTTCAGCTTGGGTCTGCCTGAGTGTATGTTCGCACGTTCGACAAGCAGCTCGTGAGCGATCTTTGCGTCGTGAATAAGAATCATGGTCTGTCCCAAGACAGTAACAGAGCTGATGGGTCCATATGCATCTTTATGCTTGAGCCAATGCTGGAATTCTGGTACATCACCAGTGGGTAGATCTGTCAGATTTCCAAGAAGTGGCAGTCCTTTGGGTCCTGGTGGTAGGGGCAGGCTATTCCTCTTTCGACTCAAATCGTAGAATACTTTGATCAATACTACACCGAGCAAGACGTACAAGGCCGGCCATACTACCGAGGTTGTCATGTCGATCACAGACATGGCGACGAAAGATGTATGAGTTGAGGCTTTAACAGCGCTGGAGGACAGATTCTTATATGCTTAGCCATGATTACTCTGGAGTACCGAGGCGACATACACCAGGTGTTAGGATCGTCGCCTAGGGACATGGTGAAGGATATTCATAGGTCGGAAGACGTATGTTAATATGCATAGCGGGTTAGCGGCTTACAGGGTCGCGCTCGAGCCAATGGCTCGTCTCGCTTCAGCTCAACTGAATCCTTCAGGAATCAGGAGTTTGGTGTATTCGCATTGCTTGTGCCTGAATCATGTCCCTGTTCTAAGTACTTTGGGCAGAGATGCATGTTCTGCCATGACTGTACGAGGGAAATTGGTTTCCTGATCTCTGGTCCGTGAAGACACGAGAATTTGGTTACCTTTGGTATAAACAAGATCTCTGGACTCGATCTCTTAAAGAAAGCAGAGCCTTCCGAGCACGATAATGAATGGTTTTAAGAAAGAGCGAAGGGAAGGGAAAATGGAAAGGCCGATGCTCATGCGCGGGAACGCCAAGACCGAGCTCATGACCGCCCGGCAGTACTGATAACCAAAAATTATCTGACCTTAATTTTCGAACAAGCACTTTCATACACAAATCAGACGTGCAATCATGTTCGCAGTAAAAGGATGGTCAGTCGACTCGAGTGCGCTCAAGACACAGCAAGCCGCTCAGCCCGCCGCCAAAAAGCCCGAGGATGGCGCAACCGGACCCTCGGCGCAAAACAAGAAGAGAAAGAGAGGAGGCAAGGACAGAACTCCCAGAGATGTCAACGACTCGAATGTAGGCGACCTTTGGGCTACGACCATTGAGGGCAAGAAGGCGCCCAAGAAGCCCAAGATCGAGAAGAAAGAGAAGGTTGAGGCTGGTGACGAGGCTGTTGCACCCAGCGCAGACGAGAAGCCTGTGGTCGAGGGAGAGAAGAAGGAGAATGCTGCCACAGAAGAGAAGGAAAAGACGTCAGACAGCAAAAAGGCAAAGAACAAGAAGCGCCAAAAGCAGAGAGAGGAGAAGGAAAAGGAAGCCGCTTCAGCAGAAGCTGGCAAGGCCATTACCAACACTCCGGCCGCTCCTCCCTCGCTGCCCGTCAACGCCAAACTCACTCCCATGCAAGCCGCTATGCGCCAGAAGCTCATCTCTGCCCGTTTCCGCCACTTGAACGAGACCCTCTACACCGCTCCCTCGGCCACTTCGCTCGCCCTCTTCGCAGACAACCCCGAAATGTTCGACGACTACCACTCAGGTTTCCGCCAGCAGGTCACCACGTGGCCCGAGAACCCCGTCGACATCTTTATCCGTTCTATTCGCGACCGTGCAAAGGTCAAGGTCTACAACCAGAACAAGGCATTCCGCGACGTCAAGAGAGGGAAAGCCCCCAAGGAGGAGGAAGAGCCAGCAACTGGCGAAAAAGCAAACCCTCTCCCTCGCACACACGGTACCTGCAACATCGCAGACTTGGGCTGTGGAGACGCAAGACTAGCTGCCACTTTCCACGAAGACGGCAGCGGCACCCGCTACAACCTCAAGATTGCCTCGTACGACTTGCAATCACCGAGCAAGTTTGTCACAAAAGCCGATATTGCCAACCTGCCCTGTGCAGATGGAAGCATGGATGTTGCCATTTTCTGCTTGGCTCTTATGGGAACGAATTGGATCGACTTTATCGAAGAGGCATACAGAATCTTGCACTGGAAGGGCGAGTTGTGGATCTCCGAGATCAAATCGAGATTCGGAAGAGTGGGAGGCGACAAAGGCAAGGGTGGTCAGAAGGTCGTCGAGCACAGTGTAGGCAACCGCCGTAAAGCCGCTGCAAAAGCAAAGGCAGCGGACGCCACCCGTGCCAAGCTCACCGCTGAAGAGGAAGAGGCAGCTCTGCGTGAACACGTTGATGAGGTCGTCACAAAGTCTTCTGAAGAGACTGATATCTCAGGCTTCGTCGAAGTTCTGCGACGAAGAGGTTTCTTACTCAAGGACGAGAAGTCTGTGGATTTGAGCAACAAGATGTTTGTCAAGATGGAGTTTATCAAGGCTGCTGCACCTGTGGTGGGCAAGAACGTGCAAGAGGCTGGCGAAGAGAGAAAGGGCGAGCATGGAACTTGGAAGCCAAAGTTCAAGAAGTTTGTCGAGCAAGAGACCAAGGAGGTTAGTGTCGAGGATGAGACCAAGGTGCTTAAGCCATGCTTGTACAAGATTAGGTAGAGTATGAATTGTGGAACTGCTTTCTCGCATTATGATGATACTCCATTCCATAGCTAGTATGATGACTTTGTGGACTTTTTGGACTTTTTCCATTATCTTTACTCAGTCGCTCATCTCCTTGATGACTTGCTCGAGGTTCTTGATATCGTGAGCGAAGCGTCCGAGGAACAATCCATCAACGCCCTCTCTGAGCCAGTCGTATGTGCCAGGGCCAGCACTTCCACCATACAAAATTCTCGTCAGGCCTTTGCGTCCCTCGGCCATCTTTCTGATTTGCTGCGTCACAGCAACAACATGATCAGGATCTGCCGGCTCACTTGCGCCAATGGCCCAGACAGGCTCGTACGCAAGGATGAGCTCAGCATCATCCGGGATGGCTTGCAAGAGACTCATGACTTGTGGCCTGCACTCCTCAATGGCCATGCCCACAGCCTGAGATGCAATCTTGCCATGTGTCTTTTCGCCGACACACACAAGAGGAACCAAGCCATTCCGACACGCCGCAGCAGCTTTCTTCGCAGCAGTGGCATCCGTCTCTCCAAACAGGCGTCTGCGCTCTGCGTGTCCCAACTCAACAATGCTCACTCCAGCCTGACTCAACGTCTTGCAAGAAACCTCTCCGGTAAACGCCCCCGCATCTTCCCAAAAAGCATCTTGAGCACCCAGTTTCACCTCTGTGCCTTTCAATGCATCTTTGACCGGCAACAAAGACACAAAGTCTGGGATGATAAACAGATCAATGTTGTGCTTTGTTGCTTGAGAGGATATGTTTGCGAGGTCGGCGGCATAGGTTAGGGTTTTGGGCAGGTCAAAGTACATCTTCAGGCTCGTGCCCACGATCTTTCGGCGGGGTCCGACTGCGGATGTCGATGACATTTTTGTTTGGCTTTCGCAACGCAATGACTGTGGGGTTCAACGGAATGGGGGGAGATATGTCCCGCAGGTAAGCGTGTCGACTGAGGCTTGAGGGAGATACAGGAAGCAGATGGAGGCTTGTAAGGGTCAGAAGGTGTATAGCTTGGTATTTATATTGACAGCAACCGGGATACCTGATTGGGAAGGGTTCGGTCGGAGGAAGGAGGTGTCGTTGTTGTCGTCGCTTTGGGCAGGTGCTTGGCCCAGCGAAAGCGGCGGCGGGGAAAGCACGACTGGGCGCACAGACCCTTTCTTGCCCTCACAGAAACGGGGGCCGGCGCTGGGAGTCGTTCGAGATTCGAGAGCGTCATGCACTTGGAAAATCTTCTTCCCTTTCCCTTCTCATCCACTTCCATTCACTTTATGTCTAGAGTGCTGGCCGATAGGTGGGCGCGCAAGAGATATTTCGGTTAGATCAATACATTCCATTGGCTCCTTGAACTTCCAACAAAGGAAGACACGTACGAGAGAACAATCCTAAGCGTATGTACCGCTACCCTGCCCATTGCACAAACATATCCACCCTCTGCACGACTATGCATCAACCAGACAGGCAAACGAGCCATGGATCGAGTCCCGATGTTCATCTTCTTCGTCCTGTTTTTCGTGGCCAAACGACTAATCGCTCGCCACAGACAAGCCACCCGCTGCGTTACATTCGCCGTCGATTAATTTACATACACACCTCCATCCACATCCACATCCACAACCGCCAACATGCATATCTCAGCCAAACTCCAGGCTGCCGCCAAGGAGAAGAAGTCGACCTACTCGTTCGAGTTCTTCCCTCCCAAGACGGCCCAGGGTGTACAGAACCTCTACGACCGCATGGACCGTATGCACAACTTTGGCCCTTCGTTCATCGACATCACATGGGGAGCAGGCGGCCGACACGCCTCGCTCACCTGTGAGATGGTCAAGGTCGCCCAAACCGTCTACGGTCTCGAGACATGCATGCACCTGACTTGCACCGATATGCCCAAGTCAAAGATCGACGACGCCTTGAAGGAGGCTCACGATGCAGGCTGCACAAACATCCTCGCGCTCAGAGGCGACCCGCCGCGTGACAAGGAAAAGTGGGAGGCCACTAGCGGAGGCTTCAGATATGCAAAGGATCTTGTCAAGTACATCAAGGAGAAGTACGGCGACCACTTTGACATCGGTGTCGCTGGTTACCCCGAGGGCTGCGACGACAACGACGACCCTGAAGAGCTGATCCAGCACTTGAAGGAGAAGGTTGATCTTGGTGGCACTTTCATCGTCACCCAGATGTTCTACGACGCCGACATTTTCCTCGACTGGGTCAAGAAAGTCAGAGCCGCTGGCATCGACATCCCCATCGTTCCTGGCATCATGCCCATCTCGACTCACGCCGCCTTCCTCCGACGCGCCAACTGGTCCAACATCCACGTCCCCCCTCACTGGCACGAGGCTCTCGAGCCTGTCAAGAACGATGATGCCGCTGTCAGAGATGTCGGCACTGGTCTGGTTGTCGAGTTGTGTCGCAAGCTGCTGGACAATGGCATTTTGCACTTGCACTTCTACACCATGAACTTGGCTCAGTCCACCCGTATGATTCTGGAAGAGCTCAGCATCACCCCTTCGCAAGAGACCCCTCTCGAGAAGCCCCTCCCCTGGAGGCAGTCTCTTGGCCTCAACCGTCGCGACGAGAACGTCCGTCCCATTTTCTGGCGCAACCGCAACCGCTCGTACATTGCCCGTACACAAGACTGGGACGAGTTCCCTAACGGTAGATGGGGAGACAGTAGATCTCCTGCTTACGGAGAGCTGGACACTTACGGTATCGGTCTGAAGGGTACCAACGAGCAGAACCGCAAGCTCTGGGGAGAGCCCAAGTCATTCCGCGATGTGGCCACTCTTTTCGCCAACTACATGCAAGGCAAGGTCGAGTCCCTGCCCTGGAGTGAGAGTCCCATCACCGACGAAGCCGATGCCCTTCGCCTTGACCTGATCGACCTCAACCAACGTGGTCTCTTGACCATCAACTCGCAACCTCCCGTGGATGGTGCCAAGTCGAGCCACCCTGTCTATGGATGGGGTCCTCGTAACGGTTACGTCTACCAAAAGGCTTATCTCGAAGTTTTGGTCTCACCTGAACTGATTTCTGAGCTCATCACTCGTATGGAGCGCAACCCCAACATTACCTACTTTGCTGTGAACCAGCACGGTGACTTGAAGACCAACTCTCCAGACGAAGGCCCTAATGCCGTTACCTGGGGTGTCTTCCCTGGCAAGGAGATTGTGCAGCCCACCATTGTCGAGACTGTATCCTTCCTCGCCTGGAGAGATGAGTTCTACCGCCTCGGATCTGACTGGTCTCGTTGCTATGACGCCACTTCTCCTTCCCGCTACGTAATCGACGACCTGATGCAGAACTGGTACCTCGTCAACATCGTTAACAACGATTTCCGTGAGCAACGTGGTATCTTCCCTCTGTTCGAAAGTCTCGAGGTCCCAGAGCTGGACAAGGAGGTCACCGCCCCTGAGGTTCCTCAGCAGGCCAACGGCACCACCAACGGCGACAAGCACGAAGAGAAGAAAGAGGAACCCAAGGTTGGCGATGGCGACGTTACCGATTCCAAGATTCCTGACAGCGTGCACAAGAAGCTTGAGACACAGATTAACGGTGCCGACGAGAAGGCCGACACCGAGCCCAAGGATGCACCTGCGCACAACACTGGCGCTGGCCCTTCCATCGATGTCTAAGCGCTCATCTTCATTCACCATCGTTCTGACAGAACATGACTTGACACCATAAACGACCTTTTCTTATCTTTGTTTGTTTTCCCTTTTACACAGCATTCACACTTTGAAAGTTATCCAACCAACTTCTCATTACGATCTTCTTCAACAAGAAGATATTCAACACCAACCATGACCAGCAAGACCAGCATTTCAACGGCGTTCCCATCTATGTTAACGAAGCATGAACAAAAAGCGAGAGATACCCCCATTCAACCGGGATTTGAATTCTTATATCATATTGGCGTTTTTCCTACAGGAGAGAGATGAGAGATGGGGATGAATGAGAGGATAGTAGATTTGAATACAAATGTTCTTTTCTTCTCGTCAAATAACCTTTGCACGCTCTTGGCCGTGTTTTCATTATGCTCGTCTGATGTTCTCGACTTTCAGTATAGCTCCTGATGCTTTCTAACCAAAAGCAGCATTAACGAAGCACGGTTTTCTAGATATAAGACTGGGAGGATCAGAATTCCATGCAAGTGTTTGTTCTTGTGATGTCGGAGCCACAACTCCGAGCCTCCACACCCGGCAAAAGGAAGGAACGAGGGGCAGATCTGCATTCCCGATGCACGTCTTCATCATTCAAACATCATGTCCCAACTCGCAACACATGCCGAGGGGGACAACCACGCTCAACACCTATCAATCATCAAGGTCGCAGAGCATGTCGGCGCGGCACATCAAGCCGTCCTTCGACATGCTGGATGACGTCCAAGATTATGTCGCACCTACTGAGGGGTCGGATCTGCCATACAAAGAAGAGCCAACCTCGAACTCATGCTTCCTTCATCACTTTGAACCCCTCGCTCAAGCATCAAGATGCTTCGTCTAGTGGCTTCTTTATTGCTGGCAACGGCTGCAACAGCCATCGCCCAAAATACGACACAAGTCTACGATTATGCCATTGCAGGCGCTGGTACAGCGGGACTTCTTCTGGCCATTGTGCTCACCGAAAACCCTTCTATCAACGTCGCTGTTCTCGAAGCTGGCTCAGATGGTCGCACGAATCCCAACATCACGATCCCGGAGTTGAGAGGCGACATCATTGACACAGAATATGATTGGGACTACTACAGTACTGTCCAACCTGGTCTATATCGGAACAGGAGTCAGGCTGTCAACAGAGGCAAGACGATTGGTACGTTAAGAACATGATAAGACAAGGGGGCTTGCTGATCGAAGCTCANNGGTGGAACAAGTGCTATGAATTGGATGATCCACAACGAGGACTCTAGTGTGCAACTCGATATCTGGGAATCGCTGCTCAACCTTACAGGATGGAATTGGGAGACTCTCTCGACTGCATTCAGGGAGAGCGAGATGTTCTTTGCTCCTCCAGCTAATGCGTCCTCTGCTGAGGATCCTGATCCGGCAAACCATGGATATTCTGGATATATCTGTTCGACTTTGCAGCGTAGTGTACTATCTTTGCTCTCCGACTACGTGACGCCTGCACTGCTCAATGCCGGTTATGCGGTACCTGGAGACCGAAACGGTGGCAATGTTACCGGTGCTGGTTTCTTGCCTCTTGCTATCTGCCCAGGCAACTATACGAGAAGTTATGCTGGATCAGCGTATACCGCTGTCCAAGATAGGAAGAATCTACATCTCTACACCAACGCACAAGTGACAAACATCAGTTGGGCCTCGACATCGTCTGGCAACATAACTGCTCGTGGACTCAACTACGTCGACACTTCCGGTCGCACTTCGAACATCAGTCTCTCCATCCAAGCCGATGAGATCATCCTCTCAGCTGGTATCGCAGGATCACCACCAATTCTCGAACGCTCAGGAATCGGAAACCCTGACATTCTGATGCCGCTCAACATCACACCTCTCGTCAATCTAAGTAGTGTTGGCACAGGCCTTAGAGATCCACTCATGATGCAGTATCAACCCCTGCAATACAACTTCAGCGTCGAATTTACGGGTGGCGAGTACGCTCAGAACTACATTGATCTGCGACCCGCCCAGGACGTCCTCTCGCCTTCCGACTATAACGCCGCTTCCACATGGCTCAACTCGACCGCTTCAATCCCCGGCTTGGAGGATGCACAGTTCACAGTGTTCAAGCATCTCTGGTACACCCGCCAGCCACTGATTGAGATGGCATGGCAGTACAGCAGCACACAGTCCATGCCTTACACTTTGGTACCCCTCAGTCAAGGTACCGTCCACATCAACTCTTCAGACCCGATGGCTGCACCAGTAATAAACCCAAACTACAATTCTGTCACCGCAATCATTGGCAACGAGACCGTTCCCTGGGATCTCTGGTTCCTATCCCGAGCCTCACAATTCTATATCAACGAACTCGCTTCCTCTGCCCCTTTCTCAGACGTTCTGACCAAGACGGATCCGGATCACAATCTCTCGCCAGCGGATTATCAACAAGCTGTCTTCGAGCGCTCAGGTACTTCTCAACATCTCACTGGTGGACTTCCCATGCTTTCCCGTGCTGCTGGTGGTGCCGTCGATGCAAAAATGCTCGTCTACGGCACCCGCAATGTTCGCGTCGTCGATGGCAGTATCTTTCCCTATCAACCCTCTGCTCATCCCATGGGCTTGACTTATGCGATGGCTGTCCATGCGGCCAAGATTTTGCAACAAATCAAGGGAAGCAAAGTTACGTATACCGAGGAGCCTGCAAGAAGTAATTCGAGCAGTAATGCAACAGCGAGTTTCCCGAATGTAGCACCGACGGTGACGTATAATGCCAAGGGGTCTGCTGTTCCTGCCTCTTCATCTGTAACGACGTTCACTGGTGGAGCAGAGAAGATGGAGGTTGGCAGGTGGATGGTTGGTGGGATTGTTATCGCTTTGGGGTGGAGTGGTTCGATGTGAGGATATCGAGAGATATATTCCAAGAATCTTTAATCATCATACCCTCTATACTCTTTTAACCACAACCAGTTTTTAACACCAAAACCAGACCAGAACATGGTTGAACTCGAAAGTTTTTGGGCAAAAACACTAGGATGGACAGAATATAAAGAATAAAGTTTCTGAGGGCTTTGGTCGAGCCTCGCTTTTTCTAATATCAGGTCGTTCTTCGGATGTCACAATCTGCTTTCTTGTTATATGCACATTGTCTTTTGGGGGGGGAAGCCTTGTGAGGTGGGGTTGAAGCAAAAGGAATTCAGAAAGGGATATCACTTGGATGGGCCATTAGGACACTGTTGCCATATCCTGCTTTTTCTTTTCATCCATACCCATGAGTTTGTTTGAGGCGATGAGGTCCTGCGATACTACCATCTACGGAGCCATAGAAGTACAATTCTTTTCTAACACTGTTTCAACAGCGATAAGGGTACCTGACAAGATTCCCCATGCAAAGGAAACAGTCTTGGTTCATGGGATTTATCTTTTGAAGAGAGAGGGGGGGGGGGGGGGGGGAGTAAAATTTAGCAAGGCTCTTTCTCACAACTGTGAGATCGAGGACACACGTCATCCCGAAACAGCCAAGCTTGTTTGAGAAAAATAAAAAATTTGAAATATAGATACAAAAAAGGCACTTTTTATGTATATACCAATGCCATCATCATACCATCCAGACCTGGGAATTTTTTTACATGAGAAAAAAGATCTTGGAGTTCCACTTTTCCACTCACTCACTCCCTATATAATGCTCTCTCTCTCTCTCTTTTTTCTTTTTTTTTTTTTTTTTTTTTCAGAAAGCACCATTGTATGCAGTCATTGAGATTGTCATGATATCGGTCAATCTTTGTATTCACCTTCGCTCCACCAAATTCCTCTACCAAAGCAAAATGTTTATGCAACAAGTATCGATCCGCAGCTTTTTGGCCCTGGATTCATGAGCGTTTGGGAAGTATAGATTGGGGGGGGGGGGGGGGGGGGGTGTTAGGGTTAGGGTAGAAAAATACAAAGTCGTGGGAAAATTTTGCAAAATGGTAGCAAGATAAATTGTCATTGATGAAGAGATATTCTACAAGGTGGCCCACCGACTAGAAACGTCGTCTCATGGTTATAAGGCAGTAGAGCGAGGTCAAGTCAAGCTGTACTGCAAGAACAGGATGGGTCAGGGAGGCAAGCAGCACTGAAGAACCACAGAATAGACACTCGGAAATAAAGCTTTGAAAGTGAAATAAGAAAACAATTGTAGCATCTCTATGTACAGGTCTACAGTCTACTCCAACTCCCCTTTTTGCCCCCCCCTGATATCTTTGTAAAAAGCAACAAAACAACTCCCGCAACCCAATAACCATCAGCGCATACTCGCAGTCTATTTACAATCGAGTACTCATGCACAGCCAGTCGTCGTTGACCACTTTACTTCTGGCTAACGGTCGAGGTGGCGATGTAGACAGTGGTGGCGGCGGCAGTAGCGGTCTCCGTCAAGACAGTGACGGAGCTGGCAGCCAAAGCACAGCCAGAAGTGATGGCCGAGGCGGGGTACTTCTGGAGAGCTGCAGGGGTGGAAGCAGCACGCTTTTGCTGCTGAACGGCCAGGGTGGTCAAGGTAGTGGCCTGGACGGTAGGAGTGACGGTAATGGTCTGAGTGCTGGCGGCAGAGCTGAAGCCCAAGAGCGCAGAGCAGTAAGGCTGGAGAGAAGCAGAAACAATGGCTGACTTGGCGGAAGCGACGTCGCAAGCGTATCTGGGCTTGCCACCGTCGGTCTTGTTGGAGAAGGTGTATGAGAATCCGACGGTGTAGTGGTCCTGGCCATAAGAGTACCCGTTGTTCTTGGCGTAGGACATGGACCAGGTCTGGTCGTACAAAGCACAGTTTTGCTGGAGAGCTTGGCCGTTCTTGTACAGAATGTAGGTGTTGAAGAAGGAGCAGATCTTGTTGAAGGAGCCATCAGTAGGGGGGTGCTGGCGAGCATAGCTGGCCTGCTCGTTGCAAGCGACTGCGCAAAGGTTGGCATCGAATACGGAGTTGGTGAGCAGTCTTGAGCCAATGAAAGAGTCGTCACCGGTGCAGTCAAGAGGAGCGTTGATGGCAGACTTGTCGAGGAAGACACCAGCGTTGTAGCCGTCGGGTGTAGCAATAGACTTGTTGACATAACCGTTTGATCCAGCAATCACGACCTGGAATTGGTTGCGCCATTGGCCAGCGTTGTTGGCGTTGTCGGTGGTGACAGGTCCTGACCAGAAAACGCACTTGATTTGGGTCAGAGATTTGGGGTTCGAGCAGGATGAATCGTCAGGGTTCACAGTGGGGTCACGCTCGTAGTAGATGTTGAAAGACTGGCATCCGTTGATCTTGGTGCACTTGTCGGCGCAGCCCTGCTGGTCGTAAGACTTGAGCAGAGTGTAACCCATGTATCCATAGGCGTTGTTGGATGCATGCAAGTTGCTGAAGGTGTTCACGTAGCCGCTGGGCACGGCACTTGGGGCAGCAGCAGAAGCGGCGCTGGCAGAGAAGGAAGGGTATGCCGAGAAGGCACTGACAGAGTCGTCGTTGACTACAGCGTCATTGGTTGGCTGAGGTCCAACAGAAACACCAGTGGGCTGGGTCTGGCAGGTGGTAGCAGCAGCACGCTTGGCAATGGCAGAGTCCAGAGGGAAGGAGTCGTCAGGGTTGGCAACAAGAGCGGAGCTCACGGAAGCAGCTGCTGCCTCGCTGGAGTAAGAGACTGTTGTAGCAGTGACTGTGGTGGCAGGGGCGGTAGCGTAGACCACAGGGATGGTGACCTCGGGAGCGGGAGTTGCTTGAAGGACAGCATCCCAATCGAGGTCCTGGGCCTGAGCAAGAGCTGCAATGGCAGCAACAGCGATGTAGGAACGCATGATGTAGAGAGAAGAGTCGAGAGGATGTTACTCTTTAATGTTGATGAGGGAGTTGGATGAGTTGATGCTGATGATACAACGGGCATCTACCTGGTATATATATCCACTCACTGCAGACATGGACCTCAGAGTCCCTGTGGACTAGCCAGATCCCAGAGTCCCAGCCTGCGCTTAGCTTCGGGGGCACCGAGCTAGGAAGGGCGCTTGAATCGTAGCAAGCCACGAGACTCGAGATGCCCGAGACTATTCGAGGTGAACAAGATCTCAGACTTCAAATCCACAGTTAGCGAGGCTTGTGGCGCTCGCGGGCGCACTGCATAGCAGCTAGCTATGGCCCAGGGGTAGGGAAGAGTTCCGGGAGAGTCCAACGGGATATCCACATGGTGCAAACAAAGTGCCGNGAGCGTTCTTGTCACAGGAAGACGGTGCAATCGAGATGAACCGCTTGTTCGTGGGGATGNATTTCCCCAAAAATGCCACAACGGCCTTCCGANAATGCGCTACCAACAGCAACCCCTAAGCTGTTCGAGTTAATGGGCAAGCAAATAGANCCTCTTACAGACGATAAGGAGCAATTCCAAGCGCAGCGCGGCTTGGATCAAGGCTCAGCACGGACTGCCGCGCATTCTCTGTTACTCAATGCGGACTCCGAGCACGGGATGCAAGAACATGGTACCGCGCGGCGTCGCCGAGAAGAGAAGCGCATGGCNATCGAAGCGACGCAAGCAGAACTGGTTCTTGACATGGTCTCGGTTCAGGTTGCTATGCCATGTGAGCAGGGAAAACGCGGTGAAAAACTGGAGATGCACGGTGGATGTCTCAGCTTGACGGCTTCTGGACTGTCCGCATCTCGCCAAGAAAAGTTATTCATTGGCTCGGGGTTCGACGATATGAGACGTGAAGATGGCAGCTGAAGAGCAGAGGGCCGAGCACTGCTTCAGATTCCTACAGAAGACCGGTGAGACACCAAGCGCGAGAAGAAAGGCTTCCGCTGATGGAAAATTCTTCGTTATGGTGTGACTTTGGAACGGTAGGGTGTTGGTGAAGCTTTGATTGCGACAAAGCCCTCGGCGTCGCCTATTCAGCCACGCAGCGAGCGAGTCGGTCGTGAGCTTCCGACTGGTATAGACGGTGAGGACGGCGTTCTCAGCTTGATGGCCAAAGCGATGCGATTGTCCCAAATCAGGTGAAAGGTCTTGTCGCATCCCAGCTCTTGATGTGAAGAGTTGTCGCACCTGTTTGAGAAACAGCTCTTGGCGTCATGACTTTTGGCCAATCGGCAGACTCACGAATTCTGTCCAGCTCAAAGTCGCGTCGTGTTGGTGCCTTGCGGGCGCGTTTCTCCTGCCACCCATAGCACCTTCCCACCAAATACATCTTCTCCCGCATACTGCAGCCCGACGTGTCTATTGGCAATAGTTTGTTAATATCTTCAGCTCGTCTTGTGGCCGAACCTATCACTATTCTCTTCCGAGAGGATACGTTTTGCCGCTGGACTGCTTGACGTAGGCGCAAATTGTTGTTGGTGTCCGCGTCGACGCTACCATCTTGTTCTTCCATATACTGCAGCCAGGGGTGTCTGCTCGCAATAACTTGTTATACTTGCAGTCGTCTTGTGGCCAGACCTTCCATCATTCTCTTCGGAGAGGATACGTCTTGTCGCATCACCACTGCACGTAGACGCAGGCTATTGTTTGTGCTCATGCTGATGCTGTCGAGCTTTTCCGCTCACCTCATTTTTTCCTCCTTTCCAGAGTCAGGGCTGCTCACAGTCGAAGAAAGCCCGGGTGGGAGGGTTTCCTGATACTTCTACGTACAGGGGCTCTCAATCTTTGATAATCACATCTAGTGTCTTTCCACTGACATGGCAGCTACTACTGCTGATGCTTGGAGACCACGTAGGGTAGCCTTCGTTCAGACCCCTGCCTCTGACCATGGTTGCCGCTGCCAGGTTCGCTTAATGCATCACAATGACCAGGCCTCGATATCGCTGCAGTTGCAACACGCCACTGGCCTTGCTGGGGTCAACAACAATCCTCCTCGACAAATCCTGCTCCATATCCAGCCATCGATTGTTGAGTCTTGTTCAATAGCTCAGGAGACATCAATCTCACCGTTGCTGTTGAAATGTATACCTACCTCAATTGCAGGTCCGTCTGATGTCTTGACTGTTACTCTTGTTCTGAAGTCTCCTGGTGCTGTGCACTATCCCAAGGAGCTGAAAAGCGTACATCCGACTGACCCAGCTGATGTCGACTTTCAATCATTCGTCGAGATATGTCAAGCGACAACTCTTTATGTACGTTTCGCCCAAGCTCAGTTCGACCAACAAGAGAAGCCAAGATTGGAGCGGCTGGTAGAAGGGCTCAGCAATGGAGTCCTGAGGGCACCGCCCCTGAACCTCGCTCGAGAGGACCGTGGCAGAGGCTTGCAAGAAGGTACATGGCAGGTCTTCGACCAACAGGATTCAGCATCCAACCACAGTAAGCCATCGTCAGGGCTAGGCAAGAGATTAAGACAAGGTAAGAACTTTCAGCCACTCTTTTCACCAAGCATGTGCAGGCATGCAAGTAGCATATCAATGCAGGAAGCTTTTACGATGTCTTGCTTGTCCACTGAGAGTATGATGGCCGACAGATGTCGTTCAGGCTCTCCCTGGACACACACGTTGGTGATATAGACTTCCTGCATTGTGAAGGCTCGACTCAATCATGTAAGCTGTCGAATTGCTGATATCAATCTTATCAGCCTCAGTCTCTTCTTTCGACGCCCCTTCCAAGCGTGCCACTCCCTGTATATACACAACTCCTCCTCCCTACTCCCCTACCGAGGTCAACACGACGCCTACAACCAGGTCTGGGCATTCCAACGATATACGACCGACTGTTTTCATCCTTCCCCCTTATCGCAAGGAGCTTGTGTCTCCCCCTGAGAATGGCCAGGTTGCCCTCCTTGCTAACATGCTTGCCACTGTCCCCGAGCATGTGCTTCGCGAAGCAATTATTGAGTCCGGTCATGGCCGTCTATTGGGCCTGGTGTCTGCCGGTGCTGTGCTTGGCAAGCCTCTCGAGCCTCGTCCTCGCCGCTTGTCTAGCCCTCGACTCACATCCCTGGTCAAAGACCTGTTTACGGCGGAGGTAGAGGCCCGGATGAAGTACCTCGTGGAGGCCGGACTACCTCTCCATACCAAGGACGCCATTGAGAAGGTCATGGACGAATATCATGATATATTCTACGTCGACTGCCAGGAAGCGGAAGCGACCATACAAGAGAAGGTCGAAGACGCCTCTTTGGAAGTAAAGATGGCTCTTGAGGATGGCATGAAAGAAATCGAGGAATTGGTAGAGGAACATCTTCATAAACTGGCTGACGAGCACGAGATCTTCGATGGTAAAGCCAACCTTGAGCTTGACAATCTCAGATGTTGGTTTGTCAAGTTCGCTCGCACGTTAATCTTCCAGAAGCAGCCAGGGCAAGTTTCAGGAAGAGACCTGGTAAGATGTACATCTATATAGAAAATCCCATTGATCATCCGTCTTCGTTCGCACATGGTCAAGGTGCTTCTGGCAAGAACGAGAGATTCATTTTTTCTGCCACCCTGTATGCTCTCCATCAAAGGTTGCGTGGCCCAATGGCAAGGCGCTTGACTACGAATCAAGAGATTCCAGGTTCGACCCCTGGCGTGATCACTTTTTGCTAATGTGTGCCTCTCATCTGGTTGAGAAGGAGATTTTTTTGTGGCTGAAGGAGCACAGACATATCGTTGTCGGTTGTACTTGCCTCCGAAATTCAGCCCGTCCATCGAGTGCCATCCATCGAACTATCAGTCATTGTGCATGCAAACACTCTATAAACAGCTCGAAGTTTGCTTGTTTTGTTGTGGTTGTACCTGTACCAGAACACACCTTGTCCACATGATTTGTTTTGTTGATGGCTGAGTTCAAGCAATATGAGCCTCGCGGCTGGCGCATCGAGTCTCCAAGCCATGCATCGGGTGAAGTGGAAGAAACGCCGACTCCAAGCCGTCCGGACCTTCTCTTGCTCATCGCGACCAAGAAACCATCGTTTGTATCTCTCAGGTCCCTACTCCTCCTTGTAGAAGCCTAGAATTACTACGCAGCCTTATGACTGTAATCCATGCTCGTGTCTGCCGCCCCTTTTTCCACTCACCTGTTGCTGTACCATCGGTTCATATCAATAGACAGCCCTTAGGGGCGCTTCGCAGTGCAAAGCTTCCCGACTTTCGGCAGGGCCTGGCAAGCCTATTTCACTCCAGCCCGCCGCCACGACCAAAGTCTGATATTCTTGAAGGACCAACAAAGTCTCCCCGAGATCCCCAGATGTCTTTCCTTACAGGGCGTGTTTGCGCGAGGGTGGGGTTTCCTCGGGGCCACGTCGTATGCCTTGAGGAAGACCGATTCTCTTCTGCGATGCTGGTCGCGGCTCGCAGCTTCATGAACTTTGCTTCTTTGCGCGCTGCTTTGATCGTCATCTGACGTGTTTGGTTGCGGGTGTTCCTGCATGGATGATGTGTGAGCACGGTACCAAGGTACCTTGCAAATCCGGCACCTACCTATTCTTCACTGCTTATTTTCACTTCAAGTCTTCTGCGCTTTCAGCCCTCAGCGAAAAATAATCAATTCTCCCTTGCTTTCCAACATGGTCCAGACCGCACAATGCAAAAGCTTCTTGGACACAATCTTATCAGTCGTGGTCTCACGAACGCCCCCTTTTGTGCAGTAACAAGAATGCACCAGGGCAACTTAACCTTGTTTTGCGCCCAGCGCTTGACTACCCACCCGCGTTCTGTGTCCAAAAACATAAGGTAATCGCTATACTTAGCCCTCTTCGGCTGGCGACCCGTCGCAGACTATTGAAATCTGCGACCACGCACTTTATGTGTCACCAAACAGAGCTGCTTGTCATCGTTGCTGCATGCAAGAAGGCAGCTCCGAAATGCTTGGAGTGCATCGCATCCACTCCAGCTTGCTGTTGCTATCGGAACCAGCGTCATCAAGAGCTATTGAAATCCTTCCCACTTGGCACTCTGTTGGTGTTTTTTGTTCAGCTGTGCTGTTTCTGCTGGGACATCTCGATCGCAGGGAAATTGCGACAGCTGTAGTGTGGGCCGTCAGTGCGGTTGGCGGACACTTTTCAGCTGAAGCTGTCAATCGTGTCAAATCCCACGATTGCGGATTTGCGATGCTGGGGAAGTCCGTGAGATGTGGATATTGAAGTGTTTCTGGGATTCCAAATTGTTGCTTGCCGGTTCCTTTGGCCGAGTTTTACGCTACAGGATGATGGAGGAGTGGTGTAAGGATCTGGGACAGGGTGGCACTTCTAGCAAGTGCTGCAGCAGCATTTTTGCGCCTACATGCTCAACGACATCCATCCATGACTTATTACTCGCTGAGAATGATGCTTATGTACGCTTCAGTGACTAGTACAAGTAAATATATTGCAGTGTCATCGATGCCGTCGCAGTCTACAACAACAACTTTTTCAACCTTCAATTCTAGAACACCAGTCAGGATCCATACAGAATTCACGCGCCTACTTCACAAGAACATCGATATGTCAACAAGCGGGGAAAGAGCGTCAGATCCAAGTATACTGGTTGTTCTATGCTATAGTAAGATTCTGAGAGCATTTCAGTTGTTTAGTTCAGGTCCAATCTTCACGTCGCACAAACGAGGGATTACCAAGTCAGGGTGATACCCGATACAACATATCTTGGCGCCAGGGTCGCCTACCTAACTTCTCACCAAGTCAATTTTCAAAATCGAGGATGGGTAAAAAATGGCAAAAAGCATTGCGAACACAAGTGAGAGTGAGGAGAAAGTGTACAAGATGTGACCATGGTATCGCTGTCATTATCTGCAAAGACATCACATGTGAACTATCGATCCGTGCTAATCTGCGTGCTCCAGACTCTTGTCTTGGACTATGTCCGGGGCCCCTCAGCCAACCAGTTCGACATTTCCTTTGTTCTTCCGACCCTGTCCTTGATTGGTGAAGGAGAAAATTCGATATGCCTGGGTAAAGCCCTTTGTACTGATCTGCGCGCTGTGAGTGTCGTTACAGTTCGTTCCGAGTCCGTTAACCGATCGATCGAAACGCTACCAGAATGAAGAAGCCTTTGTGGTCAAGCTTCAGGTTCAGCTGTAATAGATGCTAGTCATCATGTGAAACGTGCTAGTCGCATCAGATCATCAGCAATCTTCACAGCAAATCCTTCATCGTTGATATCTCTCTCGTCATGAACGACAGAGATGCCCGAATCTTGCAGCCGGGAAGCAAGGGTCTCGATCAATGCATCATCAGCCTCGCGATCCTCAAAGGCACCTCCTGGCGTGGCGATCATACTGACACCGCCTCTTGGTAGAGTAATCTGCACCATGCTGAGTTTGACAGCGAAGCGCTTGGCCTTCTCCGCTATGAAATCGCCAATTGCTCTACACTCTTCCTTGGTCGTACGCATTAATGTCACTGTAGGGTTGTGCTCAAATAGCTTCCTCTGCTGATATCTTTCCGGTACTATTGCTCTCGGTCCAAAGTTGACCATGTCGGTCGCACCAAGAGAGATAATAGTCGGAATACCTGCTTTCAGAGCTGCTTCGAGGCGATTGGGTCCAGCACTCATGTTACCGCCCATGAGGAAGTCACAGATCTCGGTGGTTGTCAGGTCAAGTACGGCATCGAGTCGACCTTCAGTGATCAAGCGTTCCATGGCCTTGCCGCCATGTCCAGTGGCATGGAAGACATATGTTTCGACCGCGTAGTTGGACTCGAGATGCTCGCGGATCTTATCGACACCGGGGGTAGTGACACCGAACATTGTGATACCAACTCGAAGTTTCTGATTCTCTTTCGACTGCTCTGATTGATGTTGAAGCTGATGCTCATATGCTAACGACATACCAGCCATAGCAGCAGCTGCGTTATTCAAGATGTTTCTCAGGAGATCATTGGTCCCTGCTATATCAACGACAGAATACATCAAGGTTATATCAGTTTCGCCAACAATCGGACCAGTGTCCCCGGAGGCGACCGTGCTTGCGATAAATTTGGGGAGGCCGATTGGCAGGGTTCGCATAACTGCTGAAGCTAGACTGGTACCTCCGCTACCGCCTGCACTGATAATGCCATGTATAGGCTGCTTCTTGTGCAGCTCTTCTATACACGAAGTTGTGCATCGAATCATGAATTTGATGGCTTCACCTCGTGGCAGGTCTTTCAGGGTGTCTCTTTCTTCTTCGGTAGCGAATTCCGTGACCAGCTCATTATGAGAGATACCGATGACCGGATGGACGACAGGACTACGGCCACAGTCGATTACAGTGATCGAGGCACCAGGCGAGGAAAGAGCGACCAGTCGAGAATGGAGATGGAGTATCTCAGGGAGCTTTGTGTCGAGCGTCCCTAGCAGAACTATGTGTGGCATTGCGATGACAGAGTCACTGGAACCAAGGATATCAAGATGGATCTCGAGTGCAATGAGAGTGTCTTCGAATGTAAAATGGCATCGCGTCGCGTTGGAGGAGGTGCGGGGAGGCTGGTGATGTCCTCATGCAGGGTTGCGTCATGCCGATGAAACAGCTCAACTTCAAGTCTTGACCTGGCACCTTCCTTTCTTCGTGCTTGTCGCCCATCAAAACATTACCAAATCACACAAGCCCTGCGACACATTCAGTATGGCACCTCCAACAGACCGCAAGCAGATTCTCGAAAGCTTCCGTAAGCAGATAGACGCTGGGAAGCCTATCGTCGGAGCCGGGGCTGGCATCGGCTTGTCTGCCAAATCAATTGAAGCAGGCGGCGGCGACTTGATAATCATCTATAACAGTGGACGCTTCCGAATGGCTGGCCGAGGTTCCCTGGCTGGACTCATGCCTTTCAGCAATGCCAATGATGTCGTCGTCGATATGGCGAAGGAAGTGCTACCCATCGTCGAGCACACTCCCGTCATAGCTGGTGTTTGTGGTACCGACCCTTTCAAGGACATGCCCCGGTTTTTGAAGCAGCTTCGTGATCTTGGATTCGCCGGTATTCAGAACTTCCCTACTGTTGGTCTGATTGATGGCCAGTTTCGTGCGAATCTCGAGGAGACTGGCATGGGCTATGACAAGGAAGTCGAGATGGTACGACTCGCTGCAGAGATGGATATTCTGACAACCCCGTATGTTTTCAATGTCGAAGAAGCTAAAGCCATGGCCGGCGCCGGAGCGGATGTGGTCGTCGCACACATGGGCCTTACCACCAGCGGTACGATTGGCGCACAAACTGGCAAGTCTTTGGAAGACTGTGTCAAAGACGTACAAGCCATCAGAGATGCTGCGACAGAAGTCAAAAAGGATGTCATAGTGCTATGCCATGGCGGGCCGATCGCGAAACCCGAAGATGCAAAGTTCGTGCTTGGAAGAGTAAAAGGCCTGCACGGCTTCTTTGGAGCCAGCTCGATGGAACGCCTACCAGTCGAAGATGCTATCAAGGGCGTCACTGAGCAGTTCAAGGACATCGCCGTGCAAAAAGCATAACATTACCTCGTCGCAAATCAGTCAACAATCCAAATTTACTCGCTCGCCAAAACGAACATCACATATTAGCTGTCGGAGCTGTTAGAGATCTCCACCTGTGGTTCTTTGGGAGAGAATCCTCTTGGCGCACACGGCTACGGAGGAAGCTTTTTTTTTTTTTTTACCTGGGCTGGTGATGGGTGAAGATAAGATGCTTTGATTTGAGCAAGTTATGACCACTTACAGATCTGAACAAAATTACTCCGGACTCGAGACTAGCCTTGGCCTTCGACCGCCACTGATTGTACTTCACTCTCATACCCAGACTGGTTACGTCAATAACACAAATTCATTGAGCCGAGGTTGCTCACCAGGGCATTGGAGATCAACGCTTTCGGACATCAAACACGCACGAAAAGACCATGGAAGATGGTAGGTCACGACGTCGGCCGCGCTCCCGACCAGGCCCAAGCCCTCTCTCGAAGAGCTTGCTTATCTACAACTTCAACAAAAGCTGCACAGTCATCGAGAAAACTCGATCAGAGCTTACTCTTGACGGTCTCGAAGATATCCTTACACATTTTGGAAGCTGTTTGATTAAGCAAATGCGCGACGAGGAGTTCCTGCCTCGGTCTATGTTCCCTATGGATGATATCGTCGAAGTAGGAGGAGCCGTGGTTCGACTAAACAACGGCAAGAACCTTTCACCAAACACCCAGATCCGTTTCCTGGGCTCATACTACCCTGCGATCATCATCAAGATCGTTTATGCCCCTCAATATGAGAAGGTGATGGATCAGACCAGACAAGCTATACAATGCATGAACGGCCGCCTTCGCATTGTGATCATCATAAAGATCGAGAAGATTTCTGCACCGCCGACAGTAACCGAGCAGCCAAGCATGCAAAGCAGTCCCGAGTCTAGCAACGCAGTCATATCCAAGCAAACAAAGATGTCCGAGATCCATCGAATTACAGCAACTCTTTTGCAGCTGGGAACGACGCACGATGCGAGACTCGCAAGTACCTTGGGCTTGGACCCGACAAACGACCACGATCTCGTTGCACTATATATCCACCAGGAAACAGAAGTCTTTCCACAAGCTACACAGAAAAACTTCGTGTTCGATTGGCGATGCATTTCTCCGGACCCTTGGCAATCAACTATTCCAATGCCGTACATCAGCCTGTCCCTGAGTCCTCTCTCCGAGCTAGCTCAGAAATATATGGAGGAGGATTCAGTCATGGCGGGGCGCTATCGTACACTCGATCACGTCGACTATGGCCACAAGGTCTACTGTGAGTTCATTCAGGGCGCTAGCGCGTCTGCCGCACCTCCTCAGGATTGAACGCATACCACTCGGTGGCCTCTTGTATGACATGGAAGGAGAGTTTGAGCGGTTTGCAGTGCACTTATTAGGGCGATGGTATGTACATGGGAGCAACGTTGCTAGCGGACGAAATGTAAGCCGGTAGTCCTGAACACATAATGAAGAAAGCATCTTCATCAAAAGTTTTCCATTTTCCTCAGCATCCAAATCTTGTGTTACTCGAATTGTTCTCTAGTCATTCTTCGAGTAATTGAGCCCAATTTCCAAACAAACGAGAGATTTTGGAGGAGACCAGAGGTATCCGAGTGGGAGCTCTGAGCCGAGGAAGGAGTGTTTGGAGTCGGTCTTGCCTGCTCAACTGTGCTTTGGCTTCCCTCGCTCTTTCTGCTTCCCCTTCCAGTTATCAATACCGACTATGCTCTTTTCCTTTTGACCGTCTTTGGCTTCCGTGGAATGCTGTTGTCGGTATTCGCTTCTACGGCATCACCAGGTTGGAGATATCGTCCTTGCCGTCTTTGGCACGGCTCTGTCAATATTGCTTGAGCCTCGGTTCTCTTGCCTGAAAGCTTGTTCAGCAGATCAAGGCAACCATGGATAATGATACGACTCATGTTTTCCCTCTCTTTATCATTCAGCCTGTCTCCGATCGAGTCGTGAGGAGCCATAGTTGGGCAAGATCGTTATTTACCGGACACTGAGGATACATTAGTGATAACATAAGATTAGGAAGGAGCGCCCGACTGTCAACAGCCCTGTTGGGCATCGATCTTACCAATCCCATGAACTTAATTCTTTTCCAGTCATAACCTCGTACTTCCGCGTGCGTTGTATGCTCTGAAAAGAGCCACGAAGAGATCTATCAAGGCGAAGTTGGGAGCGAATAGGTCCGTAAGGCAGAGGTACGAAGTCGAGCGGTGATGATGATCGGGGTAAGAAAGATAGTGCCTGCAATGACGGTCTCTGAGGACGAGAAATATTGCGGGATGGTGTTGTGATCTGTACGGGAAGCTGGTCAGCCCTCCGGAACCATTGGAAGTGGTTGTCCAACATTCACTGTCACAAAGCCGTGTTGTTGCTTCGACGTCGCAACACAACCATAAACAAACTATTTCTCGCTTCTAACAACATCATTCCCACCACGCAACAACACGCTGAAGCTCCTCAATAATCGGCAGGTATGGCACCAACAACAAGATCATCAAGGAAGAAGGTTGCTGTCGTCGACACAAGAGATATCGTCTCTTGGATCTCCGCAGTGACTGGGGAGAAGACCTTCTACGAGAGATTTCATGAGTACGGTGAAGAAGGAGAGGTGTTATTTGTGCAGTTGCGCGTGGGTGAGGAGGGTGAAATGGTTCCTTGGACCGAAGATGAAGAAGATGGTACTGAACAGATCTTTCGGCGCCGGGTGGATAAATGCTGATAAAGTGCAGAAGACCAAGCCTTCGGGATGTCAGACAATATTGAGGAGGGAGAGGTTGACCCAGAGTTTGTCCCAGAAGTGACCCGCGCCGCCGACGAAGACCATGTCGCTGCGCAGAGCAATTCCCAAGAGGCACCCAATAAGAAACGCGCCCCTACCAAGCGCCGTCAGACCACCAACGTCAACAAGACCACACCTCATCCCGCCCCTCTCTTCCTGCCCCCCTGCTTGCCGTCACTTCAGTCCCCGATCTTGTCAGTGACATGACCGACCTCGTTCAACACGAATTCATTCTCGATTTCGTTGGCCGCCTTGCCTCTGAGGCAGTCTTGCAGTCAATCTCGCAGAACAGCCTCTCAAGCATGCTGAGAAACTTCAGGGTTTTCGACCTGTCAGAAGTCAATGGAGCAAGGACTCATGCAATTGAGAAGGAGGCTTACGATTCTGTGCGTCCTGGCAAGCTCTTCAACAACAGATGGGTGCTCAACCCTCGCCCAAACCTCTTCCGGCCCACCAACCCCGAGTACAAGGAGGTTGTTGAGATGGGACCATTCTAGATAGGTTGGAGTTCTGGTGAGAGAGACGTTTGGACATGAAAGAGGAACCACGAAGGTTACAGATTCTCAAACTCTACAATTTTCTAGACGCTTAGCCCCGACCGAGCACACTGAACCATGATCTACTGTCAAGATACAGAAACTATTGCATATCATGCTTCTGTCGACTGAGAGCTCGTGATAGAGACTTATCTCCCTGAAAAATGAACAGCAAGACGTGCTGTCATGATACAAGATCATTGATGAGATGTGATTGCCGTCCACAGAGAGTCTTTCCCAGTGATGTGTTTCTCTGGACATCTGGTACTAATCTGGATCTACTGTGCATTCTTGTAAGATCTCATAGACCTTATTGACTCTGTGAGATGATAGAGGTGCGTCCTGATATTCTGACCTCCAACTGAACATGGGACGATTGAGTATGCCATAGAAATGCAGAATGCTATCGTCACGAAGGTGTTCGTACTCTCAACAGCCCAGTTCTTGTCATTGCGGTCTACAACGGCCTTTGCTTGATCCTCCTCCGTCTGAGCAGAAAGCCTGCTCTGGCTGTCAGCAGCAGCTTTGACTCAGCCTCCTTCAACATCTGATCCTCGACTGACTTTTGAGGTGGAAGAGAAAACAGGACCCTTGACCCTCTTCCGCCGTCTCCAAAGCCTAGACACCCTCTCCAAGCCCTTCTCTTGGTTAACTTTGGCCTTATGAGGCATCAGAGCAGGTCTTGCGCAACAGTCCGGTCGACTAATAGTGCAAAGTCTCTGTACTGTTACTCGATGGCTGTCATACGAAGTTAATGCACAGCCTCCTTGTCCCTCTACAAGTTCTTGTCGAAATGGAGTGTTGACTGAAGTCTCAAACGACAGTCGAAAGCGAGGTTGAGGATGAAGTCGACGAGTGAACGCCGAGAGGGTGTTGTGTTCGTTTGTCTCGTTTGTTGTGCTTCGCTCGAACCCAACTCTGGATCACTACCAAAGCTCGATCACTGCGTCTTTGCCTTAAACAATCACAATACCACTTCCACATAACCAAACATAAGACACAATCAACTCCAGCAATGACTTCCCGCTTCGACATCAGCGTGCACCGCCAGAGGCAAGAAGATCTCTAACTCTACCTTTGACTACCGCTTGCTGACTGTCGTTAGACTCTTTTTGTGCTTCCCTCACGCCGGTACTGACGAGGTGATCACCAAACCCACCGCGAAGTGGTACCGCACCATCGATGGACGTGTGGCTTATGCTTTCGAGCGTCTCAGAATTCTCGACATGTGGGGCGAGCAACTCGTCCTAATTGAGGCTCTCGAGGAGAGAACCATCTTCAGCATCATCCCCACAGATCAGATCACCAGACCTTGCCGCATGGTCGCTATCGTCATGCAAGTCTGCGCTGAAGTGTCTCTCCAGAAGNGCAAGAGACCCCCTATTCCCATCACTGAAGAGGAGATGGAGGCTGGCATCTTCGCTCGCCCCTTGCAGCTCGTGTTGGTCGGAGATGTCGACATGGATCCCAAGATCTGGATGGATGCTTACACCGTGGCTCACGACACTGATATCAAGCTGTCGACCCCCGCCATCAACATTACCTACCCCGGCGACGAGTATCAGTACCTGACCAACGCCCACGTGGTCTTCGCTACCATCGAACGCATCAAGAAGCTTGTCGCCAGTAGAGCCGTCGGCCTCTCCTGTGTCAAGCGTATCGTCATTGACGAACCCTTGTACATCAACAAGCCCACTTGGGGCATCCTCGGTGCGCTCTTCCGCCACCCCGACATGAACCCTAGAGTCGCCGCTGTGTTCGTCGGCCGCAAGGCTTCCTTGGACGAGGACAACGTCGGCAAGATCCGCGAGTTTGGTACCCACACGCTCCCATACTGGCACGCCCACACAGATGAGAGCCGTGTCCAGGCTCAGGTCGAGTGGGACGCTTATGCCGGGTCGGTCTAAGCAGTACGTCACAGACGGTAAGAGTGCTTCTCCTCTCTCACGTTTCTGACGCAAGCTAATCTTTATGATAGACGCCAATATATCGACACGTCCGGACGAAGAGGAACGGGAGGAGATGGGCAGGCTCTGGGGGATAAGATAGAGTCCACATTCTTCAATATCATCGTTGCCCCAATCTTTTTATCCACTCTCAGTGAACAGTACCCCTTTCGTGGAGGCTATCGTGATTCTTATAGATAATCGTGCTCTGCGCATTTCTATGTGGGGTGGTTGTGATTTCTTTACCGGGCGTGAGATCCTTTCTTTTGCACTTTCGCTTCTCAGTGGACACTACCTGTTTCGTAAGACTGTGGTGTATTTGTGTAGGTGATCGTGCTCTATGCATTTGTACGTAGGATAGTTGTGATTTAGTTACTGAGCAAGAGATCGTTGTTGTGCACTATCGCCTCTCAGTGGACAGTACTCCTATCGTAAAGACTATGGTGCATTTTTATAGGTGATCGTGATCTACACATTTGTACGTGGGATGCCCAAGTGCTTCGCGCCATAACAAGTGGTTGTCTAAAATTCGACCTGTTCTCTTTCTCCCTTGCTCACAAAATCGAGGACTCTGTTAGCGACCGCCAACTGGATGCGCAGAAACATGGACGGGCCGAGGGTTGATGTATACATTCCTCGGACGAGTTGAGTCGCAGACATTCCCGAACGACAGCCCGAAAATGCCGAGTGTGATGGGCATCGAGAGCGCGATATTAAAACCTGGGATGTACCCTCCGGTACACTTCTCCCGAGTTTCCCAACTCGTGGTGTTGAGTTGCCAGAGTCCTGGTCCGAACCAAGCGCAGTCATAATTCTCGGTGATGAAAGTCCATCTGCAACGACAGCTTATGATGCAGGCGCCCCTCGCAAGACAACATATAACCTTGCAATCAACCGCCACAGGCTCTTCTCCACCATTGACAGTGCCGCTACTAATAAACAGAGTACCGGCATCAATGCCTTGCGACAATTTACTGCTTGCAGATCACACTCGCATTGAGCCATTGCTTGATCAAAAACATTCGCAAATATCCGAAAGGAATGGATCATGGTTACATCGCCGCTTGGCATGCGAGGAGCCAAATCGTTACGAATAGCGAATGGACCTTCCTGTTCGGATACTCAACCAAGATTGCTTGAGCGGGAACAAGCAAGGGAGACAGCTTGAACCTGCACACGACAACCCGCATAGGATGACGATCTTCGATTTTGTATCAATCACCACTACAGAGGACAACAAGGAGATGGTAGGTAGGAGACGACATTTCCAGGACAGGTCTTGAGTGGTCTGCTCAGAGTGCCAGTGAGGACCCCGAAACCCTACTTTCTGTACGCAAGCCAAGGGCACGTCTGAGGGAGATCTCAGCTGCATTCCTGCACTTTCCGTTTTGCAATGTAGCCGACTGGAGAGTGCAACCCAGTCGATACTCGCAGCCCAGTACAATGGAAAACTTCGACCCGAGTTACTGGCTATGTCAGCATTATCTCTCCTTGTGGTGGAATGGAGGGCAGCACCTAACGCATCCCAATAAGATGTTCTTTGCTCTTTCTTCCTCATCACATTTGACGTTTGCTAGCGAATTCGTGTGGATGTGGTCGTGATATGGTGCGCTTGTTTTGGTCCCTATTAGGGATTTCCTGTCTTTTCAGAGCGGGCATAGCGCAATCATCTGCAGACGACAATGCAGATTCGACTTCGAGTGTTTGTACACCCACGACTGGATTATACGCCATCTACACATCAGACTCGTCAACATATCTCATTAAAGATGGCCAACGGACAGGGCAGGCGGTCGCGTCATGTCCGGCTGAAACGACATCAACGGTTCTTCAAATCTCAACCCTTTGGCAGACGACTAACGATGTTTCCACTGTGTATAGGTCCTCCACATATTATGTTTCCAATCTCTCGACCATTGCTTGCGGGCCGAGCATTTGCACCAATGGGTCAATCGACAGCTCGTCGCCAGCGACGGTAACGATACCAGCATCGAATTCAGCGCTCCCATTCGGCATCACCCAAACCAGCGTATCGACTGTGTCCCAAGAAGTGCCATGTTCATCTGGCCTCACTGTACCAGTCACTATCACTTCCCTTCTGTCGGACAACCAGCCATGCCCAACTTGCCCTCCACAGTCTGGCACAGATCGATATTCATGGCTGCTATTGAACCAGTCCGTCAGCTGTTCGACCATCGCAAACATCTCCGCTGTTGTCACATCCAACATATCCGGCTCTCTTGTGAGCTCCATTATCTATGGCTCTGCCAATTGTCCGATCATCTTCGATTTTTCGCCACGGACTGGATCCGCGGCATCCTCTCTGACCGCTGAATTGTCATCTCCTGTCAGTATATCTACAGTCTACGAGAGCGCTAGCTGCCAGACTATGAGCACACTGCCACCAGTCACTACCTCCATCTACTGGTTCAACTCGAGTTGCACAAATTCGACAGTCTTCTCCACCATCTTCCAGAGTGGCTCTACCGAGATCATCACGACAATCCCGCCTGTCACGACCTCTGTCTATTTGTCGAACTCGAATTGTTCTGGGTCGACTGTGTTCTCTACCATATTCCAGAGTGGCTCGGCGACCGTCTTCTCAGCATTCAACTCGAGCTGCCCTGCGTGTCCATCATCGACTTGTCCAGAGCCCACCGCGGTGTCCACTGGTTTCAGAGCGCCTCAACAGGCAATGATCCTGTCTCGAACACAAGCTGCCCAGCATGTCCTTTAACATGCTCAGAGACGACAGTGATTTCCACTATCTTTCCGAGCAGTTCAGCAGGCAATTTACCAATATCCAACTCAAGTTGCCCTGAATGTCCCTCTGTGTATCCAGGATCAACCATCTTCTCCACCATCTTCCAAAGCGCTTCAGCAAGCAGCTTCTCTGTCTCGAACTCAAGCTGTCCAGCGTGTCCCACGATAGTCTCGCTAGCGAATGCGAGTACCATCACCCTCAGCCAAAATTTCATCTCGACCGTCCTTACACAAGATCCTGCCTGCAGATCGCTCAACGCCTCATCAATGAACATGAATTCGTTGATCTCAGCCACTCGATACACGACTATTTATGGCCCGGATGTGACAGTCACCATGCCCGGCTCCTCAATCACAACCATGTCCTCCGATGCATATTGCGACACTTGCCCTGATGCGTGTTATGTGGATTTTGATGACGATGGTATTGCAGATGCCCAGCAAAATCAGACATTCTCTGCTGTGTCATCTGTTACGTCTTCCTCTTCCTCCGGATCCAACTCGACCATACCACCTCCGACGCCAGCCCCTGTTATTATAGCAGATTCTGGGTTCGAGAATGGTACCGTGAATCCCTTGAACAGTTCTGCTTCATCCCCTCAGGTGACAGCGTAGATTGCGCAGAGTAACGACAGCACTCTATTGAGTGCGCAGAATGGAAATAGCTTTCTGTGAGTTTAATGAATGTTCTATGCATCATAGATTTCGCTGACTTGGGAGCCAGATTCTTAACCTTCAACGATGGTTCGCTGCCTTCGACCTCATCACCCATGCAGCAGCTCTTTCGTCGCCAATCATCAACTCAGCCTCTTGTCTACAATGCAACGCAATACTTTGTAACGGTCAGCGGCGATACTTACAACTTGACAGCATATGCGCAACAAGCTCAGAATGGAGACATTCCTCCCAACTGCTCGATAAGCATTTGTGTCTACAACACATGCGGCCCATCAGCTGCGCTTCAGACAGGAGTTTGGCAACAGTACTATTATCTTTTCCCGGCAACATCTGATGACGACTCGGCTTTGGCGACTTTCAGTATAACTTGTATCGGTAATGCATATGTGGGTCTGGACAGCGTCGCAATTATTGATATACCACCTCCGGATAACTCAACCTCTACATCGACGACAGATGGCTCAGCTCCATCTGCAAACAGTGGTGGTTCCGGGTCTGGTGGGACCAGCAACGGTTCCATGGCCCCAATGACCGCTTCTGGTGGAAGCCCACAGACGGTGACCAGGGCCATTGTCCGGACTCGCACAACTTCTGCCATCGTTTCTACAGCAATCTACTACACGACGACACAAATTTCTTACGTCGTATCAACCTATGTAAGCGGCTATAACTATACTACTTATCAACCTACTACTTTGGTTTCGACAGCATATGCCACTGCAACGTCTGTCCAAAATTTTACTGTTTCTGCCATTGTGACCAGCACGAGTAAGTCGAATCTTGTTTCTATGTCTTTCCATCTGCCCCTACTGCTTTGTGCAATCCTCATGTATCTCCGCCATAAGCTTTAAATCTGTCAAACGCTTTTCTCAAGATGGGACAATAGCTTCTTCCGGATCAAGATGCTTTGTTGCTCTTGTTCAAAAGAAAAGAGTCTTTTAGAAGAATTTTGTTCAGGTACACCAAAGGAAGATCTGGCTAACAAGTGGTATAATCAGTCACTATCGTTCAAAACCAGACCTTCACCCAGTTCAGCACCGCTCTTGTGACAGCCACAGCCACGACCTCTCTCCAACCTTATACCAGTTTTGTGAGCATCACCATCATTTCTACGGTATATACTGCGCCAAGTACCTACATAACCACGGCAAGCCCGGTCGTTACCACTCTCTACACAACCATAGTGGAGACTTCGCTCAGTCTGCAGCCAACCACTATAGTATCTACGATCATATCTACGCTACCGCCTCAGAATATCACAGTTTGGGAAACCACTAGCTTGTCCCCGTACACCACTACGTTCGTCTCAAGCTATTTTACGACTTTTTACCTTACCCAGACTCCTCTTGCCTCGACGTATTACACGACTATCATCAGCAGCCAGCCACCCATCACCGAAACGATCTTGACCAGCCTTCCTGGAGGGACATTCACATATTATCTCACCAGCACGCTTCCACAAATTACGCAGACCATCTCGGAGGTGTCCACCCAAGTTCAAAACTTCACCCTGCCGCCCC